TTAATATTGCCTTCTCGCGTTATCCGGCTGATTGGGCTCACTCGAGGGGGGGGGTGTTGGTTGTGTTTACAGTGTTCTCACGATCCGGTTATTTAACCGAACCACGGGTCCTCTTCATCCGGGTATCCCTTCTTTTCAGGTGTCGCGTGACGGTTTTTAATTCGGCATCTGTAAGCTCAAGTGGTATGGTTCACTTCATCTAAAAACTTCCAACTGGCCAAATTGAAGGGTGGAGGTTTTATTATTTAACGTGCAATTAATGTAGTTAAACCCAAAATCCAGATACGTTAAATACGGATTTCATGCGTTTTATCACTGGAGTTGGAGATTAAAGGTCCCCCTTGCCTCCGGATATTAAATACGGATAAGAGTCACATACAAAAATCAAGATACATTTGAGCGGCCACCCCTCCGGATATTAAATACGGATAAGAGTCACATACAAAAATCAAGATACATTTGAGCGGCCACCCCTATAAATATATCCAAGCGCCCATGTAAAATACCACTAGGTTAAATATCTATTTCTGGACCAATTCATCACCAAATTTGAATCTGAGACGTAGAATTTCTTCACCACATTGAGATCTGTCGATTATACGTCTCAATTTGCTGCAATTTTGAGTAATGAATATGAAATAGAAATCAGAAAATTTTGTGAAAAGTTGGTAGTTTATAGATGATGTGCACCATAGAGCGCCCGATTCGTGACCTGAAAGTCCCGAGTTCAAGTCCACCATTTCGCGACATTTTTCATATTTTTATTTGAACTGGAAGTACACAAATGTCAGGCATTCCAAAATTCTTCCGAGGCATTAACGATGAGCAACTTGCTCATGGACTCATTAAGTTAACCATATTGCCCAGGGTAGTGAAATTTAGCCCGCCTGCGGTGCTGAGGGTAGTTATTGTGCCCGCGAAGGCCCAAAAGTAGTTATTTAGCCCGGGTAGTTATTGTTACCTATACGGTAGAATGTCCCAAACCACTGGGAAGTACCACATGTGTTGACGAGCATCGTAGATTGACCTTTGGGTTGACGCGAATGAACTGAAAGGCATTCAGATTGGGAAATCTCGTCCATCCGAGCGGGTTAAGTAAGACACGTAGAAATACCTCCAAAACGTGTGGTTTGCTTTGGTTGTTGACGAAGCTCTCTGTGAATGTCCAAGACCCAATGATTTAAAGCGCATTTGCATGCGTCCTCGCAGTCAACAACGGGATAATGGCGGCAAGTGAAGCATCGCCCTATCTTGTGGGAGCATGTCATTCAACTCGGTTGGAGCTGTTTCTCGATGATTTAACCTCGCTGTTCTATCCCATCGAGCTTGGGACAATGGGGATTTACTTCCTGGATTGGAGAGTAATCGGAACAAAGTGCAGATGTGATGTCCGAGTACAGTAGTTTTATCAATACGAAAGTACGCATTTTAATGCTTACTCTGATTAAAATCAGCTTTGAGTACTATGGGAACAGCCTTTCGACCGGAAAAGGCCAGAGTGGTTATTAACAATATATAGGATAATTGATTACTTCAAGTACTGTATCTAAGAATATCTGACTAATCATTGAGTTCTACAAGTATGCAAAAACGTTACTGCATTTTTACTGGCAATCCATTGGAAGAAAGAACCAAAATGTGTCCAATGACACGCGCAGGGACGGCCGTTGAATCCATCGAGGGCCCATGCACCATGCAAGTTATCGCGGTTGTTCCGGCCTCCGAAAGCGTGCAAATGGCATGTAAACATGGCCGAATAGTCAAGGGCGCGTTCCGAAATCTCTGTGGCTTACTGAGCTCTGTGGACGAAGTTTGAAAATCATAATATGACCAAAATTTGTACATTCTCCGCTGGCCTGCCTGTTAATAGTATCTTTCTGAGGCATGCGTTTGAGAAGATCGTTCAATTTTTCAACTGGATTTTGTCCAATCAGATGTGGTAGCCAGACTACCCACACACTTGAAATAGTATCACATACCGAAGTACAATGAAAACACCATGTTCTCCTGCATTTTTCGAAATGAAGAATACTAGTACGCAATATTGCAATATCATGATACTATTAATACTTACTACTACGTAGTACTAGTATTAATTGCAGTATTTTTTACTTCGAAGTACTAGCTAGTATGGTGGTATCCTTAATGTGTTCGGACCTGTAGCTTGCCAAGTCAAAGATCGGTTTTTGTCCAATCAAATAGGTCTATATGAAATAAAGTCATTTGATTGGATATAATGATTTGTACATTTTCAGATTGACTGTTTTTTCGAGCGAGCTTCATGACGTCGCTCTCAGAAGAGGAGCGGCCCATCGATGTGTTCCTCGTGGACTTATGTGGAAGCAGTCTAGGTAAGAACTGATCCATCGACTTAGTGTGACGGCAATGCTTACCTTGTGATGATCCTTTGCAGTGAGGTCCGTCAGCGGCATCCATGCCGCGTCGTTCGACACGTTGGTTCGTACGATTCGCCACCCTATCCACTTGCACAGGTTGTTCACGGACATCATTGAGGTCGTCGATGCCGCGCAACAGGTATATGCTTCCCATACATGTTTAGTCTCATGCGTGTCGTTAGAGCGAATTGCTTGACGCGTTGGTGTTCATGGTAAGTTGATAAACTCCATGACGAAGCACTTTACAACTCGACAACGAACAGGTGAAACACGAGTCGTCCAATGCACATGCATGCATCGAGGTGGGGTTCCATCGGTCCATCGTGACCTTTCTCGAGGCAAGGGGGCTATGGCATGGGTTTCCTCGGCCGCTACTGAACCGGCTCCTGTCGCTCCTGTTGCACATTTCGCAGTACTCCATTGCCGTCGACGATATCCGAGCCATGCTGCAAGTGTTTCAATGCGAGCGGTAACGATTTTCTATTCACCCCTTGGTATACTACATCATTCGTCCAACTACTTCCACATGCAGCATGAAGCATGACGAGCCAGACGAAGACGCGGTGACGGCGTACTTGTCGACTCTGGAATTGATGGCGCGAAGTGTCACTGGCCCGTCCACGTACCTGGAGCTGTCCGGAGACCACTCGGGCTTTTCCATCGCGTCGATGGACGCGATTCCATTCCCGTCCGCCGGGTACACGCTGTCGGCATGGCTCCGCGTCGAGTCGGCTCCAGGGCTCAACTCGCCCCTCTTTTCTCTGTGGTACCTATCCCAAGTGATAATTTCGATTATATATAGTACTGTATTATATACATACATACATAAATGCGTGTATTACTTAGTATATATATATATGTATGATATACTACGTACTTCGAAGTAGTAATATATTCATTCATATATATATATTATATACATACATATATCTATGATATATACATATTATATATTTATATCTATCTATGCATCTAATCCAATCCACTCTTTGTGATGATGCAGCGGCGACAGCGGCATTGGCATTGAGATCTCGTTCATGGACACGACATTGGTGGTCAAGGGGTTGGATTCCAAGAAGAACGAGTACAACGAAGTGCAAGTGCCGAATGCGCTCGTCAAGCACCAATGGTCGTGAATGGTGTAGTAAGTTTTCCGACTTATATATAGACGTGTAGGCAATGGATATGCGTCGTGCACACGCATCGCCAGATCCGAGGCTCCAAGCTGGACGTGTACATCAACGGCGACTCGCGGCAGTCGTACCGGTTCAATTACCCCAAAGACGCGACCGTGTCCAAGATGCAGTGCCTTGTCGCTCGAGCCAAACACGATCACAGCAGGTGTCTCAAGGCGCAGCTGGGGCCCGTCGCGTTCTTTTCGCATCCGTTGCAAGCCAGCATTGTGGAAAGGTACATATATATATATATATATATATACTAGTATTTGTACTATTGATTTGGTACTACTTTCCGACCCGATCGATGGAGGGTGTGTGGTTCTCACGCCCCCCTAACCGATCACGATTCACTCCCATTGGTCCATCTGACCAATTGCTTGTCGGGGATTGGCTACATTTGTTTCTTCGTTTTACTTTGAGCTTTATTCTGCGAAATCGTTCAAACCCATGAATTTTCGCGGCGAGATTTGGGATCGGGTTTAAACGAATTGGGGCATTTGTAGCAAATTTAAAAAAACATATTTTTTATACTGTAATAAGAGTCGACTGGTATTGTGCTTTCGAGTGAAATTTCGTGGTGTGGTTTCTCGTTGGAATTTAAATCGATTTGATTGGCTACTTCAGATGAGTTCAAAATTATTAGCCAATCAAAACCTTCTCAATGAAATTCAACAACCAATCCGATTGATTGTGGATCGGTTTGGTCGGCGCGAAATTCGATTGCACCCGCTCCCGAAATTTGTAAATCAAATCGACAATACTACTATGAATAATTTTCGTGCAAGTGAGTGGGTGAATACATATGATTTCGTCAGTCGACAAGGATCTCGATAGTTGATATAACATGGTTTTAGCATCAAATCGTTCAGCGATTACGACAACGTGGTGCTGCAGTACAATGCGTCGGTCGCGTCGTCGCATGTCACGACGTCGTTGGCCTTGCCAAGGTCAGTACTCGTCTCTCATTCCTGCGACATTTTGTTGATCTAGTTAGTAGTAGCACCCTTGCCACGTTGCCAGCTACTACGCCAGCTACGACCACAGGTCCCGATGGACTGCTGTTTGCACTGGACGCGCGTAATTTCGATGTCAAGCGGAATATGCTGTTGGATGCGAGTGGGCACAACCACCACGGGGAGAACAATCACCTGTCGTCGCCGTCGACAATCCGACTGCGCACGACCACGTCGTTCAAAGAGTCCATTTGGCAGATGGGGGGACCCATCGTTTTCTTCCCGTTGCTGCTGCACCCCTCCACCCAATCCGCAGCGTTGACGAGTTGCCAAGCAACTACCTCACGACCGCTAGGGATCTCGAGCGTGCCAAAAGTGATGAGTCTCGTGGCTGAAACCCTCCGCCACTCGTTGATCAACAAGGTATTGAATTTATATACATTAATATATATATATATGGTATTATGTTTTGATCGTACTATGCATTGGGATATTATGTTTTGATTGTGCTTTTGTAGTTTATCTGTCGCCGGACGCAAGCAATCCCGATGATGTCCCTACTCCTGGGGTCGCTCCCTCCAGCGTACCTCACAGCAGAGTTGCTGAGTTCCATCGAACGGCTGTGCAGCGCCGTGTCGTCGGATCGATTCATATCTGACGAAATACATCGGTATTTGCTCTACAATTTCCGCCTCTGGGTACCCGCGTCCCTCAAGATTCAGGTACGATCATATCCCCCGCTCCTTTTGTAGTTGAAATATTCCTGTATATGGTAGAACTCGATTTTCGACAAGCTGCACGTGGCGATCAAGAAGAAGTTTGTGTCGTCGTCCGTCGTGTCGATTCGATACATGCTCCGCCTGCTCTCAACACAGTATCAGACGTCGATTCTGCCGCCAACCGCTGGAACCGGCGGCGGCGGCGGCAGGTCCTCCCACATGCGCGGCCGCATCTTGGAGACGATCCGGATTCTCTTGTACGACCCGGAATCGTGGGCCAAGGCGCAGAGCCAGCGAAAGTACCAGCTCAACAGCATCATCATGGGCGTGTCCAACTCGGTCAACTCGATGGGCGTGTCGTTCGATGCGGCGCGGACGCTGATTTACAGCATGCTCGGCAAGGCCACATTTCCCCAAGGCAACATTGACGACACGATCAAAGGCACGGTTGTGAGCGAGGCAGAGGTACTATATCTATATAATAGTTTATATATATTTGTATTTGTACGGATTCATATGGTTCTAGATGGATGCTGGGGCGATCCCTGAACACGTAGCCGAGACGGACATCCCCGACCTGTTGCAAATTCTGGTGGATTTCTCCGTTACCCCAGCAACGCAGACGGAATTTCTGAGCATTTTCGAGCGCTTGGGGGGGCTCCGCATCTGGCTGCCGTTGATTTCGACGGCGAATGCACAAGTGCGTCGTATGACGTTGCGGCTGTTGCGGACGTACATTGTCATCAAGTGCGACAGTTATCCCAATGCAAACCCAAAGGTAAACACAAACATATATATATTGTATATATATCGACAACCTCGCCATGTTGAAATAAATTTATATATATTTTCTAACTATGACGATATGATAGCCGTCGCTGTCTGCCGTGGATGTGCGCATGATCTTGGATTCGCTGCATGTGGCCGAGTTTCCGCTGCAAATGGGCAGCTTCAACGAACTCGTGTCGTTGGTTTTGGGCATCGATTATGGCGATCCGACGGCAGATCCATTTGCCCTCGTTTCCCACGACCACGCCGAGATGCTGGCCGACAACATCTTGCTCACGAGCAGCATCCGGCATCCGAATATGGTGGTGCCGATGCTGGAACTGATTCAAAAGTGCCACCTCCACGTCCGCTGGGTCGGCCTCGAGTGCTTTAAGCTGCTGCTATCCGATGACAACGTCGAAGGTGCTTTGAATCGACGCGTGTTTCTCGCGTGTTATGCCACCCAAGGCTACGCGCCGTACCCCGTCGAAGTGTTCTTTGCGAGCTTTGTCACAGACGCCCCACAGCTCCCAGCAAGCGACAACTCGTTTGCTGAAGCGTTCTCGTCCGTGTCGACGACTGGTATTGTGCTTTCGAGTGAAATGTCGTGTTGTGGTTTCTCGTTGGAATTTAAATCGATTTGATTGGCTACTTCAGATGAGCTCAACATTATTAGCCAATCAAAACCCATTTCTCAATGAAATTCAACCAATCAGATCGATTGTATATCAAATCGACAATAGTATAATCGTCTTTGATTTACGCAAAAGCTATCGATGTTCGATTCTTTGACTTTTGTAAAGATCATCCATAGTATCACACTAATTTCAGTCACACACTAATTCGATGCATTGAATATATTGGTCGAAGTGTGTGTGTTTGATTGGCTACTTGAGATTTTTTATCTGGGTTTTGATTGGTCGTATATCGATTGTCTGCCGATTTGGTGATTCTGGTCACATATTCGATTGAGAGCGCAAACACTCCAATTTTGAATCTATCGACGTGACAATATGACTATATCTACTCGACTAGCGAGTCGATATATATATATCTTTTGTTGAAAGATATATAACCATCTACGTAGGCTTGCGTGACGTGCCGATTCTGCGGCTGCGAGAGTTGATGGCGAATGTGGATCTAGCAGACGATGCGCGTCTTGGCGCTGCGATGTCGCTGCTATTGCTTGGCGACCACCAGTCTCTGTTCGACTTGCTCTCGAACGACAGCGCCAAGTGCGACCAATACCGCCGCTATAAGCAGTTGGCCAAGGACAACACTTTGCTTTCGAATCGATTCAAAACCGGGATGCGCATGCTCCTGAGTTCAATCGCTCGATCTCGTACCCAGGAGCATGTAGTGGCCACGTGCATGGACGTGATGGCCCACATGATCGTCGTCGACATGAAAACGAACGAGGCGGCGTACGAACTGGTGCTCCATCCATTCAAACTCGTGCCGAATCAGCCGCACGTGGTGATGACGTGGCTCAAAGTGCTCGTGGATCGACTGGGTGCCCTTGTCGACTCGCACATGCCGCCCAAGGGGTCGCTCTGCTGGCGCAATCTCGACAACATTTGCTCGATCGCGACGTCGGTCGTGCTGCATTTTGATCCGTGGGCCAGCGTCACGACGACGGCGTGCCAGCGGGAGTCCCTCGTCGACGAAGACGATGGGAGAACGGCGGCGGCCGTGTTTTGGAAGGCCAAGGACGAGTACGCCAAGGAACGCGAATTGAGCGACGCCATCTTGAACGTGTGGCACAAGTGTGCGTCTAGTCTCAGCTGCGACGTGGACGCGTCGTTTGGCCGAACCGCCCAACCCCGGCTGAGCTTGTCCAGCAGTCAAGTGCCCGTGGCCACCCGCAGCTCCCCGAGCACCGGCGCCGCCGCCAAACGAAACTCGATCAAGGACCAGTCCCAACCTCCGACAATCGCCCCGTCGTCGCTGCGGCAGTTCCCCGGTGGTGCCATGCGTCAGATCCTAGCGTTGATCCTGCGGTCCATGTACATGGCCATCAAAGACCAAGACATGTTTTTACATTCTCACGGCGAGTACAACGAAGAGGACGAAGATGAGGAAGATGAGGAAGACGAGGATGAGAGTCCAGCGCCCCGCCGACGGAGCCGCGTCAACTCAACCGTCGCGTTGGACGCTGTGTTTGCCGCCAAGCTGGCAAAACTCGACTACTTTGTCGAGCTGCTCCAGTTGAACCAACAGAACTACGTGCCGGCGAAAGAAGACGCGTCGTTGGTGCATTGGCTCGCGCTGGAACTGCGCCATCTCATGGAGGAAGCGGGCCGGCTTAGTGTGCACGAGCCACGTTGGACAGACGGGGCTCGCCGATGCGCCGAGGTACTATTGTACATTTCCCCAACATTTAGACTTGTGATTTGCCAAATTTATCGAGTGTTTGCATTGAATTTTCTATGTCTGAAGTTGTCCGGGGGGGATTGTAATCTCACACTAATTCAAGTCACACACTAATAAGATGTGCATGATGGTGTCCTGCAATCTGATTGGCTAAATGCTTTTGCCGATTGATCTTGTGTGCATTTCGTTCTGTCAATTCATTCGCCATGTCGGTCCCGTTTCGAATAATGACCCAGTCAATACTGTAGTCCTTGCAAGCAACTGTTGTATTTTTACCCAAAATTGGTCAACTTTAGTGCGGAATCGTCAAATCTGTCGATCGATTCTTCGTTGTACTGAATGTTGTATGTAAAAAGGTGTCAACTGTGGTGATTTCGTATCACACTAATTGAAGTCACACACTAATTAAACGTTGATGATATGGTTTTCTGCAATCTGATTGGCTAAATGCTTTTGCCGATTGATCTTGTGTGCATTTCGTTCTGTCGATTCATTCATTCGCCATGTCGGTCCAGTTTCGAATAAACACCAAGCAATCAATACCTGCTGTAAATAGTAGTACAGTCATGTGAATCCCAAGTGGCGACTGACAGTGTTGTTTGATGGTCTAGTTTGTGTCGCGAGTATTATTGCAAAACACGCAAAACGTGGTGACTTCGGTCGACCACGTGCGAGCGTTGCTGGATCGACAAGAGTTTGAGTTGACAGACACTGAAGTCGGTCGGCGGGACCTGTTTTACCACGAGTATTTGGAAACGTCGCAAGAAATTCGCCACAAGAAAAAGTCGCATGTGCTGGCGGTGGTCGAGTATGAGCGGGAATGCGCCAAGCAGGCCGTGGACGTGGTCTTGGCCTCTGGTATTCAAGTACGACATGAGCATCACATTACCATGTTTGACCTCTCACATGTGTTTGGCAGGTCCGGCCTTCCACCGACCCCGTCTGGCTGCAACGGGTCCATGCTAAGGACGTCGACGACTGGATGAAGCTGGAGCGCGTGCTCCGCTGGAACATCCGACACGTGTGGTCCGTCGATTCGTTGAGCCAGGCCACCAAGTGGCAGCTCGACTCGTTCACGTCGTCCAAGTGGATGCGCTGTCGCCTCTTGCCCGACGTTGACAAGGTGCACCCGTACAAGAAGCTCGCCAGGACCATCAACAACTCTTTGTACGACGCCCTCGTTAACGACACGTTGGCGTCGACGCCAGCCATCCTCGTCTTACCACCAAGTGCCGACGACGACTTGGACGACGACAATCAGCATACACTTGACGTGGACGACGACCGCGTCCACGTTGTCATGGGAAGGTCCACCGACGACGACTTGGACGACTTAGACGACATGGTCGACATGGTCGAGGGAGATGTGATGGAGAACGTGCAATTATCCCTTCCGAGATCGTCGCGCGATGATACGTCCATGCTGGGGAGTGTACCGACGGCGGCATCTCCCATGGCGTCGTCTGTCGAGATTTCTGGTGCAGTGTCCTCTCCCCCTCCTCTGGCTGAAGTTGAACCAGTGAAACGGGCGTCCATGTCGTCCCGATTTGTGACAGGGTTGCGCTTGCCGATGTTTTCGACCAAAAAAGTAGACAAGGTGGAAAGCAGTGGTGCCAAACAACCCGTAGACGACGTCGCTCCTGACCACGAAGGCGGTGTTGTGCCAACCGACAATGCTGCAAGGGTACCGTCTCCTGCCGACGACAAGCCGCCGAAAAAGCTCATCACGAGGGGCAGCTTTCGAACGATGGCGTACATCGTCCTCCCCGAGGGCCGCGTGGTCCGTGGCATGTTCCGGTTGGGATCAATGAGCATCGTGTTTGAAGGAGAAGCGATCGTCGACGAACAAGAAGACAGTCGCGCCAGTAGCATCGTGCTGCTCAAGCGCCGGATCTTTGGCATGCGCGTGATCAAGTCCATTTACCGCCGGCGCTTCAACTTGGACATTCTGTGCGGGATGGAAATTTACTTTGTCGACGGCACGTCTCTTCTGATTGGGTAGGACCACTGTATCATATTTATCCATAGACTAAGCTTACTCGGTCTGATGTGTGTGTTTTACTCCCTTTGACTAGATTCGAGACTAGCCATGACGTGGACACGGCATTTGCCATCATTCGACAGCGCAAACCGCCTTGTTTGGTCTCGACCAAGCGACTGCTCACTGGGGATCGACTCGTGCAAAGCTCCCACTGGCATGCCACGGCCAAGTGGGTGCGTCGAGAGATTTCCACGTTCGAGTACCTCATGCTTCTCAACGTTGCGGCCGCTCGCTCGTACAACGACATCACGCAATATCCAAGTACTGTACATACATCCATCGCCTTTTCCAAACAAGCAAAAAAGCCTCTGACGTTCGTGTGCTGTAGTTTTCCCGTGGGTATTGAGTGACTACGCGTCGGCCCAGTTGGACTTGGAGGATCCTGCGACGTTTCGAGACTTTACCAAACCGATTGGCGCCCAATCTCCCCACGGGGTTCAAGCTGCGACCCAACGGTATCACTCCACCACGGCCGAGTTTCCGTACCATTTCGGTGCTTCGTATTCGAGCCAAGCTGCCGTCTTGACGTACTTGATGCGCATGGCGCCATTCACCCAAGCGTCCAATGCGTTGCCCGAAAGCAGCCTGCAACCATTGTCGTCCATTGCAGCAATGTGGGAACGCTGCACGACTTCCGTGGGGTACGTACGACCTTTCCCAATATATATATATGCCATGTATGCAAAAAGCTTCACGTAATAATGCACACACAAACGACGCTAGCTGGGAACTCGTGCCTGAACTGTACATGACGGCGGAAGGCCTCTTGTCTGCCGAGTTTGGCAATGTCGTGTTGCCACCATGGGCCAATGAGTCGGTGGACACGTTCATTCGACTGCATCGGCAGGCGCTGGAAAGCGATTACGTGTCGATGCACTTGCACAGTTGGATCGACTTGGTGTTTGGGACGTCCCAGCGCGGGCCGGACGCTGTGGACAGCCTCAACGTGTTTCATCCCGTGTGCTACCCCGACGGACTCAACCTGAACCTGCTGGACCTGAACACGAGAAAGCAGTTTGCAGAGCGCGGGACGATCCCCGTGCAGTTGTTCAAGGCGCGCCACCCCCGACGACTCACGGTGGACGAATCGCTCGAAGCCAGGTAGGTTGTTCAATATGACATCTTTCACACTATTTGGACACTCACCATGGTGTAGGTATCCCGCGTCGCATGCGGTGGCGAGTTTGTCGTCGCGAAGTCAAGTGCGTCGATACGACGTCTCCTCCCGCCATGACATGGCTCTGTCCAGCGTTCGGTTTTCATCGGCCACCGCCACGGTAGCTATTTAAATACATATATACTAGTGTATTTTATATATATATTGTATGTTTGAATGATATTTACATATTTTTGTTGTAACGATATATTTAATGATATATATATATATATATTTGCTTTAACGTGTGGGACATAGGGTGGAGGGATGGGAGCGATGACCAAGTCTGTCAAGGCCAAAGTGTCGGACAATACTTTGGTGTCTTCTGCACCCGTGGAAGTCCATGGCAGCATCGTCTACTCGTGCGACGAAACGGGGCTGGTGCTGGCCAAACGGTACCAGAATTCCACTCCCGATGCGACCAAGGGGGTCCCCTTTACCCTGCAAGACGTCGAGCAGTGGTGGCGCCTTCCCGCAATGTGTTCGATCGTCGACGGCATGGTCTACTACGAGCACATGATCAGTTGCGGGTACTGCAATTGGGTACATATACGATGTCCATCTTAACTTGTTTTTTCAAGGTACTTTGACGGAAGCTGGCGCATCCACTGGTCTGCTGACGGGGAATTGCTGCAACGCATTGCGTTCCACAAGCAGAAGATCTTGTGTATGGCTCGCAGCGAAGACGACGTCACGGGTGACGTGGCGCTCGCATTTGGCAGCGAAGACTGCACCATTTCGGTAGGTCATCGATACCTTTCCTTCGTTAAAATGCATGATTGGTTGTAGGTGTGGGCCATCTCCAAGTTTGCCGCGAGTCGATCGCGGCGGATGTTTCTATCGACGGCCAAGAAGGAACTGCCTGTGGGCAACTTGCCGTGGGTGCTCCTTGTAGGGCATTCGCGACCTGTGGTCACTGTGGCCATCAACGTAAGTGCCCTGACGACTCTGTCGCATAACAATATTGTCCTTTTACGTGTAAAATTTGGTTGACTTTTGTGCTGATTCTTTGCCAAATCGATCGATCAATTCTTTGTCCTGACGTTTGTATGCAACCAACGTCCATTGTCACACTAATTTCAGTCACACACTAATTCGATGATGAATTATTCGAAGAGCCGATTTGATTCTTGATTCGTGTACTGTGTTTTGATTGGTCGTATATCGATTGTCTGCACATTTGGCGATTCTGGTCATTGACTCCAATTTCGAATCGACAACATCGCATGTCATGTGTACTAGGTGGAGCTGGACGTGGTCGCGAGCACGTGCACGGGCCACACGCTGCTGCTGCACTCGCTCCGGACATCGTGTCCTCTTCACGCGATGGACTTGTCCGTGCCAACCATCCAGCGCACGTCGCTGCACCTGACGATATCTGCGCAAGGATCCATCTTGTGCCACGCCATCCACGATGCGAACCAGCTCAACTCGGACACCAACTGGCGCGCGTCGTCGACGCAGTCGGAGCTGCTTCTGGTCTCTCTGAACGGCCGCGTCATGTCCCGAGTGACGCTTTCCTCCCCCGACAACCGCCCCATGACGCTGCTGCAGCGCGGGGTCACGTTCACTCGCTGCGGGGAGTTCGTTGTGACCGCCAACGCCACCCGCGACGGCGGCGGCATCGAAGTGCGCCCCATCGGCGACTTGAACTCGTGTGTCCGCCGGATTGAAACCAACCGGTCGTCCGTGCTCACGTGCTTTGGACTGTCCCAAGATGAGCGGTAAGTGTGTTGATCCCAACGAAAAGGCACTGTCGAACGTGTCGCCAATATTGAATTCATGTGTAGATGCGTGGTGGCGGGGTACGAAGACGGATCGCTGGTCATGTTTGCCTTGCATTACGGCATCAGTGACCAAGGCCGACTGCTCAGCGACAAGCGGGCGCGGGAGGTGGAAGCCGCCGCGTTTGCCCGCGCCACGACCTCAAACGTCGCCCAGCCTGAAGTCACGACGTTGTCCGTGCCGCCAGGCCTCGAACTGGACCCGATCATCCTAACCAACCTCACAAATGTATTTTTGAAACTCAAGCGACCGTGCGTGGCCGACGACGTCGAGTTCGAGCAGCTCTTGCGGCAGTTCTGGGGCGCGGTGTACCCCCCCATGGACATTTTGAACGGTATGTTTATGTCGTTAGCAATACTTTCTGACGTTGCTGGGGGGGGTTGCTCCAGAAGAGGACATCAAGTACGAGCGAGTGGGGGCATCGTGGAGTCGGCTGGGCTTTCAACGGCCCGACCCCACGACGGATTTCCGTGCGGGCGGCATCTTGAGTTTGCACTGCCTCGTGTCATTCGCTTCGAAATACCCCACCGAGGTACACAACTGTACATATCGTCGAACCTAATATATATATATATACAATATATCATTATTTGGATAGGTAAAACGCATGACGTCGAGTCAAATCCCCGGCTCCCACGAGCACACATACCCGTGGGGTCCCGTGGCGATCAACATCACGTGCATGATGGCGTCTCGGCTGTGGGGGGCCGACGGCCAGCTGCACAAAGACAGGGAGAACCTCTGGCCAGTGTTTGCCAGCCCCGACGCGTTTTACGTCATGTTTGCCGAAGGTACTCGTCTTAATGGAGTGTCAACGACGCGAATTAGTGTGATGTGAATGACACTAATTGTTGTTTGTAGCGTTTCTGCTGTTTGATTGCGCGTGGTACACCATGAACGCGCAGTACAGTTCGTTTTCCGGTGCGTACGCTGCGATTGTTGGTTGGCAACTTGACGGTTTTGCTTGATTTGTGGCAGGGGTGATGGAAGCTATCACAAATGACGTGATGGTCGTGCTCAAGGACAACCATGGATCGCTCGATGAATTCCAGCGATCCATTCGAGCTCGAGCCGCTGCGCTGGAAACCAGTGCCACGCCTCAACCGCCTTCAACGACGACGACTGAACCGGCGGTCGATTCGGCAGTGGTGACAGACAACTTGATCACGTTCTCGCCGCCGTCGTCCCCACTTCCGTCCGGACCTCCCCCAAGCGATATTTTCAGTTTATTGCAGTTCTCCCCCCCGAAACCGATGCCATTGGTGGACCCATTTGCTGAAATTAGGGATCCATTTGCATCGCCCGCCCCATTTCCAGGCACTAGTCCACTAGACGTGATGGCCTTGCCGACGGAAACCCTTCCCCCACAACCCCCTTCGTATCCTGCGAGCAATGATCCGTTTTCTCCTCGCAACATGCACCAAGGCGGTCCGTTGGACTACACAGATGACCCGTTCGCGGGTCTTTAACGTCGCAGTTGCATATATAAAACAAATTTGTTTGATACAGTACTTCGTGTCAAATAATGTACTATTAATAGTACTCATTTATATTGGATCCAACTTATTTGTAGCAATACTATTAATATTAATAGTCATATTACTATTAGTAGTACTACTTACTGTACGTAGTGCTCCGGAGTACATACTACGGTACGTAGTTATGACCTTTCGCGCTTTATCCGGACGTTGCCTGTTCGTGCCGTATCTTGAAGGGTCACACACATTTCCATACTTTCTGTGTGTTCGATGAACTACGGCATCCTTCACAACCGACGGACGAAAGGCGGCAAACCACATGGACCAAGTGCGGGGCCTATTCCGCTCCAACGCATCGCAAGCCAAATGGGCGTGGACCCTGCTGAATTAGGGGCCGAAGCCCAGAACATTTGGAGTATGCTGGACGACATGTCTCAAAACGACCCCCAGGCGTACCGCGAGTTTATTGCAAACCAAGTGACGGACGAAAGCAAGGCCGCGCGAAAGAAATTCACGCCGACGCCAGGCTTCGTGGTCAAGTACCATACGGTCCAAGGAAGCACCAGGCAAAAGTTGTTTATGAATTGCTGTAGCCACGGCTGTGTGGCGATTCCGAAAAACCCCAACAACGGCAAAGACGTTCCCAACGACACCCGCATGGTTCCGTCGACGAGCAACCTGGAAATCCCACTCGCTATCGGAGAGCTCCGGTCGCTGGCCATTCAAGATGAGACGTGTCATGTCGTGGATGCAGTATTCCATCCATGGGTTCTCGAGCGAGCGCAATGGGACTCCAAGTTCAAGGCAGATGCCATGCAACTGGCGAGCACATGGGTCGAAAAGGAGAAAGGCATCACGCTGATACCACCGGGCAAAGTGATCAAGAGCTTGTACAAAGGCGGAACTGGGAGTGGAGCCAATGTCATCGCCCATGATTTCATCGTAGCCGACGAGGCCGGATCGGACAAGGACAACAACGCCAGTCCCAAACGAAAAGCTGCGGCAGCAACTGCAGGACAAGCGACGCCACCGATTAAGCCATCCCCGCCGTCCGTTTTGCAAACCCCCACCGATGTGTTGAGAAGCCTCGGTCCGCTGTCGAATCAAGATGCCGTGGACAACAACGACGATGAACAAGCCAACTTTAGCATGAAGCTACCGTCCACCCCAGCTGTCAAGAAGAAGCCTCTCATTGAAATCGTCGGCGAGCCCTCGCCTTCGACCAATATCCCTACAAGCTCAATTAACTCTAAAGGAAGAACGAAGAAGGTGGCCACAGTCGTGCAGAAAGGGTTCTTGAACAAGGCGACCAAAGCACCATTATATCCATCGGGGTCCTCAGAAGGTCATCCCTCGTCGGCATATGTGAATTTGCTCCATCGAAGCAAAGTTGTGGACATGAACAATATGCCGCCACCGGCTCCGACCCAAAGCTACCATCAACCTGCCAACGTGTCCAAGAAGCCTGCCCGCGAGAACGAAGTGGTAGATGTCGAGTTTGACCAGTTGTGTCTCGAAGCCGAGCCCGAGCTGCTCGACCGAAGCCAAGCCGACGCCAACCCGTTCTTGAACGAACAACTGACAAACTTCTTGATGGGGAAGATCTAGCTCCCAAGTTCTATGTCAAGCATGAAAAGTAACGATGTCGTATTCACTTGAGATCGAAAGGCACATCCTGCCTGTCGTCCAACGTCTTCCAGCCGCATTATGACGTGCGCAAGGACAACAATCGATTTCGCCATCAATGTTTACAATAATATGTCGATCGATAGACATCGACAAGGACAAGTGTTCGTCACCATGCATTCCTACTATACGTATATGTAGTACGAATGCCAGTTAAAAGTCCCAACGAGTGGAGATGCTCTAATATATGCATGTACACAATCGGCTCGCTACAGTAAATGTATCTGCCTCAGGAATGAAGCCCAGTCAACTCAATGATGAATGAGCTGGTATTTCGAATCAACAAGTACTTGTGCTCACGTGGCCAAGCAGCGTGTGTTTGTTGCCAAGGCAGGGGCGAGGACAAGGTTGAGAGGTTACTGTACTCTAACGTTAGCGCATGTTAGTTGCGCTACGTTTCTCTTTCGCGCATGATTTGCTTTTGTACGCAGTGTGCCATGTGGCATCACGACTAACAAATACTACTACGTAGGTACTACTGTAGTACTAATACTAGTACTACTATTTATAGTAACCTCTCATATAGCATACCACTGTAGAGGGACGAGAGGATTCAATGTCGGAGACAATGACCATCACTCTCTCGTCCGAGCTGAATTCACTTGACGGAAGTATGACTGACCACAGCACAAGTATTTGCGTGACTCCATGTCACCACATGGTGGCATTTTCCGGCGGCGGCGGCAGACTTCGGCGGCAACAACAATGATGCGGCTTATGACAAGCCGCTTATCTCATGGGCTCCTGCTTGCTTTGTAGCGATGGAAGACAACTCTGGAGATGTTGGGGCACTAAATAAGGTCATATTGTTTATACTAGTTTCAACTTCCAGCGATTGTAAATAGGGTTTGAGGTGTGTGCTTAAAGAGAGGGCGCGGGGAATACGCGCGATGAGCGCAGCAGCAGCGCGTCCAACTTGGACGGCTTCGACGCGACGACTGGGGACCGGTCGTCCGCTTCGTCGGCCAAGACTATCACAGAGGGGACGTCAGCAAAGCTGACTTTCTTCGTGTGCGAGCAAGGACGTTTGGTGGATGGGGTCAGTTGCGACTCGATCAAGGCACGGTCCATGCTGAGTTTTTGGCACTTGAGGTTGAAGCGGCGCATGTACACTTCCGACGCTTTGAGGAGCGCAATGGCTTCATCTGGCTTGTTGTCGTGCCACAGCTGCGCGCCCTGTTCCTTCGAGAGCACGGTTGCCTTCCACAGCAGTTGGATGTCGCGAACAGCATTTGCGTAGCACTCGCCGATGGCCGCGGCGTCCAGCGTGTTCGAGTCATTGCGGATGGTTTCGGCGACCTGCCACTTGGCGCTTTCCCACAGGCTGGCGGGAGACACGGTCAATTCCTTGTGGGTAGCTTGCTTGACCACGAGAACACTGATGCGCGCAAACGCAATCGAAATGAACTTGAAGCACTTGGCTTCGGTTTGAAGGCCCAAGCTGTGCAAGATGGCCAATTCCTTGGCAATGGCAATCAAGTTCTTCTCGATGACCACGTTGTTCATGTCGGAGAGGCACGCTTCCGCCAACAGGCCCTTGAGTTTGGTCGAGTACGACACCTCTTCGAGGTTCTTGCTCTCTGGTCGACGACGCTTGCGCGACATGGTGACGGACTCGGTCAAGTCTACGAGGGTACTAGAGGACATGGGGTATGCGGAGGCGCGGGACACATCGAGGAGCGACATGTTGGATGCACGAGGTCGAGATCAATAATGATCTTTGCCTCCACCACCACATGAAAATAGAAACGATTCACACTGGCATTTTCGATCGGCCAACCAATATGCGTATTAAATTTCATAGGAAAAACCTGGCCAACGGTGAGAATTCCGTCGATATGATTGGGCCAAAGCAGAACGTCCAGAGGCTTCTGGCGTACGAATATTAATTTACAAGGGATGTCCGTCGCCACGCAAGAAATTTCAGACCACTGAATTCGCGGGTTGTAGACACTGCCACATTGAGTTTTTTCGAGAATACGTTTTTTTGTACGACGTCGTAAGTTTTATATCGCGTTTGGGTTGGGCCAAAGGCAACAACGTCGCCGTTGCAACCACTCGAAGGCATATCGTACCGGTACACAATGCATCACGCACTTTCATTCGTGAAAGCTATATATGGTAATGTTGCAGATGCAAGCATCCCACTATGTGCTGGTCAAGGAGGTGGTTAGACTTGGTGACTTTTACGACACCATGACTTCCTGACTTCCTGAGTGTGGACGACAGGGTTTTACTTGGTGTTTATTCATTTAACGCGATGGCGTTAAACGCTCCAAGTTCAACTACAAATTTCGAAAACTGCAATTTACAAAATAACGTTAGCGAGTACCACTCCTCGGAATTTCAATTGATACAGGATTTCTATGCACCAATGCAATTGCTTCAAGTTGCACCATGGTTACACATGGGATCGTGTCCTCCGAGTCAAGCTCGTTGATTGGTGCATTCTGTAACCAACCACCGCTTGGGGCGGAAGAGATTCGATGACCAAGTGCCGCCCGCTTCAAGCGGATTCTGCACCTCAGTCCGCCACCATGTGGAGACTGCCAGAACGCCAGATTGCCCTCTCGTAACCATGTAAATGCATCCGCACGGCCATACCCGTCTCCACAATAATACAGTAAGACTTATGGCTCCATCCAAAAGAACCTAACACCCGATTTAGATTCTATAGAAAACGACGGGGGCCAATCATGTGGGTTCAATCGTGCAAAATGCAAGTCAGCTGCTGGCAATGTGCAATCCGCGACTGTTCACAGAAGTTGCCTTCGGAGAATGTATCTTGAGTGGACGGACATGCAAGAGCTCCAGTTCGTTCGATCGATGTTCCGTACGAATCCAGGGTTGACGCTTGATGGCACGTGCAGTGTGACAGGCCATTTTCACGTCGCTTCGTGGTTGCTTGGTCACTGGGCGTTGAGTTGGATCAAGTTTATTCGTCCCTCGTTGAGATATACAGTGTGGACTGTGAATTGTCAGTGTGAAGAACGATGAGCAATGGTTCAGCTTGCTTCAGAGAAGGACCTAACGTTACACGTATCGCATGTACTGTAACTTAGTTCATTCAGGATGTGGGAGCGAATTCCATTTGATTTATTTCCACACATTTACTTCGTCTCCTCCATTCGACCGTAGGCAACTATTCAAATCAATTCGATGCAACCAAATGCCATGCTTTTCCTCGTTTCGATTTGCTTGCAATTGTTAGTGCAGCGGGGCGATCGTACAATTCCCTCATTAAAACAGTACCACTGTTGTTTTGACGCTTTATATGGAACTTTGTATGCTCAGACCACCTCACCTCTTACTAGGGGTTAACTGGATCGCTAGTGGTTAGCTATCGCTAACCACTGAGATGCACTTAACCTCAGAGATTTAGCATCGTATGTACTCACCGGGGGTACAATAGGACGGAGTCCCAGGTTACAGGGCTACTGGAGAAAAGGTGTATCCGGACGTAATAATTCCCTCATTGAAACAGTATTTCGGGTCAAACAACAGTGGAACTGTTTTACTGTTAATGAGGGAATTATTCAGGGCAATCGCCTGGAAAAGTGCATTTTGTAGTTACTATTAATAGTACAGAATTTGTAACAGTTACTAGTATTTAATTTGTGTCATTACTCGGAGTAGTGTAGTACTACTATTAATACGTAATATTATTAATAGCATTGAACTATTGGTAGTACTACTACGAAGAACCTTGACTGTATCATTTAATATGTGCTTAAAATTAATAGGAGGGATTGATATCTTCGCCCAGCAATGACAAGATCCGACCGCGACGACGGACGAGGGAACAAACTCGATGCAAGCCAGGAGCCGCTTCTGGAGCTCACTTCCATCACCGCACTGCCAACGAAGCCGAAGATGAACTCTGGAGATCGTGCTTGTCTTCTAGTGTTTTGCTTGGTGGGGCTAAGCATGTGCTATGTTGGGCCAACCGTGATGTTTACTGACGTCGTGTCGTACTCCAACTCGAGCCAAAACCACACGTATAAATGGGTGGATCACGAGATCCCTCTCAACTTGACGTGGCATGCATGGCAAGATCCAGTGGATGCGTGGCGGCCGTCCATGACAAGTCAACGAATCTCCGATTTCCCGAGATTTCCAAACTACCTGTACACGTTCTACAGCCACGAATTATCCACCCCACGGCCATCTTCCCAACTCATGTTCCGCTCCGAATCGCCACATGCACGCGTCCTTGTCTTGGAAGCGGGTAGTGCGGCGCTCGTTCCTACCGTACATGCAGGTGCATCGACCATAGGCGCGCAATTGAACATCTCATCCCGCTCGACGCTCGTCTTGGCAAGTCCAAGTGTTGGTAAGTAGACCTTGCCCCTCGATGCAATGATGCAATCGCGATGTGGCGTAGACGGCGGCATTTCGAATGTACAACTGGATGGGGCGGCGCTGCTTCACTGGACGTGCATGCCTGGACTTGTGGGCGAGCAGTCACTTATGTGCGTTTGTTTCCGTTGGCTTTCGGGTCTTGACACCATATTCATTGTAGCTTTCAACCCACGCATGTGCGATCCGTGAATTGGACGTCGCCTGCAGGTCACAGTAGCAGCCCGTTTACGTGGTACTACGCGACCTTCCCCTTTGCTAGCAGTAGTACTAGTACGCGCTCGACGGCACGGACTCTGCGCATGCATGCAAAAGGCTTGACCGCTGGACAAGTGTTCTTCAATGGAGCACACTTGGGCCGATACAACGGCACGTCGTCCGTGCACTTCTCCGTCGCCGTGCTAGCGGTACGTACATACTCTAGCCATATGCACCTGGTGTCTTTGACCAGTGGCCTTTTGAATTGCATTTGCTTTTTCATTGTTTGTTTCACATCCTACTCTAATCCATACAAATGAAACTATTCTCCTCTATATTGTGTTTTCGAGTGAAATTTCGTGTTGTGTTTTCTCGTTGGAATTTAAATCGATTTCATTGGCTACCTCCGATGAGCTCAAAATTATTAGCCAATCAAAACCCATTTCTCAATGAAACTCAACCAATCAGATCGATTGTGGATCGGTTTGGTCGGCGCGATTCGATTGCACCCCCTCCCCAAATGTGTATATCAAATCGACAATAAATATCCTCTTAGTTTATTAGTTTTGAAGTAAAGTGAAGCTCTAATTATATATTTTTGGACGTTGGGTAGGAGAACACGATCACATTACTCGAAGAAATCCGTGCAAACGTCGGCGCTGTCGAGTTTAGATTGGAGTAAACAACCCACCGAGTTTCTGTTCTCTATATGCTGCTTGACTCGTCAAATATATAAGTGAAACGAGTTTGTCATTCTTATATATTTAGTCTTTCAACCCGTCAAACCGTGCCCGAGTCTACACATACACACAACCCCACATGTCAGTGATTGACACTTTGAGTTGCCAGTGTTACAATTTGGTTGATTTTATCTCGCTTCGACGAGGCCCCGCTGCCTGGCGTCGACCCAAGCGTAGCTCCTCCGCCTATGTCGAATGAGTTCGTTGTTTTCAATGATCAAGGGTACACCGCCTACCTAGGCCCGAGGTATCCCCCGACGTCTTGCCGACCGCCGCCACTGGCGCAGTGATGCCCGTGCCAGCCTTGCCGAGCCCTTCGCCACTCTTCCAGCCCATCATCTTGAGCATCTTGCCGCCAATGTTGGACTGGTCGTCCAGTGGTTTGTCGACGCGCGCAACGTCCACCGGCACATCCGGGGGGTCTTCCACCTGGAAATAGTATTGTCAAGTTCTGGTCCTCTTAAGTACACATATAACACAACACGCACGCGAGGAAGGAGCGTCTCTTTCGGTCCATCGCGGACTCGTAGCGATTGCTGCGTTTGCTTGGCCTTGGCCAGATTCTGCTTGTGTAAGTCGGACAGCTGCTCATGTTTGTGCAGTTGCGCCGCCGAATTAAACTTGCGCCGACACAGCTACAACCAAATTTAGTGTCCATCAAAAATAGTGTATACGATCAAATAGTGTCAGCTATCAATTAGTGTCAACGACCAAGTACCAGGCAAATCGTGGGTTGGTTGTTGGATGGGGCGGCAGGACTGGGCTGGTTTGCTGCTGTTGCTGGTGCTGCTGTGAGATGATGACTGGCTTTAGAGATGTATAGTATTGGTCGTATGCTAGAGATGGTACCTGGAGTGGCGGTGGCGGCAGATTTTTGGTGGTGCGACCACTTGGCGATTTCATCCGCGTGCTTCTTCTTCACGGCCGCGGGCGGGACCGAGCAATGAGTCCCCACGAGTGGCGTGGCTGCCGTGGGCGTTGGTTTGGCCGTGCTACGAATGAAACGCTCAAATGTACGATGGATTTCAGCATGAGATTGTATACGTACGATGGTTTAATGCCAAACGAAATCGCCACCGCCTTCTTCTTGCCCTTTTGAGCCGACGCGGCGCGGCTTTGAGGTGCGTCGGGGGCGCCCACGAGATCGTCCAGGGGAAGGGGAATGTCAAACGGTAGAAACGACGACTTGGTGACTGGATCCAGCACGTGGTACGTTCCCAAGTAGCTGTTAAAGTACACTTTGGACGTTGGGTCATAGTAAAACATGCTGTCGGCATGGTAGTACAGTCCTATGCAACACCATATTTAGTGTGATTGAAAGAAATGTACACTGTACACAGTACCATTCTCGCTGACAAACACAAACGATCCGCCCGCTTGTTCGAACGACAGCGGGAATTCCTTCTTGGGAACATGAACGGTCAGACTAGTCGACACCGCGGCGGCTGCAGATGCCAGCAACGCATTCACGTCCGACTCAGACGACTACACACATGACAAGATATAGCCGATTCAGTGGCTAGAAGTTACTATGGGGTCGACTAGTAGTTACTATGGAGAGACTAGTAGTACTATGGAACGACTAGTAGTACTATGGAGCGACTAGTAGTTAGTACCTTGTACGCATTGGACGACGACCACTGCGCTGCTTCCACGGCCGAGTTGGCCAACACATGGGCATTGGGTCCTATACAAAACGTCATGTGATGATGTTGCTGCTCTTGATGATGCATGGCTGTAGTAGGAGTTCGAGGTGGCTAGTACTACTAGAGTCGTACCCAAGACTCGGGGAGCGGTGGCCGCGTCCATCGAGTACGACACGCGGACGAGGGCGTTGGCGTAGTAAAACTCGCTTCCAATCGCTTGGAGGGCGGCGGTGGCATGCTACAGCCCCCATGTGGTCACACAAAACCGAGTTTTTGTGTCCTTTGGAGTGCCTACCTCGACCGTGGCAAACTCGACAAACCCAAAGCCTCGGGGTGCACCGGTGATTCGATCTCGCATCAGCCGAATGTCCTTAACGCCGGGGTACCGCATGAACAGTTGCGTGAGCTGCAATCAAAAGCACGACGACATTACTAGACAACGACTACAAGGATGCGGGCGGACCTCTTCCTCTTGCGCTTCCATGGGCAACGACCGCACCGCCAAGATGCATGACGGATGGCCCGACTGGTTGTGTGTCATGTCGGCAACCTGCCGAGGCACTTCAATGGCGTACTCGGACTTGGGGGCGCTGCACTTGTAGCACTCCAAGCGTTTGGCAAAGTTGGTCGCATTGCACTGTGCACCAGATTGGACGCAGAACGTAGAGGTAGTAGCACTGTAGTTGGGGTACCTACCATGGGGCAAATCCAATCGCAGCGGACTGGAAGGTGGCCATGACTACTTCGCGTGGGCTCAGCATACCCAATGGCTGCCAGTCGCCCTTGGAAACTGAGGGGCTGCTTGGCTAGATGTCGTAGACGACGCTGGTAAGCACAGATGTAGTCCTGATGGTGTACCAAAGGTCTGGACGACATGTCTGGCATCGTCGATTGAATCAAATTCCACAAATGCAAAGCCTCGACTTTCTCCAGTCATCTACATGATGCACGTTTATATATGTGACACAGTCCCAGCATGGTTGTGTACCTTGTTCACAATGATACGGCCGCCAGTGGGACGGAAGGGGCGTAACGCATCCATGACCTAGCACACCAAGCATTCATTAGCACAATGCTCGTAGGACAAGTACCATGACACACCTCCGAGTTTGTGGTCGAGAACGGCAAACCCTTGATCATTAACGTGGACGAGGGCTCGATATCCAGAATCTGGGGAGGTGGTCGCATCGACGGAGCCTCGTCTCGATCGTTGGGATAGCTTCCTTCTCGTGCAAATCCCCTGGTCGGATGCGATGGTTGTGGCTGGTGGCTGGGTCGATAGAACTCGCCGTTGTCCTGATTCACTCGTGGCTGATCTCTCCAACTGCCGTCCACGCCGCCGCGGGTGGACCTGCTGCGGTCGAATTCATCGTTGTCGTGACGGCGTCGCTTGGACGAATCCCGACTGCGACTTCGCCGATGCCCTCGGGAAGGACTCCTGCTTCGACTGTAGTCCCGTCGATGATCTGGTCGAGTGTTGTCGCGGCTATCACTTCGTCGAGACATGGCGCCGAGTTAAGTGGCAGGAAAATTACCAGGATCGATTTGATGGAATGTATATAGTGTAAGGATTGAAAATAATGTGGTGATTAGTATTACTATCGGGCTAAGTAATAGGACTAATTACTTATCCTGAACGGAATATTTTGACTAAGTGGCGGGAATATCAAACTCGAATTTGAATTGTTCGAGTACCGACGTGATGCGAACCGAGCACGACGTGTGGGACGAGCTACGTCAATGCGTGGCGTTCTTCGACCTGCGAGGTATCACGGACGAGGACGTAGAAGATATCCTCTCTCAGAAGTTCCAGATGCTAAATGCAGGGCACAAGGACGAGACGTACAATTGCCTCGATGTGTTGCCGACAGCTCGACTGGAGCGGACAGCGTCCTGCTTTACGAGTGTTCTGAAGCTGATCCAGAAGAATCCGTCCAAGTCCAACATCTTCTGGGAAACTTTGAGTGGAGCGATCGATGAACGAGTCATGCACCGCACGATCTTGGCCACGCTGGACCTATGCATGAGCAAAGTCAGTGCGCTCGCCAAGGTAGATGGAAGCACTCCCACGGACGCCCAGTCGCCGCTGTCAAAGGGTCTTCTTGCTGCAAACATATACCTGATGTGGCTGCACGTCCCCGGAGGGTCAGCGTACAGTGTGTTCATGCCGTTCGTGTACCAAGATGCGTTGTGGGTGCTTCTAGGCTGGGCCAAGTTTATGTACGCCCCTGTCCTCGACGAACTTGCCTCAACTTCAGCAGGCCGGTCGGGGCAAACCAAGCGAAAGCAAGCCAAGGCATCGACGACGCGTGTCCTTTCTACGGAGCTGGCAACGTACGGGCACGACGTCCTGGACGCGTTGGTGTCGCTCGGGTCCATGCGTTCCTTCGACGTGGACGCTGTCGCCGCGACGTTGGACGCGGTCGTGTCCATCGCTGCGTTGATGGCCGTACAAGTCGCTCCAGCAGACCAATGTCGGCACGTTCTCAAGGCGTTGTACCCCCAGCATGCCCACCAAGTTCTCGGGCGGCTGATGCCGTCGCTGGCCGTCCAAAGCAAATCGCTGCCTCGGGGGTCATGGGACTCGCAGCAGCACATGACAGCGTTCCACGCGTGGTCCCTAGAAACGACCGACCAATTGCTTGGCTCGCCCGACCATCACGACGAGGGTGACGAAGAGGGTACGCTGCTGGTCGTGTGTGTGCTGCAACAGCTGTGCATTCGGTCCCCAGACAAGACGGACGATCGAAAACAGGTCGCGGCGGCGCTCGTGGCGCTGTTTTACCACCACGTGCACCCGCACGCCGCGGCCACGTCGACGTTTTTGACGTTCCTCGACAGCTTTTCCCGCAGCGACAAGGTCGCGTGCCGCCAATTCGCGGTCGAAGTCACGACGCAATTGATCCTAAACGACCAATGGACGACAACCCCCGACCAACATTCATTCCAGTTGATGTACGCGCTCCTCTTGCAACGCGCGAGCGATCGGTCTGTGTGGGTCCGCAATAAGGCTTTGGTCGGGTTGACGGCTGTGCTCGCCAGATCAGCAGCACTTCAACAGACGCCATCGTCCCCTTGGTCCCACGCCGTGGTCGCGGAACTCACAAAGACAACCAACCCACGGGACGACGATGCGGTGTCGTCGCAACTGAGTCGACTCCTCCAGAACCGCCTCCAAGATGACAAGAAGATGGTGCGCAAGTCGGCCCTGCAGGCGCTCGAAGTGCTGCTGGTCATGGAGCCGGACATGGCGATGGTGGCCGAGATTCAGCTCAAGTGCACGGATTCATCGATTGTGGTGCGCAAACAGGCGATGCAGGTGCTCACGACGCTGCTGTCGAAAGATCCCACCAACCGCGACCTGCAATCGATTTGGAACTGGGGCGTGCTTCCCCTCGTCAACGATCCCGAGCCCACCGTCCAAGTACGCATGTGCTCATGTTCCTCCTAGTCTCATTTTCCCATCTTCTGGACACAATAGACGAGTTGCGTGGACTTCGTGCATGCGACACTGTGCCAGCGCCTTTGGGAATGGCACGACCGCCGCCGCCGTCGTCAGGACAACGACACCATTCCCCCGTCCCTTGCCGCTGTTCTCGACCAATTCGCCCAACTCGATCGCATGCTCGTGAATTTCTTCCAAGTAGCCATCCGACACTTGGTCAAGCGCGGCAAACTCGACGTGTGTGACGTGGTGCGCCACTGCATGCAAGGGATCAAACTTCCTCAAGCCGAGTCGAGCAGCTGGGTCATGCTGGATGAGTTGCACGCGCACTTGCTCGAGCATGTGACGGCCGCCGACTGCCGCGTCCTGACCAACATGTGGAACGACAAGCTACCCGAGAACGACCACACTCTGCGCATGCTCCGCGTCCTCTCGTCCGTCGCGCCTCGTGTAGCCGCCATGGACGCGTCCGCGGTACACTACTATTGATGTGCCCTGATACACGCTTGACATCCTCCATTAACCTACCTGGGTATATGTTTTAGATTGCAACGGGATTGCAGCAGTCGCTGCATGCGTTTTCATTTCCCATGAATGTCATCCCAGGCGCCATCCTCGCACTTCGTCAACTGAATAGTAATTCGCAACCACGGTCGTTGTGGGTCGTGGACTTGTGGTCCGCCTGTGACACTGCCATGAACGACGTGGTGGGCCAAGGCATCACTGACGTGACCCGTCTCCAACGCGTGTTGTGTACGATGGGGGATCTGTGGAGCGACATGGACCAATATACCCAACGACTTCAACACATCCATCGGTTCTTGTTGCCGTCGTTCAACCATGAGACGACCCCCGCCGCCGTCCGTGCAGTCGCGTTCCTTGCCCTCGGCAAAGTCAGTTTGGCAAGCCAAGTAAGAAAACCACATGAACTTCCCCATGCATTTCTTCACCAAGGAGCATGTATCTTGTCACTAGGCGATTGCAAAAGACTCGATGACGATGTTCATTCGAGAACTCCAAACAAGTGACAACGTAGCCATTCGGTCCAACATCCTGCTCATTCTCGGTGATTTGTGCATGCAGTACACGTCCATGGTCGAAGTGTACGTGCCGACGATCGCCGCGTGTGTGCTGAATCCGGACGTGCTGCTCCGTCGGAATGTGCTGCTCATGCTCACGCAGTTGATTCTGCAGGGGTACATCAAGTGGAAGGATGCGCTCGTGCACTACTTTCTCCATTTGGTCGTGGACGACAACGTCGAGCTCGCGCACTTGGCGCGCCATGTGCTGTCGGGGGCGTTGCTGCAAAAGACGCCCAATCTGTTTACAACCAAGTTTGTCGAAACGATCTTCGTCCTGAACAACGCGATGGACCCGTCGACGTCGGTGGCGGCGCTGTCTGACGCGGACGTGCACGCGTTGAGCTGTAGCGGGGCGGATCGGTTTCCCCGTCGATGGGACGTGTACCAGTTCATGCTGAGTACGATGACCGACTTTCAAAAGGTCGACTTGACGGGCAAACTCACCCGAGGTATTCTGGAAGAAGTCTCCGAGCAAAAGCTCCATCTGCACGCCAACCCAACTGACATTCGCGACAATTCAGTCGAGCGGGTGGTGCAAGATGCGCTCTTGGTGCTGAGTTCGTCGGAGATCAAGCTCAGTCCTGGCGGGGGATCTGGAGATGGCGACGACAACTATAACCAGATGGACGACATGGACGCACCGTCGTCGTCGATGAAGGATGCCACGCGCAACCTCGCGTCCAAACTGGCCAAGAAGAACTTGGTGGTGAACGTCATCCCCGTGGTTATCGGCGTCAAGCATCAGCTCGAAGCCAAGCGAAGCCCCGTGATGAGATACCTCCTTCACTATATTCAAGATTTGATGACGTCGTTCAAGGACGAGGTGACAGACGTGCTCAATATGGACCCGCAACTCGCCAAGGAGATCGCGTTCGATTTAAAGCAGTACAAGGCCCAGAAGTTGGCCAAGTCGCGGGCTAGCTTTGGCGGAACATCATCCATGGGGGTCACCACTCCGCTCCTGAAAAAACACATGACGCCACTCACGCGCATCCTTCGCGAACGTCGGTCATCGTTCCAAGACTGTGGTTCTGACGGTACTATTGTCGAGTTTACTAGTAGTTGTTTGTTGTAAACTCGGGTATCATGTAGACGAAAGCGTGATGAAAACGTTGGACTTTTCAACCCGCGAAGTGCCGCCGCCGTCTGCCGCGCGGGGGCGTAGCTTTGCTCCCTTGGTGGAGGTTGTGCCAGTGGAGGTTGGATGAGTTATTTGTACGAATACCCTATATTGAGAGAATGTGGTACATGTGTAGGATGAAGAAGAGAAAGAAGCGGAGGTGTCGTCCGACTCTGATTTTGAAGTTATCGAGAAACCAACGAAACCGGCAATCATGAAGAATCCCAAACGAGCTAAAACACGAGCTAAACACAAGCACGGTGCATAATAATATGTAATAATATCCTCACGTTGGCTTACTAAAGTCCCATCAAGCTGCCATGTAAAACACTGTGGGCTCTTGTCCTGGAAGCGCTACGAGGTAAGACGCTCCAGATTGTGCCGACAGTTGCCCAAACCTCGCTAATTTCGACTTTTAGATTAATCTTAATTGATAATTTGATTTCGTTGTTTACAGCTATTAATAGTAGTTCTGTACTATTAATAGTATTATTGTTGTTGGTCCCGCGTGATTTTATTTCATTTTCAAACTATTGTCCTTTTCACCCAAATTTGGAACCTCATTCGCAAACTCTTTTTTGCGAATGACCTACTATTAATAGTACGAGGTGGAATGCATATTGATTGGTGTAAACAAAGAAATACTGTATCCAATCAAAAAATAGTCAACCAACGTCGTTATACTTTGATGTTTTTTTTGTTGAAAAATGAGAATTTACCATTTTGAGCAGCAGCAACCTGCCTTCCAAATCGTATCCGGATACCCGGATAATTTGATTCCACAGCAACAAACTCTATGGCCATCTCGATCAAAGTGGTTGTGCTGGGCAATGTGCCACGCGCCGCCCCGCCTCAAGCAGCTTCCGGGAAGAAGAAGAAGAAGAGACCGTTGGATCAATCCCAATCCAGCCATATCAATATGGAGTTTCACATGCACATCGAATTGGCATGGACGGTGATGAGGTTGAAGGAAGCGATCTGCACACATCTGCACCGCGACCTGCATGGCACAGCCGACAGTCTTCGGCCGGAGCATCAATGCATTGCAGTTAATGGCGCATTGGTATGCGACGCAGACTCCCTTGGCACAATTCTCTTGGATACACGGACAGTTGTCTGCGCGATCGACTGCACCGAGTCAACTCGTAGTGACGCGTCCTCCTCGCGACCTGGTGAGCGGCATGGTGCATCTCTGGACCAGTTACGATCGATGGGCTTTTCGACAAAACGATCACTGGAGGCCCTTGACGTATCCAAGAACAGCTTGGAAGGCGCTGTGGCATTTCTCACCGAAGGAATTCGAATCGATCCATCGTCGTCGCATGAAGTGACCGACGTCCATTTGGCTGAGGTTGCCATGACGAAGCCCTACTACTTGCACACAGCAATTCAATCTTGCAACCCTGACCACTTGGTGGACATTTCCTTGGATCGCATGACAACTGCCATGCAACGAAGACACGAACAAGACCAGCAGCAGCACAGCGATGAGCATGACATTGTGGACGTTGGCAACGACTCAGAGGGCGAAGAAACCAAGGACAACGATATGGTCGTCGGGACTGATGGCATGTACAATGAGTCCTTCAGCTTAGTTGACATCAACGCCCAAGAGATTGCGCTGGAGCAGGTACGTGTAGACTTCGGATGTTGTTAATGTGTGGGGCATAACGGCGTCATGGCGTGGGTAGTTGCAAGCCCTGGGAGTTTCTCGGGAAGATGCGTACAATGCGTATGTGGCTTGCGAACGGAACGAGAACGCAGCGGCCAACTTGCTCTTTGAGGCCATGCCATAACATTTGTCATGGAAGTTACTCTTGACTGATCAAATGATTATGACAAGCATACGACGACGACATCAAACATTCTAGAAATAGTAATACTATTAGTAGGCCGATGGACGCTTATTAATATCCCACCATCTTGATGTTACTATCGCGTTTATTATTATTATTGCTGGACAATCCTTGATAGTAGCTACAGTACTATATATGGCAACCTTACGCCATGTTCACATGTACAGTACAAGATTGTTTGTTGCCTGTGGTCAGTTCAGAGATGGCGGCCGAAGCAACCGAGGCCCTGGCGAGACTTCCGACGCTGGAGCGACTGGCGGAGCTCAGGTCGATCGAGGACGTTCAGGTGCGACGGCAGAAGACCAAGGACGTCCACGCACTTCTGCTTCGGGAATGGAAGCAAGATCGACGCTGGGGTGGGATGGGCCGACACCTGGTCGAAGACATCCACGTGTCGTTTCGACGAGGCTTTGAGATGCTGGTCAAGAAGGGGGAGATGCGCCGAGAAGTGAACGTGTCGTCGTTCCGCCAACTTGATAACAGCCTGCACCATCACCACAGCATCGAAGATCACTCGTGGTTTCCGCGTCTCAAGCAATTGCACCCTGAGAGCCGCTCCGAAGTGGACATACTCGAACGAGACCATCGCAAACTCATCGAATTGGAATCTCGCGTGGCGTCCGGCGACTACGATGCCCTTGTCGAGTTCGTCGAACACCTCATGGACCATCTGAACCGCGAAGAAATGCTGTCTGTGCCGTGGCTGCTGGAGGGCACTGGCGGGTTGTAAGCCAAGTTAGGCTAGCTACAGTAGCTCCATCAATGTCCATGTTCTAGGCAACATGCAACAAAACTTGCTGTTGTTTCGGATGATGATCTGGCCAATGAACGGGCGAACCTTCAGCATTTAGTAATATACCTCCAATAATGTATATGCTCAATCAAAATGGAAACGATAATGGAGCCGCCACGATCAGGCGGCGATACTGCATGTGAGCTGCCGACAGCTCCGATAGATCCTGTAAACCCAGAAATGCCAAGCTCGCCGAAGTCGATACACAGTGACGAGTGGAGCGAGACGAGCGAGGTGCCATGCACTGGTGAAGTCGAATCAGAGATGCCACCAGACGAAACGAGCAACGCAAAAGAAGTCCTTCCCGTCAGCCCTGCGGATGGCGAGGAGCGCGTATGGCACGAAGTGGACATGTCTGTTGGAACTACGCCTCAATCCCCCCACAAGTCTACATCGACCGACGCATCCTCCAACCGTCTCATACCTACACACAACGACGTCAACCAAATTAGCACGATTTTGGACGCGCTACAAGACGAGTGTGACAGGAGCTACGACCAAGTTCATTTGTTAATGTCAAGGCTTCGTGGCATGCCAGACGACATGCAGCTCTTCTTGGAGGGACACTTGAATGCGTTGGAACGGCAACGCGGCCGACTGAACGTCCAAGCCTCGGCGCTTCGCCAGGTTGACCTCGCAAGTGGCAATGAACACAGCTCGGACACCAACGCCTTGTTGGAGTGCAAGCCAGCTAGACCAAAACTTGGTCGATCCCCCAAGCATCCCACACCACCTCCTTCAACCTACCACGAACCCAAGCGCGCCAAGGTCGACCACGCCCACGCCCACGCACCGCCCCGTCAAAGGCAGCAGAATATTCAGGACAACGCGACTACGTTGCGGTGGGATCCGGCTCGTGTTGGCATCCACGCCACCGTGAGTGGGCGCGGCGGCGCGCGGCTCAAGACCACTCGGTTGGGCTGGAACGTGGCCATGGGCAGCGTCAAAGTGAGCAGCTTTTGCGTTCGGGTGAACCTGCCCAAGTCCAAGCATCGCAACGCCATCGCGATCGGGTTCATAAAAGAGCCCAAGTTCTGGGAAGTGCCGCACGGGGCCGAGTCCGTGTTTGTGTTTAATTACTCGGGGTGGTACATAAACGTGCGCAAGGGGTCGCTGTGCTCGCTGCAGGGCCACGACGACACGCCGTTTGCGAGTCCGTTCAAGGACGGCGACACCCTGGAGGTGATGCTCGACCACTCGTCCAAGACGCTGTCGTTCGTGCACAATGGCACGCATTTGGGCATTGCGTACTCGAACGTGGACGACACAGAGCTATTTCCGGCGCTCATTTCATACGACGCGAGGGTCCAGTTGACGTTTGTTGCCCAGTAACTTAAACGTTTAATCATACAACGATACAGGGGAAATAATAGTCTGTGGGGGATGAAGTTGGGAGACTGTAGTAGGACGAGGCAGCCAATCCAATGACTTACCCCACATAGAGCCGTTGGAAGGACAACATTGGACGGGCTGACTGGAGAAGGGGCGCTACCAACTAACTGTACATTCTGCCATGATGAACTCGACCCTGAGGAGTATCGCGGCGTCGTTTGGCGTGACGGAATGCACCTCGGACACATTGGTTCCACTGTCAGAACCGATAACCATCCTGTCGACAGCAATCCCGTTGCCAGTCAGTCCTCGTGCACCACCAGTTGAAAGGACTGCAACGGCTCAAGTGGACAAGGAGGTCGCCGAGGAAGCCGACGACGAGGGCACGACGAATAACGTGCAGAAGCTGCGTCAAGAAATCGCCGACACTCGTCGCCGCAACCGCCTTCTCCAAGTGCAAGTCAAATCCATGGAAGCGTCGCAGAAGAAATCGCATGCGTCCGTGCTGCGTCGCATCAGTTGCTCGGAATTGAAACTCCGCGCCGTCCATTCCGGCCTGGCTAGGCAATTTGATCATGTTATGACCCAGTGTCAAGTCGTGACTGCTCGGCAGGAAGCCATCCCCCCACCCAACGAGCTACGAAAGCCGAGGCCCCCCCGCCGCCACCTGTCTCTGCGAGCCAACTCCGCGACCTCCATCAAGTCCGAGGCGCCTGGTTTTTCCAAGCCAGCAAAGCCCCCCGCACCCAAGAAACCAAAGCGTTTGGTCAACCCATCGTACCACGAAAATAACGGCAACCATGAGCCTCGTCGCCCGTTGTGGGATGTCCACAACAGCAGTCCCATGGCAGCTATTTCCAACAACGGGTGCGATGTCATCACGATGCGAAGGGGATGGACAGTAGCCATGGCTAAACATGCAAGTCAGTGTTTTTCAGTTCGAGTGACGCACCCGTCGTCGAAATCAAACGTCACGGTGGCCATAGGACTGACCCGCAACCGCCTCTTGGGGCAGCAGGCGCCATCCCCTGCCCGTACGTCGTCCCCCCCCCTCGACTTCGCCTTTCACATGTCGGGGTGGTTTCTCGACTTCCACTCGGGCCGCGTGTCCAGCTTGGATGGCGACGACAACTCGCCGTATTGCACCGGGTTTACCTCGAAAGCCGTCGTAACCGTGCAGATCAAGCATGGCGCCTTAAGTTACTTCAAGAACGGCCGACACTTGGGCATCGCCAAGTCGGGGCTTCCAAACATTCCACTGTATCCTGTGATGGTGTCGTACAACCGAGGGGTTCGCGTGGAGTTTGTTGACGCGTGGTACGAGGTAGCCCTGTAGCGGAAAGCAGTGCATCAAAGCAATGGTCGACTTCCCCCTTGAGAAATCCATAATTCAGAGAAATCCATCATCAAGAAATGAAACGATGTAGTGTTGGAAATGGCGGCGGGGGATGGGGACAGTCCTGTAATGGTACTTATACAAAGGGCTGCATGTCGAGAAAGGAGCAGGAATCGAAGTATTTGGGCGTGTCTCCTCGATAACGCCGCGATAGGGAACTATTAAACCGTCGGTCATGTGACACTGTCTTCGAATTCTATTATATTGTACACTTCGAAGACTAGACTTGGTTTCTACTATATTACAACTATTCCACGACTGCGACGAGCGCGTGCATCCACGCGTGCAGGGCCTTGGATTGACGGCGATGGGTGGTCGTAACTTGCAACTGTCGCCCTATTTTTGCCCGTCGTGTGGCCTGCTGCCATAGATTCATCGCGTTTGCCACCAACTGGGCGTGCCGCATGCGCCACCCTAGGGCTTTGACCTGTTTGCTGGCTTCCGTGGCGGCCCACCACCGACGGATGGCCAGCGCGAGCCCGCTTTGATGTCGAACGACCGCGGCGTAGCTGACCAGCCACTGTCGCATCCACCGCTCGCATGCGACGCTCTTCCAGTGGTTAAACAGGCGCCTAAGGTGGGACTTTCTGTACAACATGGACGCCCTTGCACTTCGTTTGGTTGCTATGTGCGCATCGTCGCGGAATTGCTTCCATCTACTCGCAAACCACATCACTTCAGTCCACCACACTCGTTTTTGTTGACACCGTTTCATACCGGTCGAACCATTCCTGGCGTCGCCGTCTACACACTTGATCTGTGACATGGCGAAGTCGTCGCTTCAGTGTCGCAAACCGCCGTAGGCGAAAGAACGACCGCGAGTAGAGCGAGCTAAAGTACAGATGCCGCGACCGATACACTTGAGCCTTGAGGTACCGGGTGCGAACCACATAAGCCACCCACGCACTAAAGATCACACGCTGCGTTCGCCCGCCGAAATGGATGGCGGCGGTGCGATGAAGCTCCAACTTGGCCTGACGCGTTGCCACGTACGTCTTCCACGCCCCAAACAGCCGGCGAATCACGTGGTCGTTGCAGGACGCCTCCACATAGTGCCAAATCGTCTGCGCGTGGTGATGATCCTGGACATGTTCTCGAAGCCACCGGACGCCGCGACGCTGCCGTGAGACCGCCAGATGCAACTCCGCCATATGTTTGGCTTCCCGGAGATGGCGCCGCCGCCGTTGGACGACTCTCCACCGCTCAAAGTACCTTCGCAGGCCCTTGCAAATCAAGTGCGAGACGGCGCGCTTGGCTTGCAGCTTCTTGTGCACTTCACATTGAAACTTGGACCGCCATGCTCGAAAGATCGATGCCAAGGATGATTCGTAAAAGAGGCTGGACGCCCACAGCACCTGGCGCTTGTGTTGTTTGGCAGTGCGAGCGTTGTGACGCCACCGCCGAACCGCTTGGCGCTGCTGCAAACCGGCAAACACACGAAGTTGGGCGTGTCGCACGCGCCTCATCGTGACGAAGCGGGTCCATTGCCGGAATCGAACCGACAGCGTCGACGCCTCCCAGTACGTCCGCGCATGCCGCAGCCGCTCCATGTGGTCGCGGAGGCCTATCCACGCCAAAAAGTACAACCGCAAGCGCTAAACAACATGTAAATAAATACATGACGAGTTTTATTTCGATCATCGTTTTAGAGAGTTGCAACGCACCGTGGCTGCGTAATGGCAGCGCGCCATGCGTTTCTGCAGTTGTGCGACACAGTACACTTGCCACCGCCGCCACACTCGCCTGCGCAGCTGCATGTGACAGTGCGCTACGGCACTTGCAACTTCGTCGTCCGTGCACATGCGAGACTGCATAAATGCCATCCTAACCACCCACCAACTGGATGAGCACAACACGATCCCACTAGATTCCACCAATGGATATGTATAAGATTGATACCACATTGACCATGCGTGTTGAGCCAGGGCCGCGGCGTGATGATGCTCTGCCTGGGCCATCTGGTACTGGACGTAGGTGAATTCTAGCCACCGGTCGAATCGGCGCCGCGTGCTGACGGCGTGGGCGTGGTCGATGGCCAGCTGGTTCTTGAGCTGACGCTCTTGGCGGACGTATCCTTGGAGCACCCACGCATCAAAGCACGCGGCCCGAAGCCGCCTCTCGAGGAAATCCATCGCGCGAGAGTGTTGCTGGCGCATCGTTTGCATCGCGTTGGTGTGTTTTCGCCACTTGGCAATGGCTTTGACTGCGTGAAAGCCGAGCATGGCACTGTTGTAGTCGTGCATGGCTTGACGGGACGACTGAGCCCGGCGAAAGAGCTGCTGCCAGCCCCGAAAACACCGAAACATGGTCATGGTGGCGTCTCGGCGGAACGCCACCGCCAAGATCTGTTTGGTCTTTTTGGTTTTGCGCGCCCCGGCCACCCACGAATGGAAGCAAGGCCGACACACGCCTACGAAAATGCCATGAGCATTACGTGAAAACAACATGCCAAACTAATGGGCGTACGTATGTGGTCGTGCGAGATAGCGGCGTCTTCTCGAGCGAGTTTGACTTGTCGCCGCCCTTGCAATCGCTTCCAATGGTCAAAGGCCCCGCCGAGCCTTCGATGTCGACAAAACGCTCGAGATTGCACCGCCAGCCATTGCTTTCGTACGCGATATGTGCGAAATCTATCCATTCGTTCGTGTCACACGACATTGCACAATCTACTTCGAAGTACAATACAAACATGGCAGTATGACTGCAGAGATATGATTGACGTACACGCTCCACAATCGAAAACACATGTGCAGGAATCGCTGGCTCCACATGCACGTGGCTCGTCGTAGCATCATGACGTCGTGGCGGCAGCGGACCCACCGCTTCCACGCCCGTCGGAGCTTCTGTTTGCGCCGACACGCAACCACCATCGCCTTGTCCAGTTCTCGAACGACACGTGTCACATGGCGCCACAAGGACAAGCATTGTCGCATGCATTTGGCAGCATCGTGCAGCGTCGCCAGCTACAAAAGCAGAATCATATACGCAACTATCCAACCAAAATGGCCAGCACCAAGTCGCGATGTACCTCCAGCTGGACCTGTCGCATACGGTGCTTCTGAACCACCTGCCGCCAGTCCGCCCACAAGCGGCCAAGGTGCCGCCGTCGACGGGCCCCCAACGCCATCTCGAGATTCCCCTCTCGGACGTGCACCACAACCCACGCCCTCCACGCCCGCCGCCGAGATCGGAGGACGGCGTGTGTCCTCGCCAAGGCGGCGCACCGAGCCTTGCGACGGCGTTGCGTTGTGAAGGACACCCATGCGACCATGGAGGTCCGCACGACATTGCCAAACAGAATCCGCCGGGTCGACTCCATGAGCGCTCGACACCGCCGCTGGTGTTTGGCCACGTCATGCCACTGCATGACCCTTCGACGCAGCGTCCGACTCTGAAACACGTGTGCGACAGTGTGCGCATGACGCGCCTGCGTCACGAACTGCACCCATCGGCCAAACATGTACTTGGACTTGGCGGTTGCCTGTACCCCCAACGCATCCACGAGCATGCCGCGTATGTACCGACTGCGCTGCGCCACGACCCGCATCGCACCCAGCACCCGCCGTGTCACACGGCGTCGATACACGCTCTACCAACATGAAAGCCTTGTCAACACGATCCCCTCCTTCACGCTATTTGATGAAACATACCTCGGCGGCAGTGCGCTGATGCGTTCGCCTCTTTGCATCATCCGCACGTCGTCGCAGTTGCGTGACAGCGACGGCTGCCCTCTGTTGCTTGTAAAACGTCTCGGCACGGGAAGCGGCTGATGCTTCCATTTGCCTCGCGTTTGCATTGAGTTGCAGCCGGGCCACGGCTTGCTTGAGTCGACACGCCTGGAGGTGCTGAACCGACCGGGCGGCGGTCGCTCGAAGGTGCCGCTCCAACGCCACGGCGTCGCTCCACGCGTACAATACTTTGCGGAACAAGCCCGTGGCGTAATGCCGGCGACTGGACACCGCTGTCCATGTGCGGCCTGCGAGGACGGCGGCTAGGGCGTGCCACTGGCGCACGGCTTGCCGGAGCTGGGTGTGCACCCATTGGTTGCGCCATCGACGCTGCACCTGTCGCTTGGCGTGCACTGCTTTCCACGCGTGAAACACACGGGTGGCTTGATGGCATGCGGCAAGGTCTCGCGCCAACGCGTCGAGTTCCCGGTCGTGGCGTCGGCCTGCCACGTACTGCACCCATCGTCCAAACATGGACAAGCTGAGCTTCCTCGTCAATAGCGCTTGCGCGGCGCGGCGGCGTTTGTTTTCCACGGCCACGAGTTGCAGAGCAACTTGGAAACCCCGCCACATACGTCGAAGCAGCTGACGATCGTGCCATGTCGTTGCTTGACGAACTCGCTTGGCAACGACGAACCGCCCGCGCCACGTTTGCCACAAACGCTGGATCCGGCTACGACCCCACACCTCCTGGATACGAGTCATGGACTCCCTCGACTGCCGCTGCAACTGCACATGCGTCCACCACGCCGTCAATGACCGCTCGTTCGTCTTGCACGTATGCCATTGCTCAGCAAGTTTCTCGTGACGATGGCGCGTTCGTTGGTGGAGTGTCCATTCCGTCCATCGAACCATCACTTGATCCTGGAGCCGCCGGTTGCGCGAGGCGGCGACGGCCGAGCCGGTCGCATGCAGGCGCCACAGATGGAATCCAAAGAGCACTCGCTTTGCAGTGTGCGTGTCGTCCAACTGCACGACAAACTTCCGCCACGCGTGACGGGTGTCCACGACGCCAGCCCACTCTTGAAGCACACATTGAACGAACCGAAGGATCCTCTGGCCTCGAAGGGCCACACACAGCCGCCTTTGTCTTGTCTTGGGGCGAACGTACATCGTCCATGCATGGTAATGTCGTCGCAGGATGGCGAAGTTCCGTCGCATTTGCAGGCGACATCGAAGCATGTGGACGTAATGCCGTCGATGGGCACTCGTCTGCCACGCTCGAAAGTGTTGCTGCAAGTGGCGCATGGCGTGGATATGCGCCACGTCCATGGCCCGACATCGCGCCGCCCCCACTGCTTCCGTCCATCTATACAGTCCAACGATAAACGGATTTAGAAATGGCTAAATACAAGTATGTACATACCGCCGCCAGGCATAAAACATGTGTTCCGTGGTGACGCTGTAGCAATGCAACACGGCTAACCGGTGATGCCGCCGACGGGTAACAAATCCAAGCCACCGCCGAAACATTCGCAGCCGAGTGTGGCTGTTACACCACGTTGCTGCGACGTCGCACTGTGTTCTCGCGATGGCGAGCTGATGGCTCTGGCAGTGCCACGTATGAAACGCCGTTCGAATATGCGACGAGGTTGCAAACACGTCAGCGCGCCGACGTTGGTGGCGGCAATGCGCTCGAAGTAGCAGATACCGCCGCCAAGCCCGCATGCACGTCTTGGTCAGCTGCCGATCGAACCATGCAAAGGCCATATCGCGCCTTGCCCACTCCTGTCGCTGCTGGGCCGTCCACACCCGCCACCGCCGGACAGCCATACCTTGCGCCAGCGTCCGTCGCAATCGAATTTCCTCCGCAAGGTTCACGTCGCTAGCTTGATGCCATTGCCTAAACCCCTTTGACAGCGTCATAGTGCGGAGGTGTGCGGTTGCCACGTGTCGGTGCCGCCGGCTTTGTTGACTTGTTGACGCAAACAAACGCCACAGTCGCCACAGCCGTCGAAGCTCTTTGTGACGGCGTTGCGACGATAGGTAAAAGATCAACACTCGCCACCTTTGGTGGGTGGAAAAGGCCAACGTCCATTGCCGCCAGTGCTGAATGTGAGCTTTCGCGTTGTGTTTGGCTCGTACCAAAGCCCCTGCTCGAGCGACAGATGTCACGTAGATCCATCCGCGGAACACGTATTCGTAGATGGTTTGGGCGGCGAACGTCCGGGCCATTCTCGATCGGTGTTTGCGATGAAACCAATGGCTCCATTGAGCCCACGTTTTTTTCAACGACGTGCATCGATGATGAGCTATGGCGCGTCCAGCCAACGCCAAACGAAGCGGCCGTGTGGCGTCGACAGCCGATTTCCACGTAGAAACTACTCCGTCCAAAAGCGAGTAGCGAGTCTTGATCGCATGCATCTTGAGGCGGTGGATCTCTTGTTGCCGCGTCAACTGCGCGACGGCTTTGCGTTGACGTTCGACGACTGCGTCAGGGGGGTCATTCGAAATGGCGAAGTCGTTGGAGCTGGACACGGGAGGCCGGATGGCACGACGTGAAGAGGACAATCGGATGCCCCATACAGAAGACTCGTCGGAGGATGGCTGATCGTTGTCGTCGAGTTTACGGTTTGTTTTCATGGACTCTTGGTGCCGCCTTAGTATTGAATTGGCGGTGCGACGTGGTCGAGCCTGGCGGTGGAGATCGTCATCAGGCCTGGAAAGCAGTGGCGCAAGGACTTCACGGCGACGCGTCGACCTTCTTGATGGAACTAACTGCCTCCACGCATGGAAGGTCTTGTGGCATAGCTTTTGGCGCCAGTAGTACAGCGCTACGAGCATTTGGTGATTGTCGTCGTGCGCGGCGTGTCCTTGAAGGAGATGTGCTGACTGCAGCGGCATGTTGCGTGGAATACTCTTTCGGTTCCGCTCCATGTCTCTAAGCTCTATGTACAGCTCAGAGTTGTCGCTGTAGCTGTCATCCATGAAGACACCGTCCACCACGCAGGTAGCAAGCAGCACAAGAGTGGATCGCTCCAAAAGATTCGGCTACAGCCAATCACAATTCACAAATTGGCTACAGGCGTTCGGGTTCACAGAATTGAGATAATTAAATCATCACGTGTATCATATTACACAGGTCACTTCGAATACAGAATACGAAATCTCATATTAATTAATGTAGGATATATGATGATACAGTATTGTATTTGTAGAACATCAAAAATTCGAATGATGTTGGAGTTGTCGACACCTCACCGACCTCAAAGCTCACATGCCTCAAGTCAACATAATTTCGTGATGGACGGTGTCCCGTGTGTATAGCGGCGCACCGTTTGACGTGATGTGATAGTATCACGCATCGCAAGGGCACTGGCCACAAGGACATGTGCCAAATGACTGTGCCAGGGCAAGTGCTGATTTCCTTTACATCGTACTTTGGGTTTTGATTGGTGGGTTCAAATTGGTCAACATAATTTAATATATTTTTTGGAGTAATAAAACTATCGGCACGAGTGACTTGGGTTATTAATAGACGGATCAAAAATAGATAAAATTGGCCATGCAGGCTGGATCTGCGTTTAAATAAGTCGCATGTCTGGCTATTGTTTGAAACACGAAGTTCAAAGTGCTGACGAAGCAGTCGGCGACAAGGAAGGCCACATGACATCGCACACACAACAGAGAAGCCATGGAATCTCGAGGAGTCCGTCCTATGGACGGTCGCCTCGGAGTGCACCGAACCAAGGCACTAACGCAACAGTTCCCTCGCCACCAGGCAAGCCATCGGCGGCGGCGGAGGCTACACAGGGGACAGGACATCGAGCCCTACCCAAGACTTCGGTCGTCGAAAACGGAGACAATGGGTCTCAGGGGACGAAACCCTTGTCCAGGAAAAGCGGCAGCATTCCTCGCACGTTCTTGAACCATTCCAAGTCATCGTCAACTCCGGATCAACAACAACCTGCATGGAACCCGTCGCTCAGTCATGTCCGGACCATTGTCCATGACTCCCCCTTGTACGCGAGAAAACCGAGCGCTCCGACAAAACCTCGCGGGTTTTTTGGTGAAAACGATCCACTTCCCCAGCAGCAACAGTCTTCTGCCGCCATGTATCGTCCACCACCGCCATCTCATATTCCCGTCCCTCCGCGGAACAGTCCGTCGCAGCCGTTGTCGACCACGAGCAGCACCCACTCCCTTGACAGCACCACAACCTCATCTACGACGTCAACTCTGACGCCGCCATCGAGCGCCACGCCTCCTTCCAGCCTGCCGCCACCCTTGGACGACAACGACGCACCGCGAACACCCAATTCGACCCGAAAAGCCAAAAAAGTCGACCCGCCTCGCACCCCCAACCAAATCAATCCGGATCAGGGCCTATCGGCGCCCCAAAAGGTTCGCGTCGGGCTCCCCGGCTTGCTCTTGACGTCCGAAGCCTTCCGCAACTCGACGGGCATCAACAGCAGCGGCAGGACCAAGCGAGATGCTAGTCCGGGGCGCACGCGGGCGCAAAACTTGAGCGCGGCGCCGGTCAGCCCCACCCACAGCCGGACGTCGAGCCAGGGGTCGATGAAAGCGCGCACGGCGGACGCGCTCGCGGCCAAGTTGATTCCGACCAAGAACAGCGTGCACAGTTTGATCGGGTACATCAAGGAACTCCAGAGCTCCGAAGCCAGTCTGCGCACGCACTTGGAGTCCATCAAGTCCAAAGCGCAGGAGGATTTGGCGCGGTCCCACGGCGCCGTGAACAAACTGCAGTCTAGTGTGCGACAGGTCGAAGAAGAACGAGATCAAAAAGCGCTTGAACTGGCGCGAAAGAGCGATGAAATCGACGCCCTCCAAGCCAAAATCGAAGCGTTGCGGGTCGCCTTGGAGAAGAACAACCCGTCGTTGGCCACGAATTACACCAGCGTGCCCCCGCCGCACATACCCCCGCCGCCCCACCCCCCCCAAATGGCCACCATCCAAGAAACGTCTGAAACATCCGATCGCCCCAGCAACGTACCCCACCCGATCCCCCCCGATATGTACCGCGGTTGGCTCGTCGAGTTCTTTAGCCAGCATGACACGTCGCGTCTGCCAGCGATCGACACGCTCATGCGGCGGTACCAAGGCCGAGACAAGCGGCTTGTGCAAGAATTGCATATTCGCTATGGCTTGGCGGCCGTCGAGTCCCTCGCCATTCGACTAGGACAGGTCGATGCATTGACATCGTCCAAGCCACGGCAACAACGTGACGTGGCTGCCACCCCCGCTCCTGTTCCGTTTGTGATGGCACCAGAGGCGTTTCAAAGCGATTCCTCCCAGCAGGGCTACGCAGCAGCCCCTGTCGCAGACCAACAGTTGCTCTCGTCAAGCCTTGGTCGGGGGCGAAACGACGAGGACGGCGGACGACGACCACCACCCAACTGTCGACCCCCTCCTGCTGGGGCACCGCCCAAGGATTACGTGCTCCATCGCGCGGCCCATGTCCCGTCGTCGGTGGCTTATTCAAACGCTCCATCGACCAATAGAAACCCTTCGCCATTGAGTGCAGATGATGCGCGTGCCACTCCCAACGAACCAATCAACGCGTTCCAAAAACCACGATCTCCTCGGCTGCACAAACCCCGCCCCCTTGCCTCGCACACCATGCACGACCCGTTTGAACTAAACCAAACGTCGTCGCAGAAGAGCTGCCCTCCAAGCCCCCTACCGGTGGTAGCGCCTTCCAACTTACAGTCAACTACTCCCACGCCCTCCACAGACAACAGCACCTGCAGGCCCACTACACCCCAAACCACCGTGTCTCAGCCCCTCCCTGCGCACCTGTCGTCGTCTCCCCCATCGCCCCCTCCCATGCCCATGACCCTGCAGAATCTCTTGACAGATTTGTACAAGACGCACCAACCCGACAAACTTGACGACGTCAGCGCCATTGCGTCGTCATACGCTGGCCGTGAAGACGAGTTGGTCCGGCGGCTCAAAGCCAAGTACGGGGCGCTCAGTGTCAAGACCCTCGAGCTCCACCTGCCCACTTTGCAACGTTGTGTATCGAAACAACCCGCGACGTCGTCTGTTCTGTGGCGCGTCATCGCATTCTTGACTCGATTGGTGGTCGTGGCAGCCATCGTGGCGTGCGTTGGCCTGGGCTACTTTGGCGTGGCTTCCCATTTAACGTGTCGTAGCCACACCGCGACGACAGATGAATCGTCGTACTGTCAAGCGTGGCACATGTCCACTTCTCGACTGGTGCAGACGCCCTCGATGGAGGCAGCCCAGGCCTTGTTGGACCTAGTTCCTCATGCATCTCCCGCCATGCTCAGCGTCGGGACGGCGGCGGCCGCGCGGAGTGTCGAGCGCACGCTGGTGGTGCTACGCACGTCGATCCGCCACATCCAGCAGGTCAAGCCTGTGGCCGTGCCAGGCTTTCGAGGCCTGGAGCTCTTGGACGAGTTTGCCAGAGCGTTGGAACTGCTCGTCACCAACGGAACCTCCATCGCTACGGCGGAGCGCCAACGAGTACTCGACATGTGGGCCATCCTAGACCTCGCCGACGTCGAAGCCGCCAGGCAGATGAACTGGATTCCCTCAACGATCTGAGCAACGCTATTACTACTAATACGTGGAACTATTTAATATAACTAACATGACTACGACTACGGGGGTACGCATCTAAACGTTCATGTTGGACAAGTCGTTCTTCAGCCGTTCCTGCTCCAGATACTGCGCCATTGCTTCAAATGCCCGTGTGCCGGCTCTTAAATAGTCGTTCAGATTGCGCACCGTGTCGGGGGATAACAGGTCGGCGACCCCTTGGCCGTCCACAGCGCCCCTCGCTTGCTTCTTCGCCGACCCGCCGCTAAGACTCCCACCGTCGCTGCTCCGATCCAGCCGCTTTCGGCCTCGTTTTTCACCCTTCTTCATGTGTGCTTCCATTTCGGTCGAATCGGGTTCGAAATGCGTGCCATCTTCTCCTATAAGCGAGCGTTAGCTGATGAACGAAAATGGATCGTCATGGCTTTGTACCGGTAATGGCCTCCATCACTTCCCGGTGCACAAACCCCTTGGTGCGAAATTTGATGCATTTGGGCTTCTTCTCGATCGCAAACTCCCATCCGTCGTCCGACAACGTGATGAACCCCGTGATAGGGTCGACGATCGCCCCGCGACACTTGCGCACAAAGTTCCACAAGCCAAAGTCGTACAGGATGCGGCTGTACTTGAAGTAGATTTGGTCCTTGTCCCACGCGCATCCGTGCGCTTGGCATGTCTGCGTGACAGCATCCCAGCACTTTCGCTTCTCCATATTCGTCATGTTCGTGGACTTTTTGATCGCACTCAGATACGCATTGAGCATGATCACCTCTTCCTCGAACGTCCACAAGCCGTTCTTTTCCTTCTTGTCCTTGCCTCGCGGAGACAACGGCGCGGCCATCATGTACAACGATCGAGGGTTTGAAATTTCAAAGTCCAGCTTTTTCTGCCTTCTTGCGCCACATAAAAGAATTGGTCAATTAAATATCAATGATTTTGTATTGGTAATGTCTATTATTTTCACCAAGGCAGCAAAAAAATGGAACCCGCTCCTCACCGGATACGTTTATCTGGACAGCACCCAGATTTCTAAAATTAGATTCATGCATTTTGGCCACGCTTAATGGACGGGGCAGAACCAGGGCGGCGCGAGTCAATCAGTGCCCCCACCCCTGGTGCATCGCTTCAGCAGAACGCCCGCTTGGTGGCTCGATCGTGGAACTTTCGAGCGAAGCAGAGGCACAAGTACAGTACCACAAACCTCGACAGGCCTCTTACCGAAGGCGACACACCATACAACTACGATTCAACTTTCACCCAAAATTCTCCGAAGAGTGGTTTACCTACCGCCAGTAATGGTCGGCGACTGTCGCGGCCCCGGCGAAGCGATGTGGCTGTCTTCCCTATGACCGATATCGACCAGACCTACGACCAACTCTTCCAGCGGGAAGTGGTCCAGATACCTCCACGCTTGGTACGGGCATGCAAGGGCTGCATGAAATCATGTCCTATAATTAAGTCATCATAGGAATTAGCGTCGCAAGCTGAAAACTTGAACAAACTCATCCAACGCGCGGATGCCGCGTCGACGTATTCCTTTAGCCGGTCGCTCCAACTCACAGACGACGCCAGCCAGCCAGTCGTCCGTCAAGTCCGACGCCACACCAGTCTAGCCAAACTCTTGTCCAATGTATGCTCCCTTTTCATGACTAGCCGCCAATGGATACCTTCGACAATAATGTCATACACAGGAACCATTGCCACCTGCCGATGCCGTTGTAGACGAGGCCGTGGAGCCCCAATTGGAAGTCGACACGCAAAACCAGACGCACAAATTGGCCAAGTTTCGATGTCTCATGAACCGAGACGTGACGTTTGTGCATGCCCTGCCCCACGGGAGCAACCATCTGCTCAACTCGCTCGTGACAGAAGCCTCCAACTCGTTCTCGAACGGTCGCTACAGGTACGAGGATCATCCACCACACATTGTCACTTGTGTTGCCTTAGCGAATGCATGCTGCAGTTGAAAAAGTGCTGCATCTTGAACACCGACGCCGCGAACCGCCCGACGTTGTTCTTCAACCAAGCAGTCGTGTTAGCCCACGCCGGGGACTTCGCACGGGCCATGGCAGACCTGAACGAAGCCATCAAGTTGGACCCGGAAGTGTTTCGCTATTACAAGCTTCGGAGGTACGTTAGTACCCACCCGCCATGGTCGAGTTAGTACATGACGACAAAATCGACACGACTTGATTCTGTCAAAATGGGTGTATAGTGTGTTGTGGCGCGTGCAGGAAAGGTATATTGAAGCGTCTAAGGATTCGAAGCGGGCCGTGAGCATTGAACACAACCAGGCAGGGCACAAACATGCGCATCAGGTGACCCGCAAGGCACTCAAAGCCATCGCGATCGTCAACACCACCACCACCCATCACGTCAAGGTAGCGATCGTAAGGACAAACGTTTTCTATCTACGAATGTAGACGTCCAAGGGCGTCTTTGAAGACGCATACGAAACCCCTCCCAGTGTATGTATACAACACCTAAAGTTTGGCCACTTGGCCAGTTTTCGTCATTTCAACGATCGACTTGGTGGGAGATGAATGAATCTTTTTACAATGTGGCGGTAGAGTCGAAGCCTAGCCCAAGTGGACATTCTCATTGACCAGTCCAGCCGCATTCCATCTTTAGCCAAGCTGCAGCACGACATTTTGCATGCGTTGTGGCGGTACATGAGTGCAAGTTGCCGAGCAACGTCGGGGGGGATTTATGAGTGATTTCATGGTAGGAATTTACTCTTTGTCGCGTGGCCTGCCGAAACCACCGTGCATGTGTGCAAGTCCACCGTCAGGTACTGTTAAGCCCAAAAAATGAATGAAAGGGGGTGACTGGTGTGACTTTTTCTAGCATGTACATCGTGCTGGAAGGCACCGTGACCGTGCAAACCGACCTACATGGAGCCAAACAAATCCAACAGGCGCTCGTCCCTGGCAGCATCTTCAGCGAAGCCACCATCTCGACCAACTTGTGGCCCCACACCACCCTCGAAGCCATGACGGTAGAACTTTACTTCAGCACGATACATTACGACTGGCGTACTTAGGCGTGTCGCGTGTTGACGCTCGAGCACACTGTGTACAAGCACACGATGAAGAAAGTTATGATGGAGGGCGCGTTCGCGAGGGCGCTGTTCTTCACGACCACGGGCATCTTTGCCGAGTGGACCGACGAGCAGCGAAACACCCTCGGCGTGTTGTCGGAGAATTTATACTACAACGCCGGCGACGTTGTGGTCACGGAAGGTCCGACCGTACCGAGAAACTCGCAGTTGCGAAAACCAATTCAAAGTACATACTGTATGCGAAATCTGGGATGTATCTATTAGGGGCCCCAGCCCTCCATTTGTACTTTGTCCAGTCGGGGTTGTGCGGGGCCGTGCGTCTCTTGGGGGCCCACCAACCGACTCACATTCAAGTGGCGACGTTGTCCACCGGCGATATCTTTGGCGAAGTACGATGAAAACTCTCATATTGTCCTGGTCCCCAAAACTTGGACTTTTGTGCTGAATCACAACGAATTCCACGCATTGTACTGAACTTTGAATGTAAGCAGTGCCCTGTGGCGATTTGTATCACACTAATGGAAGTCATACACTAATTTGACTTTGATGGTTTCCTGCTCTGCCAATGATTCTTCTGTACGTGTATTTGGTTGCGTGTCGATTCATTCTCCAAGTCACTCCAGTTTAGAATAAACACACCACAATATTGTGCTTTCGAGTGAAATTTCGTGTTGTGGTTTCGTTGGAATTTAAATCGATTTGATTGGCTACTTCAGATGAGCTCAAAATTATTAACCAATCAAAACCTTCTCAATGAAATTCAACCAATCAGATCGATTGTGGATCGGTTTGGTTGGCGCGATTCGATTGCACCCCCTCCCCAAATTTGTATCAAATCGACAATATATGACTGGGCTTTCGTACTTGAAAGGTGACTGACTACGTGTGCGGTTCATCATATATATCGAAACTACTCGTATAGGCCGCAGTGTTGGACCCGATCAACGGGTCGTTTCAGTTTACGATCGTCGCCAACACGATTTGCAAGATCATTCGCATCGAAAAAAACTACTTGAACAAAAAGAACGGGTTTGAACTGCTGCGCCTGGGCACAATCACGAAACGCATCTTGACCAAAATCCAGCAGTTCTCAGTGCGCTGTCCCCAAGACAAACTCGTACGTTGGTTGTATCATTACGTGTTCTGTTCCTACATCTACGATTTGTTGGTTGGTGGGCATCGTGATACTGTATGTAGCTCATACTTGTAGTACTTCATAAGTATTCATTAGTAGTTTTTTGAAATATTACTTTTAAGAACTTTATTCTTTTTAAATCGTTTTCCTTTTAAATGAGTTAATACTAGCTTTTTTTATTATATTTTCAAATTAAAATACACTAGACGCAGCATTTGTGGTTGATAACATTCTATTCGTTGGTCATAGCTCGTGCAAATGATAAGAGACAACTGTTCGTGGAAACTCGAGCGCAAAAAAGTGCTCAACGCGTTTGCTAAAGACATGTCCAAGGCCTGTGGAAAGTTGCCACGAGTGCGGAGCGAGCCCCAGCTGCCGAAAGGGCACAAATTGCAATTCTCGTAGTACGGCATCCAAAAACCGAACAAATATTGTTGACATGGTAATTTAGACGCAACTAGTTCCTATTATAATTAGGGCTACTAATTTTACTAATTTTGAGGAAAAAAAGTCATGTCAACTTTTCAAACCAGCAGCTTTTGAGTGTGTTTTTGGCTACAAACAAATCCGACATGCAAAAATCGACATAATCCGTCCAATTTTGACTGTTTTAGAACTCTCGATCGTGTCGAAGGTCGTCGTGTCGTTTACTTTGGAAATATCTTTTTCAGCTCCCGTTTGAACCAACGGAATCCTTTGTCAGATGAATATTATTCATCATATAAAACATTCTGTGGCATCCAGGCTAGACCTTGGAGAAACAAATATATATATATTCTGACACGCCAAGCACGATTATTGCAGTCGAATTAACGTTTACTTGCCACTCTAATAATCACTAGTCCCGGGGTCTAGATGGGTTACACGGTGGGGGCTGCATATCAAGGACGCCACGCTTGTGAAGTAAAATGGCGCCCCGTCATTCGCATTCCCCTCGGCTGTTCGAGGTCTTGAACTACTCGGAAAAACAAGACCTCCTCCGCACACACCGCGCATTTCGTCATCTTGGCCACGGCCGATGGTTGATTAGACTGGTACAAAGCGCACGTCGGGTACAATCCGCGCTTGGTTGGACCCTTGGACGACTTGACCCACTAGCCACGACGGCTGGCCATCCAACGCTTCCAACTCCCGCATGTACGCCTAGTCAGTATAGGTACAACGAATCAACGATCGATTCAACAACGATGGTCACCGTTTAAATTAGACTAAACGATAGTCGTTGGTAGTAGTAATATGGTTGTGTGTATTCTAAACTGGAGCGACAAGGAGAACGAATCGACACATTCCATAAATGTACAGAAGAATCATCGGCAGTAGGATATATATAGCCAATCAGATTGCACGAATCCATCATCAACTTTGAATTAGTGTATGACTTCACAAAAAATTAGTGTGGACAAAAAATACAATCACCACAGGACAACACTTACAATAATATTACAAAGAATCGATCGATACATTTGGCGATTCAAAGTCCAAATATTGGGGCAAAAGGACAACATACCTGGGCGTTTTGACGCGGCAACGTGACGAGAAGCCCCCCAGACGTTTCAGACGAGTACCCCTGGGGCAGTCTCCAGTTGTTATTGAACGCAGCGTTGATTTCGAGCATGTCTTTGATGATCGGAAGTGTGTGCAGTTCCAAATCCACCGCCGCCTTCTGCGACGCTGCCAAGTTGGCTGCGTGGCCAAGGATGCCGAACCCCGTCACATCCGTCGCCGACGTTGCTCCGTACTAGACATAAGAGGGGATTTTTTTTTTTTTTTTTTTTTTTTCGTGTACCTTGTGCATGAGCTTGGCGGCGTTGATGTTTAAGCGCTCCATGGACTCGGACGCTTTGGCAAACGCAACGTCGGCGGCTTCTCTCGTTAAAAAGTGCTGCACCTTTTGCCACCGGTGCGGTTGATCTTTCATTTGCAACGCGTTCACAGCCAATTGAGTTCTATGAAAAAAATATGACAAAAAAAAGTCGTCGAAATTTTGTACTATACCCTAGGGGTTTGGTCAACACGAGCACGTCGCCGGGGTTGGCATTTTCAGGACGGATGATCTGGGATTCTACACCCCCCTTTGGATTAATACAAATATATATATATATATTTGTAAACAAATTCTCTTTAATCTTTACTTCATATATATATATATATATATATATATATATTTGTAAACAAATTCTCTTTAATCTTTACTTCATATATATATATATATATATATATATATATGAAGTAAAGATTAAAGAGATTTTTTTTTTCGTTACCATGACGGACGCTCATCGCAACGCCCCCGACGATCGGCCACGGGTTCATCACGGTTTGGCCGCCGGTGACGTTGGTTCCAGCTTCGCGGGCCAAGTCGTTGAAGCCATGGATGAGTTGTGTGGTCACGACGTCGCGCTCGATGTCCGTCATAAGGCGGGACACCCCCAAGATCATGAGCATCGTGTCCACTTCGGTCACGCCCATCGCGTACAGGTCCGAGAGGACGTTGGCACAAGCAATGCGTCCCTACGATTGATCGACTGAGCGGGGGATCGAAAATGGAGAGGAGGATGACAGAACTTGGACGTAGGGATCTTGCACCAGGGGGTAGAAGAAGTCGGTGGTCGAGACTTGGTACATGTCGGTGAGCATGGGGTTCTTGATTTTGACAACGCTCGAGTCCATCCCTGGAGTCTACAACACCGTTAGACCGACCTTGATGGAGAATCCAAGTACCTCGTTGGGTTTGAGGTCGTTAGCTATCCCAGAGATGTAAGTGAGTAGTTTTTCCTGGGGTAGCTTGCAGCCTCAGCCTTTCAGCTCGCTGAACGACGTTAGACGGAAGTCTTCGCGAAGACCATGGTCGACGGGTGAGAATGGCACTCGGTTCTTCGTGGTTGGCAATGCAGGATCCGCCAGCTCACGACGGATCACGTGCTCCACCGCCTCCTTCGCAGCGAGATCACCAGGTTCCATGACCTTCGTTGCAACTCGGCAGTCAAGTTGAGAATTCTCGAGCATCCCAAACGTTATTTTACTGGTCAATAATACGTCGAATATCAGCTAATCAGACTTCACCACCGTATTACTGGTCAATAATATGCACCATATAAGCCAATCATAATCTCATTCTCAAATTGCGATGCCAACACACAGTAATTTCGGCATATTCTGGCAGCCTAGACGAATTCAAGTGCGTATTTCGATTTCGTTGTAAGGGGGAGATGCTAATAGTTACGTCAACCCCATCTAAAGTCCACAGATGTGGCTAACATAACTACAAGAATTCACTGTCAGCTTTTAACTAAATTTACACAAGGTCGTTCGCATTCTGACATTCTGACTGTCTGCTAACATTGTTGTGCCACATGCTTGGATTTGATTGGCCGAATGGCAATCCTGTATTAATATCGATCCAACAATAATATTGTTCGATATAGCTTGAGAGTTGTATGCATTTAAAAATATCTTACCGCAACGAATATAATTTCTTCAACCCATCGCCCCCACACTGCAATTCCAAAACTCGTCCTCGGCAACAGCAGCAGCATGCGGTTCGGGATCTATGCGACCACGAGCCTCTTGGCCGGCGCGGGCCTCGTTGGCTATACATATTACACGCGGCAGCAGTTCTACCCCACTGTGATCTACCTTGTGACGTCGAAAGTGAGCGTCATGGTTCTGTGCAACGTGGCGTTTGTGATGACCGTGCTGTTCGGTCAAGTGTTCAAGCGAATTTTCTTGGGAACCCTTCGCGATGCCGAGCTCGAGGTACATGGATCCGTATGCAAACGATATTCATCTTCCTACTTTACCATAGATGCTGTACGACCACGCGCGATTCGCGATTGCGGAAACCTGCTTTACGCTGTCTGTGTTCCGTGAAGAAATGTCCCTTCGTGTGCTTGGCTTGTTTACGATCTTACTCTTCCTGAAGACGTTCCACTGGTTATGTCAATGGCGCGGAGAACATGTAAGATAATGATGTTCTTTCCACATGACAGCTCCATCATCTAACCTCATCTGTCGTAGATTGAGCAATCGGAAGTCGTGTCGCGAATCACGCATGTTCGACTGGTCCTACTCATGGCGCTACTGGCCGCGGTGGACATGGTGTTTGTGGTCGTGTCCGGCCTACAAGTGGCCGAGCGCGGTCCATCTGTATTGGTTTTGTTTGGCTTTGAGGTATGGCAGATCCATCGATATCTATCTACACACACATCTACTCACTCACGGACCGCCCGCGTGTAGTTCTTGATCCTGTTCGTGACGCTCGTGGCCGTGTTCTTGCGATACATCCTGCATCTGATCGATGCCCGCGTCGAAGGCACTTGGACCAACAAGTTTACATATGTGTTTTACTTGGAACTGGTCACGGAAATCGTCAAGCTCATTGTGTATTTGGTACGTTATTTCGTGTTCTTCCATTATATATATATATTGAACAAAATGACGGACGATATATATATAAATTCATTTGTAGATCTTTTTCATGATCATTTTCACGTATTATGGCATGCCGCTGCACTTGCTTCGCGATTTGTGGATGTCGATCCAGGTACAAACATATATATATATATATACCGATCCTAGTATACATGTTGGATTGTTGCAATATTATATATATTTATATATGAATAGAACTTGCAACGCCGCATTGTCACATACTTCCGATACCGCCGCATCACAGCCAACATGAACGAACGGTTTCCAAGCCCCACAGAAGACGAAATGAACGAAACCGATCGCATTTGCATCATTTGCCGCGAGGAAATGACGCTCGACTCGTCCAAGAAACTGCCTTGTTCGCACATTTTCCACTTGAATTGTTTGCGCATGTGGCTGCAGCGCCAACAGGTCCGACTAATCTCCTCCCTCTTGGCGTCCATCTCTTATAACAGTCTGGTAGACGTGTCCAACTTGCCGCTCCAACATCCCCGTGGACGCGACCCCACCGCGCCCCGATGTCGTTCCCGGTGACAACGCCCCTGCTGGTATGAGGGACCAGAACAACCCTCCCCATCCGCCTGTCCAACCACCTGCTGCGGTGCCCGAAGCCCCTCGTCGGGATGCCGTCCCCCCCCCGCGCAACTTGCCAGGGTTTGGCCAACCTCTTCAACCTGCAGCTGCCCCCGTGATGCAGCCCATCCCCCCACCCCCCCAGCAGCAGCACCAGCAGCCAGCGCCCCCACAACAACCTGGGGCGACTCCCGCGCCTGGAGCTGAAGTCCATCAGGGAGCCCCGCAATTTCCACCCCCGTCGCATCATCCGGGAGTCCCTCCTCCCCCGTCGTTTCCATCGACAAACGTCCCAGCCGAGTTTACTGGACTGGACCCGTCCAGTGCGCACTACATGCAATCCATACACTATGGCCTGCAGTTGGATCCTCGGTTTTTGCAGTATCAACTCGACATGCTGCAAGCGCAGCTGCATGTGTTGCGCGCGACGTCGCTGGCGTTGCAAAGCCAACCTGGTCTGAATCATATCCCGTCGTTTCCTGGTACGTTTGGCACTCCGCCAGTTGGCGTCAACCAACAACCACCTACCCCAAACACGGCAGCTCCGTCCCCTTTGCCTACGCCGCCAGTTGCGACCCCTGCAACCCTTCCACCCCCCGCTTCGAGTGCCCCCGTTACTCGTGAGTCGTCGACGACGCCGTTACCTCAAGTGTCTACCCCAGCAGTGGCCGACGACCCCCCCGCTTCTCCACAACAAGAGCCAGTGAACGTGCCAAGTGAAGAAACTCCGTTGACGCCTGAAGAGATTGAGCGGGATCGGCGACGAGACGCTTTGAGAAGGATATACGCGAAACGCTACGGAGGGGCTTCCGAAGCCGCCGTCGACGAAGAGTACACTAACTAGCTTGAGGTAGTAGTAGTAGTTAGTGGTGAAACATCGACCGAGCTATGGCACTGCATGAGTCTGTAAAAAAGAGCTATATTTTGTGGTATTATGGTTGGTTTAAAGGAACTGTGAATGAGTATCTATCTTTTGAAGGTTTATGGTAGGTAGTGTAGGTTAATAATGTGTGCAATATGAAAATATATGTTTTGATTGAAGCATCATCGGTATTAATCAGGTTGGTCTCATGTAAACGACCACTTGTACAGTGGCGCCTACTCAGAAACGAGGAATTCCATCAAGAACTCTTGATGAAATTGATCACTTGCTTCGCTATCGTGCCTTACACTAAGTCTACTGATTGTTCAAATGTCATAGTTCTCGATCCATCCCAGGGCTACGGCAAGCACCCACGACGAACCGCTTGATATTGATATAGGCCACAAGTAGCACTAACGCACCGAAGGAGTCGACGTGGGGGTTAGAGACTCTAGAAAATGTGGCCAAACTACTCGAATACAGAGAATCCCCTCACTAAAAATATGTTCTCTTCACAAAGATTCAGCTAGAGCTAATAACTGTACGATCATCGGGGTAACTACGTCATATATAGATGCAACATGCAAGGCACTGCTCGGGATGGTAATTTTTGTCAACATGGTTGGTTCAGTGTCTAACATGTGTAAAATTATAGAAATCGTCCTCGCAGGTGCCGTATTCACTAGATAGATCACGCACACACACATATATACTTATCAACGTCGAGAACAAGATGTAGAAATGCTGATTACCGACTGCCGGCTTCACAAAACGTGACTAGGCAGCCAATTGCCCAGCGCTTCTAGCCACTCCCGAGGGACTTCGCGATGGGCTGATGGACCCAACATCCCTCGGGGAACCTGCTATATGCCAAGTTGTAATGGAAGACCCGAAACAATATGGGAGATTGATCGAGGGGCAAAATTTGGCATGTTGTGATCGCTGCAACGATGAATGTGAAATGAAAGGTTACATCGTGGCGCACTTGTTATGCTGTTATGGTGGCCAACCGTTGGGGTTGGGTGCCACCATAGAATTTGCAAATACAATTTCAATTCCGGATATAAGCACTGTACCTAGTACTACTACCGGGTGTACTAACAAGGCATCCGGATATTTTCTCAGAATGTTCGAGAAAGTCAAGCTGAATGAAGTACATGTGCTGGAGGTGCGGAAAATGACGAACCTAGCCACCCTCGGCGACATAAGCGAAGATGAGCGTATGTATAGACGAAGGAGACGAGTTTTAGTGCAAGAAGACTTTGTAACGTTACTCGATTCCGCTGTTCACAGTCAGTGTTATTGGAAAAGTACCCACTATTAATATCGCTACGTATCTTTCATATAATATAAATACTGTATGCTATTAATACTACCGGAAGTACGTGTTTTAATACGTATACTACTATTAAAATAGTAGTATACTATTGGTACGTACTAGTAGTAATTTAAGAAGACAACATCGAAGCTACGTTAGTACTTCAAGTATAATAGTATAGCATCAAGTTAACGAAAGTTACATAACTATGTAACTGTAACATCAATAATTGATGACAATGTTGACAATCCAGAAAGTTTACGTATAACGTTATACGTATATATGGCCTTGTGGTTGAATTGCTCAGCAATGGCGTGATACATTTAATATAAAAATGAAGACATGGTTGGAGCTACATAGTAACAAGATACAATGGTATGCGACGATTGCACTTATTTACTGTTAGTATGCGTGAAGTGACCTCGAACATATCAAAAACCTGAAATATAGCTTGCTTTGGGTGTGTTTAGATCCTGCAAAAAGCATCACAACACCGTCCATGACACTTCAATACGTAGTATCGAAGCTATCGAACGGGCTACCAAGTTCTTGCGTTGATCGGCGATCTCTGAGCTACGAAGTAGCACAATAAAGACAGTATTTTCGGGGCGTTGGCTTCAAATATAGCACACTATTAATAGTAAAGACATCTTGAGGTATAATTTAACAAGGATTACAGTAGTAGCAATTTACGTGTACGCCGGAGAAAAGTTATGCAACCGTTTGTTTTGTATGCAGCCCAGCAACTCAGCGCATTCGATTATTGAGGAATATACCAATCCTTCAAAATGGAATTGTATTGTACTGCTGCTTTCTTTCTCAGACAAAACATGATTTGATTCTAACATGGTGATGATCAACGATGCACTACTGTAGTAACGTTACTACCATATCGTTTGAGGAGGATCAAAAAGCCTGTAACGGTTCCTTTGCTCTAGCGGTTTCGCACTACTTCGCCCGAAACCGTTCGTCAAGCATGTAAGTTAGATTTCCTTGAAAAGATCGTTGGAATTTGATGTTATATATAACATTATATGTAAAAAGATATACGAAGTTGTGGTCCAAGCCATATATATACTCCTGCATTTCAAATGGTATTATTAATATATGAAGCCATGAGATGAACCGATTTGAAATGTCTACTACGTACTCCTTAGTAGCGCATAAGCAATTTGTGCATTAACCAATACAATGCCTCGTTTTAGCTGCGCAAAGTGGTCACATGTCCATCAAGGCGTGCCGAACCAGGCTAACATGCCCACAGTTGGATGCATTCATTCATGATGTACAATATTGAAAAATCTGTATCGTGCTATCGAGTGTTGATAAAGTCGTTGTGGTGCACCGGTGGTGCGTTGGTGCTGACCACATCCGCGATATGCCGCGGGCATCGGAGCAACTCGTCGACAATAGCCGCCGAGTTGTCCGACATGTTCAATGGAGGTCGTTCCAATTGCATGGACCGCCGCGGCACTCTTCTCATTGTGTCCTCCAACGCTGGAGGCGGGGCGCTCGCGCGGCGGGAGCGGGTGGACGTCGTCGCAGAGACGTCGCTGAAGTTCTTTTGGCGCAACGCGTCGAGAAACGGCTCGGGTTTGAAGAACAGCTCCATGGTGTTGATACGCGTACTCGGGTCGATCTCGACGATCGCAAACCCCGTGAGCTCGACCAAGTCGGACGAGGTTTTGTCTGCGCTGGCCGTGCAATGGCCCCAGTGGCGCCACGAAAACGATACCCGCGGCAACGCCGAAAACACTTGAAGCACTTCCCAGGCAAAGCCATCCGGGAACGCCGACGCAAACGACGAGTACGACCGCCCCCTGGACGACCCGTGCGCATCGTACACATGGCGAGGACAATGGGACAACAGGCCGTTGTACTTTCCACTCGTGTGCAAGTCGGACGCGGTCACTGGAGGCCCCATGTTCACTTTCAGCTAGAATAAACAACACATGATGATGGCCATTCAGTCGATGGACGTGTCAACTGTACGTACACTGAACGTGGCGGGGTCGACGGTCGTCCACTGGTCTATGTCGGCCTTGTGGCTGACTTCCATTTCCCATTTCTTCATCAAGTTCTGCACCATCCATTCGAGGGATTGCGGCACGTGATTGTATGTCTTGCCTTGCAAGAAAGACAAGTCGAGCAACGCATACTCGGGTTTGCTAATGCGCCAATGGATCGACGGGTCGTCGACGTTGCCTCGATGCGGCACAATCTGCCCAAAGTGCTTTTGCAGCGTGAATATCTCGTCCTTGGCTTGGTCGACAAGTCCGCTTTGTAATGGAATCACGGCGGTAGGAACGTACAGATAGATCTCTGTTGAATGGGACCCCCGCTCGGACACAGCGTCTCGGGCGTTTTGGGCCTCCAACGCCTGCCGCGTCAACGTCGGATGCAGGAGCGGCTGCTTCTCACACAACACCTCAATCCACTGCTTGTACTCATGCCCGTTCGTCGCGGCCAATGCAATGACGCCGTCTTTGAGCGTCGTGACCACGAATCCCAAATGCACGGACCGATTAGGCTGCACCATCATTGCTTGCACACGGAATTTCCACGCCTTGCCTTCGTACTCGTCCGTGGCATACGCCGTCAACTGGTTCGTACGACTTAGCACAAAGTAGTACATTGTCCATCCTTTGAAGAAACCCCCTTTATAGCGCAACCAGCTGCTCATGGCAATTGAAGAGGCCAGCGCAAGGGTAGTCGTTGCGCCGTTCGACGATTCGGGGACAATCTCGTCGATGCTGTTGGTGAACATGGGTAACGGTGTACTTCCTCGTCGGGCCATGTGATTCATCTGGTCCGTTGGTATGATACTAGTATGGCAATGGAAAGGCTGGTGGCGACGCTTCAGAGCAGAGAAGTCCGACGAGGCATTCAGAACTTATGATCCGTCGTATTCGGCATTTTGGATATCGCATCCGGATAATCTGCTGAACAAACAATCACCAGATGCAGGAGCACTTTATTTGAAATTTTTGAGAATTTTGCTGCAAAAACACGAGAACATTTTGTTCCGCCACAAGAAAAATCAAAAAAAGGAAAGAAAGGCTTTTTTATGTGTCGAAACAAACCCCCATGGACATCCTCGTTAAATACCCTAAATAATACGACGACGCGTTGATTTGAGGTGAAAGTTATTTAGGGTATTTAACCTCGCGACTGTCCCTACAACGATCTTGGGCCGCTCACTTTCAAACTGTGACTGATCGACGACGACGATGATCAAGCGCCTGTTCTCGACCGCCACCAAGAAGAAGCTGACTGTGGACCAGTTGCACGCTCGCGGTGGCATTCAGGGCAAGCGTGTATTGGTGCGAGCTGACTTGAATGTGCCTTTGAGCAAGAAGGATCCCAGCGTGATCACCGACGACACTCGCATCCGCGAAGCATTGCCGACGTTGCGTTTCCTATTGCAGAACGACGCGTCTGTTGTGCTATCCAGCCACTTGGGCCGACCGAAAGGACAAGTCAATGACAAGATGCGCTTGGCGCCTGTCGCCACGCGGTTGTCTGAACTTTTGGGGAAACCGATCGTGTCTGTATCGGATTCAATTGGGTCGGAAGTGGATGCGGCGAAAGCGGCGCTTAAAGGCGGTGAAGTCCTCCTGCTTGAAAACTTGCGCTTCCATCCCCAAGAAGAAGCGAACGACCCTGCATTCGCCAAGGACCTTGCACGGAACATTGATGTGTTTGTCAACGACGCCTTTGGCACGGCCCATCGTGCGCACGCCTCGACTGAAGGAGTGACCAAGTTCATTCCCGTGTCGGTGGCAGGCAAACTCCTCGAAAAGGAGCTCAAGTACCTCAGCGAAGCGGTGGACAGCCCCAAGCGCCCCTTGGCAGCGATCATTGGCGGCGCCAAAGTGTCCACGAAGATCCCCGTGTTAGAATCCCTGCTTGAAAAGTGCGACAAGGTTTTCCTCGGCGGTGGCATGATTTTCACGTTTTATCGAGCCCAAGTACGTTCAAGATGCTTCAGCAGCATGCATTCTGAAGCCATGAGAATAGGGTATTTCAGTGGGCAAGTCCATCGTCGAAGAAGACAAGATTGAATTGGCCAAGTCCCTGTTGGAAAAGGTAGCCTTTATAGCTTTGGTAGTACACTGCTTCAAAGTGCATATCCGTTGTGTAGGCCAAGCAAAAAGGCGTCAAGTTCATCCTTCCTACCGACGTAGTCGTCGCGGACAAGTACGATGCCGACGCCAACTCGAAAGTTGTAAGCATTTACGACATTCCCGATGAATGGCTGGGACTTGGTATGTGCGATACAGTACACGTTGAAATATTTATTGTAAAAAGGAGTCATCCCATATTCATTGGTCAACAGATGTTGGACCGGAAACCCAAGCCGTGTTTGAATCTGAATTGGTCGACTGCAACACGATTGTCTGGAATGGCCCGATGGGGGTCTTTGAGTTTGAAAAGTTTGCCCAAGGGACGAATCACGTGGCCAAAATCCTCGCTGCTCGCACCAAGGATGTACGACAGAAGCGTTTCCATTGACTTGGGTTATTTCTCTCGATTGTAGGGTGCGACTACAATCATCGGAGGCGGCGATTCGGTTGCGGCAGTGGAACAATGCGGATTGGCCAAGGAGATGAGTCACATTTCGACGGGGGGTGGCGCTAGCTTAGAACTTCTCGAGGGGAAAACCCTTCCCGGCGTCGCTGCGTTGAACGATGCATAAACATGTTGGTGTCCCTTGTGTTAAGCTCTGAACGAACGTTAGATAGACATACCACTTCAACGCTCCCGGTCACTATTAGTAGTACTAACAGTAAGTACTATTAATACGTAGTAGTACTCCGAGTACGTGATATGTACTTTTGATACTGACAGTGAAGTGCAAACAATTTAAACGCGAGTAGTATTACTACTATACGTCGAGGGAAGTGCGATTAAATTGAAATTTAAAACTTCACCTCTAGATCTGAGACGAACATCGAATAAAAACAAATCAAATAAGTTAGTACTACTAATAGTAGGATCGCGAAAGAAAATCGAGAACACAAACAACTCAACTTGCGCGCCAAATTCAAATATCCGAGTGCTAAGAATGGTGGACAAGGCACGCTCGCGTCCAGGTAGCCCATGTGATGCATGCATGAACCAATGTCAGGGTAGATGCGTCCACGAAGGCCAAAAGCGGCAGAAACAAGAGAAAGGCGCAGGCTCCACCTGACCCTTCCCAAGACGAGGAGCAGGACAACACAAGCGAAAACGACAACAATTCCGGACAGTCCGATGACGAATGCGACGAATCTGAGCTCTACGCGTCTCTTTATTTCGAGAAGAACAACCTTGGGATCGCAGTTTACGACGCATTGACGTCGAAACTCACAATCAACCAGCTTGTCGTTCCCCACTTGGATTTGCGCATGGTACATAATGGCCATGCAAATGCTCTTGACGCGAACATGCTGCTTAGGTGGTGGATCAACTGGTGACGCAAATTGAACCCGGGACAGTCATAGTGTCCAAGCTGAATGTGGCAAAGCACAACATCTTAAGCGCGTTGGACAACGTACAATTTGACAGAATGACCACGCAAGTTCGCAAGGTATCTCCATCTATAACGTCGACAATCTGACCCAAGCACGTCCTTTCCCAACTTGTTAGCATTCAGGTAGCTATTCAAGCATGTACGCAAGCGAATAACAACGCAGTAGACTTTGCATACTTGAAGGGGTGCAAGGAGATTGAAGGGTTGCGGATTGGAACAGACTGGAGCTCCAACGTTGGTGTATTCGATGACTCAACCAAGTAAGGCTTGTACTCCCGCGTCGTGTTTGTTGTAATGAACTAACGTTAGGCGAGAGAAATACAAGTACTTGAGCAGCTACTTTGACTTTGACAGCTTGGAAATGATACGAGCGGTTGGAGGTAAGTGGAGCTAAAAGTAATGATTTTCCCCGCGACTTGACAACTGTGCTTAGCATTGGTGGCCTTCCTTTCAAGCGAAAAGGTAGGAGCATTTGTCATTCATTATTGCTAACGTTAGGAATAGATAAGCAACCAACTTGACAGTTCGGCTGCTGTTTTCGTCACAGCGGTCGAGCAAGCATCGTTCGACGGTATCATGCTCGTGGACTCCAACACCCTCAAAGCCCTTCAAATATTCAATCAAGTAAATCAGCACTGGTTAATACATAGCCAACCTACTATAACGGTGTGATAGGAACATCATCCATCCCAAGTCAAGGTATGGTTCTAGAAACAGCAACTGATGGTACTTGGTTGATTAACGCTATGTATTCAAAGTCGTTTGAGAGGTCCAAGGAAGGGTTCAGGTTGAACGTATCCATTGAAATCAACTACGACTCATGTCTTCTGTAGTATCTACGCCCTTCTTGACAACACAATTACCAAAAGCGGAAAGTTCCTGCTGCGGCAGTGGCTATTGAAGCCACTTACGGACGTATCCAAGATTGAAAGCCGGCATACCACCGTGGCATACTTCGTCGAGTCACGCCAGTCCGACTTGGTGAAGGATTTGGTAAAACCAATTACTTGTTTTACTCTCTCTTTCAAGCGTTAATCGAATTCCTAGACCACCTCATTGCGCGGCTTTCGAGATGCATTTCGCATTTTGCGCCGCGTTAAGACCATGCGGGCCAAAGGCCGTGACTGGTGTGCGTTGCAGCAGTGCATGTCGTGCTACCTTGCGATTCGGTAAGTTGGATAGTCCTATTGCACCCACTTTTGCCACCATGCCTAGCAAGGAATTGGTGCAGTGCTCGATGCCTGCAAACTTGAACTTGGTCGAGCAAATTTCAAGCATTTCCAGCATCCAAGACCTCAACAACTTGCTGTGCAACGTCGTGGATTTCGATGCAACGAAAAAAGAGGCCTCATGTAGTATTCGCGAAGGCGTGTCGGCCGAGCTGGACGCGGCACGGGACAAACTCGCCCAAGTTGATCAGGTATTATTGGATCTCTTTGACGAGAGCCAGATCGGTTGACTGAAGTGACGCAATAGATCCTTGTGGACTTGGCGGGAATCCTGCAAGACGAATGGCCGCAATTAAAGTCGATTTCACTGCAGTTTCTCCCCCGAGTTGGCTACGTGATTCGATGCCCATCGGCAGCCCCAATCCCACCGATCTTACAGTTCCAATTCGAAGACAGCTCGTTTAGCTTTTACAAGGTAGGCCAAGACCAGACCAATGTATTTGCTCCACATTCACGTCATCTACCCATAGTGCCCAAAATGTCGAAAGCTGGACGAAGACTTTGGCGACATTCACGGTTACATTTCAGACATTCAGCACCGTGCGTTGATATTTTCGTTTTGTGCTGCTTGATATCTAACGTTGCCGACATATTTTTCAAGAGCTGACCACTGAGGTCACGAAAGCTGTCCTTGACGAAGAACCGTCTCTGCTACGTACGATACAAACACACTTTACAATCTGATGGTCATTTCGTAGAAATGATCCACATTGTGGCCCAAGTCGATTGTTTCTTGTCGTTGGCGTCGTGTGCGCAGAATTTCAACTTTGTCAGGTCCGTCGTCGATGGATATCTCAAATCATAATGTCGTTATCTCACGCAGCAGTGTTAGACCCACCATGTGCGACGACGTTGTGTTTATGGCCAAGGGGGCTCGGCACCCGTTGCAGGAATTGACAGTCGAGTCGTACATCCCAAACGACATTGTGCTTGGCCCGGGCGGCGGATATATTGCTGTGGTCACGGGACAAAATGGATCTGGTACGTCGCTAACGTTTGCAAGCCCAACTATGTAGCCAACAGTATCGATAGGCAAATCTGTCTTTTTAAAGATGGTGGGAGTGATGCAGTTTTTGGCTCAAGTTGGGTCGTTCGTCCCAGCTACAGAAGGTTCGTCCGTCAGTACATGCCCTGAGTCTCATCAACTGGCGTGTTAGCAACAATTGGCGTCGTGAACAAAATATTTTCCAGAATCCTCAGGTATGTGGTCTCAGGGTTTTCATACTGAATGACTTTTACTTAGCTTGGAAACAGCCACGTTGTGCCAAAGCGCGTTTTCGATCGACTGCAACCAGGTGACGGCGATTCGCATCTATGTTCAGACTAGTTATGAACAGATTGTGTGTAGCTAGCTACAATGATGAACCATGGAGACACCAAGAGCTTGCTCCTCATTGACGAATTCGGCAAAGGTTCAACACTTCGACAACCGCGATACCACTAACCAATTGTAGGGACGTGTCCGTCGGATGGGATTTGCTTGCTGGTAGGTTTTTTACTATGTTCTTGCTCGAATTAAGCAAAGGCTTACGTGTTAGACTTCCGCGCTGAAGCATTTAAAAGACCAAGTGGTGCAATTCGGCGGCCCTAGAGTCGTGCTGACCACTCACTTTTTGGTACGCTTGCAAACCGTGGTCCATCATCGTATCGACCGACGTACTACTAGTACTACTCAACTTAACCCTAGGAAATATTCCGTGAGCCAACCCTGAGCGGCGTTTTGGGGTTTCAACCGGCCGATACAGCAGCAACCGAGTGGCCAAGCAAGGCCGACAACAGCTCGTCCGTCATTACGACGTACGTCATGTCGTCGGTGGCGGTGGAGGGCAAAGAAAGCGACGGGGTCCACCGAACGAGTTCGCTGTACGAGTTGGTTCCAGGGATATCCACATCCAGCAATGCCATTCAATGCGCCATAACTGCTGGTACTACCACGCATCGTTCAACGCATGCTCACTGAGGACTAGGGATGGACAACGACTCGGTGAATCGAGCTGCCCAAGTGCTCCAGTTGAGCCGGAGTCGCCGCCACATCGAAGTGCCCGTGACGTGTCCGTCGCCAAAGATGCAAGCAAAGCTCGACGCGTTTTACACCCTCACCGAGCTGTTCATGGCCGAGGAAACCTGGAAAACGTGTCCGCTCGACAAAGTGACCGAATTGCTGCGCATGGCTCGGTCCATCGACGGCATTATTCAATAGGTTTCTTGCATTCATCATTCATATACTAGGATGAGTAAGTGATTCGCCGTGGATTTCAAACTCCAGCTTGACGTCTTCAAACAATGGAGGAATGTCCAACGAGTCGACATCATGGAGCGCATCGGACGGAGGCAAGTCGTGATCCAGGTGAATGGGTGGGAAGTTGCAGTGGGTTACGTCTACAGCATTGTGTGAAGCGTTGCACCTCCCAAGGGAACGTTCATACCGTCGAGGTCGTCCAAAGGCATCTCGACAGGTTCAGCAGACTGAGCAGCGTCCACTTCTTGCTGCCAGGATAGAATTTCCGCGTCCATTTGCTGCTTCAGCTCCTTCATGTGCAGGGCGTCGGTGTCTGCCGCGGAAATTCCTCCATATGCTAGTTCAATATCCTGGGTCCATAACTTAGCACATACATGGCGATGTAGCATGTTCAGATCAACCTCATCTGTTCGCGGTTTCGTCGTGACTGACGGAAACGACGCTAGCTTCGAGACGGCGTCCTCAGCATCCCCAGCCTTCTCGCCAGCGCCGCCCTTTCGAGGCGTTTGAAAGTCGTGAAACTGCGCGGTCTTGTTGTTCGATATGTCGCCCAAGGCTCGCCTTCGTAGGACTTGCATTAGCGAGACTTTCACACAGGAAGATTACCACCTTTGCTTCGTCGACCCTTTCTTGGCGGCAGAAAACGACGAGACTTTGGCTGCTCCATGTGTCGGCGCGGTGTCGACGCGATCGGAATGGAACTGAGATTCCGTCTGCTTGATGGAGAGTCCTACACGGAGTCTCAAGCATATTGATACACGACGTGTGTGTCCTTACCTTGGAATAGGAGCTGGCGGCGGATTTGCGGAGTGTTCTCCGCGCCAACATCCATGTGTTCCATCTTCCTGCTGGCGTGCCAAAAAGTTGAAAGTTCAAACCGCGACTCCGGATAATTATCCGTTGGATGAATGTTTGTGCTTTGACATTGCTGAACCTGCGTTCCCATTGGGTCATTTACGAACCCTACCCCTCGTAATACAAATCTACAGTAGGGTGGACCATACAAAGCCAAAGATAAACAGAATAAAAACAATCAACCATCTGGCCAAAGACAACTCACTTGATTAAAGTATGTGAATCAAACAAGGGGCAATTGACGTCGACGCATTAGCACGGTTTTCATCAACCAATTGATGAACTCGATTGTCGTGGGAAGCTCGTTGTGGTTGGATATGCTGATCGTACCATTTTTTTTGCAGTCGAAAGCTTCCGCTGCCTCCTTCAAGACCTCTTCTCGACGCTGTCCATCCTCTTCGTTGAAAACATGTCGTGCGTCATCTCCAGTGTGGTCGTGTTTGGTGTGTTGGCCAAGCTGTTTGGCTCGAGCAACGGAACCGACGACTCGAAGAAGCAAGGAGCGTATGGCTCCATCCCAATCCACAAAGAAAGCAAGCTGGCGCAGCTGTCGCATCCGTGGGAAGTGATCGCGGCGGTCAAGATGCTGGTCAAGGAAAAGCTGGTCGGGCCCAAACAGTTGCCCACCAACTTGAACGCTGACGACGCGTGGTGCTTCAAGATGGTCAAGAAAGTCAGCCGCAGTTTCACCCTGGTGATCGTGAACCTCCCCGAGGAACTTCGCTTGTCCATTTGCGTGTTCTACTTGGCGCTGCGCGCGCTGGACACGGTCGAAGACGACATGAAGCGCATCGACAACGCGACCAAGATCAAAATGCTGCATGAGTTCTACTTGCAACTGTACGACACGAAGCTATCGATCCATGGCATCGGCGAAGGCGACGAGGCCACCGTGTTAGAGCAAATCGCGTTCATGAACCGGTCGTTCGCGTCGCTGCCGACGTCCCACCAAGAGATCATTGCCGACATCACCAAAAAGATGGGTGCCGGCATGGCCGAGTTCGTCGAGGTGGACATGGGCCAAGGCACCGTGCGCACCGCCGACTACGACAAGTACTGCTACTACGTCGCGGGACTAGTCGGCGAAGGGCTGAGCCGGCTGTTTTCGGCCAGCGGGCTGGAGGCGCCGTCGGTGGGCTCGCTCACCATGCTAAGCAACTCGATGGGGTTGTTCCTTCAAAAGGTCAACATCATCCGCGACTACTTGGAGGACTTTGTCGAAGGGCGGACGTTCTGGCCCCAGGAGATTTGGAAGAAACACATGGGCAACCTCGGTGACATGCGCGACGTGAGCAAGCAACCGGCGAGCCTCGCCTGCTTGAACGAAATGGTGTTTGACGCGCTGCGCCACATCCCCGACTGCATGACGTACCTCTCGGGCATCCACCACCCGGACGTGTTCTTCTTTTGCGCGATGCCGCAGGTGATGGCGGTCGCCACGCTCGCCAAGCTGTACAACAACCCGCTCGTGTTTACTGGCGTCGTCAAGGTGCGCAAAGGCACGGCCGCGTTTCTCTTGGAGCATGCCGTGTCCATGCCCAAGGTCCGCGGTATGTTCAGCAACTACGTCCAGGACATCCAGGCCAACGGCACCCACACGCCGGCACGCCAGGCGGTTCTAGACATGGCCCTGCAAGCGATTCACAATGATGTGCTGGAGATGCCAAACTTGAGCGGCGTCGCCATCGCCGCCTTCGTGGCGCTTGTGGGGTCCTTAGGGTACCTTGTCACAGCCAACGGGTTCGTGCTGCCGCCCCTCACCGCCTCGTTCGACGTGGTTGTGGTCGCCGTGGTGTTTGCCAGCGTCGCGCTTTTGCTCTCGTTCGGACTGTCGCCGTTTGTCCAGTTGGAGCAGCAACACGCGACGAAGAAGACCGAGTAAGTGCATACTGTACACATACAGCGTGGAGGGGGATGTACTAGTTAGTACATTGTACATATAGCCATAAGACAAGGAAATGCTGCTTTGTGTGTTTTTAGTATGGGGGAGGTTAACTATGAACTAAGCTTACTACTGGAAGGACTACATTGTAGTAGAAATCAAGTTTAGCATTGGTCACTCCTAAGTTGGACAGATAGGATGATGAAGGTCCATCAAGTCCTCGTCGAGAAACGTGCCGCCATTCGACGTCCGGCAAAACTGCTCTTCCAACGACCGCAAGCGCGTATTTGTCACCTATGTCAATATATATAAATTGATGTCATTCGGGAATTGAAGAAATATATATATATATATATATATATATATATATATATATATATTGGAGTTGAAGCAATATATATATATATATGACAATAAATAGAAGAAATGTACTATATAGTCGTACTATTAACAGTATATATATATAAGACATAGGAATATGAGCAGATAATATATATATACATAAGCCATGGGAGTAGAAGCAAAGACCTAAATAATACGATGAAGCAGGGGGATTGATTGTATGTATACCTTGAAGCTCCTCGCCAGGGTGAAGAAGCTATGGATGCTCGTGTCCGACTACCATCATATATATATATATACTCATGTATGATATATTGGGATCCAGGTTGAGATATACCTCGGGGACGAGCTCATGCAGGGATGTATGGAGAATAGCCATCAGAGCTTCGGTCGTGTGGGCGAGCATGAGCATGCGCTACGTTTTGTAACAAATAGTAGTTAAAACATGAAATATAACAAAGGAATCCATAACGACCAAACCTTGGCAAGGGACAGCAGGGCCAGCGCCACTCGAAAGAACGATTTCCATCCTTTGGAGATGAACAAATCAAAGAAACGCAGCACCACTCGCGGCGCCAACGCCTGGCAGTTTGCAAACAGCGTCAGGATCCAGCTATACAGTAGCAGCAGCAGCACGTTGTGAAGCTAGTATGTCGTCACTAGTAATACTAGGTACTAGTACCCCGTCGCATACGCGTTCGGGTGCATGTGGTGGTCTACTAGATGCTCGTGGAGGTCTTGGAGGTGGGTATGCACCAATTCGTCCAGCTACAAGGACTCTTATAAAAGAGAACAATGAACACATACAAACGTACTTGGTAAAAGCGCGCGTTTAGCAACGGCAGTCCGGGGGCGTAGATGCCTTGGAGGTCGAACGACTCCATGAGAACATAAAGCAGTCGAAATGCATGGGAGCACTCCCACTTGGACCCAAACAAGAGCACCGCGACGACATAATCCATGCCCTAACAGCGACCAATAAAGCGTTCGTGTGCAAACACTCGAAAATGATATACAAACACCCGAAAATGATATAAAAACACCCGAAAATGATATACAAACACCCGAAAATGATATACAAACACTCGAAAATGATATACCTGGCAGTACCCAATCGACGGGTTAGACGTGGCATACGCCTTGAGTACGCGCCGCAACGCGTGCTTTCGCGAGTCCTTGGTAGTGCTGCGGGGGTCAAAGGGCAGGCTGCGATGACGAGGGAGGTTGAAGGTCCGATCGGTATCGATGTGAATTTGGTGCAAATCTTGGGCCAGTTTGGACGGGTTCGGTCCGAGGGTGGGGGTGGCATTTTGTCCGTAGCGCCGCTCAATGTCGTCGAGGGAAGGAATCGTGGAAAAGGACATGTGCCGACGCTTCATTACACAGCTCCACCACGTGGACACTTGGCAATTTGCACGCAAGAGCTCAATGTTCCACAACCACTACAAATATTCAATAGGTGTGATGTCGAGGCAGGGCATACTTCCTGCCAAGTAAGATGTGGCACGTCTGTTCGCTACAAAGATCACACACAAAATTAGACACTGGTGAGCCATCGCGTGATGCAAAGTACCTGGCACACGTCGCACACGCGAGACCTCTGGTCCAGGCCATCGATCCGCATGCGCCCTTTCGAGCAGCCGCCGCAGACCAACGCGCCACAGCTCTAACGTCCAACGTATGAGTTGGTGGGAATGGCACTTTATACAGGCTACATGCACGAAATTACGCGGCAGTGATGTTTGCGTCGGAATGCAGTGAACGCAACGAAGCACACCATACACGCGTCAATGGCATCATCTGGGACCCATGCAGCTCCGGCAATCAACATGGCCTCGGCATTCAGACGCTTGACACTGAACACGCTGCTTGTGCTGGTGCAGCTACCTACGCTGAAGGTCCGTGGTCGCAAAGGTTGTGATGCTGGAGTCGCCGCCGCCATTATGGTCAAGAAGAAGCAGAAATAAATACATGTATTGTGATTGACAAGAAATCTACGATATCCGGCTTTAACCGGATAATCAGGCCACACCCAGTAACTACCAGTTACACATGCGACTTTGACGTGGAACGTTCTCGCTTTCAAGTTCCCATGCCAGGGCAAGCTCGTCCTGTCGCGATATGAACTGTGGTTAAACGTGAACTACTAGTATTAATAGTGTCAAGGAGTCTACGCTTCCAAGTCAATTTCGATGGCCGCGTTCGTGGGCGGGAGAATCCTAATAACGTACAGTGCACAACGAGTCAGAACGATCCACACATATTGCACATGTTTGAGTTGTCATAGTACCCCAATCCCAACCGGGTAGGGTCATGTACTGGCTCGACGTAGCCTGGAACAAGGGCCACGCGTTTGGTTTCCAGCATGACCAATGCCACAAACATCTTCACCTGACGCAAAAAAAGCACGACATGATGTACATACATTGGAAAACCCCGTTATATAAAGGAATACATGAACAGTTTACTTGATTTTTCGCAAAGTTTCGACCTGGGCACATGGTCACGCCCATTCCAAACGGCTTGAACGCTTCGGCTTGAGCGCTCGTGGCGTGTACAAATCGATCAACTCTACCATGATTTGTACTCGTGACCCACAACATACAGTATGTCAAAGAAATATATGTAACAAATACTGAAACGATTTCGATTGAGGGAAAATAGCGTCGTCGAAATGCCCCAAGCTTGGAAAGATCATCACATTCGACCCCTTGGCCAAATGCACGTGCGAATCCTATACAGAATACATGTGTGATATACTATGCCACCTTGCCTGAAATTAGCAATGAAGGATGGATGTACCGGCAGCTTCAACTCGACATCTTCCGTGGCCACGCGCATCATCAACGACGAAGCACTCAGCCGCAGCGCCTCGTCCACAGCGCTCGCGAGCAGGACGCACTTGCCCAGCTGGTCCCCAGACCACACGTCGCCGACCCCCAAATGCCCTCGGACTTCGTCCCGAACAGCGTTCCACGCGGTGGGGTTTTGGAGGAGGTAAAAGAGCGACCAAAACGTGGTCGGAATCGAATTGGCACTTGCCGCCCAGAGAAGCGCCATCGATTCCTTGGCGGCATCGTACGGCGCCACGACGTGAGCGGGAAATGTCGTCTTGACGGCCTGCACAAATCATCGCCATCCCCCAATGTTCAACACATGAGAATATGCTGATTGACCATGGTACCTCGAGTCGCTTTTGGATGATGGCGGCGGCGTCGGCCGCTGTATTGGCGTCCAAGGCATGCACGAGGCTACGTCGAGCATTCGCCGCTGACGGGAGAAACACTACAGCCAAAGTGTTAAGTCACTCGAACGAAAACAATCCTACGGGGGGGCACGCCGGCTACAAACAGCGGAAACGACTGGTCAAACGTGTGAAAGGCCTGCCACAGGGTCGGGTTGGCATCCACGAGCGAGTCACCCAAGAGCACGCGTGTGCCGGATTCAAAAATACACCGCTCGACAAACGACAGCAACGACAACCGCTGCGACGCACCGAATTGGCCAAGCACGCGGCGCTGCTGGGCGAGGGTGCGTTCGATGAGGCCCCCCACGGCAGACGAGTGTTGCAAGTGGGGGTGGATGAGCTTGTGGTAGTCAACGACGGGGGAGTCCGGGTGGAGGGCTTGGGTGTAGCGGGCAAAGGCGGCGCTTTGGTCCAACGCTTTCTGGGAGATGTCTTGGAACGCTGGCTTGTGACTCAGCGACTTGTGCTTGAGCAGCGCCGAGTACGACTTGGGCGAGACGAAGAACGTCATGGTTTTGCCTGCCAGGTACACGCTGAAGACGGATCCGTACTTAGCCTGGCATTGGCGAAGGAAGGCCACAGGGTCCTTTGAAAACGACAGAGTCGAGCCAAAGAACGGCACCCACGACGGCACCACAGGCGGAGCTCCTCGGGGGCTGGTTCGGGTGAACGCCAGCCACGCTACGACGCCGAGCATCACGGTGATGGCGGAGGCAGCGGCCACGGAATTCGAGAAGACGTCCATTTGTTGCGCAGTGGAAGGACCCACTGGTGGTGATGCCAGTTGTTTACCTCGTGGCAATATTGAGGTAATCGCTGAGTCGGGTAACAGATGGGGAAATCTCCCATTTATTTCCATAAAGTGCGTAAATTGGGCAAGGCAATCCCAATAACTGCTCGTCGAAAGGGTTGCGTCCCTGTTGAACGCATACCTGAGCAACGAATGTCACCTGTATCACTTGTCCACTTGTCACCGACTTGTGAGTCCTTGGTATTGATCTCTGTCACCATCGTTGGTTCTCTGCAGAGGCAATTCCTTTGGTGTTCGGAAGACGAAACCCCCAAACGCCCAGCCGCATGCCATCGTGAGATTTGTTGAAACTTCAAGTGCGCAGAAGGGCTGTTCGATTGAGACGAGAAATTGCATACCGGTAGCACAATCTCGTCAACGCCATGATAGAGGAACATGTATTCCTTCGGTTCGCGGACCACAACGCTGACAAACCCCATTCATCATTTTACCTCGTGGTAAACTATCCAGACAACCATGCTCTTTTCCAAGGCATCCTTCATGGTCATACTCATCCTGGCCTCCATCGCTGGCTCCAATGCGCAGACTACTACTACTCTAGCCCCCACTCCCGCTCCTAATGCAGCACCCAGCCCCACACTAACACCTGAACCAACACCAGAACCTACTCTTACACCCACTATCACCCCTACTCCTGCACCTACCCCCGCATCAACACCAGCACCTACACCAGCACCTACACCAGCACCTACACCAGCACCTACACCAGAACCAACACCGGCACCAACACCTGCACCTACTCCTGCACCTACTCCTGTACCTACTCCTGCACCCACCCCCGAACCAACCCCTCAACAGACACCCGAACCTACCCCTGCACCCACCCCCGAGCCAACTCCTCAATCGACGCCTGAACCTACTTCTGAACCATCTCCTGCACTCACCCCCCAACCTACCCCTGCACCCACCCCCGAGCCAACTCCTCAATCGACGCCCGAACCTACTTCTGAACCATCTCCTGCACTCACCCCCCAACCTACCCCTGCAACCACCCCCGAGCCAACCCCTCAACAGACACCCGAACCTACCCCTGCACCCACCCCCGAGCCAACTCTTCAACCGACGCCTGAACCTACTTCTGAACCTTCTCCTGCACATACCCCCCAACCTACCCCTGCAACCACCCCCGAGCCAACTCCTCAACCGACGCCTGAACCTACTTCTGAACCTTCTCCTGCACTTACCCCCCAACCAACCTCTGCACCTATCCATGCACGTACTATTTCACCTACCCCTCGTCCAACTCCGCTTTCCACCACTACTCGCCCGTCCCGATCCCCAACTGTCGTGGCTGTTCCTCATTCTCCCGCGCCACCAACGAATCGCCCGTCGGTTTCGACGCGGGGCCACATCTGCCCCACCTCGTCGTCATGCCAAGTCGCCCCCAACCGGCTATTCAAGTTTGTCTTCGGAGTGGACGGTTCGTTTTGCAGCCTTGGCCCCAAGTATTGCTCCCCTTCCGTTCCCGAGAGCTGTCCAGGGCCCCAGACAGGCCTTCCGTATGGATCATATTGCACTACATTGCCCACGGGTCGTTTGGGTTGCCTCCCGCACTCCATATGCGCGGACGGCACGATCATCGAAGACGGGGAGCTTACCGACGACGCCGTCGTTCCAGAGGATACGACACCCCCCGAACCAACCGAAGCCCCCGCGCCGTCGGACCCCGTCTTTGACGACGTGTCCAAGTGCGTGCTCGACATGAACGTTCCCGACTTGGAAATGTGCTCAGACGAGAATGTCCTGAAAGGGGGATGGGCCTCCATCAGCGTGCAGGGAAGATACCACTTTTGCACTCAAGTGACCCCCCAAATGCCCACGTTTTGCGTTGCAAACATCGTGGGGAATTGTCCCCACGCCCAACCAGGGCTTCCCTACGGCTCCGAATGCAAGTGGTTGACCAAGACAAACGTCTACGGCTGCGTACCGCGCACTACATGTGCTGAAAACGACCCCCCAACTACCCCTCCCCCAACCACCCCCGCCCCCACCGGATGCGCCCTGACGTCGGCGTAACAACGGACCGCCGTCTTCCCATGGACACCCCTTCTCATGCATACTTCTTCTCTCATGCATAGATTTATATTACGAACAAGTGAATGAAGCTTGTGTTTCTGTTGCCTAGTTTGATCTCGAGGGTACGAAACCACCAGAGGCCCAGTCTACTCGACATAGTCGAAATCGTCCTTGATCTCAAGCCATTTCTCCACCTAAAATACAATCATTATCGTTAGCTTCATGATCGAACAGCAATCGACTAGGCTCACTTCCGCGGACGAGCAGCTATTCTTCCTGATGATCCATGATTTGAGGTTGAACACGTTATCTACGTCGCACATTAGACTTGTACATGCGTAATCGAAGTGCAAGTGTGTGTACCAGTCCAGCGGTCGACCCCCTCTTTCGCTACTTTCACTTTGCTCGCTACAAGGTGCAACGCAATGTCAAAATCAGGTGGTGAATGCAACTGCGTGCCGTACCAAGTTTCTTCAACACGTCTGGATCGTTTTCACTTAACACGTGCATCCGTCGATTCGCTTCTTCGATCTGGCTCTTGAGCAGCGCGAGACGTTCCAACTTAACGACGCGGTCGTCCGAGTCGGTCCGCAGACTCTTCTGCGCCGCCACAGCTTGCTTTGTCGATTCAATCTTCCCCTTCAGGTCGCTTCGCTTTGCCTCCAAGTCCTCCAGTTTTCGTTTTCGCTGTTGCGCAACCTTGCTCGGAAACGACCAAAAGTAGTTGCCCGACCCAATCTTCTCCGTGTCCACGAGGTTGTCATCGACCAGCGCCTGGTTCACGTCCTTGATCGTTTGCAGCACCACTCCTGCCTTCGAGCCCAGCTTCTCCACCTCCTTCAAGTTGTACACTTCCAGGTTGTCATGGTAGATCTTGAGAATGCGCTCGCGCTTCTCGTCCAAGGACACGCCCTTCTTGCGCTTGCTCATATGCCTCCCGCCAAACTTTGAATGCGGGAAATTGGTATCCGGATGGTTCCATATATAGTGTATGGGCACACACTAATTATGGTACTACCTTAAATCAAGACCACTAATTTTACCACTAGAAATAGTGTGGTTGAAATATTACATCCCCCGAATTCTAAAGTTGCGGAAACGTCGATAGATGATTCAGTTGCAGCTACATCTACCGCAAAGCTACGGGCGCGAGGGGAAGTCCATACTCGTCGACGCCAGCGGCGGTCGGTGTGTCCTTAACTCCAGTGGGGGCTGCCGGCAAGTCTGTCGCCAGGTAGGACGGCGCGGCATGCTGCGGTGCGACCGCCTCCTCCATGGCCCATTCGTCCTCCAGGCCCTCTAATTCTGCTTCTAATTCGGACTCGTCGATGTCTTGGCCAACGCTACAAGACATGTCAACATCAATCATCATCCACGAACTCCCTCGAATGGGAACTCTACCCGTAGGACCGGCCGAGGATTTCTTGGATTTCGTTCATGTCGTCCATCATGTCGGCCATGTCGTCTTGAACGTTCTACACACGAAAAGGATGAGCATGCAAGGCAACAACTAGTGTATATATATACCTCGAGCTCGGCAAAGTTGAATTTCTTGGTTTCCGCTTTCAATTGCGTGGCTGCCGACTTCATCGCGGACACGGTATCCAACGAATCCTTGGCGGTTTCGATGGCAAACGACGCCTACAATGATGCAAGTTAGTCATATTCTACGTGTATTTGCATTGAAATGGACGCTCACTTGTTCGATGTTGAACGATTGTGCTGCCATGGAGTCGCGTTGTTGCTCGTACATCTTTTTTCGCTTGAGGGTTTGAAGGGCCCGTTGCTTGATCGACGTCAGTGCCGGCCCTTTGGCCTTTGCCATCTATAGTCAACTTTAGCGGATGGTATAAACCTTGACGCGGAATCACTACACCGACCTGTTGTCTGTACTTTTGCAGCTCTTCTTCCAGCTTTGAAATCTGCATTGTACGTTCCACAGGGATTAGAACAACCATCCCCTGTTGATGATGCATACTTTCATGTCGAGATTGTCTACTCGCCCTTCCACTCGTCCATGCACATCGGTGATGTTCACTTGAGGCGCCTCGGGCTTCTTCTTGCCAAAGATGCGATTCATGTGCGTCTGTCTGATCGACGTTGATAGCACTCGAAGGAAAAACTGAAGGGAATGAATGATGCTTGCTCAAGAAATGGACGACAGTTATCCGGATCCTGCAATTTAATAAATTGGGGTAAATTGTTCATTCACGCCAAGCTGCATTTAAATCGAATTAAATAATTATTATCCCACTGTATCCGGTCCGTGAGACAGCATTCGCTCTGTCGAGAGTGTTTGTCGCCCCTGCATCCCTTCGCTCATGGAAACGGCCGACTCAAAGCCACGGACGTCTAATGGCTGGTCATGTGTCCTTGTCGGCAACGCTACGTGACTCCATGCAACCAATCGAGCGCAGAGCACGCACACACGTCCCCATTCCAAAACGGTAGCATAATATATTAGATACACCAAATCTACCGGCTCCGTCTATGCCAATTTCAGCTGCTTCTTCACTCGCATCTTGAAATCGGAAATCTCGCCTTCGTACACACGGATCTTTTGGTCTTCCACGAGCCAAATCTCCTTGGCCACTTGCGAGATGAGTCGCATGTCGTGGGACACGAGCAGCATGCCGCCTTCGAACGCATTGATCGCGCGGGCCAACGCGTCGATACTTTCCATGTCCAAGTGGTTTGTCGGTTCATCCAAGAGCAAAATGTGCGCGTTTTGGTTGGCAATGTATGCAAACACTACGCGCGACTTCTGTCCGTCACTCAGCTGCTCCATCACTTGCGACTGCACTTCGCCGGAAATGCCATACCGGCCCAAGTATGAGCGCACTTCTTCGAGCGACTTGTTAGGGAAGATCGTGCGAAAGTACTCGAGCGGACTCTGGGACAAGTCGAGCACGTCCACAAAGTGCTGCGTGAAGCGCGCCACGCGGAGCTTCGAGTGCGGGCGCACGTTGCCATGGACTGGCATCAGCTGCCCCGTGATCAAGTTGAGCAGCGTCGTCTTACCCGACCCGTTGGCGCCGACGAGCGCGACGCGGGAGTCCATGTCGAGCCCCATCTCTACATCTTTGTAGAGCAACGGACAGTTGGGGTAGCCAAACGCCAGGTCTTGAAACATGAGCACGGGGGGCGGCAGGCGCTCGGGGTTGGGGAACTTGAAGTCCCCTTCCACTTCTTTCACCACCTTCTCCGTGAGCCCTTCGCGCACCATCTTGGCGAGGGTCTTCTCCTTGGACTGGGCTTGGCGAGCGAGCTTGGCCGACCCGTGCCCGAAGCGCGCGATGTAGTCCTTCATGTGCTTGATCTGGTCTTGTTCCCACGCGTACTTCTTCATTTGGTTCTCCTCCTTCTCTTCCTTGGTCTTGACGTACGTGTCGTAGTTGCCAGAGTAGTACTCGAGCTTTTTCGCCTTCAGGTCGATGATGTTTGTGCACACAGTGTTCATAAACTCTTGCGAGTGCGAAATCAGGAGCAAGATCTTCTTCCACTTGGACAAGTAGTCTTCTAGCCACACCACGGCTTCCATGTCCAAATGGTTGGTCGGTTCGTCGAGCAGCAGCAGTGTCGGCTGGATGAACAAGGCGCGGGCCAGTGCGATACGCATGCGCCATCCTCCGGAAAACTCGCGCGTCTTCTTTTGCATCATCGCGTCCGTAAAGGTCAACCCCGCGAGAATCGTGCGCGCGCGGAGTTCGGCCGTGTCGGCGTCCATCTCGTCCAAGCGCTCGTAGATGTCGGTCAAGCGGTTCGTGATCGCTTCGCTGTCGTCGTCGCTCACGCTTTCGTCGAGCATCTTCTCCGACAAGTCGTCGACTTCCGCTTGCAACCGGTTGCGTTCTTCGTCCACGGACGTCACGGCTTCCAAAGCCGTCATGTCGGTCGCTTCGATTTCGTGCTTCAAGTGGTAGATGTCAATGCTGTCCGGGATCGGCACGCCGCGTGCACCCAACACGTTCATGAACGTGGACTTGCCAGACCCGTTGCGCCCAATGAGACCGTACCGACGGCCGTAGTTGAGCGAGATGTCGCAGCTCTCCATGAGCACCTTCCCGTAGTACGTGATGGAGAAATCCAACACGTTGATGTCCTTGAAGTTGGAATGCACCGAGCGCGCGCTCATGGCGCACGTGGCGATGATGCCGTCGTCGGCCAATTTGTCGGCCAGGGTGCGCTCGACCGGCACCGATTCGACCGTCGTGTCCTTCTTGGCAGCCTTGCCGCCTTTAGAGGCACCTCGTCGTCCGCGTGTGTTCTTGGGGGGCATCTTGGTTTGTGGCGAATGACTTGAATCTGACGTCCGAAATCAATGGTGAAGAGAGACGAGTATAATTGGGCCGAGACTTGCCATCCAATCACAGCCGAAACCACAGTCCCTCTTGGAAATATTATCCCGTTTTTGGTATAATGGGCGCTCTCTAAATAGTGTGAACGAGGAATTATCCCCATGGACAGTACTATAGTACAGTACATTCTACAGTTGTTACTGTATGTAGGTCGAAAAGTCTGAAACTTGAATATCGAATTGGGTCTTATGCAATGTATGGTATACACAAATGAAGCTAAACATTTTGACAGTGGGTCAAACTATACTAATCGATGATTGGATAAAAAAATCGTTTGCGCACTTTTAGGACATTCTCAAACACAATTGTCAAATTTGTTCGATTCTACACAGAAGTCCACATTATTGGAACGGATTGGCAATACTATTAATAGTATGATAGCGAACTTTGCACAAGATACATTGGTACCTCTCAAACTTAGCTACTAGTACTAGTACGTATTAATGTAGCCAATCAGCGTAAAGAAATATCAGATCAACCAATCAATTGTCGCGGTGAAGTTCAGATTCGATTGGGCTGGGCTCAAGGAAAATCACAACGAAGTGTAGTACGAGTTACGCGAATGAAAATACCTTTTTTCACTATTAATATTAGTACTACTCCGGAGTACGTAGTAGTTAGTATATACTAGTAGTAGCCTCTCACACATGTTACTGATAGCTAACCATTTATTAATACAGTACTACTATTAATACTCCGTACGTAGTTGTCGTATATGTATCCATCATGATTTAGGGATTCATGGGTTATACAGGGCACTTGGCAAGCCTCGGAACTCAAGAGCCTAAAAATACATTGGAATGGATACATGTAGTTTTGGATATCTGGTCGGAAGTACTAGTAATGCTCGAAAATTCTTCAATCTGACCGGATTTTGTGTGCCCTATTAACAGTTAATACTACCGTGTAAGTACCACGTAGTACACCGCCGACCGTAATTAGCGCGGATTGAGAATTAGAGCTGCCCCCGCTACACGTGTGGTCCAAATGTGATGGAGTTCCCATATTATGTGATTTGTCATTTGCGCGGGACCTAAGCTTACTGTAAAAACGTTATCGTGTAATATTGGGTGTTTGGGGTGCATGCCACGATGCCCAATTTCTCTGGAAGTCATAGAAAACTATCGAAAATGGTATTATTAGAGAGGTTTTGCAACTCATCCGTACATTACCCCCATCCTCACAAAATCGACATTTGTCGTTTTGAGGGTAATGACAATGATGAAGTATTATTTGTTTTGCAATTTATCCCCATCATTATCCCCGCAACAGCATCCGGATAATACGGTTAGTCGGACATACCCCGCCATTCCACCTCGCCATGTCAATCACTCAGTCGAACCTTCTGATGCTCCTCCCTCTGGCGACAACGTCACGTCAGCGCCATACCCTTCTGGCGATTATCGCTTCGAACGTAATTGAACGGCCCATTATCCCTGCCATTCGTTTCTCGTTGGAGTCTACGACAAATGCAAACGCAACCTTGGACTACCGCTTTGATGTCGCTGGCATCAAGGAGTTGGGATATGTACTTGGATTGCCTGCTGTGGTTATTACCAGCAATCGAATCCGGGTGCACCGCGACGAAGCACTGTGCATTTTGCTGGGACGGTTGGCCTTTCCAGTCCGGTTCCACACAATGTCGAGAACCTTTGGCCGTTCGCGTTCGTCATTGTGTGAAATTTTCCTGCACGTAGTCAACGACCTATACGAGCGTTGGGGGTCGTTGCTGTTCTTCAATAAAAAGTTGGTCCAAAAGAATATCAACCGGTACTGTGCTGCTGTTGCGTCCAAGGGCGCCCCACTGTCCAACGTTTTTGGATTCATCGACGGCACCAAAGTTCAAACGTGCCGCATCACGACCACCGGGACCGGGGATAACTTGCAGAAGCAAATCTACAGCGGCCACAAGCGCATTCACTGCCTCAACTACCAAGCCGTCACCGTTCCGGATGGCCTGTGTGTGCATTTTTTCGGCCCTGTCGAAGGGCGACGACACGACACTACAATGCTCCGCCTCAGTGGATTGATCACATATCTGGGTCAGCATCGCGGTGTGTTTGATGGCAAGCTGATGTATGGCGATCCCGCCTACGGTATTGTACCCTACCTAATCTCGGGGTTTAAAGGCAACAACTTGTCGGCGCAGAAGCTTGAATTTAACAAGTGGATGAGTCGCGTGAGGCAATCCGTCGAGTGGAACTTCAAGCTACTCAAGACACTGTGGTCCTACATTACGTTCAAAATGTTGGCAAAGATTCGGTTGTCACCAGTTGCAAAAGTAGTTGCGATCGCGATGCTTTTGACCAATTGTCATTGCTGCTATCATGGTGGAAATCAAATCAGCGACTATTTCAACCTGAAGCCACCCTCGTTGCGTGAATACCTAGACACGTTACAGATAATTGATGTCTAATATAAACGAGTATTTGTTTGTGTTTGTTAATTTCCAGAATTGCTATCTAACAATGAGAATACCAAGGTCAAATTATTACTTGTCCATTAACATTTTAATCAACATTATCATGGACTCTTGTTGTTGTCGATTTTGCTCCATCAACACTTGTCGTTCAATGCGTCTTTCTTCGAGCTCCTGTCGCCTCTCCTCTCTCTCCTTTTCCAATTTTTCTTTTTTGAACTCAAGGTCGGCCTTTGCTTGTTCGTGCATCAGAGTAAACATTTTCATAAATTTACCTCCTCCAGAAGTGCCATCGTCATCTTCTTTGTCACGCTTTCGCTTTCCAAGGGAGTGCAGTGCTTCTTCACGCACCAAGCTGCCCATTGCATCGACGTGCTCCGCTGCTAGTCGGCTTTCTTCCGTGCGACGCAAATCGGCGTTCTTGGCGTCGTCGTAAGCAGCAAGTAGGTCGTCGAGAAGCATTGACTTCTCAGTGACCTCCTCGTCAATTCCTGACGCTCGCTCGGACTGCTTGTCACTCTTGCGATGGGCATCCAAGAGCAGCATGAAGCGGTTACACGACCTCTTGGCGTCGATGTCGGATCGGCTGAAGTCCTCTGCTGTACGTAAGGAAGCAGCAACCGAATTCCATCGCTCCATGACAAGGCCACGCCGCGCTTGGAACGGCATCTCCAGAGAAACTTGTCGGAGAAGCATGATGTCGTCTTCTTCAGAAAAGTTGCGGCGCTTGCTCGGTGTTGACATTCCTTCGTGGCCTTGTGAGGATAAAGATAAGTGTCTTCACATTTCGCCAAAACCAATGACTGAACATTAGGTTTTACAGTATCTTTAATTAGTTCATAGAGGTACCCTTCCGGTTTTGGCACTACTGTCTGATGACAATGATAAAGATAAGTTGCAAAACCTCTCTATTGTGTCCCTTTCGCTGAAATTTGGAGATGGCAAAATCGATTTGAGTTAGGTTTTAAGCTTATTCAATGTATATAATACAGATTTGAAGATGATATTTTTACTGGGCCAAACTATACTAATCGATGATTGGATGAAATATTTCATTAGGCACTTTAATTGGCCAGGTCTTTCTCAATTACATTTGTCAAATTCATTCGATTCTACTCGGAAGTCCAAATTGGAACTGATATAAAGGTCCTTCGATATGATGTGTTTGTACTATCGGTACTGACTGTTTACATCATGTTGACTGACTGACTTGTGATGTGTGTGTGTTTTGGTGACAATCCCGACCCACAAAATTCAAGATAATATACTGTATAGTCCATTCTCGGGGGGGGGGTACAGTCATATATTGCCAAAGCAAAACGTGTCATCGTTGCACACAACACACTGCGTGTGTGGGATATGACGGGGGGGCGGTGATAATACAACCAATAAAGAACTCGATGGACATTATAAATTATCAGCCCCCATGCCCGCTTGGCATTTCGGCTTAGTGCGACCCCCCATATCGAGCCAACCTGAGGCAGATTACACGTTGTCACGATGAATGCGTAACGTTAAACAATTGCGACATCTTCGCACTGCTTCCGTTAACATATCAACGGATGTGCCGTAAACGTGTTTAACGACTTTGCAAGCATGCAGTTGCCGCAATCTGTACTTTTCAGTTTTGCAAGCATGGCGTCAAATGGAGTTACCTCTTGAGGTTACGTTTCTTCTTGATTGTTGTCACCAAGGTCGATCACGACTTGGGAATTGGCCATGATGCCAGTAGGCCCATCGAGGGCCTTAGTGTCGTCCACTTCATCGTCCGTCGAGTCTTCATCTTCGTGGTCATCTTCGTTAGCATGCTCGCCCCCGGACGACGCGGCAGAGCACCGCCGAGCCGCCGCGGACGTGCTCGAAAGGCCGCCGTCGGGTTGAGGCAACAATGACGACGACAGCTGCAAGCTACTACGTCGGCGGACAAACCCGCCGTTGTACTTGTGGGACCGATTGAGGATGAGGATGCGATCTCGTTCGACCAAGAGGCAGCCGCACTTGGCGCGCTACATATACCCCAACTCAATTCCATGAATCAACAACTCGTACGTTGAGCAAGGTGTGATTCAGGATGTGAAAACCAACCTTGCCGAGCCCGTGGTCCTTGGACGTGGAAAACACGGTCAGGACGCGCGCGGACTTGCTCAAGTGGATGCCTTGGCTGCATGCTTCATGCGCCCGAATGATGTACGAAAAGTTGTGCCGCTGGAGAAAGTCATCGATTGCAACGTTGCCAAAGCAAATCGAGTTGCCGCCGCGGGCACTCTTGCCAAACCCGTGCTTGTCGAGCGTCATTTCCTATGTCCGACCAAATCGAATCGTCGCCTTCTCCATATTGCTTGCTTTATGTGACTACACCTGCGCTTCGCCGGCAGGGTCAGCCCACAGCATTTCCTCGGCCATATGCAGCAACGCAGCGTGTTCCCCCATCGATGGGGTGTTCGACGCTTTCTCCAATGTATCAAATGATGCCAACCGTGGAATCTACGGGGCAAACGGGTCAAGCAAAATACTGCAAATTATACTCCTACCGATTGAATCGAGTCGAGCTGCTTTTCCCCCGAAGCGAGGGGACGGGGGATGCCGCCGTGGGCGCAGAAAATGTCGTCGTCGATGACCGCAGACACGGGCATGCAGTCGAATGCATTGTTGACCTACGAAAAGGATGCTTTGAATATGGAGCCATGATGAGAGAACACGAGGTACCTGATGCCATACATTGCACCCTTCATCGTTCCCAAAGCGTTTTTTGCACTGCGCAAGGAATGAACCAGAGCCATAGTGCTCCTCCCAGCCGTTCACGGCGCGGGTTTCATGGTTGCCTCGCAGCAGCACGACTTTGTTGGGAAACATGATCTGCGAAAAACACGCCGATTGATTTTGACAATGCTGCCCCACTACCGGTAGAGGGGGGGGGAAACGTGACTAGGTAGGTACCTTTTGAGCAAACAAGTACGCAATGCACTCGAGGGACGATAGGCCGCGGTCGACGTAATCGCCCAGAAACAAAAAGTTGCCCGCCGTCAAGCCAATGCCAAGACGCCACAGGTGATCGGAAAAGAACTTGAGGTCCGACAGGTTACCGTGGATGTCGCCTATCACGTATACGGGGCTCTGCATACACCGACACACAATGATGAGACATCTCCAACAAGTAGACATCCATTGACATAATACCTGGACAGGTACACAGCGAGGCTCGTTCTGAAACAACACCGACACTTGGTTGGCTATTGCGAGCAAGTCGGTGCTGAACTCGTACGAGTTAAGGTATTGGATTGCTTTGAGGGGGTTTACAAATGCCTGCAGGTAGTTGCGTGGTCATATTACGTAGTATCATATAAAGGACGAGGGTACCTCGCTCACGCGCTCGGCCACGCGGTTGGGAACTTGCTTTGGAATCGACCGAAGCACGTGCCCCGTGGCGATGCTTACGTGGCGCCCCATGCTGGTCGTGATGCTGCGCGCTTTCGTGCCTTCGTCTGTCACGGAGAACACGGCGGGGGTGACGGCGCGGGGTATTTTCACCTTCTCCTTGGGCTCGCCGTGGAGCAGATGCAGCTCAGCCAGTTGATCTCGAAGTCGCTACGAGATATGATCGATCGTTCAAGATACCCCTCAGCCTTTACGTGTTGAAATCATGAAGAGGACTACCTTGATTTCAAGCAGTTGGAGGGCTTGTTGGTGCCCGCATTGAGAACTGCATTGCAACGCACCGGAGGATAGGAACGAAATCGTCTCTGACGTGGATGTTGCCACGGCGGCGGCGGCGGGCCGTGGGCTGACTGGACGGCGTGCCATGGGACTCCGAAGCGACGATTGCTTGGCCGGCGAAAGGACCAGCGTTGGTCCAATCTCTCGTTTGGTGTCCATCTTGTCTAATTGACCACCAAGTGCTCAAGTCCTCCACACGAACACCAGGAGTTTCACTTTTTACCGTTTCACAAATCAACCGAATCTCGGGATTGCATACTTGTGCCTTGTGTGGCAGTTTCGCCAGGTCAACTTTCTTCCCCTGTTGCAGTAGGACTAGCACGATTACGTCGCACTATGGTATGGCGGCTGCGATGCCATCAGGAGTAACGTTAGTATCTGACGCTCCGTTGCTGGCGTACAATGTCACATGTGAACCAAATAACGTGGCTGTTGGACTACTGACAAAGCGGCAGTTAAAAATCCCTACCATTGACGTGATTGTTTAGGGTAGTGTAATGTTTTTTTAACCGTTACTACTGTACTGTAGTACAGGAGTTCGAATATCGAATTTTAATTGCGGGTTTGAAATACCTTATTTAAGATCGCATTGGGCGGTTTCACATTTCAACACAACAACTGTGAAACGAACAGTGGGCAACGATGGATGGTCCGCTGCTCATGTTGTCGGTTGAGGACAAAAACAAGGTGATCAAAGCAAGTTGGCTGGTGGAAGATGCGTTCCGAGGGTTCTCTCGAGCACACCCGAAAGTCACTCCCCAAGCAGTGCAGGTGTACAAGATCTACCATCGGTTGGTCATCGTCCGTCATGCCACCGTCTTCGTCTTACTCATGCTGTCGTTCGTTGAAACGCCATATTGGTGTCATGGTACATGGCCTCATCCGTGCGGCGATCCATTGGACCCCAGCACCCCTCTAACGTCTGGGATGCTTCTGTTGGCCAGAGGAAAGTCTGTCCTCGTCGAAGTGACGTGTCTGGCTATCTGTCTCGTCAACGACGGCCTCTTGTACCATTCCCTCGGCCGCAACTTCTTTACCCGTCTTGACCGGTACCCCTCTATCCATACTCTTCTCGTTCATCATTGCAGTCGGTAGCATCTGTGCACTCGGTTTGTTTTGCGTCGCCCTCGCAAACGCCCTCGTCCGCTTCGCCACAGGCTGGCCATTGACCGGTCGCATCGCACCCTTTCTTCGACTGTTTATCTTCATGCTGACATTTCGATCTATTCGAAGCACGTATCGAAAGATGTATATGGTCATGGCCGAGGTGCACAACATCATGTCGCTCGTGGCCATGTACATTGGTTTCTTTGCGTGGCTGTCGACGGTGCTGTTCCAAGACACTGAAGAAGGTAGCATATCAATCCCCATATCGCTATTTTTCGATGGCGTTATCTCTGTTGACTAGCTGGCGTCATGCGCTCGTTTGTCGAGTCGGCGTGGCAACTGCTCATCCTCCTCACGACGGCCAACTTTCCCGACATCATGATGCCAGCCTACACCCGCAACCGCGCGTATGGCCTCTTCTTCATCGTGTTTGTCGCGTTCGGTCTGTTCTTCATGATGAACTTGATCCTGGCCCAAGTCTTCAACAACTTCCAGCGCATCGCTGCGTCGGACGAAGCGAAAGCCGTGACCAACCGCGCGGCGCTGCTCTCCCAAGCGTTTGATTTGCTCGTGACGATCCAGGCCGACCGCCACCACGTGGGGCTTCTGGGCCGGGGGTCTCCGCCATCGTCCCCCGGCAGCCCCGGACGGCGTGTGCTGGCACCCCCCACGTCGGCGTCGCCCTCATCGCCCCCAACGGTCCGGGGTTCGTCATCTCCACCCAAGCGCCAGCAAGTGGGGATGCCCCCCCCTTCCCCTCTGCATGAAGAACCCTCCGTGTGTTGCAATTGGATCGACACGGACCTCGCCCTGTCCTTGTTTCAAGAGCTCAACCACTACAACGTCGCGTCCACGCGCCTCTCGCACAAACACATGCTTGATTTGTTCTACCAGCTCGACACGGACGGCGACGGACGCATCGAATTGCGCGACTTTTTTGCCGTGTGCGACTGCATGCGCGAGTACGTCCAAACGTACCACAAATCGCCGTCTGAAATCGAGCGCTGGTGGCCCCGCGTCGCCGCGACCCGCCGTTTCCAACAGCTCTGTACGCCACGTCACATCTATCTTGACAGATTTTGGACATGAAGAATCTAAGGGGGTATACTATGTGGGTGGATGGATGGGTGTAGGTGCAATTGTGACGCACAAGCGGTTCGAGTTGGCCATCGACGGCCTCTTGATCTTGAATGCGCTGTGCATTGTGTTGGAAGCGTCGACAACGACCGACAATACCGCGTCCTCCCGCGAGTGGGGCATCGCCCAAGTCGTATTTTCGTCACTGTACGTGGTCGAAATGATGCTCAAGATCGCCGTCTGTGGGTGGCGGGACTACATGCACTCGTTCCGCAACCGATTTGACGCTGCCATCACGATTGGGTCGCTGGTTGTGGACATTTGCGCCGAAGTCCCCAACACGTTGGCGACCAATCACACTGTGCCGAAGGTGCTCATGACGTGTCGCTGCCTGCGCATGCTTCGTCTCTTCCTCTCCATCGAACGGTATATACATCTCCTACCCCATGATGTTATGATGTTAGGATTGTTGCTGTCCAGGTGGATGGGCCAGATCCCACTCGAGTCCACCCCTCATAATCAACGACAACATGTGTGTGACGCTGTTTCTGTCAACATCTGCATGTATATATTTACTTCGTAGTATTGGCATTTCGTGTACATTCAACAACGAACAACAATGTGTGACGCTGTTTCTGTCGACAGCTGCATGTGTACAGTATATATATATACTCTCCATTTGTGTACGGGTCAACAGAACCATTCTTATATAAACATATATATATATATATATTGAAATCTGAAATAGGTACCGCGTGATTCTGCACACAGCGTGGGCGATGGTGCCGATCGGGAAGAACCTACTACTTGTTATGTTTTGCAACATGAACGTGTTTGCGCTCGTGGGCCACCAACTGTTTGGCGGTCGCATCTCCCCCGCCCTTCTCAACACGGCGCCGTTTGCCAACTCGACGTACGCGGCCGTCGGGTACGCAGCCAACAACTTCAACGACGTGCCGAGCGGGATGGTGACGCTCTTTGAGCTGCTTGTGGTCAACAACTGGTTTGTGATCGTCGAGGGCCACGTGCTGGTCACGAGTGCGTGGGTGCGCCTCTTCTTTATTGCGTTTTGGCTCACGGGGGTTATCATGACACTCAACCTGATCGTCGCGTCTATTTTGGTACGTACAATCAATCGTATGAGATGATGTTGGGCCTATGGGACGACGTTGTCTCACATGAGATGATGTTCTTGGGACGATGTCTCACACGTATCTATCTGGTTGCACTCAATAGACTTATGTTTGTGTTGTAGGATGCATTTTCAAAGGAGTATGCCGCCGCCGCGGCCATCACGGACGCTCCAAAGTCGTTTGATTCCCCTTTATCGTGCCAGATGGAAATGAAATCGTTTGTGGTGCCGCCAACGTCGTCCCAGACTCGTCTCACGCATCAGCGCATGGTGACATTTGCAAGTTCCAAGGAACCGAATGGCGGCAACGACTTGTTGCCAGACGAGTGCCGGTCTGCGTGAGGATGTCGATATAGAATATGGCAACGTTATTCCGTGTTGTTTTGGGTTGCATAATATATTAGTGTGTATGGTACAGTGTGGCAAGTGAGTACTATGGGAGGGCAGGGTCGAAGCAACAGCACACGAGGCGGAGACACGATCGGGCAAAGGACGCAAGCGGTCGTGACGAGGATGACGATGTTGGCAGCAGCAGTGACGACGTTTCAGTGTGTAGCTGGGTGGCGGACCCCAACACCTCGGACACTGTCACAGATCTGGCAAACGCGTTGCGCTCTTCGGTGATCCGGCTCGTGGATTTCTTGATGGCTTCGTGTGGCATCCGATACAGCGGCGCAGCAGTCCCGCCTGGTTTGAATTGCTCTTCGTTTAGATTTCGTAGTCCTAGCCACCTACGACACACATCAACAATCATACATTCATAATATATATATATATATAGCGAACGTCCACAAGTAGCAGATATATATATGTATAACCTGCACACTTCGTTACACCGGTGGGACTGTAGAAACGTTTCCATGCCTCGCGTGCCAAGGTTGCCGATGCCAAACCCTCGTCCATCCGCCTAATCAATGTGATCAACCAACATGTGGAGGGTGAAGACGTACAGTGTGAATCTGGGGGTCTGTGTAGCTGTCGTTGACGCCTTGGATATCCACGACCATAAGTCGGTAATCGGATGAGACGAATGTAAAGTGCGAGAATGCCTGCGGCGTGTTGCGTTCGCGCTCGACGGTCGAGCTCGTGGCAGTTCCAACGTAGCCATTGTTGTTGCTGTACTTGACGTACGCCCCTGGAAGGTACTCTTCGACGCTGCACACCATGTCCTGTCGATCTCGCAGCTACCAAATGTCCCAGAATACCATGACGAAAATTCATTTGCCTGGGCTACCTTGAGTAGCCACGAATTGGCGTATTTGACTTTGAGCGGCGGTTCGTGCTCGTTGTAGAGCTTGGCGTAGTGAGCACACACTGCCTGCATCTCGACGTCGCTACATATACACACACGTCCGACCCCCTCGATGAACATTATGGGAAATGTCGGCATATTCCCGTACCACAAGTACGCGCTGGGCTCCGCCTCGCCCATGATGACCTTTGCCACGTACAGCTTGGCTTGGCCTTCCTCGCCGTGCGCTCCCAAGTCCTGTATGTCGGTCGAGAGAGATTGGTAGCTCAATCATTGGCTTATATATATTTATATTTATATATATCGTACTTGAAGAAAATACGCGTTTCGAAGTTGGCCGGTTGCAAACGGGACCAAATCCAGTTTGATCACGACGTGGCTCGAGTTCCACTAAAGGCGCAAGGGTTCATGGTCAAGGGATCGTGGTGGAGGACGGAATGTACCTCGAGGGAGTCCGGGTCAAAGCTGAGCTTCTCCGCGGATTCCTTGATCATGTGGCTAAAATCAGGCGGATTGTGCGGCACCACCGTCTTCATGATGGGTTGTAGGGACGGTGGTCTGCTTCGATGACCTAGTGTGTACACACGCACATGTGAGAATGAGAAAGCAAGTTCATGACGACGTACTCCGGTCGGAGCTGGTGCCCGTCATTTCGTTGATGATCTGGTTCTTGCGCTCCTGTCGACATCGTCATCAGGTCGGTCGTTCTGACGTCCAGACGTAGATGGACTACGTACAACGTATTCGTCTTGGGTCAAGTGGCCGATGTCAAGCAACAGTTTGAGCGTGTTGAGCTTTTCAAAGTGGCTTTGCTTTTGCTTCTCCATCTTCCTGTCGTCGGCGGCGAGTCCGAGACGTCCGCCAACGGAGGCTGGAACCACCGTATCTATGTCCTCGTCCTTGGACTCTGAGATGGCTGCAAGAGGAGGACGTTGAACCATCGCCACACCACATGTTGTTCCTTCGTTTGTGCGTTCTCCTGATGCAGGGACCATGTCGCGCTCACCTGTGTACGCCACCCACTCTGCAGTCGCATCATACATCCCCATACTATCATCATTCATGCTTCCATCTTTGTGTTCATATCGTCGTCCTACCGACGTGTTTGATCCAGCGTTGCGGCAGCAAGGCTGATGGAACCTTTCTCGCTCTACCCCGCGCAATGCGAAACCGGATTTTTATCCGGAGAACACTCACAACTATAATAATATTCCAAATTTGAATGCAGCATACACAGATCTAGTGTAAAGATCTCACTTTTATTCCAACTCGAAATGGCGCATGGCCCTTACTGCAGGACCTTCTGGTTGAAGGAGAAATCCTGATGAGGGAGGCATGGCGTGGTGAGGCTCGAAGGTTACCTGCATCAACATGAGCTATCTCGTGCTGAAGTTGTCGGCGTGATGCCTTGGACGCCGCTACAGCGGTGTATGGAGAGAGATGTACCAGCTCATGACGACTGTATTAGGTTCAACCAAAGATCTCGCCAGAGATCGGATCTACATGCATGTTCACGTTTGGCCCACAAGCAAAGTGCACGACAGAGCCATTGGGGTACACAGCAAAGATGTTGGTGTCGATGCGTTTGCGACAGACGCCGCATGTGGTCTTGGTGTCGATCTCCACCGACTCGGAGTACTTGTCCACGCGCTCGCATTGGACTTGCAGGTTGTAAATGTTGGACAGGTTGCGCGCCAACGTCTTCTCTCGCACCTAGATCCATCATCCCCACGACATGAAACATACAACCTATCGTCACGACCCATCGTCGTCTTCCTACCTCGTGGGCACTGTGGGGCAGGAGCTGGCTCAAGAAGTCCATTACTTTGACGAGGGGTGTCGACGCAGGAATCAAGTTCAGCACGGCCGTGCCATTCAACGCCTTGGCATGGCGGGCCTAAACGATATATATATATTGTAAATCTTTCGATTATGTGTCCAAAAGGGAGATATAAGTAAAATATATATAATTGTACGTACCATCAACAGATGCGCATACTCGGCCATGTCTCCGTCCTTGTGCTTGAACAACAACTCGACCAACTTGAGCAACGCGCCGTTGTAATTACTCCCTCCCTTCCGTGGGATGCCATACTTGACGCAGTACGCTTCCGCCGCCGGCACATTCTTGCTTGCTAGCAACGCCAGCAACGCTTGCTCGTGAAACCCGCCGCGGCCACATATAACAAGCAACTCTTCGCGCAAAGCCGGCGTCGACTTCACTTTGGCCATGAGTGCGCCGGCGTCGTACGCTGACTCTGGTGCTTTCAAGTACTTGAGAAGACGCTTGCGGGCTTCCCCCAGGGGCTACGCCATGATCATATATATATATATAGATAGGAATAAATAATAATACATATAGATATATAATATATATATAGATAGGAATAAATGAATAAATAATAGTACATATAGATATAGATGGGATTAAATGAATAATAATCTATTATTGAATATGAGATGAATCGTACCGACGGTTCCTTGCCAGGATGAGACTTGGACGGATCGAGGCCACTTTGCACGGCTTTGAGCACTTCGTCCAGATATTCCAATGCCAGTCGAGTGTGGTGGGGGTTTTCTGCGTCCGTTGCTGTCGAAGTTGCCCCATCGCCCCCATCCACAAAACTCTCCAAGTACTTTTGCACCACCGCTGGGTCGGACGCATGCTCTTTCAAGTGTGCGACCACATCTGCCGCCACAAACGGCTTCAAGTGCCGCGGTCGATGCGTAAACACGCGGAGGGCTTCGTGGGGATCTGCCTCGAGCACCCATTTCTACAAGAAATACTCTTATACGTATTGTCGATATGATACAAATTTGCAATTGACTGTGAATCGCGCCGACCAAACCGATCCACAATCGATCTGATTGGTTGAATTTCATTCAGAAGGTTTTGATTGGCTAATAATTTTTGAGCTCATCTGAGGTAGCCAATCAATTTGATTTAAATTCCAACGAGAAACCACAACACGACATTTCACTCGAAAACACAATATGTAGGCATAGTTATTGTCAAGTCGATTCGAGATTGGAGTGTTTGGGTGCTCAATCGAATGACTAGAATCACCAAATCGACACACAATCGATATACGACCAATCAAAACCCAGATCAAGTAGCCAATCAAATCCACTCTTGGAATAATTCAACATCGAATTAGTGTGTGAATGAAATTAGTGTGACACTGGACAACACTTCATACAAAAGTCAGTACAAAGAATCGATCGATAGATTTGGCAAAGAATCACCACAACTGTCCAAATATTGGGTAAAAGGACTATCTATATCGTCACACAGGTTGATGGATGGACGAACGAACCGAATGGTACAGCACGAGGGAAGTGTCCTCGACGGTCAGGAGCAGGTCCACCGCCGCTTGGGCGCCTGAAGTGCTGTCCTCGAGGGGGTTCTGGATGTACTCGCCACTCCCCATGCGCGCGTACACGTCGAGCGCGTCAAGTACGCGGCCGTGGCGTTCAAAGAGCAGCCCCAACTCAAAGTACAAGTGATGATGCATCAGCAGCGCCTGGGACGACCCCAGATCGCAGTGTGCGCCTTCACCTTGGTGGTCGATGGTCGTTAGAAGCGCCGCGATCTCAGACATGGATTCGTGCATGATGTACAGACGCAGGAGCGCCGTGTCCACGGCTTCCGACCGCTGAATGTCCTTGGGAAACGAAGACGAGACGGTCGCCGCTGCCCGCGAGAGGACTGGTGCGCGGTGGAAGCTGCCCCCGGACGAGTGTGCGGCGGAAAACTCTGACTCGCGGCTCGTGGACCGGGACCGAGGCGGCGTTGCAAACATGCCTTCGCGCGACGAGCTTCGGTCTCGGCTACACAATGTAAATATATATATATATATACGAATTGCTCGTTTTACTCGAAATATATTCCCTACTAACTAATACTATTCAGAATATGTTCATTTTGATTCATCCTGTCTCGGGATATATATTTTTTTCATTTTGACCAGTCATACACTTTATTTGTATTCGTTTTTTATACAGAATCTATGAATTCTCACTCCATTTTCAGGATATATTCACTGCTTTGAGTCAGAGTTTACTAATTATTCCATCCATTCAGAATATATATCAATTCGCTCCATTCAGAATATACTTATTCCTTTTAGTCCGAGTTCATACTTATGCATTTTCCAGTCCGAGTTTATATTTATTCCTTTTCCAGTGATATAGTATATTTGGCCTTGATACCCATAACCAATCAATGAGACTTATGCTCGTACCTCGAGTGTTTCTTTATCATTTCCAAACACTTGAGCAGGGCCTTGGACGACTTCGTGTACAGCTTGGCGTGGCCATTCGCGACCAGTTCAGGCGCCAAATTGCCCGCGTTGTCCTTGAGGAGGGCGGCCAGCACGGAGTTCCAGTCGGGGCTGGCGCTCGACCCGCGAGGGAGCACGTCGGGCGTGAGGATCGTCGGTTCGTACGCAAAGCTGGGGCTCACGAGATCCGGGAAGAAGCTGAGCCACTCCCGCGGGTCCATACCCGACCGGTAGATGAACTCGACGGCGGCATCGAACTCACACCGCTTGAGCAGCGTGATCGCGACCTGGCGGTGGAAGCGGCGCATGCGGCTCTTCTGCTTGTCCGCGTTCAGGCTCGAGATGCTCTTCTTCATCAAGTCGGACGCTTCCTCGATCCGCCCGCGGTCAAGCAGTTCCTGGACCTGTTGCTCCATGGGCATTTGCTCCACCTTGAAAATGGACGTCGACCCCGTGGCAGTGAGCGCCGCGACCACAATCACGTCCTCCGAGTCGCCACCTGTCCGCGGCTCCATGTCCCACTTCATGCCGTTGCCAAACATGGCCGTGATCCGAGGCAACGCGATCGACTAGACAGAGCGGAAGTACCGACGACGACGACGATGGTTATGGTGGTCGATCACACACACGAGGGAACGAAGATGGAGGGTAGTTAGTAGTACTAGTATTAGTACGATGCTACATACAACGACATACCTGGACGAGGGATCCGTCTTGCATGCTGTGGACGTCAATACCCTTTTGCGGAATCATGGACACCAAGTACGGCGACGTGTATTCGATGGCCACGGGGGCTTTCGTCCATGCGATGGAGTTTCGCTGGACAGGTTCGCCCGTGAAGAGGAGGAACACACCCAACGCATCCATGGCCGACACGACAATCTCTTCGTTCGGAAGAAGCTTCACCATCGGGGTCGTGTTCACGTTCAAGTTGATCGACAGGGCTTCTGCAGTCTTGTCGTTGATGAGGGCGTACCCGCGACGACTGCCCACGATCAATTTGTTCCGATACCACCCCACGACCTACAAGAGTTTGAAACATGTGAACACGATCGAGAGTCGACGTGTACATATACCTCGGGGGGGTCGGCAATGGCCAATTCACGCAAGTACTTGTACCGCTTCTCCTTGGCTTCGAATTGGAACAGCTGCAGCTTCGTCGCGGACGCAGCGCACACGCGAAAGTGCGGCGGACCGCGCTGGTTGACGCTCAAATGCGTCACGTCCTTGGCCAAGTGAAACTCGGACGAGACCAACTCCAAGTCTGTTGCAGAGTGCACCGTGACCGTGTTGTTCGCCAACACGATCACCATGCGAATGTGCGGCACGACCAAGATTTGCTGGATGCGCTTCTTGTGTGGCAGTTCGTGCACACCCACGGGCTTGTTCGGGTCCTTACGCGTGTCGAAGAGAACCAATCGCCCGTCCGCCGTCCCCACAAGCACACGCATGGAGTAGTGCACGACGCATTCCACTCGTCCAGGGAACTCCAAGACAAGGGACTGGTGCAGCGCCATGCGCTTCTGCTTCGACGACTCTGTCGACATGATTCAGTCAATTCGCAGGAATAAGTGCTGCGCTGGATTACTACTACTCATAACTTTCAATACAAATATCTATATTTATAAAAATATTAAAGTACATACATATACTAGTATAATAGAGTAGTAATAAGTACGTCAAAGTATCATTTTAAATTGCCCATATTCCAGGATGCCGTTAGTTCACAGTCAAGGGAACCGACCAAACCGACCGAGGGCTACAGGAAGTAAGCAAGTGTGTACTGTACTTCCCCTGAGACTACGTCTGTAAGTAAGTATACATGTACTGCACTTCCCTTGAGACTACGACCAAATCCTTGTTGTGTGCCCGTGATACTATGTACCAGTATTCTATTATTCTTAACAGTTTGAAGATATTGAACATACTATTAATAGTATTGAACTTCGACCCCTCATCAATTTCGCCCATCTACTATTTGTTGAAAAGCCATTTTGATGGCATAGTCACCAGAATACATGCATGTACGTGCACAGTCCTATGGCTACGAAGGTACGTGTACTATCAGGGTACTAGTACGGGAAATAATAGTTGACAATTAACTGTAAATACAGAAAATGATGTATTGCAAAAACTCTGGACAATTACAATAATTGATTGTGAGAGATCCAAAATAATTATATTTGAGCGAACAATATCATTTGTAAAGAAATATAATTGTTCATTGAAATAATTGACAATTATACAATTAAATATTTAAATTGCAACAAGCAATACTTATTCACACTGTCAAAGTACAATAATTGTATTGGCCATACAATACAGTAGTTAATTGTTTTTATTCCGGAAAATTGCTACTAAAAAATATTGTTTTCCGTTACAACCAAAGTACATATTAATACAGTATTGCGTACTAGCCCACCGAGTCTTCTCCTGATGTCCACACAAAACATCAAAACAATCAAGTTATCCATTCGATTTCCTACATATCTACGCGTGGGTGCGCTTGTTGATTTCGCTGGCCAACTTGTTCTCCAACTGGATGTAGTTTTCGGCGGGGAGGCCGAGGCATGCTCGCAAGATGTTTACAATGCACTCGCGCTGGGCAAACAGCGCGTTCACGATGGGGGTGCCACGGGGGACCAGCGGCGCCTTCAGCAGGTAGCTCAGGATCGACAGCACCGAGTGGAAGCGCTCAGTCTTGCCGCCTTGCTTGGTGATCTGGATGCGTTCGGCCAGCTCGCAGATGATCACCAGGTCCAAAATCAGCGGCGTCGCCAGCAGCGAGTCTTCGCACGTGTTGTGCATGGCAATCGTGTTCGTGCCGTTCATAAAAATCTTCGACGTGTACTCGTCCAAGGCGCGCTTCGAGTCGCCGACAAACGGCACGTACTTGATCACGACGCAGTGGTCGGGGTGTTCGTCTTCGGCAAACAAGATGCGGTTCGAGTCCACCATGTCGTCCACAACGTTCGACTTGGAGATCTCCTTGCTGCGGAATTGCTGGGGCGCCGACAAGTTCTTGCCGTCGTTGTTGCCCAAGTGGTTGTAGCTCACAATCGACACGGGCTTGATGCCAGCGCCGACCAAAAAGTCTACCAGCACGCTCTTCATCTTGGTCTGGCCCGACTTGAAATCGTCGCCGCCGATAAACACGTTGTGGCGCTCCGCCAATTCGATCGCACCGGGCACAAACGTGTTCTGAGGACTACCGTTGATGTACGACGTGTTCTCCAAGATCGAAGCCACCGCAAACACCGTCGACGGGCTCACTTCGTCCTCGCCGTTCTTGATCGCTTCCAACAGGTTGTCCGCCGTGTCGTTCACACCTTCGACAATGTCCGAGAAGCGCTCCGTGTTGGCCGACCACAACACAATCACCTTGTCCAACGAATTCTTGGCCTTGAAGTCGCGAATGTGCTGGCGAATTTGATTTAAGTTGTCTTGCTTCGACCCGGTCAGGACGTTGTTGGCGCGGTCGGCTTGGTTCGCGGCGATGAAATCGGGGTAGTAGATCGACGGCAACGGCGTGATCGTTTCCAAGTGCGGAATCAACTGGCGCTGCAAGTCGTAGTCCAGCACCTTGGCGCGAACCATGGCGTCGGCCAAGTTGTGCGCGGAAATGTCCCACCCGCCAATCACCAAGTCGTTCGGGTGCACCATGGGAAGCATGTTCTTGAACGGCACGTACACGCCACGGCCTTCGGCGTTCGTGCCCAAGCGGACAGTCGACGACTGTGTGATCGACCCAAAGTAGTCAGGCTTGTGCTCGCCGTCCTTGTCGGTCCACGTGAGGCCGAGCTTGTTGGCCAACACACCGGCCACCAACGTGGAGCCGTTGTTGCCGCCCAACCCGACGATCATGATCCCCAGTTTCGGGATCTTGGTGTTGGTCTTGAACAAGTACTGTTCGGACACGGGGGTCACGACGTTGCCTTCGACAAACGAGGTTTGGTACGTGTAGTTGGCTTCAATGTGGGACTCAGTATACTTGACGTCCTTGCTGTTCACCTTAAAAGGGTCGTTGGAGAAGGCGCTGGAGCTCATGATGAGTGAGTGAAGTGTGTCGTCGGAACCACGCAAATTCGAGAATGAAATGGACGGCCGGATTACTTCAGAGCGTTGGAAAGTTGTCAGCATATGTGGCTGTTACAGTTTGACTTGGTATTTGTATACGATGGGGTCGTTGAACTGGTACTAGTTTTTATCCGGATACGTTTATAGAGGTACATTGGATACAAACAGCCAATTCAAGCATTTAGTGATCTCCTGGCTAAGCAAGACTATTTGCTTATACAGTGAAAAATGACGTGCATTCTTGTTCTTTTCTAGAACGCATTTAAGATCTATCGCACTTTGATTGGCTAGTCCGATTCTTATACGGTTAAAAATAGGAAACTACTTGGCGTTTGTATACTTCTGCATAAAAATGGTCGACATCACCACACTAATTCCCATGACGAGGTGGATGTGCAACACAAATCCACGGAGATTCGATGGAAGTGAGGGACACTTCCTCGCGATGCTGGGTAGTCACGACGCCGGACGCGCCGTGAACGAAGGCACGAGGTAAGGACGCGTGCAACTACTACATGTGACCCGAATGGGAGGACAACGTTGACGTTGCATGTGTACCTATGTTGCCGTAGCAGCACTTCCGTGCATGGACATCGGAATGAACATCCCCTGGATTAGACATGTGCTTTCCTGTACAGGATCGTAAGGAAGTTCTCCGCAGGAAAGATATATGAATCCCCACCGACCTAGGTACAGTACATGTATCGCTGTTGTTGACACCTTAGTCCCTAACAGACGCGTGTCGATGGTACGATTCCAGGTTTACTCCCTCCTGGTTGTGGAAGGTCGGCTACCCAGTGCGAGGTTTACGCGTGCCGTTGTGGCGCTTGGCATTTTCCTTTTGCTTGTCACTCCATCGCGACGCCTTCTTGGCCGATGGGTCGCGCAGCTTGGTGCGTTCGGTCTTGTGGCGGCCGGACGACTTACCCTTCTGCTTGCCCCCGCCTCCCGAGGGTTTCGACGATGGCCTTGACGACGAACTACTACGACCCTTGGACGACGACGCCTCCGCGGGACGCCGTCCGCCAGAGCTGCTTCCTCGGGCGGCCGACGACGGTTTCTTGGTCGGTTCGCGACGGGAAGATGGGCGAGAAGCGGCGCCACGGCCGTTTTTGGGTTTGGCTCCCGACGACGGACCCCGGAACCCCGACGTCTTGTTCTTGCGGGTGCCCCGTACAACCACCTTGGCCTTGGCCGTCGGCACTTTCTTGCCGGTCCAGGGCGCAGGGACCGCCTTGAGCTTGCCGGTCGCCGCCGGAACGGCCGCTTTCGGCGATGTGTTGCGACCGCCAAACGCGACGGGTTTGGACGTGCTTCGCGTGGTGGTCGTGGGCTTGGCGCGCGAGTACCCTCGTTTGTACGGGTTGTCTTCGCTGCCGCGAAGCAGCAACCGCGCGGGGACGCCTGTCATGTCGAACTCGGTGCGAAGTTGGTTGAGCAAAAAGCTACATATACCGAAGAACGGTCACCGTACGAACGAACGAACGAACGAAAACGAACCGACGATACGATTCCGGCACGTCGTCGGCCTTGTTGACGAACAGCGCAAACGTCGGCGGACGCGCCTTGACCTGGGTGATGTACTTGACTTTGAGCGTCTTGCCCTTGACCGTCGGCGGTGGGTGGTGCCGGTCCATCGCCGCCATCCATCGGTTCAGGCGACCCGTGGTCACCCGCAAGTCCCACCGATCGTGCGCCGCGACCCTATTGTGTATCCGTCAACAAAGAAAAGGCAAAGTACACAAGATCATCGTACACTTCGGGCAAAATGTTGCGAATGCCCTTGCCTTCCAGCGCTGAAATAGACACAATCGGCACGCCCCGGACCTACAGTGTGTACACATGCGACACGGTTGGCATGAAAAGACAACTGCACAATCCACGTACTTGGGCCAACGACCCATCCAATTCGCCGCGGATGCGCTCGATCTCAGCTTGGGCGTCGTCCACCAAGTCAGCCTTGTTGGCCACGAGCACCAACGCGCGGCCTTCGTCCAGCACCTAGACAACCGAACGTGTGTCGTGCCACGTCATGATGGCACACGTACCCGCTGGGCGATGGTCAAGTCCAAGTGAATCAGCTGCTTTTCGCTCACGTCAACAACCACACACACGACTTGGGCCGAGCTGATGGCGTCGTAGGTGTCGCGCACCGAGAGGTTTTCGATTTGGTTTGAGTGGTCGCGCTAGTAGAGTAGTAGAGGCGTATAGTTTGTGGTAGTCCAGGATCCAATGAAATATATATGTATGTGGAGACAGATGATGCGAGGTAACATTGAAGGACGACTGTACCTTGCTGAATTTGCGAATGCCGGCCGTGTCCACGAGGGTGATTTCTCGATTGTGAAACGCCCACTTTACTTCAACGGCATCCCGCGTCACACCAGGCCTAATGGACTTGAACCTCTATACATTGCTCTTGAGTTCACGTACTCTGGCCCAGTGAGGACACGATCGTCCCGAACAATCTTGTTGAGCAGCGTCGACTACATCGTTCAACCCAACCCGTGAGCTCATTCCATGTATATCAACGTGGAGAAGAAGGTAGGTAGGTACAGTACCTTGCCCACATTCGGGCGCCCCACGATTGCCAGCTTGATGGATCGAGGCTACATGTACAACACGGAACGAACACCATTACAAATGACACCGCGTAGCCACAACAACCATGGAATGACGATTTGTCTGTTGTACTTACATTCTCGAGCTCGTCCATGGTGTCGCCCGCAGGAAGTTCCGCGGCGAGCGCGGCTTTTTGCACCGCCAATGCCTCCGCATGTCCTTCGACCAATGGAACGAGCAGTGGGACGAGGTCCGTTAGCCCCTCGCCATGCTCTGCCGAGATGACCAGCGGCTCCCCTACATAGAAACGTCAGAAATCTCTTTTCAGGTTGAAGAGGTGCGTTGTTGTACCCATCCCCAGTTGAAACGAGTCGTGGATGTTGCTCAGCCACTGCGTGGCATCACCTTCCAGTTTGTTAGCAACTAGCTGGATTGGCGCCTGCGGGTCAGCTTTTCGCAGCCATCTAGCCGTGTCGCTCAATATATATATGTATATCGTTTGTGTCGTGGGGAGAGAAGAATGGACAGTACCGAGCGAAGTGCTTGTCGATTTCAGTGACGCCTTCACGGCCATCGATCAAGAACAAGATGAGATCTGCTTCATGCAGCGCACGCTCGGTTTGGCTCAACATGCCGCGTTCCAAGCTACAGATGCATGAGTCATGGAATCACAATGGGGACACACACTTGGCTACCTGCCCGACGGAGCGTCGGCAAGCCCACCAGTGTCGATGACGTCAAAGTCCAACCCGGCCAAGTAACCCTGTGAATATGAATGATTGAGAACTATCACATTTTGCTGTGTTGGTGGGTACCACTGCAAAGCGGCGATCGCGGGTCGTCCCAGGCACGTTGTGGACGATGGCCCCTCGCGTCTTGGTCAAGCGGTTGAAGAGCGTGGACTTGCCAATATTCGTTCGACCAACAAGGGCAATGCGCGCGCGTTCTGGCAGCGTGGGAGGGCTTTTCGTCGAGAACGACAGGTGCGCATGCACAGGCGGCAGCGCCCGAGTTCGCAGGAACCGCAGCATCTATCTTCAAAGGTTGATGGTTGAAGACAGCAAGCCAATCATATTGAGTGGAGTTGGGCTGTAGTTATCCGGACACATCCGAAAATCCAACCGGACAGTTACAAAGTTACCACCACGAAACTGTTCGTATTGACGAATGAAACTTGAACAAGAAGTACAGGAGCTCTTGAGCACTACTGTACTGGTACTACGTAGAAGAAGACCTGCAATTAGCGATATTGAACTACCGTTAGACTTGCATAACAAGCAAACAAGACGACTATGTTATTCACGATATCTAATCAGCGTTGTGCCAGCTGAATAATCCATTGCACAGCCATGTCGATGGTGGCATCTTTCGTAGGCTCGTTGGGCAAACAGTGGAATTGCCCAGAGAGACTTGTGTTGAGCCTGCAAACGTCGCAGAACGCCTTGGAAATGCTCGGACTGGTCGCTCCGTCGTTTTTGCCGTGGTGAATCACCACTGGCATACTAGTACGTACCATGCCCTGTATCTTTTGCAGCTGCTTCATGCCGCGCAAATTGTACAGCGCCAATCGCACTTACATTTTATGGTGGTCGTTGAGAGCGTCAGATTCATAATCCTCGACAAACTGTGCGTTGCGACTCAGCACTTCGAGTGCCACGTAACGGGGCTTTCCACAAACATTTTGGATCCACGGCTGACAAAACCTTCTACTTTGGTGCCAGCACTTCGAGAACCCCCGCGAACGACCGCTGGATCTTCAGCGTCGTGTTCAGATCGACGCCAATTGCTGGTGCAAACAACACCAAACCATGCCAGGCTTCGGGCTTGGTATGTAGCTGCCGCCACTGCCAGAAGCAGTCCGCCAAATGAAATGACACCAAGGACATTTTGAGCATTTGGCATCCTACAAGCACACCTGATGGTGGCTTCAAACGCACGGAGGTGCGTATATGGCGTGGTCTTGGCGAAGGATACCATCAAACGCAGCAATGTCATTGATGAACTCGCTAAAACTCAAACAATCGTGGCAATCACGGCCGCTATTCCCGTGCCCTTGGTGGTCCAGGGCATAGACCGCAATGGCTGGGAGTAAACGTTGTAGCGATGTGGTAGATAGGGGTGACGCCTTGCCACCACCTAGCTCCTAGATGCCTGGCCCCTGACGCACCCTAGCTAATGCTTGCCTGGGGGTATGGCTCTAGGGCATGTATGGCTTAGAATCGCTAGCCTACAGTAGTGAAGTCCCCCAAGGTCTCACCCGTACCCGCATCCATTGTATACAAAAATGCATATTAGCGTAGAAGTAGTGAGATTTCATAACGTGGCAAACACATCGTCGTAGTGCCATGCTCTTGAACGCCGTGGCAAAACAGGAACACAGTGTCGTATGCGTTGTCGTTCGCAATGTACTTGCGAGTGTATAGTTCGATGCCTCGAGGACCCGAGAAGAACGACTCGTGAGGGTATACGCAGCAGACGTGTCCGATGAGACCATGGTAACAGTTATTGTAGTTGCAAATGAAGTAACTTTTCAAATGACATGTGAGAGTGTGCGGAATACAAACTTTCACCATGAGAGTGGCCTAACGTTGAAGTCCTTCGGGATGATGTCAACGTCGCCGCGTCGTACCGTTTGGATGTAACAGCAAATGTATGTTGGCGAAACAAGACGATTACCACTGACGTTTACAGTTAACCACGGAATCGCATTTTCAATGGACGATGCTTATAAACTGTCCTTGGAGAATGCACTGTACACAGCCACGCCAACCAACTTGTGCATGCATATCAACGTCTAATGTACACTTTGTTAAATCCTAACCCGGGTCTTGTTGGGGTGTTCGTCAGTCTTGTTTCAGTTTTCGACCTCGATACAATGTTGCTTGGACAGCGAGGGCAGCCAGGCCAGTCATGTTGTTGGAGATGTGTTGCGGCAACGCAAACAAACCGGAGATAGTCGCCCGACGTGCTTTGGCCTTTGGGTCGTCCTTGTGAGTGGCTTTACGATGCGGAACTACCCGCTTCAGCTCCTTCGTAGAGCTGGGCATGATTCAAACAACACACACATCTTTCGTTGTTACATATTTACCTAACATATTGTACCAACGCCCAACCAACAGGCGTTTCAACTCGCTCCTGTAACTGTGTGATATCTGATGTACCGACGCCTTGGCTTGGGCAATGGACCTCCACATTGAAAGGAAACATGTGACTGCGGACGTCAACCTTCGCGTTCCGTCGCGCACGAAACTTCATGTACATGAGGTCGTCTGCATGTCGAAATCTACAAAATATTCTCATTGATATTACGTGCTAACCAACGCATGTAGGCCCCACTGGCGATGCCACAATGGGACGATGAAGACGACAACAGCTCCGACGATGACCAACCTCCCACGCGCGACAACCACGGGGACGCTAGTCAAGACGACGATAACCAACCCCCCCCGCCACTGGATCCAGCGGCGTTCAACTGGGACGGCGTGGGTGACATCCAAGCTCTCCAGCTCAAAAACTCGGAATTGGTGGCTACCATCAAGGATTACAAGCACCACGTCACAGAGTTCGTTGCTAGATGTCCGTTATCATAGGGCTACAGTTACCTTACGGCATGTTGCGTAGACTCCAGTTGTTGCTGGAAGCGGTGGAGCCCATTCCTGGTTTGGACGTCAACACGTTACGGGATGTGTTGCAAGGCGCCGAAGTCGTGGACCATGTAACTTTACTCGTTGTCGGGAATTAATCTGACCACTGTTGTTGCATAGGACATCCGCGACGTCAAGATCGTGCACCAAGCCAAGAAACTGCGCCAGGCGAAAATCGCATTGACCAAGGAAAAGTCCAAAGGCGCCGGCGCGAGCGGCCGCATTGCCGAGCTCGAGCGGCAGCTCCATGACGCTGAAGAAAGACATTTGAAAAGCGAGCGACTGGTGCACAAGCTGCAGCTGGGTGAAAAGCCCGAGCCGAAACACACCGAGTCGGCCAACACGGTGCCACTCAAGAAATTTGAAGACTTGCGGGTAAAGTACGAAGCCATGGCGATCGACCTCAAGAAAACGCAACGCGCGTTGCAGCGGGAGGTGGGGGACGACGTGCCGCTGGCAGAGATACTGGACGGCGAAGGCGGCGGCAAACGAGGTCGGGCACAGCAAATCGTCATGCTGAAGGCCAAAGTGAAGAAGCTGGAGAAGGAGCTGCAAACCCGGACAGCGCCTGACACGGTACAGATGAAAACGACATGGGCGATGGACGACTGAATATGGAGGATGTTGTAGGGGGTAGACGCCAAGGCCGAGGTCGAGTTGTTGGCACTGAAAGCGGACAAGCAAAGGCAACTGGACCACGTAGTCGCTGACCTGGACGCGCTCAAAGATGCCAACGACAAACTCAGTCGAAAGTACGACGCGCAAAAGGCCAGAATGCACACGCTCGAGAAAGACGCCGGGAAACACAAAACCAAACTCGCCATCTTGTTGGACAAATCCCACAACGACGACTCGCTTATCGACGCATTGCAACACGAAATGGACGACCTACGGCGGCAGATTAGTACCAATGCATCTGCACTTGCCAAAGGTACTGACTGGCTCAACAAGACATATCAATGGTGATGGGGTGTTAGACCAGTTACACCGAGCGCGTACAGCCGACAGCGGCAACATCATAGACGCCACTAACACCGTTGAAGCGCTGCGAACGAAGTGTTTGGAGCAGAAGAGACAGCTCGCGCACCAAGCATCCACGATCGAATCGTTTCGAAGGGACTTGCAGCAAGCCCAGAAACTCGAATCGACCAAAATAGGCGTCAATGGCATGACAGACACCGCCAACCATCAAGCATTAGCTGTACGGGTGTCCATCATGCTGTTATTATTCTTGAGCAGTTTGACTGAAATATATATATGTACACTAGATTGAAAAGGAACGGCTTGTGGAACTCGTCAAGTCGCTCCAGCACCAACTCACTGACGCGAAAAAGGCCGACGCAGCAGTTGCCCCGCCGCCCAAACCCGAAATTCGATCCGTACGTCCTTGATACAAAATCTGTCTCGAGCCTAACCAGCAATTTTTTTTTTACCTCAGCGCCTCCCACGACTCAATGGTTCTGACTCTGCTGACGTGGACAAGTTGCGGCGCGCCATCGAAGCCAAAGACGAAGAAATCGGGACTTGGAAGGATGCGCTCGAACAAGCTACAAAGGCGTCAGCGGTAAACATGCCCTTTGTTTTGACTTCGACGGCGTGACGATCTTTGTGGACGTGGTAGGCGCAAACCAACTCGCGCCTTGTCGCGGACCTCGAAGAAGAAAACGAACGGCTGCGGGACCAAGTGGACGAACTGAAAAAGCAAGTTGTCCTTGGCCATCGACCTCGCAAGCATGGAGGGTCAAATGGGTCGTCATAACTTCCGCCATACTAGTACATACACTGTACAGTACATGTAACGTTATGTATAGTATAGCAGATGACTGACTGCCTAACGTTATGAAGAGTATACCCGGTATATGCGGTTAACGAAATGGGGACATGGCATCTTGCAAATGCATGCCCCACCCCCGCAACAATTATATATATATACTTCGAAGTATAAAATTGTTGTGATAATATACATCAACCATCGACAACATGCTGAACAGGCTTCGGTGGCGAGTTGGTCGACACACAGCTTTGCCGCGAGGACGGCCGTCTCACGATCGTGGCCATAGCATTGCGGCCATTCGGTTTTGACCCGAAAACCTTGCCTCACGAATCCGGATACGAAGTCCTTAACGTTAAATTGAACTCCTTGGTCACATAAATGTGTAAGCAATTATGGTCAAAATATTCCCGCGGTATCTCCCGTTTCGTCCGATATATTTGTCTTTTGATAAAACATGCATTCACGGTTGTATGTATTTCCAGTACTACCGGTAGTATAGGATACTGGTAGCATTTCAACCTAAGTCATGGCGCAGCCACCTCGGCTTCCGTTCTTTGTCTATGGCACTCTCATGTACGATCACAGTACATGTAACGTTATGTATAGTATAGCAGATGACTGACTGCCTAACGTTATGAAGAGTATACCCGGTATATGCGGTTAACGAAATGGGGACATGGCATCTTGCAAATGCATGCCCCACCCCCGCAACAATTATATATATATATACTTCGAAGTATAAAATTGTTGTGATAATATACATCAACCATCGACAACATGCTGAACAGGCTTCGGTGGCGAGTTGGTCGACACACAGCTTTGCCGCGAGGACGGCCGTCTCACGATCGTGGCCATAGCATTGCGGCCATTCGGTTTTGACCCGAAAACCTTGCCTCACGAATCCGGATACGAAGTCCTTAAAGCAGAAGAGACAGCTCGCGCACCAAGCATCCACGATCGAATCGTTTCGAAGGGACTTGCAGCAAGCCCAGAAACTCGAATCGACCAAAATAGGCGTCAATGCCATGACAGACACCGCCAACCATCAAGCATTAGCTGTACGGGTGTCCATCATGCTGTTATTATTCTTGAGCAGTTTGACTGAAATATATATATGTACACTAGATTGAAAAGGAACGGCTTGTGGAACTCGTCAAGTCGCTCCAGCACCAACTCACTGACGCGAAAAAGGCCGACGCAGCAGTTGCCCCGCCGCCCAAACCCGAAATTCGATCCGTACGTCCTTGATACAAAATCTGTCTCGAGCCTAACCAGCAATTTTTTTTTTACCTCAGCGCCTCCCACGACTCAATGGTTCTGACTCTGCTGACGTGGACAAGTTGCGGCGCGCCATCGAAGCCAAAGACGAAGAAATCGGGACGTGGAAGGATGCGCTCGAACAAGCTACAAAGGCGTCAGCGGTAAACATGCCCTTTGTTTTGACTTCGACGGCGTGACGATCTTTGTGGACGTGGTAGGCGCAAACCAACTCGCGCCTTGTCGCGGACCTCGAAGAAGAAAACGAACGGCTGCGGGACCAAGTGGACGAACTGAAAAAGCAAGTTGTCCTTGGCCATCGACCTCGCAAGCATGGAGGGTCAAATGGGTCGTCATAACTTCCGCCATACTAGTACATACACTGTACAGTACATGTAACGTTATGTATAGTATAGCAGATGACTGACTGCCTAACGTTATGAAGAGTATACCCGGTATATGCGGTTAACGAAATGGGGACATGGCATCTTGCAAATGCATGCCCCACCCCCGCAACAATTATATATATATACTTCGAAGTATAAAATTGTTGTGATAATATACATCAACCATCGACAACATGCTGAACAGGCTTCGGTGGCGAGTTGGTCGACACACAGCTTTGCCGCGAGGACGGCCGTCTCACGATCGTGGCCATAGCATTGCGGCCATTCGGTTTTGACCCGAAAACCTTGCCTCACGAATCCGGATACGAAGTCCTTAACGTTAAATTGAACTCCTTGGTCACATAAATGTGTAAGCAATTATGGTCAAAATATTCCCGCGGTATCTCCCGTTTCGTCCGATATATTTGTCTTTTGATAAAACATGCATTCACGGTTGTATGTATTTCCAGTACTACCGGTAGTATAGGATACTGGTAGCATTTCAACCTAAGTCATGGCGCAGCCACCTCGGCTTCCGTTCTTTGTCTATGGCACTCTCATGTACGATCATTATATCGTCTCGTTAGTTTTCAATCTACATGTAGGAAAGGTTTCCGCAACTTTGACAGACACGTGGGCAAATACGCGTCCGCGCGATTCCTGGCCCCGCGGGGATCGGTCGCCGATGCGTCGCTCATGCACTTCGCCGCAGGATACCCTGGAATGTACCGCGGCGGCAGTGGCGTCGTGTATGGCCAAGTGTTGACAGCCGACGACCCGCAAGAATATGACCAACTTCTGGAGGGTCTGGATGCCCTGGAAGATTATTACGGTGCCGACCACCCATCCAATGAGTACGAACGTGTGCAAGTCGACGTCACGTGCGGCACTGAGAGTCTTCTTGCATGGACGTACTTCTGTGTCATTCCTTCCGACACTGCCGTGGACGTTGTCTCGAGCGGTGACTGGCGCCAGTACATGACAGAACGTCAACTCCAAGACATTTAACGTTTAAGCATTAGTGGCTGCTACTTTCGCAGCCAACTTTAGTGTGGCTTTCCTTTCGCGTATATGGGCCAATTCGATGTCGATCGCTTTCTTGCGCAGGGTGTCCGCAGCCAGACGTTCCAGCTTCAGCGCGGCCTCTCGCTCCCGCAGGCGCGCCAGCGTCGGAGGCTGCCACACGTCAGTGGCATGTGCCGCCACCTGTTCCACAATAGACGAATCCGCTTCGGGGGACTGTGCGATGTACCCCCCCAATCCCCCCGCCCCAAAAAGAACCATCCAAAACCCCGTCGCATGGTACCCTCGCAGCGCCCAGAGGTGCAGCTTGAGCTTTTGCGCGTTTTTCTTGACTTGGGCGCCCTGGATGTTGGAGCAGCCGTCGCACTGCGGGTAGTACCTTCGTTCAAGACACTTTAGTGTGGAAGAGATAGTGTCGAACTACCCACCTTTGGACGACCGGACCAGCTATCAGGCGGTTCCACAGTCTTTCGTTTTCGGCTTTGGCGACCATGACGGGTGGCTGGTGGTCGGCGTGGAACTTGGCGCTTCGAACGCCACATGTGTGGCAACCGTAGAGGCGGCCAAAGCTCTGGATAACGGCGCGGGCGTTGCCGTCTGCATACTGCACATGATAAGCCACGATGAAAAACTACTTCACTGTGCATATATACCTCCAGTGTCGCAGGCAGCGAAATGTTGGCGTGTCCAAATGCCCCAGGGTGACGAAAGTCGCTGGGTGCTAATGACCGGAAGCGGCCTCCCAACAGGCTAGAAGTGCCGCTGTGGTGAAGGACATGATAGAGTTCACGGTGGTGTACCGAAAGAGAAGCAAGCCCGTGGCGGCGGCAGCTGTCATTTGCACGGGCGTGGGGTCCGTTCGTCGAAGGCAAAAAGCTCCAACGAGAATACTTGAGGCAGCCACGCCAATGCCGCCAACGATGGAAGGGAATGCTGGCGTGGATGCCGACATGCGACACAACAACATACTGAGTTGGGTCAGCGAGACACCGCCGAAGAAGATGGCACCACCACACAGCGCGTCTTTGGCTGTTTCTCCAGCTGAGTGTACGAGCTTGGCGTCGCGAAACGACGCAACCACGCCGCCGACACGACTCTCGATGGAGTCGTCCGTCCGACTGCTCGACACTTTCCCCATTGCTGTGAAAAGCAAGTCCAGTTTACTGTTAACTCACGATGGATTATGCTCAACTTATCAAGTCAAAATAGATCGCGGGAAATGATTACGGCGACAGTGACCTACATTCTGTAATCTTGGGTGGCAGCAGGATACAGGATACGCCGGAAGTGCAGCCCTCGGCTACCGGTAGCAGTGCAACGACAAGTGGGGCCCATTTAGGATGCCAGCTATAGAGCGATCTCTAATGTTCGAACACGCTGACCAGTCGACGGCACAATATTGGAAGTGTATGCAAGCGGCCAAAATCGAAAAACACCAACTTTCTTAACGTCGTTCATGTCGCCTTCGAATTATTTGATTTGCTTGTTTGGAGATTTCTTGCTTCAACTTAACCAGGTCACTCGACATTCAATGCACGGTGGGAAATCCTTCCTAGCAGTCAGTCATATGAGCGTTCATGACACGTTGGCATGGTTGCTTTGCCGCGTCAATGACATCAGCTGGCCTCACATTTCAAATGTAATACAGGTTAAATGTCATTGCGTGGCCAAGGTACTGACGTCGGGTGTAGACGGAGGAGATTCGGTGGTCAGCGAGACTACGAAGAGTGGGACGAGCCATCCAATCAAACGACGGACTCAAGATCTCAGGCGCGTGTGTATTGGACGGGGGCCTCCTGCGGTGAGTTTGTACGGTGTAAAGCAGGTGTTTGCTTTGCACGGGGAAGGCGCATTCTCCCATCAATGGAATGACAGCTCTGGAAAATGTATCTTTCAGCGACAATCCACGAAAGGTAGAGAAGAGGGTGACGTTTTGTTGTGGTCAAGGTAGGACTCACTTGACAACTTCCGCGCCGTCGAATACATACATCCAGTATGTGCGACAATGACATGGGCGGCAACGCGACGACCTGTGATCTGTTCCACACAAACAAGAGCAACCTCTGGATTGCATTGGGGATGTCGCTCGTGCTTCCTTCTGTACCTCAATGCCTTGCTTTTGCCGCGACAGTGTTGGTCCTAACAAAAGCTGCCAACCGCGTCGTGCACCCAGCGATGGATTGCGTGACTCGTAAGTGGCGCATCGGCCGAGCCCTTCGAGTCCTCCCCGGCCCCCCCTCGCTTCCAATCATTGGCAACCTGCATCAACTGGGTAAGAACATGGTCAATATCCACTGGTGGAAGGTAGACATGACGCGGCTATACGGCGGCACGTACGCTACCCGCGTCGACTGCCTCATGGACGGCTCCATCGTCACGAGCCGCCCAGACAACCTCGAGTACATCCTTCAAACCAACTCAGCCAACTACGTCAAGCCCAAGCTGCTCCAAGACACATGCAAAGAGATCATGGGCGAATCCATCTTTTCCATCAACCCCAGTTCCCCTCTCTGGGCCCTCCAACGCAAACTCATGTCGTCCATGTTTTCTGTCAACTCGTTCCGCAAGTACATGAACTCTGTCTTTCAAGAGCACACGCGGCAATGCATCGCAGACCTGTACGCTGCCACCACAACGTCTAAATGCGATGCTAGTGGGGAACAATTTGGTCATGGGGGAGAGGTTGTCGACATGGAGCTGATACTGTTAACGCTGACCACCAACATCTCGTTCCATATTGGGTTTGGCGGTCATGTGCCCGACGAAATGAACTCCCCCCAATTCCACGCACTCTTTCGAGACGCCAGCTCTATCACAGCCAACCGGTTCACCAAGCCATGGTACAAATGGTTTGGCTGGTGCATGCCGTCGGAATGGCAGTTGAAAGCTGCCATGACCGACATCGACAACATGTTTTACAGAATTATTGCGTCGCGGCAACAGGAAGCTCACAACGATGGGGCCGTGGACATCCTCTCCCAACTCTTGGCCCGCCAACGCCAAGGCCACCACATCACCGACAAGTTTCTTCGGGATATGATGATGACGGTGATGCTCGCGGGGCGGGAGACGGTTGCGAGCAGTTTGCTTTGGATTGTGTACTTGATCGCCCTGCACCCCGAGGTGGAAGCCAAGGTCATGGCCGAAGTGGACGCGATCAAGGATGCCACCGATTACGACAACGTCGCCCAACTGTCGTATCTCGAAGCGGTGATGAAGGAAACCTGGCGGCTCTTCCCCCCCACCGCCTTGGAGCTCAAAAGCGCACTCCATGACGACGTCTTGCCCGTATGTACATCGTCACTATTTATCCCCCCTTGCAAGACCCTCATTGATTTGCTTGTAGGATGGGACATTTGTTCCAGCAGGGGTGAACGTCGAGTTTTCGCCGTTTGTGATGGGGCGTGATCCCACTAGATGGGAAAACGCAGGCTCGTTTATCCCCCAAAGGTGGCTGGAGCCTACCTTTGTCACCCCAACAGACTACGAATTCCCGGTCTTTCACGCCGGCAAACGTAAATGCGTCGGGCAGCGCATCGCCATGCTTCAAGTCAAGTACATTCTCACCATGTTGTACCAGCGTTTCCGCTTTGAATTGGTGGACAAGGTGACGCCTCCCCAGTTGACGTTGGGCATTGCGTTGTTTGCCAAAGGTGGGTTGCCAGTCCGCCCCATCGTGCGGGAAGATCTGACCATACCCGCCCCCTCCTTATCAACCCCCCGGCCTCGCGCTTCGTCCGCCGCGTAAATCCCGACAAAAGAAGAAGGAAACTAGTTTATTAATATCGAAGCGACAAGAAGCATGCCACCCCGGCTTTGATCCAGTAATCTTGGTCTGCAAATTGCATTTGCAGGTTGGTTTCCGACACGAGTGAGTTGCGGAAGATCGTGTCCTTGTTGGACGGCACTTCGATCCACATGACAAAGTTCGTCGAGTGGCCAGTCGTGGACAGCGTGCCGGTTCGGGTGAGGATCTTGTACACGGGGCAGCGATAGATGCCACTTTGTGGCGCTTGGCGGTGTTTCACCGGCATGAGGTGCATCACTGGCATCTTCGAAAACAGCTCCTTTGGAATCGGGTCAACCAGCGAGTACTGCTTGGTGTCCCACCGCGCCCCTTCAATAAACAGTCCGTACGCATAACACCCACCCTTTTGCGGCTTGATGTGCAGCCGCTCGACGGGGTCGGGCACCATGATGAAGTCCCACGACAGCGTGTCAATCGGGATATTGAACCCCCGGGCGTGGTTTTGCAATGTACCGGTGAGAAACCCCTGGGGAAAGAAGAACCCCGAGAGCCAAAACACGGGCGGGATGCCATCGTTGATCCAGTGCGTGAGGAATTTCAATCGCTCCAGAAGCTCGTCCACCCATGGGTTCAAGGCTTTCAACGACGGATATGCCTTTCGCTCCCATCCTGGGGGGACCTAAAAACAAAAAAACGAAATCGCGTTGGCTAGACCAGTATCCTCGTCGCACTTACCTTTTGATTGAAAATGCAGTTGGACATGGTTTCCAAGTCGGCCGACATCACGACGAGCCCTTTGAGTGCTCGCTGGAGCAGGGGCAACGACGTCTTCATCACGTACAACAGGTTGTTATATCGCTGGGCTTCTTGCACGAGCACGGTGTTCATCGACTCTTCGTACATGACCGGGTACCGCACACTGATAAAGTCAATGTCGTACATCGGGGGCAGCTTGTCTTCGATCTCTTTGGCTTGCATTTCAATGATCATTTCGCGCGACTGGCCACCCCCTGCACTCATCCGAGGCTGCAAACTCAGCACAATGTCAAAGTTCTTGAACGTTTCGGCGATCGCGCACGTGATGTTGGCATTTTCGTGCATGCCAAACACTTCCGGGTCTGGATTCAGCGGCAACGAGTCAATGTAGTTGAGATAGTGCGCCAGTGGACTCTTGGGGTTGTCGGAACTGGACACTGGAATCGACTTGTACGTGCCGCTTTTCGAGAACCAGTAGTGGTCACTCAGGATCTTGTCGTTGAAGAACCCGTCGAGGATCACGTCAATCGTGCGCATGTCCTTGTCGTCCGTGACGCGGCCGCCATAGTTGACTACAGACGTCATCACGCACAGCACCTTGTATGGCACGACGTCGTAAAAATCCAAGAACATTTCCAATTGAGCTCGTGAAATGTCATAGTCGGTATCGTTGAACGCGTACGGAATGTTCCACCCGAGCGGTCCAAAGCGCTTGCGTTCGATTACAATCGCATGAAAGAATGCGAGGCCAAACAGCAATTTCCGGTACTTTTCGGGCTTTCCCGTGGCATCGAGCATGTCGTCGGTCATCTTCATGTACGAGTTTTTCAGGTTGGCGCGGATGCCCTTGGGGGGTTCCTTGGTCATCTTGACGCCGTTCTGGAGCACCGACGTCGGAAACGATGCGCTCGGCCGCGACGTCAGCCATAGCCGAAAGTCGCGGTGGGTTGTGTCCGGGTTGAGTTCTTCGCAAATTCGCTCGAGCGACGACATCCATGAGATCGCCAAGTGGCAGTTCTGGAGCAACACCCACTTGCCGCTCGAGATGGCGTCGTCGATCATCTTGGCGGCAATCACGCCTTGGCCCTGCCCCAGAGAAATCGAATTCAACTTGCGGCCCATCTTCATCGTGTCCGCAAACAAGAGCAGGTCTTTCGCCGGGTCCGACCCTGTGCCAAACAAAAACGGTGTTAACGTCATGTGAAAAATTGAAAAGGAGGACAAGGTAACGTACCCGTCGAAAGCACGAAGATCAACGGGGTGGTGACACTCGAGTCGGCGTACGACCCTGGCAGGTCGAACGTCGGCGGCTCGATGAACCGTTGGCCCAGATGTTCGGCCACAAACAGCTGAATCGCCTCGGTCATCCGATCCGGACGAATGCACCGGAGGGTGCACAGCTTCTGGAATGTATTGAGCGAAAACTGAAAGGGTACCGGGAGGCGTGACAGGTGCGGGTCGTTCGAGTCAAACATGGCGCGCCACGTGTCTTCTTCAGTCGTGAGGCTTGCGACGAGGCCGTCAAACTTGGGCAAAGTCGTGAGGTTGCAGAATTCTGAAAACGCGCGGTCTTCGATCCACAAAGGGTTGGGGTTCCTTGCGTCCACGTCCTTCGATGGTGTGGACCCAGAGATGAGGAACCGCCACTCGAGGGCGTCGATTTCGTCACGACCTTGGAGCAACTTGATCGTAAGGAGAAACGAAAACAGGAGCTTGTGCTCTTCAAACAGCGACCGGCAAATGTTCCTGTACAACGAGTACGTAGCGTACTCAATGAGGTTGACCAGTCTCGTTGCTAGCACGTCGCTTGGTTCGGCCGCGCGACAGCTCTAGGCATAGATACAACAGAGATTAGAATTCCATAGGTGGTAGACAGCATCCACGGAACCTTGATAAAGTTCTCGATAAACCATGACAGCGAGTACTGGTACATGGGGTCGACAATGGACAAGTCGGCGATGCAAAAGAAGAGCAGGGACGCGCGATTCGCCACCCCGCGGTACAATTCACGCGTTTCGTCGATGGTTTTCTCGGTGACTTCAGCTTCGGCCATCTTTTCGTTGATGTCTTCCGACGTGACTTTGGCTTTGCCGAGCATGTCGATCAAGTCCGTGTCGTCAAGAATGTTGCCCTGCGAGTTGGCCAGCATGTACAAAATCTTGTTTTCAATGTCCAGGAGCTCGGCTTTCATTCGGGCGTTGGACACGACCAACGTGTTCTTTTTCTCCGCTAGCTCGGGCATTTCTTCTTGGACGACCACCCCCAACGCTTGCTCTTCGAGCCCCGTGGGGGTGATGGTAAAGTTGAGCAGACACACCTTCACGCAGGTTTCGGGGGGGTAGTGGGGGTTGGGCAGCTTGGTCGTCATGAAGAACCGGAAGGCCGCGTTGTACGGGATCGTGGTATCCCCAATCTTCATCATCAACTGCCCTCCCTGCTTGAACTTGGTTTGCAGTAGCACCGTCTCGAGCGCCGCGTCGAGGAATTCACTCACGTTCTCCATGAGGATCCACTTGCCAAAGCGGACGCCATTCTCTAGCACCTTGATGAACCCCTTGTCGGTGCTCTTGACCACGTCGATGCCGTTTTCGCTCGTGTCTTTGCCCAGATTCTTGATGAAACGATTCGCTTGACCTTGGGGGTCGATCAGAAGCGGCCACCGACGGGCACGGGCCATGATGATTCCGTTTTGCACCGACAGGTTGTCCGACGGCAGGCCGGCGATCTGCCACCCCCGGACTTTGACCGGGTCGGCCAGCGTCGTGATGATGTTGCAGTTCTTCGTGTGAGGCACTTGCTGCTTGGCCAACGCATTGTACCAGGATGCAATGCAAATGTCGCGGAACTCACTCGTAAAACACCCGAGGTAGCTGATCGTGCCGGACGAAATCACCACGTCGCCCACGAGGTTCTTCAAGTCGTCCATCAACTGTTTGATCGTGATTACCCATCGATCCTCCTCGCCCCCCAACAGTGCAATCAACTTGAGCGCCGATTCTATAACTCACCATAAGAAGTCTTATAATAGACACACATACGCAGATGTATCTATCGTGTGTACCTAGTCGAATCTCGCACTGCCGGACGTCCTGCACCAGCTGGTCTTTCTTGTCGACCGCAGCATTGTAGCCGTTTTCGAGCTCTCGCAGTCGATCCACAACGGCCGTGAGCCGTCCTTTGGCATCGGCTAACACCCGCATCGTCACGTCTAACTCCGCTTGGGCTTCCGCTAATGCAACCTTCTTGGGCTCGACCATCTTGGCAATCTTGTTGTACGTGTGCATGGCTCGCACCCACATGCAGATGGCTTCACACGCCTAAGCAAAGCCACCCCAAATCCAGTCTAAACCATTCGTCTTTGAACCTAGAACAGCGTATTAACAACGCACCACGGACGCCTTGCGCACGGACGCGGGTAAGAATTCCTCCATTTCCATGTACGGGTCGATCTGTTGGACGATCTTGTCGGCGATGTTGTCCTTGTCAAACTTGACCATGTCTTCGAGCAGCTTCTTGGCGTTCCCGAGAATGGTCTTCTGGGCACTTTCCCAGTAATCCTTGATCTTCTGGCCGGGTTTGTCTGGGTCTGTTTTTAGCGTCGGCTTGATGCCAAAGATAATGCAAGCCGCTTCCATCGTCAAGCGCACCCCGTGCGGCGGGTTCTTCATGGCCTTGACCTCGTCAATGTCGGACTTCTTGAGGCGATTCAGACATTGCGTGGCAGCGTCCAGCGCAGGCAACGCTTCGTCCAAGTCCCGCTGGGCGTCATCGGCAATGGCTTTGGTGTCGGCGGCCTTTTTGTTGGCAAATTGCTCCTCTGCAAGTAATAGCAATGTTTACATGTCGTTATAAGATATATATATATATATATATATACAATAGTCATGAATTATTACCCTTTTCAACCACCGCTTTGGTTTCGTCGGCATCCTTCTTGTCTTCGGTGATCTTGATCATCATCGCTTCGACTTCGATTTGCGTTTTTTCGAGCTGCGGCTTGAGCGCCACCAATTGTTCCTGCATTCCTGCGACTTGCTCCTTTGTGGCTATGATCTTGTCGACGCCATTTTGGAGTCGACCTTTTCGCATATAAGTGTTATTAGGTTGTGTATTGCTGTGATAGGTATGTATGTACTTGTGGTGCCTGTGACTTCTTCGCGTTTGGTTTGGAGAACGCTCTTGAACGTAAACAGCAGTTCCAAGTACGACGTCGGGGTCACGTAGTTGTATCGTCGTAGTTTTTGAAAGTAATTGTTCGACTCTTGTTCCACCGTTTGATGCATGCTCTATATAAAATACAATATTTCGAATCCCCATGTGACAGTTTGCACTTTGACAAGCAACCCAACCCCAACACAACTCTTATCGCACACAATATTACCTGAAATACGTTGACCACAGCGCCGACTTGATCGCCCAATTTCAAGTCCACGGTCGTAAGCGCATTCATGGCGACACTTTGCAATGCTTGGGCTGGCCATTCGCTGAACCAGTCAATCGTACAACAGTTGACGAGCGACGGAAACATGCGAATGCGGTCGCGAAAGGTGCTGCCGAGGGGACTCATGCACAGCACAAGATGCAGATTCTGCCGGACGAGGCCGACATAACACGCAAAGATGTTGAGTTTCGTAGCGGGAATCCTTTTCTTGACGCATAGGTTTCGGCAGTGGTTGGTGATGGCGTCAATGTCCTCGGGGGCGTACAAGTTGGGCACGTCGCCAGTGTTTAAAATGTTGTTGATATCCTCGAGCATGATCTCGTGCACGATCTGCACGTCCGAGAAGAGAAACACGGTGGGCTTCTCGTCCACGCCCGCCTTCATCAGACACTTTTTCAGGTCGTCCCGCCAGTCCACAACGCTGTACCCCTTGGAGATTTCGATCTGGCTGCACCCGTACTCGGCCATGTAGGCGGCGAGTCGGGTGAGCGACTGCCGCCCGCTGCCGCCGACGCCCAAGAGAAGGGCGTTGCCCTGGGGCTGGCGGATGATGCGCGCGATGCGAGATACGTGCTCAATGGCGTTCATAAACATGACCAAATTCATGGGGGCGCTCGACTCGGCGTTGTAGTCATTCAGGTACTCTTCTACCTGGGCTACCAGTTTGTCCATATCGGTGATTTCTTCGTAGATCTTGGGGTCGGCGCCAGGCACCATGTAGTCGCCAAACAAAAGATTCGAGCTCGGCACAACGATCGCCCAGATCTTTTGCTTGGTGTCGTACATAGCGTCGTGGTCCTACACCAAAAATACAACAATTTTCAGAATAAACAATGCTTGCGATCAACACGGACGTACATGCTGGACGTCCGGGAGACCAAACTTGGGGCCAAAGTGAAGCGCGAGTTGCATCTGCAGCTGGCCGTGGAACCACTGGTGGTCACTGGGCGTCGTGAAGCGGTCTTCGAACACGCGCATGTTCTCATGTACCCACAACCGCAGCAACTGGTCGAGCTTGATGATGCGCTTGGCGTCACCCATAAGCAGCCCTTGGAACACCTTGGCCAAGTCTCGGAGGTTGAACGTGTAATGCGCCTTGGCGGGCGTCGGGAGCAGTTCCTGGATGATTGTGTTGTAGATGTAAATAGAGCTCTTGACGATAGACAGCCCAATCTCAGGCGGTTTGAGCTCGTCGGAAAATTTCGCCAAGTAGCTCGCGACGATCGTGGCAAACACTTGCTTCTTGTTGTCGTCCGACATTTCCGTGTATCCGATGATATTAAAGTGCCGTATAAACCGGGGGGTGATGGGGTTGCGCCCGCCCCCCGGTGGCCCCATCGACGCCACCATGACCACGTCCACGATGTTGCGGAACACGAGCAGTTTGCGGTCGTACCATCCGGCTTGGTCGAACCACTGGCGAAGGATTTCAATCGGCGGCTGCGCAAAGTACTCTTCTTGCTTGGGCATGTTCAAGTCGTCAATGTGTACGATAAACTTCTTGCCTGCCGTGGGACCGTACACGCCCTTGCGCCGCTTTTCCATCTTGCTGTCAAGAAAGTCCTGCGTCTGATTTGCGCTCGTTTGCGCTGAAAATGTGAGCTTGAGTGGCACAAACTTGTCGCTGTCGACCCGCTCGAGGAACTGGTTGACGTTGATCGTCTTGCCGGTACCCGTGGGGCCGACAATGAGCATGTGCACGCCTTGTGTTAATGCTAATTGCATGAGAAACGTCGACCGGACGCTGTCGCTGGTTGGCACCACGAGCTCTGAAAACGACGCGTCACTTGGGACGATGTACTTGGGGATCGTGTCGAGCCACAGCTTCCACGATTCCGACGGTCTGTCCAACGCGTAGTCGTAGACGAGGCCCTCTGACGGCATGGGCAGGTGGATGCTGGGATGCGCCAGCATTTCCTGGCGCAGATACGCATCAAACTTGACGCGGCCAGCGTCGTTGCCGGTGGCCCCAACGGACCACACGAGGCAAAACACAAACAGTTCGGCTATGTGTTTTGAAAAGAACGACACGTGCTCAGCGCGGACCTCCTTCTTGTCCTCGCTGCCGCGCAACACGGAAATGAACGAGTCCAGCAGCCGCATCAAGCTCTGGCACAAGTTGTTGGGGATCTGGGGCAGCCACTCCTTGACGTGCGCCGTCACAAATGCCAAGCTTGGGCGAAGGAACGCGTCAAACAGGTACTGGAGCTGCTTCCGTGTGTCGTTTGAAAAGTCGTGCGGGAGGTTCTCGAGCCTACAACCATAAAATATACTGTTAGAACAGGCGGATGGACGGACGGGGAATGTGTAGCGCAATTAGGGGGATGTAGAACGGACCAGCTCGTGATAAGAGGGTCAAAGCCGAGCGACGCCGGCTCCATGTACACCATGCCGGTGCGGCTGACTGTGGCGGGGGACGCCACCGACAGGTCCTCCACCTCGAACATCATGGTCATCTCTTGAGACATTTGGATGATTTCGCCGCTGCTGAGGCACAACTTCTTGTTGTCGTCCAGCACCGTGTTCATATTTTCAATCCATATGGCGTCCACGGGGCCGTCAAAGATGACCCACTTGCGGTCCGCGTTGGCACTTGACGCGGCCGCGCGGTACAAAGTGCTGAGGATCCCATCTTGCCACTCGTGGGTGCTAGCGTCAAACTCACCGTACAGTTGCCCCATCGTGATGGACTTTGGGTTGAGCTGATACAAGATCACTTCTTCGTAGGCAAAGCCTTGCTCGCCCAGCTTTTTCAGCTCCGACAACGTGTCGCATAGCACCCGGACGTTGCTCGACTTGCCTAAGTATGTGCATGTCACGTCACATTGCCTTTAACATGAAGATGCATCATCAACACACCTCCCCCGGTCGCCCCCACTACCATCAACCCATGGCGAACACACAGCGTTTCGTACAATTGTACGACCTTGAGCATGAAAAACGGATGCGGCTGGAGTTTTTGCCTCTGAATCACAAGCTTGGACACTCGATTCAGGGCCCCTACACCAAGATCGCCATGCTCAGTGAAGACAACTCATAGCCACATGTATGCGTGTGTACCAAGGTTCAACTGCGGCCGCGACTTGCCAGGAAAGAGATCACTGATGATCCCGTTGAACAGGGGAATGTCAAATGACAGAAATTTGGGTAAATTGACGTCTTGCAACGCCCGCAGCAGCAGCACCTCTTCGTCCATGTGGGGGTCCGCGCGCTTGAGGTTCCCTGCGGCCGTAATCACCGTTTTTACAGCGCGCATGCCGTAATCATAATGCGACTGGGCCGATAATTGCTCAGAACACAACTACCCCAACATGTATTTAGTATGACACAAAACAGCATCATCGCAACTTTGTAGTTACCTTGAACGTCGTGACCATCTTGGCGCCACACTCTTTGGCCTTTTCGTAGCCGTAGGCAAAGAACATGATTTCGCCAATCATGGCATAGTCTGGCACCATCATAGCCACCGGACGGAAGAGCGCCGCCAGACTATCTGGCAGGTCGGACCGCCCCGCGTACCCCGGATTCATGGTAATAAACACACCAAATTGAGGACTCACGGCAATGTCGGACCCTTCAAACATGATGCGCTTCTCGTTGGCTCGAATGGCAAGCTAATCACGAATAATTGAGCATCACACTTGGTTCCGAAAATTCCGCAACAACTTCCATGACAACGACACTCCAACGAACCTGCAACGTTGTGACTTGTTGCCCAATCACCGACAGCACTTCAATGTTAATCCGATTGAACTCGTCAAAGCACGCCCACGCCCCACACGATGCCAACCCCTGCCGTACATGTTGTCAATATTTGGTTTGTGCGACATCGTCATCATCGTACTTTGAAGAATTTTCCCATTGCAATGTAGTCGAGGCCATCAGAGCAGTTGAACACGACGCACTGCTTGGCGAGGGCTTTCGCCAAGTCTTTGGTGGTTTCGGTCTTGCCAGTACCGGCAGGTCCAGCGGGAGCACCCCCCAAGATCATTTGCAGCGCCGCCATGAGTGTCATGTAGCACTTGTCCGTGAGAGGTGTAATCACCAACCGGAACGAGTTGCCCAAGTATTCGTACCCGTACGGACGACGCGCGCTTACCTACAAACCCATGACATTCAGTCGTCCAGATTGAAGTTGCTGTGTATTTTTAGTTGGTACCATTTCCGCAAACAGATCGTCGCTCCAGTAGTATCGCAATTGACTTGACCACATAAAGTCGTCTTTGGAGCTGACTTGGTTTTGCGCGAGGCGTAACGTGACGTCGCGGGCGTGAACGTCAATGACAGTTAGGGCGCCCACACTGATGCGCGCCAATTTATCCAAGTGGCCACGAACCTATATATATATGGGGTTATCAACCCCCCTTTGAAAACACATGTAGCTAAGCTAGCTAGCTCCATTGCTTTGCTGTACCATGATAACCATGTCGGCAAGTTGGGCGAGCTGATGCTCGAGCATCTTCGTCACGCCCTTGGCCCCGTGGGCGAGCATACCTTCCTCCATTTCCCTCGTCCAGTGAAACTGCGATCCATTCAGGACACACATCCCAGGCCATTTCTGGATCCACTTGACTCGGGACACTTGGGTGTAGTCCTGAATGGCTTTGAACATGACGGCGCGCACGCTCACGCGCATCATGTCCTCAACTTCGGTCATCCAGTGCTCGACGTTCTTGCCGTTGGGGTTGACGGGGGTGGCCATGGCGACGGTCTCGCCCTCGGCGGAAATCATGGCCGTGATGGTCAGATCCTCCTGGAACTCGACCTTGACCACGCCCTCAAAGCACTTTTTCAAATGCGGCTGCACGAGCTTGACGTCTTTCGACTCGGACAAAATCGACAGCAACTCTTCGTTGGACAAGAAGTAGAACCGGGAAAAGCTCGACCGCTTCGTCTCGAGGAAATCGCTCAGTCCTTTTTGCACTTGCTCAAGAAACTTGTTGCTTTCTTGGAACCGATCGAGGAGCTTGTCGTTGTTGCAAAAGTTGATCACGCTCGGCTTGGCTTTGGCCGCTTGGAGCGTCTGGCGCCAGTTCTTGTCCACCGTTGCAAACCGTTTGCCTTCCATCGGCAGCTGCTTGTTAATGTCTGGCGAGTCAAATATCGGCTGCAAGTACAGCCACGCGCGCTGCACCGCCATCCACTCTTCCATCACGTCCGACACGGTGCTCAGACACTTTTCCCACTTGTTGATGCGTTCTTCAAAGGGCTTTTTGAAGGCTGAAAACTGCATCGCCTGGGTGATCGTGATCTGCTCGTCCAAAATTGCTTGTACTTCGTCCACTGCTTTGAGCACAAACGTGCCCGTTTCACGGTACTCGACCACCGACAACCTACCCACCAACCAAAGACACGTTGTTTTTACCTTTCAACACAATGCACATACGTGACATGTTTCCACTGCTCTTCCATGATGTTGAGGGCCTTTTCAATCTGGTATTCCTTGCCCGCGGTTTCGCAGATCTTGGTGATCGTGTCGATGTGGGCATCGAGGCCGAGCCCTAGCACGTATGACAGCTTCATGCCTCGATCTGGCCGGAAACTCATGTGGGTTTCCTGGTTCATTTGCGCCCAATGGCGGTCTTGCATGCCCGGGTTTCTCAACGCAATGACCAGCGGCACATGCGGGCGAAACTCTGCGATCTCGTTCTTGATGTGGCTGGCAATGTCTAGGCATCCCTTGATGTTCATCTTTTCAAAGTACTTGGTGGCCTTGGTGATGGTTGCCCAGTTGGTCTCGACAAACTGCTCAAACTCTTCGCCGACAATGTCCAGGAATGGCCCGTCCATCCATTTCTTGTGGTCCTTGATCCAGTTGTTGGCAGTTTTCCACAGCATCGAGTACGGTTCAAAGTCGCGGCGGATGCGGCTGATTTGCTCATAGTCCGACAGGTCTTGGCCAAACAGTCCTTCCCGCGAATTGAACAACCGCGCGTCTTCTTCGGCTTTGAGGATCTTCTGGTCAATGTTGACCACATACCTACACAGCGTAGATCAATCTCAACATGCTACTGTGGGGGGCGTTGTCACAGGAGATTGATAGATGGTGTTGAATGTATAATAGTACTTGTAAACTTGTTCGACGCGAGCCAAGTCCGTGTATTGCTTGAACCCGTCGACTTCTTGGTGAAGCAACCGCAGTGACTCGTTGAACTCGACTTGTTGGTCGCGCATTTCGGCCAAGAATTGCTGGTTTTGCATTTGCAAAATGTTGTTCATTTTGTGCACTTGGTCGTAAATGTGGTTGGGGCACTGCCGCACGCGCCAAATGCTCATAAAGTCATCTTTGTCCATGCGGTATTGAAACCCGTCGAGCACCTATAAACATCCAACAATTACTATATATATATATATCTTACATATACTTCATCCAAATTTTGCACATACCGAACGATACTTGATCAGCATCTGTGACGACGTGAGCAGAGGTGCCAACTGCGACGGAATGCTCTCAATGTACTTGTTCATTTCTGTGAGTTGTTCAATGTCGGTGGGGATTTTCTGCAGCTGCCGATTAATGGGCTCAAACTTGCTGTGCAAGTCCTTGGCCAAGTTGATGCAATTCACCAACTGGCAGTCCAGCAGCCGTCGCGCCAGTCGCCTATGCTTCTCGGCCAACTGCCCGCGCATGGCAGCGCAGCTCACCGAGTACATGCCGAGCTCGATGTTAGTCGCTGGGATCGCGTCCTCAATATCCACGGCGTCCACGTTGTGCTGCTTGATCTTATCGGCCAGGTCCTGCAGGTTCGGCGGGTCTTGCGTGCGGAATTGGTCGAGGTACGCTTCTTCGTTCAGGTTGAGGAAGCCAATATACCGGTCATACTGCTTGAGGTAATCGCGCAGGGGGCGTTCGCTCTTGTCGAGCAGCTTCTGGACGTCGTCGCGGACTCGAACGACCCATGCTTCATTTCCGTTGACGTACGGGATCGACGGGTGGCTGCTCCAAAACAGCTTGTCCATTACCATTTGTTCGACCTATCACATCCAATTGTGTGTGTACGAACCCCGAAAACAAAACCCAAACATAATGGTAGTCCATGGTGGTGGTAATGTGGGAATCCCCGAAACTTATATTTATATTTACAATAGTAAATATTTTGGAGTAAATTTTAATAAAAATATTTTAGACTTAATTTTTTTTGAACAATCTGAATAATAATTAAAATTTAGAAATAATTATATCTAATTATATATATATATACAAAACAGAATTATAATGTTGGTAGTTGTACGAACTTGTTTGATGTCTTTGAAGCTGTCGATAGACTTGTTGAAGACTTCCACGACCATCTGGCCAAACAAGGGTATCGCTGTGTTGTACCCAAAGCAATTGCCCATCACGGGCGCCACCGCCGCTATCGGGCACTCTTCGTCGTCTCTCTCTGCCCTCGCCCCATTAGCTCAAACATTCAAAAGTCAAAGCGTACGGTGGTCGCCGTCAGGGTCGTCGTCCTGCAGCCGCTTCAACTTGACCTCGTACTCGGCTTTCCACTGCGCGATGTCCCGACTAGCGTCGTTGATCGCTGCCTGGTTGATGACAATCAACTCGCTCGACACACTCAAGTTGACTGTAAACAGCGCCGGCGGGTTTTGAATTTGCCTCTGGCGGCACAAGTGCTCATATTTGGTGTGGCCCAACTCGGCTATGGAAAATCATATTTGCTTTTCACTCGACCAATATAAAAAAAAGCCACGTACCTCGTCGGGCGTCCAGATCGGCGTACGACAAGAACGACGTTTTCGCGTCGATGATCTTGACGTTAGCTTCTGTGGCTTTGTCCACAAACGCTCGAAATGAATGTAACGACTGCTCTGACATGTACCGCAGCGTGTCCTACATGGGCATTCATCATCGCTTGAAACAAACAAGTCACCTGACTTGACTCGAGATGTTGCTAGTTAGTACCTTCATGGTCAAGTTGACCCGCCGGAGGAATGACCGGAGTTTGCTAAACTCATACGTGTCCCGGCGGGTCTCTTGGAGGTTGTACCAGCCCTTTCCAACATGTACGAGCGATGTCTTGATGGCGTGCGTGAGCTTGTTGGGCCAGTCTTCGTGCACAATCTTGTGAACCAGCCGCTCCTGGGTGTTTTGGCGCTGCTGGAACTCTTCGAGCTTGAGACTCCGTGACGTTTTCAATGCAAACACGTCCATGCACAGCATGCGGTAGCACTCCTCGTTGACTTTCACGACCGCGGCCAGCGTCTCGGGCGACGTAAGAAACGTCTGGAACGAAAACCCGATGAACTGGTCGGCGTAGTCGATGGGCGGGGCCACTTCGTGGTGCTGGATCGTCACAACGTGCTTCTTGTCGTCGTCGCCGCCGTTGTCCGCCAGTAGGTGGAAGTTCATCCCGGGCGACGGATGCGCGCGCTGCTGGTGCTCAAAGATGATACGGCTCATCGTGCGCAGGTAGTCCGTGTGCACTTCGTTCACGATGCGCGCCGTGTCGGGTACGGGGATGTTCTTGGCCACAAACGGCACGGACGCCAGCTTGAGGATCTTGTTGATGTTCTCCGACCCGAGTTTATGTAGCCCGTCCGACGGCATGCAGTCAATGTACACGTTCTTCCGGATTGCCGACTGTGCCACGAGGCGGGCTTTGTGCGCCGCTACCACTCGCTCGACAAATTGCATAGGGTCTTCCGCCTGGAAATGTCATTAGAACGTGATGGGGGCATTCGGGGAGGGGCTGTTACTTTGAAGCAAACGTCATTTCGGTGCAGTTGGACGTCGTCGTCCTGACCTTGGTTGCGGAACCGAACGACAAACATGCGACGGTTGGCGTTGAACCCAATGACGTGGCCTTCGCACCAGACGTTGGGTACCCCCGGGCGACCGTATAGCGCGGTCACTGGAATCGCAATCGTCCCGTCTTTCTTTTTCCCACATGTCATCCATTCCTAGCCATTCAATTAGTGCATAGACCATTGGATGGAGGAGATGCGCAGACCTCGGCTTCGCGGACTTCGAACGATTTGTCGTCGAACCAGTGCAACGGCATCGCCTCCAACAACTGCAGCGCAATGCCGCTCGTGTCGCTGGTGACCGTGGCGTATTCTGCGCTTTCAAACAGCTGCGCCAGTCGCTCCCCCACGAGGGAGCCCACGTCGGCCGCTTCAAATCGTCGTTTTTTTCTGTGGTTGGAAAAATTTTACATGGGTTCGACAACAAAGTCGTCGTGCGTACCGTTCGACTTCGACTTGGCGGGGGGGCTGATCGACGGTGCGTTCGTGGGGCAAAAACACTTTTGGCTCAATGTCTCCCCGCTGCTTTCGGACCACGGGCACGGTCTGCAGCACCATGGGCATGCCCACGGAATACGCTACACAAGGTACAAGTGAGTAAAGAACTAGGTTTCCAATGGCATCAATATATTACCTGGCGGGACGTCCACAGTGGTTTGCGGCCCCCCTGTTTGGGTGGTCGCCTTGAGACTTGTGCTGGCGTCTGGTGTCGGGATCGGATCCAAGTACAGCACACTCACACTCTTTTCGTCGGTGGGGTTGGGCTTGACGGGACTCGTCGACGGTGCCAGAGTCTTCCGCCCTCGCTGTGACCAAGTTATGATAATGTTTGTAAACATAACAGTGAATGACCTACTACCTTGGTTGGGCTTGGCATGATATGTCGTCCGAAATCCTCACTTGCTCTGCGGTCTCGCGTTGCAAAGTTGAAGCCAACTGCCATGCGACCTTTCGAGTGTTTCATTAACATTAGGGGTTGTTGATTATCCGGATGGGTCACTCGATATGAATTTTCTCACCGATCCAAATATATTTACTAGTACTACTAGTGCAGGCAGTAGTAAGTACTAAACAAAGATTGTTTTTATTACCCAATCGTAGAAATTGACGTGAAAAAAATGCCAACATAATAATGACAAAAGTGCATTTGTATCCAGGACACAACGTAGGACAGACAACATGTGGCGAGTGGCACTGCGACTCAAGCCACGGGCGCAGCACAGCGCCTTTGCGTGTCGCCACTTGTCGACGTGGGTCACCAACGAGCCAGGCGCAACACCGGCAGCCGAAGCAACCGCAGTGAACAACGCCAAGACCATTCATCGCATCAGTCCGAATCACTTGCGATCCCAAGAAGATACCCGACGCGTACAACTGCTCATCCGCACGTTCAAACAGTATGGCCACTTCGTCGCCCACATCGATCCATTGAAGAAGAGTGAGAAGTCGCCCGAGCTGCAAAAGTGGAACTGGGGCAGTCGGTGGGTTGAAAAGCCGTACTTTGACAGCTTCAATCTCCACTCGCTCGCGCATAGCGCTACGTTGGAGCTGCGGACCCACGGTGACTTGTGTGGCCTTGTCCCAGTGTATTGACCCCACGTCGGTAGGGTTTTCCGAAGAGGATCTGGACCGCGAATTCTTCATTGGCGACGACTTGTCCATCGGGCCCGTGGCGACCCTCCGCGACGTACGTACGCCCATCATGTCCAACGCATCCCTTGATGAGATAGTTGGCTGCAATTAGATCGTGACGCAACTGCGTGCATTGTTCTGCGGCCATATTGCGACAGAGTACCAGCATTTGCGCAACCGCGACGCCGCCATGTGGATACGGGAAAGCCTCGTCAAGTACAACGTAAGCAAACAACTCGTCAGCCACGCATACTGTATATTGCTTATTCGATCGGGTGTGCTTTGTGTAGGACCACGAGTTCACGCCCGCGGAAAAAGTAGCGATTTTCAACCACATGCTGCAAGCGGAATTGTTTGAGAAATTTCTCGGGCGACGGTACGTTGTTTAAAAAATATAATATATATATACAATGCAACGATATATATATATATATATATTCGATGGTTGCTTGTAGGTTTTCAGGAGCCAAGCGGTTCTCGGTTGAAGGCGGTGAAAGCTTGATCCCTGGACTCAAGGAACTGCTGCAGACGGCCAGTGACTTGGGAGTTGAAGCCGTGTACATGGGAATGGCCCATCGAGGTAAACATCATCCAGCGACCCAACACATAGCTCTTTTGCTACTGTTTCTATGTTACAAAATTATACTTTTTTTTAATTATAAAATTATTATTGATATGAGGATAATGATGATGAGAAGGGCGGTTGAATGTACTGGCGAACGTGCTGGAGCGTCCGCTTCGGGCAATCATGTCGCAGTTCCAGCCGTATTTGCCAGACGAGCCAGATTACCCCAACAATTCGGACGACGTGCGATATCATTTGGGCACAGTGTCACATCTCACCATGCGAAACGGCAATGTCATGCAAGTGCGTAGTACTAGTATTATTTATCGCTTGTCTAGTGGATATTTTTTTATATTTTGGTGACATTATTGTAGGTGACGTTGTCAGCCAACCCATCGCATTTGGAAGCGGTAGGTTGTTTATATATTTATAATATGAGTAATATATCTATATATTTGTTTATATTTGTCCAGGTCAACCCAGTGGTTCTTGGGGAAGCCAGGGCGTTTCAAGACATCGCCAAGGACACGGATCGGTCTCGCGTGATGCCGTTGTTACTGCATGGCGATGCCTCCATGTTCCAAGGCTCTGTTCGGTATGTAAGAATATATATAAATGGACTTGGATTTTATCCTAGATAGGGCACTATTGGTCGTGATAAATATGTTGTAATTTTTATATTATAGTGAAGCGTTTGGGTTTAGCGGCCTCGAAGATTTCAAGACGGGCGGCACTGTACATGTGATCATCAACAATCAAATTGGGTTTACGACGTTGCCAAAGCAAGCCGACTCGGCCGTATACTGCAGGTTTGGTCGATATACTACTTATAAACTAACTTTTGCTATTCAATCATAATATTCTTCTGTGTAGTGACGTGGCCAAGATCTCCCGCAGCCCCATCTTTCATGTGAATGGGGACGACCCCGAAGCTGTGGTCAAGGTGATGAAAATGGCGGTGGAGTTCCGCCAAAAGTACAAATGTGACGTGGTTGTGGACCTCGTGTGCTACCGCCGCCATGGCCACAACGAGCAAGTACGAATAAGTATATTCCACCACAGTGTCTTTTGTGGATGATGCTTGAAAAAATGCATGGGCAGGACTCGCCCGAGATCACGGCGCCTGTGATGTACCATTGCATCAACCAACACCCCACGGTGATCACGTTGTACTTTAAACAGCTGCAGAGCCAGGGCATATTGACGGCGGAGCAGTGCGCCGACCTGATCTCGGACATCGAGCGCAATTTGGCCAGCGAGCACGACCATTCCAAGACGGCGCCTTCATTTTGGGATAACCTAGGCGACACCCCACCCCCCCTCCCTCCGACCGACGTCGCTCTGTCGAACGTCGCCAAGGACACCACCACCACTGGCGTGAACCGCAAGTTGCTCCAAGAGATTGGCGCGCAGATCTTTCGCATTCCGGCGGGGTTCACGGCCCACAAGAAGGTTGGACGTCTTGCATTTACTCATTGTATTGGTGGTTGACACTGTCACATATGTTCAAGTGCGGGGGAGTGGTCGAATGACTGGCTGACAGAGTTGTGTAGGTCGAAGCCATCATGAACAACCGCCTCCGAGCGGTTGAAACCGGAGCGCGAGTCGACTGGGCGACCGCCGAGGCGCTGGCGTTTGGGTCGCTCTTGGCTCAAGGCGTCAATGTGCGCTTAAGCGGCCAAGACTGCGAGCGCGGCACGTTCAACCAGGTAGATTGGGTTTTGACACTCGATATATTCCCTCTGTGGTGCGGCGGTTGGTGGAATCAACTGCCCAATCCATCGCCAGACCTGCCAAACTATTTATGATATATATATAAGGTTAAAGAGGTATCTTGGTGCGTCTTATTCATTCGTGTTGTAGCCAATCATAGTGCATTGATTGATTTCTGTTCTTTTTATCCAATCATACTGCTTTGTTTGATTTCGTGGAGATGTCAAGAACCCCGAATAATATTGGCAAATTTGGGCGAAAAGCACAAAACCAAACACGATCTCTTATGACCATCCAAATAATGAGTGGTGTGTCCACGATATAGCGCCATGCAGTATTGTACGATCAATTCGAAGCGCTGTCCATGCGAAATACCACGTACACGCCTCTAAACGGTTATATATATATATATATATATATATTCATGCAAAATAGAAATCTTCCTACTAGTACAATATATATGGCAGTGACTGACTGATGGGACTCTTAGAACTGTCGTTGGAGGTGTTGGCGGCCAAAGTACCCGAGTACGACGTGCCTATCAACGTCCATCCTCGCATTCAAGTGTGCAACAGTCCGTTGAGTGAAGAGGGTGTGCTCGGCTTTGAGTATGGCTATTCGTTGCAATGGTAAAACAATATATATATATATATTCATGATGTATTTATATTGAACCATGAATAGTCCGGGTGCGTTGACCATTTGGGAAGCTCAATTCGGCGATTTTGCCAACGGCGCCCAGACGATCATCGATACGTTTATCGTGTCGGGGGAGCAAAAGTGGCACCGCCATTCCGGTCTTGATCCAACTATAAAGAGAGATGACAAGTACTGACGAGTTGTAGGCTTGATCTTGAACCTGCCCCACGGGTACGAAGGCCAAGGTCCAGAGCACAGCAGTGCGCGCATGGAGCGCTTCTTGCAGCAGTCCAACGAAGATTCCGATGGGTTTACGACGGACGAAGTCAAGGCTGATGTGGATGTGAACATTCACATTGTCATTCCGACCACGCCCGCGCAGTACTTTCACGCGCTGCGTCGTCAAGTGTGTGCTTTGTACGTCGTTGTTCTATTTACAATCGTGGCCTTATCAGCCTCAACTTTGTGCTGATTTGAAAACTCTCTTGATCGAGATCCTATATTGGGTGTACTGAAATGTGGTTGTCTGTAATTCACACTAATTTCAGTCGAACACAAATTCGATGGTAGAGTGAGAATAATATGATTGGCCACTGGACTCGACGTACTGATTTTTTGCATTTTTTAAATTTTTACAAAAAGAATGCGGTGGGTTTTGATTGGTCGATCGGTATAGTGTATGGGGCGGCGGCTCATGTGAGCAAAAAACTGATTCAATTTCGACTTGAAAAGAACTACCTATCAACAAACGCCGTCCCCAACTTTATATTATATACTGAAGTATATATATATATATTATATATTGCGGATTCGGTACAAATTTCCAGACCCCGTCGAATCGAATATGTCGCCGCCAATCAAAAGTCACGAATTGACGCTATTGGCTAATCCAATTTTAAATGGATTTGATTGGCGCTTAAAAAAAGGACAAGTATATTCAACCAATCACAACTCCAGCATGATTCAATATTGATTAGACAAACCACGAGACTTCGCGAATTCACAATATATATATATACTTCTACGAAAACTGTGTCATATTTTGGGGTAGGTACCGCAAGCCACTGGTCATGTTTACGCCAAAATACCTGCTGCACCATCGTCCGTGCACGTCCGACTTAAGCAACTTCAGCCTCGACACGACCTTTCAGAGAGTGTTGGGCGACCACCCCGACGACATGAAGCGCTTGGTGGCGGACGATCAAGTACTAACATTCCCAACTCGTTGTTTCAGATGGTGTGAGAGTGTATGTTTATGTGTTGGCAACACATACAGGTGCGCCGCCTAATCTTGTGCAGCGGCAAGATCTACTACCCCCTCGTGCAAAGCATGCGCGCGCGGAACGTCCAAGACATCGCCACGGCGCGCATTGAGCAACTCGCGCCCTTTCCGTTCGCCCAAGTGGCTGCTTACATGCAGCAATACCCAAACGCCGACATTGTCTGGGTCCAAGTACGCCAGATATATATATTTGTCCAGAGATATTTATAAATAGTGCCACATATCTGTCTAGAAATTGCAAATATTTATCTTATCAAGAGATAAACCCTATCGTTTGTATTTGCTTTAGGAAGAGCCAAAGAACATGGGCGCGTGGTCCTACGTACAGTCGCGCCTCGCGACCGTCCTGCACTCTATCGACGACGTACGCTGCGTATTATTATTATTATTAATTTTTTAAAAATCTTTTTATTCCTATCGATTGCTTATGTGGTTTCGTCGATTTATATTATTCGTGTTATTATTATTATTATTTAAATCTTTTTATTCCTATTCGTGTTATTATTATTATTATTTAAATCTTTTTATTCCTATCGATTGCTCAATTGGTTTCGTCGATTTATATTATTCGTGTGATGCAGAGGCGACGCGTGGGGTACGTGGGTCGGCACCCGGCGGCGTCCCCCGCCACGGGACAGTTTGAAATCCACCAGCAAGAGATGCGCGTCATTGTCGACGATGCGCTGGCATCGTGATAATATACGACAATCGTCCGTGTTATAACATGTGTATGTTATAATAAAATGCAGTGTTATAACATATCCTACGTATGGCCCAACACATCCGAGTAGAGCGTATCCTGGCGTTGGCGGGCGGCCAAGTACTGGACGTGCGCTTGCATCGACGGTGTTGAGCACGTGAAATGGCGATGCAGTAGTTTGTGGGGGGAGCTGCTGCTACTATGTACCCCGAGGTGCCCCCCGACGAACATGGCTACGCCTCGCGACGTCAATTCCACCGCTTCGGTTTCGAGCCACACAGGCCGACCGACCACATCCGCTGCCAAACAATGCCATGTCAACAAATCTGTCGTCAATAATTGCATATATAAAAGTACCGATGATCTGACGCCACACGGGCGACGAGCTGAGCGCCGTGCCGCTGGCTACCAAATGAGCGTCCGAAGTCACATATTCTCCTACCCAACATGTGCATATAGCATCGGCATGATGGGATACATTGGATACATTTCAAAGGGAAGCAGGGGAATACACACATTCTTGTCAAGTCGATTCGAAAAAGTGGAGTGGGGTATTGTCAAATCGATTCGAATGAACCAAACCCAATCGACCGACCAATCAAAAGCCACAACACTTTCAACGGGCCAATCAAACTCCCGCAACTATCGAATTAGTGTGGACCTTCAAATGTAGTGTACATGGCTTCACAAATGTTACATGAAAAATCAAGTAACGTTATAAAAATCGCACAACTATCCCAATATCGGCTAAAAGCACTATATACAGTGTATATGATGTATAATACCCAGAAGTGCATAAATAGCTCCAAGGCGCAGCGCCACAGACTCGAGCGCTGCTCGCAAAATGTGCGCAGGGGTTGTGGCGGCCGTGATGCCGCTGATAGTACACGTCGCATCGTCGTGCCACCCCGGGGAACGTTCGCCTTGTTATTCACAAGCACACGCTGTGATGGTACCATCGTTTGCTGCGTGGGGTTTTCCGTGTAGAAAACCCCAACAGTTACGATCCACTGACTGTACCGTTCAAGAAGGGCAGCATCGACAGGCCGTGCTCGGCAGGGGCCATGGCTCCCACTTGCCGTATCGCATCTAATGAATAGGATGACGAATGTGTAGTCGATGGATACCATATCTCACCAGGGGACAACGCCAGCGTCTGCAGCGCCCACTCAAACACCGATCCCCCGTCCGTGAGGGCCCCCCCGACGATCGCGTGGGTGGCTGAGACACGGTAGCACCACAAGCCCCGAGGCACTTTGACGATTTGGCCGACGGGGACGAGTACGCGCATGGCGGCACTGGTCCCCACGGTCAACCCGATGCGACTACCAGTAGTTTTACACCTTACATGATGAATTGTTGAATCGTGATGGGGGAATAATACTCTGGGGCGACACAGTGGGAACCAATGTTAGCCGCCGCGCCGTCGGCCAGCGCCAAAAAGTACGGCGTATCTTGAAGCAAAGGCCATCGCTTGGCATACGCTGGCTGGAGTCGCCCTGTCGCAGGAATTGAAGGGTCCTAAACTCGGGAGTGAACGACACGTGTGGGAAGTAGTAGTATTAGTAGTACTTGGATGGATGGGAGCGTTGCGGGGTCGATTTGAATCAGCTCCAGCAGTTTACGATCCCACACAGCGTCCCGAAAGTCGGCTAAACCAGTCCAGGAAGCTTCGCTGTAGCTCATGGGAATTGGAGACTCGCCCCCGAGCCACTGGCGTAGCAACACGCCAACCAGCGACTGCCACGTCACAACTCTGTCGTTCGGTTGTAGCTTGAGCAATTGCGGGGCGGCGTACGCAGGATGGATGGGTACCCCCGTTCGATTATAAGTCTAGTGCAATGATAACTACATAAGAACGACGAGGACAAGGTTGGTAACCTCGTGTTGGAGGCCTTGGTGGGCTAGCGTCTGGGACAGCGCCTTGGCTTGCGACGCACACCGGCCAGCATAAGTCAGCACTGGCGTAACGGGTTTTCCATCGCTGTTGACACCGACGAGTGACATGGCAAAGCAAGAGAAGCCGACGCCAACGATGCGAAACGCCCCTTGTTGTGTCAACCACGCCACCGTCAAGTCCTTCACTCGTTCCTAGCTCAGTCTATCATGTATGGAAACTTAATGGACGGGGCGAGATACCACGGCTTGTTGGATCACATGAACCAAAGCAGTGCCGTCGTTCGCTAGAGCCCGCATCTTAAGTTGGTGTAGTGAGCCAGGCACTAGGGTCCAAGTGTCTCCTCGCAACACATACGCACTTGCACGCACCGACGAGCTCCCAATATCCACCACAAGAATGGCATGCGCCTTCTCCTTGACCTCCACCGCGCGTTGAATGCGCACTGACCGACGATATGCCCATGCAGAGCCAAGTGCGGCTGCGGCGACTACCGTCGTTGCAACAATCTTCATGAAATACGAAAGTGTGCCAAGATCGGAATCGGAATCGGCACAGCTACTACGAATTGTTAGTAGTATTACTATCCTTCCTATCCGGATAACGTCGTAATTCAGACGAATCGTCCATAGAAAACTTCCAGGAATTCTAAGAAATCATAATCATAATCGTCCATATTTAACAGTAAGTCTAGGTATTCATCACCGCAACAACGAGTTTATGTTGCGGGGTGTACTACCGATGCTGTGTACGAAAGCATCATTCAATCTCAAGTGACCTACTAGTAGTTAACGTTCTTCATGCACTCTGTACAGTAGCGCTGAGAGTTGGACAATATTATAATTCTGGTAATGTTTTTTTTTAATTTGCAGTTTAGTATCCGTAAATCGAACCCTATGGATATTTAATTTAATTCCGACCATGCGACATATTTATGCGCCCTGAACGATAGGCGAACATCGTTCCTTTCGAGGAATCGCGTGGATGAAGTGGCTGTTTGCTGAGGAAGACGACGCCGCCGCTACTCCTCTCTCGTCGCCGCGCAAGGACATTGGCGTACCAGCATACATCTTGAGCAGAGTTAGTCAAAGATTTGGCTATCGCACCGCTGCTGAGCCCGTAGAGATGCCCTTAATCCAGTCGATCCAGCAAGCTGTCCTCCAGACCGTCAAGCGCAATGGTGGTCGCGCATTCAACATGGCAGAAGTCCTCGAGATCAAAGAGCTGTGTGATCGTCTCCTTCCCAGCGACTGTACGATCGTTGTGGTGGTGGCCTCGCCGTGACGACTAATGATGGTGTTGTGTAGTGGGGCTGGAGGTGCCTCGTGCGGTGGCAGCTGACAAGCTACCCCGCTTCCGACCTATCCGATACATTGAAGTTTATGAGGATGCCGACATATCGATGGGGTGCGACGACGACTTGCATGCGTCTGGTTGTCATCCCGTTGCCTAACATTGTCATATCCTTGTATCTATCGTAGCATCTTTGTCATGCCGCCTGGCACGACCATTCCACTGCACAACCATCCGCAAATGACTGTGATTTCCCGCGTGTTGTATGGCTCCATGCAAGTGAACGCGTTCGATCTCGTGCCCCCAGACGAGGACGAAGCGTTCTGGGTTCGGAAAGAGGAGCGCATTCGCAAAGCCGAGATCCAACACAACCGGTTTCCCAAGTTTCGCCCGCGACACTTGAAGGTGGCCATCCAGCGGTCCACGGACGTCGTGCACGGTCCAGCGACGACGGAACTGCTGCCTGACAGGTGTAACATTCACGAGTTTATTGCCGTGGGGGACGTTGGCTGTGCCATCTTCGACATCCTCACCCCTGGCTACAATCCACTGTACGCTTGCTTGGTCGCTGCAAATGCTAGATCTGACGATCTGATGTATAGGGCTGGCCGTGACTGCACGTACTATCGGTCGCTGCTCCAAGTCGAAGGCGGCACCGAGGAAGAGCCGTGGTATGTGCTGGAGCCGTCGAACCTGCCGCCATCATCGTTCATTTCAGTGGACTTGCCATATCGAGGACCTGAGCTAATGCCAGCTCATGTTGCTGCACCTGACGATGAGCATAGTGCGACGAGCAGCGAGTAGATTTGTACCAACCTATGAATACATGATATAGTACATACTAGTGCAATGTGATCTTTTGAGAGTTGAACAAGTATGCAAGTGGCCACACGTGTCGAGGGAGGCAACGCAGTGTTAAGACTAGTTAGTAGCTTGCAATGTGTGATACAGTCTCCATCATTATCACCAGTACAGTAGTCTGCTGTCCTTAGACCACACCCTACGATGATGGATGCCCATATCCAAATGAAATCGTCCAAGTGTACATGTATGCAATAGTAACGTTAATCACATTACACTAGACGGCATTGTATGGTCCTCGGGGGGACGGCTGCAGGGTCTCTTGGGGGCGGAACCGGGCGGCTTGGCCGGTGCGGTGCGCTTGCCACTCGGGGGGGAGCTGGCGGTCGTAAGTGTCCTTGGAAACGCCCTTGACGCACCCGCCAATACCAAACCGGCGGCAGATGCGCAGCGCCAGGAAGGTGGTGGCGCCGACAAAGCGGATGATGTTGAAGCACGCGACGATGTAGCTGAGGTACTTGAGGTAACACGAAGTCGCCACGCACGTCATGATGATGTACATCCACAGGGCGTTCGTGGTGAGCCACGACAGCAGTAGCGTCGACCGAAACGCGCGGAAGCTGTTGTCCACGTCCTCCTTCTCCTTGGCGGCGACTTGGCGCGCCGCCTCTAGCTTCTTTTGCTGGGCCACGACGTCCTTGACGTTGCCCCCCGCCTGCTTGGCAGGTCCGTGGCCACCCCCAGACTCGAGTCCCTTGGTCCCCCAGCTCAAGTCGTGCAAGTTACTGTACGCGTAAATGCCCAAAATGTTCTACAACCAGAGATATGTACCGTGACCATCAATATCGAGCCAAAATAGTGTGGAAGCGCAACGTACGACAAACGTGGGCAGCATGAAAAAGTACTGGACAAAGCTGAGCAAGATGGAAAACTCGCCATGCAGAAACGCCGACATAAACACAAGACCAAGGGAACTCACGACGCCCCCCGTGAGCTCCAACTTGGACACGGGGCAGTCAGTCAAGTTTTGGCGCGGGTCCACCGCCGTCACACCTTTGGCCACGAGGCCGTAGAATGATAGACCCGTCACAACCATCATGACAATGCCCAAATACAAGCAGCTAAACAGGTAAAAGCTGGCGGTCTTGGGCTCGGGTTTGTTGCCCAGGGCAAACACAAGCAGGCCGCCGACGATGGCCAAGTACACGGTGAGGATCACTTCGAGGATGGCGTTGGGCGTGGCGTTCGTGGGGCTGTGCAAGGCCAGCGTGAGCACAAAGTAGAATGTCAGGTACAGGTTGGAGAGCAGGAACCACGACAGAAAGTTCTGAACCGCGAGGTATAAAAACTGGAGCGTAAACACGAGCTTTCTTGACGGCGAGTGGGCGCTCAGCCGCCACACGCGGCCAAAGTGCCCGATGGCAAACAATCCGGCAAAGAACGATCCGTTCAGCCACCGCCGCCGCTGCTTGATCAGGTCCACCAACGTCTCGGGCACGTCGGTGCGGGCGATCGCGTCCTTGACGTAGTGCATCGTCCACTGCCGTCCCTCTCTCGCAAGTAGTTCAAAGCACAAGATGCGGTCTTCCGCAAGGTACATGTTGCCCTGGAACGGCCCGAGCTCTTTGGTTGTTGACGTCAAGCTCTTAAAGTACTCGGGCAGAGGCCCCACCCCTTTGACCGCTCGGATTGCTTCAAAGCGGTAGGCGGAAAATGCACCTGGTAGGACCGAGATGAACCCAAACACAGACTCGAGTGACTTGTCCATGATGTTTGAGATTTTGTACTCAAAGTGCTGTGCGGCAACCACGGGGTTGAAGTAGTTGGGCTTGTCGACGGCGATTTCGCCCGCGACGCCGCCGATCTGGTAGTTGCGCTCCATGCTACGGATGAGCCGGAACACGGACGACTCGGCGGGAATCGTGCCGACGTCCACGAGTACCGTGTACGTCGGGTTAAGTTGTTCGGCGAACGCATTGAAGAACCACAGGTGCGAGTTGAGCTTGCCGCCATTGTGTTCTTTGAGCGCGTACAAGAGCTGCATCGGCGGGTAAAAGTTTTCAAAGTTCTGGTTCTCGACCAGTTGGACCGTGGACTCGAACAAGTGCATTTGTGTGTCCACGCCAAGTGATGTCACCGTCATGATCTCCTCGTCAAAGCTTCCTAGCTGGGTCAGGAACTCCAGACATGTGGGGCTCGCCTTGGTCCGGCCGTCCGACACGACGGCGATCGCTACATGCTGCCAGTAGTCGGCGCCGTACTCTTTGCACATGTACCGGATGCCTTGCGCCAGCCCCGTCAGAGTCGCCTTGAGCTCGCTGCCTTCTTCGTTGTACATGGTTACTGTGATGAACACCTTGATCTGACGCTGCAGCTGATGCACTCGAAGGATGTACTTGTCGTTGGAGAATTGGATCGGATCTTTGGTCGCCACGGCCGTGTATCGCATGCTCTTGAACTCGTCCGCGTCGTGGTGTGGCGGCAGCCGACCCTTCCACGACTGCTCCACCAGGGGCACGTTGGTCCGCGCAATCTTGAGCGCTGGAGGCAGCGCCGCGCGCCGGGCTTCTTCGGCCACGTCGTTCATCCACTTGTCCAGTTCTTCCGCGCGCTGCAGCATCTCGTGTGACTTCTGACGGATACCCTTTTGAAGCAACGGGTCCACTTCGCGCTTCCCGACTTCGACCAACATGCGACCTGCGTCCACGTACAACTGGATCGCGGCGGCGGGGTTGCCGTCGGCTTCCATCTGGACGGCGAGCTGCACGAGACGAAACGCGCCTTCGTACGACACGCCGCCGTCGAGGAACTCTTCCACCGTGTTGGGGAGATGCGGGATCGCGGTCGAGCCCATGCGTAACAAGCTCGCTTGACGGAAACTTTGCTGGCGTTCCTGGACGTTCTTGGCCATGTTGAGCAGCGCGGCGGGGGGCGGCACCGCCGGTTCGTCGGAGAGGTAGCTGTTGGCCGAGTTTTTCGTGTCTCTCCACAAAGGCACTTGGTTGAAGGAAGCTTCAATGTCAGATCCAATGGGGCTTCCGTCAACGTATGCTCCGCCAAATTCAAACGACTCCATCGGCGCCAACTGCCGCTGCGGAGGCGGTGCAGCCGTCGGCGGCGCAGGTGGCGGTGGTGGCGTTGCTGTCGAGGGTGGAGGAAGATTGCCGTTGTTCTGCTCCCTCAGGGCTCTAAGACGCGCTTCAAAGTCGACGTTGGTGTTGCTCATAGCGTGTGGACGATTCGTGTCTGCGCAAGTGGCCGCCTTCCTTATTTGATGCAACTGGAGGCAAAGTGCAACAGCTGAATGTTGTGTTCAGCATGTGTAGCGCCGATATATGGCCAAATTATATGGGGGGACCCATGTAAATTGGCGTGTGCTTATATATTCTCATAACTTTAGTATACAAATATATCGACAAAGCTTATTCCTGATTCTTTTTAAATGGAGTAGGGGGTGGGCTGAATGTGTCAAAAAAATGTTACAAATTCAAGTAGCCAATCACAACAATTAGCGTCTGATTCCAGCATTTGATTGGTCAGCACGGATCCTTCGTTTTTTCAACTCATGTGTCCAACACAAACGAACACCTGGGACTTCATCTTCGTGGCCCCTCTACAAGCCGCGCGACGACGATCGCGCACTCACGGGGGTATGCAGGACGCTTTTCCGCACCGAACTATAGCGACACACGTTTGAGTCGCGTGGATGACGATGTACTCCATACCTGTCGCGCTTTGCGATGGCTTTTTCAATGTTCTCTTCCGTGGGGGGGTCCCATAACGTCAATCGTTGTCCTTCGTGGCAAAAGTACGGCCGGCCTTTGGAGCGGGACATGCGCATTTCCCATCCAGGCGGCATGGGCGGCACCGCCATGGACCCTCTGTACAACGAATCCGACACGGACTGGCGGAGCGAGTCTTCCGACGCACGATGAACCTGCTCAGACTGGCGCTGGGCGTACTTGTTCTTCATTTGCGCCACGCGATCCTTCAAGCTCGACACTGACGGAGACGCGCTACAGTCCCTTGTCAACCATCAATCCTTGGACCATGCAACTTTGAGTAGAGGTTGTTGTTTAGTATACCGTAAACTGTTGGCAGTCACAAGACCGTTGGACAGCGCCATCCTCGTTGCGGTGGCGTCCACATCCAAGGACGCGCCCAGCTGTTGCGCCGACATGATCAAGAACGCGTTGGTCTCGATGGCCTTTTGGACGGCCGCCGCCACATCCACCGCGCCATTGTGAATCGCGGCGACTTCTTCGGGCGAGTCTTCCGACCGCTCGAGACCCCGGCGGTCCCTTCTAGACCCCATCACCGTACGTCGCGACCGGCTGGATGAATACTGGAGCAACGACGGCGGTGTCCCCCCCCCATGCGGATGGCCCCGCACGCGGTCTAGCTCCTTGTGCAACTGCGCGATCGTCTTGTCCTTGTCCCTCGCGAGCTCCTCCGCTTGGCGCAGCTTGACGTGATGTGCGGCGGTGGCAATCTCCTTGTCCTGCTTGAGCTTGTCCGCGTCGTCCTTCCACGTGGCCAGCGCCGCCTTGAGCTCTTCCACTTCGCGTCGAAGCCGCACGTTTTCCTTCTCGATGCGATCGATCATCCCGCCCGCGTCGGCCATGACGAGCTGCGCCGACGACTTGCGCCGCTGTTGTCCGTCGTCGTGTTCGTCCAACTGGTCGGCCGAGCTCGGGTCGTGGCGCCGATGCCGATGATGGTGCTGCTTCTTGTTCTGCTCCACTTGAAGACGCTCCTGCAACGTGCGCAACTGCTGATGCATCGACTGCTGGCTCTTGACGTCGGCCATGCGCTGGACAAAGCGCGCGCGGTGGAGACGCATGCGGACGACCGATTGGATCGTCACGGCGCTCGCCTTGAGCTGGAGAAAGCGGCGTCTAATCGAACTTGTTAGCGACGACGACACAAATGCTGTACACGATGGGGCATTGGTTGAAAAATTAAAATATTTGTAAAAATACATGAAAACAATGTTGTTCATGTACATGTGAATACTATATAATTAATCATAGTACATGGGAATATATAATATTAATCATAGGCCCGTGGACGAAAACAATGGGTTTACTAGTAATAAATTCCGTATATACGTCCTCCCACGACCGAAACAATAGCCACACTGAATAAAGATATATATATCTTGTCGCACTTTATTCAATATATATATATATATCTTGGGGGACATACCGTTGATGCGCGCCCAGAACAAATGCAAACACGAGGTGGGCTTTGTGCTGGCGCTGGAGCACAAAGTACAGCTGCCTGGCTTTGATGCCTCTCCATTGGCTTTGCAACGCCACGGTGCCACGAACGAGTGTGTTGTATCGAGTATATGCTAGCACGCAGCGCACCACCGACTACACAATATCGATATTTACAATATTTAATCGTTTCAACCCCGAAATATCTATATTTTTGACCGATACAACCTCGTCGATATATAGTACATGAATTATTGAACCAATACTAGAGTAAGATTAGACTCATTTACATCGGAACATGTTCAATACAACGAAACACAATAAGCTGGACACGATTAGAATAAAAGGAGTTGTGTTTCAAAACAAAATCAGCCTTAAAAGAGGTAAAAATATATATAAACACATGGAATACTAGTTTGATCATACCTGTATCTTGACGATCGCGTCCAACTTGCGGCGGTACTGACGCCGCTTGGTGCATCCTCTGAGGATCCGCTGCATGAGCACGACCTTGGCGTACAAATACTGCCGCTTGCGGTGTTCCAAATCCTCAACCACTCGAGCGTGAAAGTAAATCTTACTTCGACCCACTTGGAAATGCACTGGCGCAGTCCATGACGGCACTTGCGCCAAAATCTACAAATACATGAAATATATAAACGACGAAAGCAGGCAATGTTGTTGTCGTGTATATTCTAGAGTGACGTACAAAATAATATATATTGACACAACGACCAACGAAGAATATATATCGGCAGAAGAATATTGAGCCAATCAGATTGCAACATATCCTCAACATGGAGTTCTTCGTGTGGTGACTTTAAAATTGTATTATTAATTACTACTAGTAGTAATATACAAGTCAACTCTATATATAATCATCCTAATCCAACTTTAAGCGTACCTGATTGATTGGCTCTTATAGACAGGTCAAGAATAAACAGCCAATCCCAAGTTCCAGCGTTTGATTGCTCCATATTGATTAGAAAACCACGCGAATTTTGCTAGTGTTTTATAGCGAATTCACAATACATCGATCAAGCTTCCAACCAGCCAACTACTTCCAACGAGCCAACTACTTATAAATCGATTCTCAAATCACCTGGCAATTCACAATGCCAATCAAGCGTCAACGACAATCCACCACATATCGAACGATCCAACATCGATATGAATATGGCCAATCAAGCAGCAGCAGCACCAACACACACAACGTCACACATGTGGGGTGCAACAAGGACACTATAGTATTGTCAAATCGATTCGAAATAGGTTAAAAAACCATCTAAGCCACCAATCAAATTACAGAATTTCTGCCAATTCAAACGTTTTGCATTGGGCAAAACCACATATATACTAATCGTTGTATAGTATAGTTTGTACAAGCAAGCTTAAATGAGATCAAAATGCTATTTATGCCTCGCAAGCCCAACTTTGGGTGACGTGCACAATACATACCTGAAGGCAAAGGTCCTTGGACGACTGCGTCCGGCCTAAAATGTCGGGGAAGCACATGCCGTACGTGGCTAGAAAGTCGACGTGCGTTTGACGGACGGGGTACGCCGACCGAGCGATGCGGATGGCTTCGATGACGCCGGCGCACCGGAGCTGCGCAATCACCATCGCGTGGTCGAACGACGTGGGGCTTTTCGCTGCGTTAGGTTTGATGCACCGAATGTACTGCACGTTCGTGGCCTGGATCGTGCCCATGAGCTCGGACAAGTTGGTTTTGAATTGCACGCCCACGGTTTGCACCCGATTCTGGGCAGAGTTTTGTCGCCTTTTCGACGTCGCGGGCGAAGGCACGGCCGGATCGGCAAACAATGCCGACACGAACGACGCGGACGACGACCGCATGAGCGTCGCCAGGTCGGGCAGCATCGCGTCCTTGTGCTTCTCCAAGAAGCCTGTCACTTCGTACAAGACGGGCGCGGCGTAGTGACGCAGCACAAATTGCGTCCGACTGGTGCGGGGAAACTCGATCACTGCGTCATCCTTCATCAGCAACGCCGCTTTCGCCACAAACGATTCTTCGTTGCCCTAGAAATTTATTACCGCCGTTGTCGTCAATACTTTTTTCACGGTTCAAAATACAAATTGGTGGTATCCACGGCTATATATATATATATATATATATATATGTAGAAGAGGTCCAGATAGGTTCATAGAATATTTATATTTATATATATAGATGAGGTTTATATATATATAGAGAGAGACGTGAAATCGCCACCACTAGTTGAATAGTCCCACGGAATGCATTCCTTTTGAGGAGTATATAACGTTTGATTCGTCCCAATGTAGTAGCATATAACGTTATATATACTACTACATTGAGACGAATCAAACGTCAACGGTTTTAGAATACGATTAGTGGTTCATCCAATATATATATATATTTTTTATTTTTTTTTCAAATGTCCAAACCATTTTTGAATACGACCCCAATGGTTTAAATGCATGGACTACGTATATAGTACTCTACATATATATAAATATATAGTACTATACACACATATATAGTACTATACATATATATAGTTCAAACGTCCGCCATTTTTGCATATAACCCCAATGTATATAGTTTATACATCATACAACTATATATATATATATAAATATATTTATATATGGGGTACCTTGGGCCGCACAAGCTCTTCATCGAGCAGCGAGAGGAGGCCGAGCTTGGACTCGATCACTTGGAGGACGTCGGCGTTGTCGGCGTATGCGACGTGGTTCCACTGAATGCCCTCGTCTTCGTACTCGACTTGGACCGTCTTGAACACGTCAAATGTAAACTTTTGCTGCAGCTTTTCGTTGGCATAGTTGATGCAAAACTGCTCAAACGAGTTGTGCTCAAAGTGCTCAAAGCCAAAGATGTCGAGCACGCCAATGTGGTGCTTCTGGCGACTCGCATGCGACAGAGACGCGTTCACGAGGGCCACGAGCCACTCAAACACGTTCGCGTACAGGCCCTTGGCCAGCGCATCGCGACACTGTTCCGCCTCCACCTACAAATCCATCGTAGATATATATATATATATATATATTCAATCGAGGATTTTTGTCTAAATAGTCTATAGAGTGGTGCTGTGGTTACTTTGGTCAACGGGACGCTGTACTTGTCATGACGCGCTTGCATGGTTCGGCAACACAACGCCCGCTCCAGCGCCGTCCTCTCCACGCCCAAGAGGGTGCAAACGTGGTTGGTATGGGGGCACTGGCTAGCCACTTGGCTCGCTTCGTCCGATGTGGCGGCAAACTAACCCACATCCACGTATGCTTGTAAAGTATTCGAAACTCGAGGGAAACCACATGTATATACACAAGAATCAATCAAATGGTAGTACAATTATCCACGTCTAATTAGTGTATGACTTTAACAAATGTGATTTATTGGCACCACCACAGGACATTTTTCTGTACATACAAAATGCAGCATTGTTGGGTGTATTCCAAACAACTAGAATGAATAAATCGACACCACCAAATTAAATGTACACAAGCATCAACGGCAGAATAATTGAGCCAATCAGATTGCAGGAAACCATCACTAATACTAAATTAGTGTGTGACTGAAATTAGTGTGACTACAATCCCCACAGGACAACTTTTTACATACAAAATTCAGTACAACGAATCGATCGATCGATAGATTTGGCGATTCAGTACAAAAGTAGTCGTCCAAATGTTGAGTGAAAGGACAATAAATCCCACAAAGCAAAATCGATCGATAGAAACATTGGGGGGGAAATCAGCGCTAAATTCCACATATTGTGTCAAAGGACAATAGTTATCCACCAGTATCCCTATTTGGTACAACAGTACGGTACAGTATCTCTCATTCCAGCAGAATCAAATGCACATGTATCATCCACTGGACATAACAAAGCCGAGCGATGCCTACCTGAATCTGCCCCAGGTGCAAAATACCCGCCAGCACGCGAAAGAGCGCGCGTTGCGTGGCCGCGTCCATTCCGATGCGATCTAACGCTGCCTGGGTCTTGTCGAAATGGGCAGCGTCCGAGTGGCCTTCGATGGCGGACGTGTGCAATGGGCCCACGTAGTTGTAGTCGGTCGCTAGTTCGTCCAAGTGTAGTTCTGGGAACCTCGATCGGACTGCCAACACCTTCACATACGACCAAGAGTCAAACGATGTCTCACATTCAGACAGACCTGGTAAAAAATGTGGTAGTTGCGCTCGCTGGGCTCGTGGGTCACGACGCGGGTCTTCTCGAGCAGGTACGTCTTGCACTGAGCGCCCACCAAAGTGCCGTGGGCGTCAAACTGGAGCTGCGTGAACTTGCCAAACCGACTCGAGTTGTCGTTGCGGAGGGTCTTGGCGTTCCCAAACGATTCCAGCAATGGGTTGACCATGATGATCTTGGCGATCGTGGCGTCGCGCAGTCCCCCGGCGATCGAGGCCAAGTGGTTCATCAGGATCTTGGTCGTCTCCGTCTTGCCGGCGCCAGACTCGCCGCTCACGAGCACGGATTGGTTGCGATGGTCATGCAGCATGCTCCGATACGCGGCCACGGACGTCGCGTACACGTGGGGCGGGAGCTCGTCCCGGCCCAGTCGCTGGTACGCAAGATGCTGGTCGTCCGAGTACAGCTCACCCAGCCATTGGTATGGGTTCACGGCAATGCATATGTCTCCCGTGTACGTGTACGGGTGCTGCGTAAGGAATCGCGCTTTGATGTTGTACAGGATCGCGGCTTCATGAAGGTAGTTGAGGGTGATCATGTCGTCGACGTTCGTCGCTTCGTTTTGCACAGGCAACGATTCAATCGATGCATTCGGTTGTCCTTTGCCACTCATGAGGAGCACGGTCTTCTTGTCTGTAAAGTCCACCATCCGCATCGACTCCGCCAACACGTGGGGAGGGTCCTTCAGCACCTTGACTTGCACCTGCTTCTTCGACGGATCGTGACTGATGACTTGGGCTTGAAGCCACGCATGTGTCTCGTCGGGGATGTAGCACATCGTCCCAGGAACCATTTCTACCGCCATCGCCGCCGCCGCCGATAAGGCCTGTAATGGAACCACTGTGACGGCGCAAGCTTGGCGTTGCATACTGCCTCGAGTCATCCGGATAACGTTTTTGTGGCCAATCAAATTTCGTCTGCAATATGATAAACAATATCACTCTAATATTAGAGTGATTTTGCGAATGGGAATTTTCCAATGAACCAGTGAGACAATTCAATACACCCACTGGAAACTTCAGCCAAAGAAATTTCCAGTCAACAAAATTCTCACTAGACCAACCTTTCCGAAACTCATCTCCACTTAGGCCAGCAATAGTCCAAGTCATCCCATCGCTTCACGACCAAACATGATATAGATCTCATAAAGAAGGTATTCTCCACTCCTCCACTTGAAAATACCGCGTGCATAACTCAATTGACATTGGTAGTGCGTGTTGTTCTAAGGAGCGGAGTTGGCTCATGTGAAATTTGCTGATTTTCAAAATCTAGCGCCACTTGAATATTCCAATAGAATTATTGGATCATTTCATCGGAATATTCCCATTTGCTAAATCACTTGAATAATGACCATGCAAAATACCCTCAAATGGTATGTATATTGATTGATTGTACCGTATTTCTGTGAATTATCGGAAATACTGCAAACACAAGCTTGAAAACTCCACAATTTCAAGTATGTCGGTCCAGAAAGGGTTACGAGGTATACGTAGTGATAATCCACGTGTTACAGTTTAGTAAGCCAGCTCGGATAAGGCACGAGAAACTCCAGTAGCAACACTACTACTTGCGGTACGGAAAGATCACGTTGATCAACGCACGGAGCGGCGCCCACGCGAGGATGGTCACATTTTCGCGTTCGAGCAGCGGCATGATGATAACACAAGCTTGATGGAACACTTGGAAGCAATGGTACAGCCGGTATGGCGTCGGGAAGGGGGCGAGGCACCGAATGGCGGCATACCCGGCGACCATAAAGAAGTGCGTGGCCAAGACGAAGGGCTTCGGAGTGAGCGCGCTGAGGAGGCCGAGGGGGCCGGCCATGAAGACGCCGCCCATCTTGAGGTACTCGTAGCACGATTCTCGGAGGGTGGCGCGCGCCGCCAGCACATGCTTGTCATCGTCGTCGGCGGACGGTACGGAAAAGATATGGTACAGCGCATTGGCAAGGATGTTGACGGTGGACGAGTGATGCACGCGGTCCTGTTCAAAGGCGCGGCGGACGGCGGCAACGTCCTTGCCGCTCGACAGGTCGACGTTCTTGAGCAAGTTGTTGAGCAACACAACATCTTTCAGCGCCACGCTCATGCCGCCTCCCGTGAGGGGATGGCGCATGTTGAATGTATCGCCGAGCATGACCACGCGGCCAATGTGGGCGGGTTGGGTGGTCATGAATTCGCGGTTGGGCATGGATTTCACCGGACCAGTTTCCACGGCGCGGACAAACGCCGCGCGCGAAGCGTCGGGAATCTGCGGCGCCACATGCGTCAGCAGGTGTTTGGTCAGGTCGCCGTTGGACGACGACGGGACCTTGCCGGGGACGTCCACGAGCACTCGGGTTTCCGTGGGGGAGATCTGGTACATGAGGATGGGCGACGGGTGGGCGAGGATGACGTGGCCAAAGTTGCGGAACGGCACCGTGGCCTCCATGGCGGGGTGCGTCATGAGGATGGCTACGAAGCTCGAGATCTGCTTGGGCACGTCCGTGGACAAATCGCGGCGCAGGCCAGACCAGAGCCCGTCGGATGCGATCACCAGCGGCGCCGACGCCGTTTCCACCGGCATCTCGACGTCATCGGAAAGGGCTTTGCGACGGAATTGGATGCCCGTGCACACGCTCGTACTCGACTTGGCCGGTTGCTCCAACAGCAGCTTGCTCACCGTGCCTTCGACCACGGTCACGTTGGGCTCGGCCAGCATGCGCGCGCGAAGGCGTTGGACGAACGCGCCGTTGTGGAACCCGCGGCCGTGCTGCTTACCGGTGCCGTTGTCGGCGCGAGATAATCCCATGTACTCGAGAAACGTGTGGGGGGCGCGGTCGGGATACGGTAGCATGATGTGGTCCGAGTGCGGAAGGAGGATGGAGTACCCGAGGGTCTTGACGTCCGTAGACGTTTCCGCGCACTCGATCAAGTCCAACGAACGCAATGCTTCGAGACCGCCGGGTTGCATGAGCTCGCCCACGAATCGGTCCTGGTATTCCAACGATTTCTCGATCACAAGCACCTTGCGACCTTGCTTTGCCAACCCCACAGCCATCGAGCACCCCGCGGTCCCGGCGCCGACAATGATGACGTCTGCGGAAGGATTGTCGATTTTGACGTCGCATTGGTTGTCGTGGAGGGTCTGGGTGACTGACCAAATGCACCCGAGCCCGACAACGTACACGGCGACAAAGATGGATACCGCCGAGGCGAGGGATAGCGAATGCACGTCGATTTCGCCCACCGAGTTGAGGCGAAGTGACGCGAGACCCATGCCACCCACAAGCAACGCCGTCGCGTTGAATGTGTGGAGCAACGAGGCCCGAATGAGGCAGCAGGTCGAGAGAACAACCAGAAGCAGCGAGTAGAAGAGAGGCGAGTCAGCGAGTTGCTGACACAGGACAGCGAAGGAGTCCTGAAGAAGCGTGCGCATGGTCTCACTGAGGATCACGACCGAGCAGATCACAAGAATCATCGGCTGCTGACACGGTGGTGGTGGTGGTAGTACTTTGAGGCAGCGAGATTCTAAAATGTTGGAAGGGTGCTACGCCAGCAAATAGAAATGCACCATGCGTGTCGATGTAACTCACTCTATTAAGTACGGATCCCCAGCCTCGAGTTTGTATGTCGTGTCAAGGGAAGTTTTCGAAGTACGACATTCGAACTTAAGCGGCGTCGAAGGGCCACGACGTCAGAGTGGTTTTTTACAAGCATTTCTTTGTCATGGAGTACGTAGTAGTTATTAGCGTGTGGCCGCGGGGCGAACGCAAAGACATAACGTTACCAGTACAAGCGGCGATCTATGTACGTTCCAAGAGCCAAACCGAGGACATGTCTTGGTGCATGCATCATGTTGATGACTGCATTGCACATCACATTGAATTTATAATGTCCGTCCAACGTTGAACACGACAAATCATAATAATGATGCGATGGCTCCTGTTATTAATACCGCAAGAGAATATTGGTCATTTTTGTTTTTTAAATACAGTACAGATACTGTTGTCCCGGAAAAGGCATGCATTATGATTGGCCTAGACTGGGCCCCGGCGTTCCACTTGACCAACACTGTCGGTTACTGTGTAACGCTTGTACATTGATATGTACGACGAAACGAGTGCAATCACTTCAAGCATTCAAGTTATGGGCAACTTTCAACGCTGTCTCGAGGTCGTGGATGAGGTCATCCACGGCTTCAATTCCCACTGACAGTCGTAGCAGATCCACCGGCGCCGGCGACTCGACGCCTTCCACGCTGGCCCTGTGCTCTATCAGGCTTTCAGTGCCTCCCAGAGACGTAGCGCGCTTCCACAGGGTCGTGTGTGCAGCCACAGCCACCGCGGCCGCTTCGCCTCCTTTCACACGAATTGATAGCATGCCACCATAACCGCCTTGCATCTGTCGGGTGGCAATCTCGTGTCCTTGGCAGTGTGGGAGGCCGGGGTAAAGCACTGCTTCGACGAGGGAATGGGTGTTGAAATGCTCGGCGATGGTCTGGGCAGATGCTGTAGCGGCCCGCACTCGCAAGTGCAGCGTACGCAAGCCTCGTAGGAGCAGCCACGCTTCAAAGGAGCCCAGAGTGCCACCAACGCTCGATCGGACGTGGCGCACACGCTGCCAGTGTTCGTTGTCAACCGATCGAGTTGTGAGTGATCCCGCAATGATATCGCTGTGGCCGTTCAGGTACTTGGTGGCGGAATGCATGACGATGTCGGCGCCGAAAGCCAGTGGCTTGGTGAGCACAGGAGTGGCCGCGGTGGAGTCGACGGCCAGCAGAGCGCCGGCAGCATGGGCCAACGCTGCCATCGCCGCGATGTCGGTAACCGTCCACAGCGGATTCGACGGGGTCTCCACCCACACCAATCGCGTCTGACCGGGGCGCAATGCGGTGGCGATGGCCTCCGAATTGGTCATGTCGACAAGCTCCACCTCCAGTCCCCACGACACGGCATACGTCGTGAGCCAGTTGCGCAAGCTCCAGTACATGACCTTCGGCACCAACACATGGTCGCCTGGCTGAAGTGCCAGGAACACGGCGGTGGCAGCAGCCATGCCACTAGCGAACACGATCGTGTCCTCCCCACCTTCAAGTGTGTTGATGACGGATTCGGGTTGGTCAAATGCAGGATTGTCGGCCCGGGCATACATGCGGCCGGACCGATATTGATTGTCGGCGTCGCGCTGGAACGTGCTGCTGACGTGGATGGGTGGCGAGATGGCAGCTGTGTTCTTGTCCACCCATCCCAGACCCTGAGCCGTCACGGTCTCAGGTGCCCATTCATGACCAGGAAGCTCCTGCGAAAGGGCACTTGGAAGCCACGATTTCGCAGTGAACGAGCGACAGTTGGCCGCTTTGAGGACTCGGCGAGACGACAACGCATCCATCACGGTGCCTTGGCCAAGCCGAAGGCGCATCTTGTCTGCAAATACTTAAATGCGGTCGAAGCCATGCGTTGCCCAATACCAAACTCACTACTCAGACGTGGCATGGTTGCTTGGCAAATTAGCTTGACGCGAACTGGTGTGTCATGATGGTGGACTATCCAAAAAATACAATTCCTATGCATGTTTTATCTTGGTAGTTGTATGGTTGTTGGAGAGTCGATTCGCACAAAATAGAATTCTCAGCATTTATTTCAAAGATGGAAGTATTAAATACTACTACTACGTAGTATTAATACTAGTTCCATTTTTCTATTTTTTTATACTAGAAGATACATTTTCTATTGGCTCCTGAACCTTGTTTTAAAAAATCAGTATTCAGGAGCCAATAAGTACTTGGGATTTTCTCGGGGTCTTATACAACGGGCATCATGCTCGTTGTGGTAACGTTACTAGTGGAGATGATGAAGACAGGGGTACAGTAGTTCGTTATGACCAAGTCTATCGCTTGTTCTTGTGCGGTGTACATATGTACCTGGTTGTTGATGAAGGGGTGGCGTCGCGAGTAGCCAAGTTGTACACACTTCAAATGTGCAAGTGGCGTGGGAGGGGACACACGACATACTTTAACGGGTATACATTCATGCGTCAAATACCAGTTGGTCAGAAATCCTGGCTCAATATTCATATCAACTTGCTAAACAGCATGGTACTCTGGTCGCGTTCTGTCATGCCTCCTATCAGCAGATCCAACTTACAGTACTCAAATCCGAGAGCACCGCACGCAGCCTCCTTCCATTCCAGCAATTGCGACCCCATGAGTGGACGGCGGTCGCGTAGTCGGTCCCCAAGACGAGGAGGGTATTCTCCATCGCGCTCCCCACCCCGCCGACAAGATGATCGTGGAGGCGGTGGAGGCGGTTATGGCGATCGTGGCGGTGGCGGCGGATACGGAGACCGCGGCGGTGGATACGGTGGTGGTGGAGGTGGCGGCTATGGTGGTCGGGGCGGCGGCCGCGACGGAGGACGCGGTGGCAGTGGTGGTCGTGGAGGTGGTCGCGGGCAGCAGAACGTCTCGTACGGGCCAGTACCCACCCCAGTGCGTCCCTCGGCGATTGCTCTACTGCAGGACACAGTATTTCCCTGTCGCCCGTCGTATGGCAATGCTGGGCGCGCCATTGTTGTGTGGGCCAACCACTTTCAAGTCGACTTGAATGTGAACCGAGGAGACATCTTTCATTACGACGTCGTCTTTTGCAAGAAGGGCGACACTCCTTTGCAAGCGGTGCCGAAGAAGGAACTGTGCGTCCGCGTGCTCAAGGCGCTCATCAAAGAGCTAAAATCGGAGCTTCCAGCCATCACGGTGGTGTCTGATGCCCGCCGGAACATCTACGCGTCCGCGGCGCTGCCCTTCAACAATCGGATGATTGTTGTCAAGGAAGTGTTTGACTCGGGAAAGTCCAAGGAGTGGGATGTGTACGTCAAAGCCGCCGACCCGGTGGCCATTCCCATGCACCAAGTGGAAGAGTTCTTCGCCGGGCGTCTCAACTTCACCCCGTACGACGCCATAATGGCGCTCGACATTGCGTTGCGCGCGACCGCCAACAACAAGTTTGTGTCTGCGGGGCGCAATTTTTATACCCCTTCGAACAAGGTTGCTCTTGGCGAAGGAGCAGACCTTTGGTTTGGGTATCACCAGTCGCTGCGTCCGACGCAAACGCGGCTCACATTGAACATCGACATCGCCGCCGCGACCTTCATCAAAAAGATGGACTTGATCGAGTACGTTACGACCACGGCGTTTGGCGGGCGACAGGCTAGATTTGACGATCCGCAGGCGATGCGGGCGGCATCTCGCGCAGTCAAGGGCGTGCTCGTTCGTGTGACGCATCGAGGCAACTTGAATCAGGAATTTAAGATCAATGGCCTTACAACGACCCCAGCGAACGCCACGTTTTTCACGACCACGGATGGCACCCAGCATTCCGTGGCTGCGTACTTTGAGGCGACATACTACAAACTGAAGCACCCCGAGTGGCCGTGCGCCCAGACAGGGTCCAAGTCGAGCCCGCAGTTTTTGCCCATGGAGGTGTGCTTCACGCCGGGGACGCAGAAGTCGATCCGCAAGGAGACGCCCATGCAGGTGGCGACCATCATCAAGCAGACGTGCACGCCGCCCTACGACCGTCGCCAGAAGATTGAAGCGCAGGTGGCGGAAGCACATTTCGAAAACGACGGCATCCTGGCCGCGTTTGGATTGAACGTGACCCAGAAAATGATGGCGGTGGAGGCGCGCCAGCTGCCAGATCCGGAGCTCGAGTACCTGAATCAAGCCATTGAACGGCCGCGGGACGGCTCATGGAACATGCGCGGCAAGGGCTTTTACGAGGGGATGGACCTGGACAGCTTTGCGATCCTCAATCTCGGCAACCCGAACGACGACCGAGGCATTGTAAACTTCTTCAACAAACTCGTGGATCAGCTGGGAGAGCTCAAGATGCGCGGGCCGCGCGGCGCGGCGCCACCGCTGCTCACGCGGACCCGCAACCAGTCGGTCGAGGACTTGTTTGGCGAGGCCGTGCGCGCGGCGGAAAAGGTGTACGGCAAGCCCCCTCGCGTGGTGTTTTGCGTCAACGGCGGAGGGGACTCTGCCAACTACGCCGACCTCAAGCGCGCCAGCGACGTCAACTTTGGGATTCCATCGCAGTGCATGCTAGCCAAGCACGTTGGGAAGGCGAGTCCCCAGTACATTGCCAACCTCATGCTCAAAGTCAATATGAAACTCGGCGGGCGCAACGTCGTGTGCCGTGGCGCCTTGCCCAAGATATCCGAGTGCCCGACCATCATCTTTGGCGCCGACGTGACGCACCCCGTGTCGATCGACAAGTCGAAGCCATCGATTTCGTCGGTGGTGGCGACGATGGACCGGTTTGCATCGCATCATGCCGCGTGCGTGCGCAAGCAAGGCCACCGCGTGGAACACATTGAAGACATGGAGGGCATCACGAACGAACTGCTCCGCAGCTTTTACCAGGCAACGCATGTCAAACCTGAGCGTATTTTGATCTACCGAGACGGCATTTCCGAAGGCCAGTTCCAGAACATTTTGAGCAAAGAAGTGCAGGCGATTCGGCAAGCGTGCGAGTCCCTCGAGCCAGGCTACCGCCCCGCCATTACGTTTGTGGTCGTGCAAAAGCGGCACCACACGCGCATCTTTCCGACGGCCGCCATGGACGCCGACCGCAGCGGCAACTGCAAGGCGGGCACAGTTGTGGACACTGGCATCTGCCACCCCACCGAGCACGACTTCTACCTCATGAGCCATTCGGGGCTCCAAGGCTGTAGCCGCCCCGCGCACTACCACGTGCTCATGGACGAAATTGGCTTTGCCCCTAACGAACTGCAAACCCTCACGTACCACTTGTGCTACACATTTGCCCGATGCACGCGGGCCGTGTCGGTGGTGCCGGCGTGCTACTACTCGCACTTGGTCGCCGAACGAGCGCGCTTGTTCCTCATTGACGGCAGCAGCGACGGCGGGTCCACGGTCGACGGCAACTTTGTCGAATCGACGGGGCGGATTCTGGACGTGCACGGCGCGTTGGCTCGCGTCATGTATTACCTGTGACGTGGTGGTGCACTGATGGCCGCCGTTGTTTGTCATGGATGGTGGACAGAACGTGGGCATGTCACGAACTAGTTTCAATTTATATCTCAATCGGCATGCAGTGGGAACACTCGTTCGTTGGCTGGTTGAACATGCATGGCGAAGTATATAGTGTATTTAGCGGTTACATTTCCGGTTACACTTATAACGACGTAACTGGTTGCGGTTCGAAGGACCAACATTCATCCTGGCCAAGTTTCTGCCCAATTGACCAAACACCTAGCGGTGAAGGTCGCGAATGAGGTATAATGATCAGGTGCACTACAATTAAATTGGCCACAAACGGCATGGCCAGACATTCGCTCCCACCCCATCTCGCCCACAAGTCTGCGTTGGCCTTCGTTCTCACGGAAGACGACTCGGCATATGCGTGTGTCCAGGCCATCCGCCAAGCCCACGACAGGAGTTTCGATCGGTGGCCGCCGCACATCAACCTCGTGTATCCGTTCCTGGCCACCCCCAGTGCCAACATCGACGACATCCTCGCTCGCGTGGCCATTGCCGTCCACGACGTCCCAGCTGTGTCAGCGACGTTTCCAGCCGTGCAGCACTTCACCCACTCCAAGAAATCGGCCACGCTCTTCTTGGAACCCGACGCGGTGTCCACGCGACCGCAGTTGCAGTCCATTCAAGCGGCATTGCAAGCCGCCTTCCCCGAGTGCAATCACGACACCCGTCCGTTCGTGCCGCACCTTTCGCTCGGTCAAACTGCCGGAGGAGCGTCCGGTATCAAGGCGTTGACCCACCAAATGGAATCGTCGCTTCGAGAAGCATGCTCTAGTCCGCCAGACAAAGGCCGCAACTTTTTTGATGACATGGCAGCTGCCGCCATGACGTCCAACGCGCACGTCGATCCCTTTGTTGACGAGCCTGCCGCGTGGACCCTGCCCTGGACCATTGGTCGTGTGGTGGTGTTGGAGCGACGGGGATTCGACGACCCATTTGAAATTGTCGGCCAAATTGCCCTGAAATAAGCCTGTTTACTATCCGCAATAATCTTACAACACATGATCAGTTCGTTGTTCACAGATTCTTTTCAGCGACGCTCCGCTCGACTTTGCCATCACTGTGGTTGTCCCTGGTGTCGATGCTGATGATATAGGGTCACTAGAATCCAATTGCACGTTCTCGCTTAGACTACCTTTTTCTAAACCCAGTACAGTACTGATCGACCTACTTACTACTGACTAGCCAAAGTCGTTTGTCTTCGCATTCATCACAGCTCTCAGTTATGGGCAGTGTATATTGTCGATGTGACCAAGCCAAGTACGTACGTGTCGACAACGAACAAAGCGGACACTCGATATCTCATCCTGCTTTCAACGTGCTCTTCCAGTAGTCCCATGCGCTGGGATGTAGACTATTCCATGATCACGGCAGCAAGAAGTTCAATAACACGTATCATGTTCGATTAGCCATGGCCATGGCCGTGAATTTCATGCCCACGGCGCCGACCTTCTTCTTGCGCTCCTCCGCTTCCTTTTCGCGTTGCTTCATTTCAGTCTGTCGCTTCATCCAATATGCTTGCTTGTTGGCTTGGTCTTTGACCATTTGCTTGAGACTCGAGGCGGAAGCTGGATGCTTCTTCTGGGTGCCATTGAGTTCTTGGGTCCGTCGCACTTCTTCGCAGATCCACTGCAGCGCGGTGACCCACTCCGACCGCACTTCCGCCGACTCGGCATCCAATTCCAAAAGGACTTCGCCCTGCATCGAGTATATCTGGAAGCCAGCGGTCCCGCTGGGCAGGACGGACTTGATGTCGCCAACTTCGATCTCGTTTGGTTTGGCGCCGTCCGCTTGCTTGTCCGAAGTCCAGAGCAAGATCTCGTCCGAGTCCGCGTGAAGTTGCAAGTGCACGGATTCCGTTCCCGTGTGCAGACCAAATGTATACTTCTTTCGAGTGAAAGCGCCGCCTGCTTGGAGGAACTTGGCTCGCTCATCGTGCTCTCGGATCGCTTGGCATTGTTCAAAGCAGTTCAGATTCCCCATCGTCAGTGCATCATGCGAAACGCACGTTGGTGGGAGTATCCGGATACTTATTCTCGAGGCGTTAAAGCAAAAAAACCAAGGTTTACTATTTATCCGGACGTTAAAATAGAAATGGCTCACAGTGTCAATACTAAAAATGTTAACTGCGTTTTAACCATCTAATACTGTAGTAGGTTTTTTTCTCCATATGGCTACAAGCTGCCAACCACTTTGCACACCTTGAAGCATGAACTGCATTGCGACATCGTTGCCGTCCGTCCAGGTGGAGCGCCACCCTGATAAGGGCCGCTCCTTGCATGTATCATCACCAAGAGGCATTCCTTCTGGCACCAAGCTCTTCCAGGAAGAAGCGTTTGCGAAGGTAGTCCTCTCGACATACAAAGGCAACGTGTGCGCAGCGTGCTTGCGTCCGTCCGACCCCGACATTTGCTGCGACGACTGCTCCCAGGTAACTTTTTGCAGCGAGGCATGCCAAGCATCATTGGCGTATGTCCACGCGCTGGAATGTGAGACTCTCGACGACATCGACATGATTGCAAAGAAATCTGCCGCCGACCGAGACCTGCTGCGATTGCTGGTTCGAATCCTTTGCCGTCGCGTGTGTCCGTGTCCTCGTCGATATGAAACTGACGAATTGCTAGCCACAACCTTTTCCGAAGTGGATCAAATGGTGCATGCCACGTCCCGCCTGGAGTCGTCATGGGTCGCCAGCGTCGAGCGCGGCGCGGAGCTGCTTTTGCAGTCACTTCCGACCAAGGCACATGTGTCGGTGGCCAAGATCGTCGGTTTGGCCGGCCGGATCAACGAGAACTCGTACTCGTTGGACGCGTGGACATCGTCCAAGGCAGCGGCGGTCGGCATGTTTCCCGTGGCGGCGCTGCTCAACCACAGCTGCATGCCCAACTGCGCGTGGGCCAACGACGGACGGGGCCACATGGAAGTGCGCACCACCGCGTTCGTCGCGCACGGAGAAGAGCTTTGCTTCTCGTACATCGACCCGACCCAACCGCGACCGACGCGGCAACGCGAGTTGCTCGTGACCAAACACTTTCAATGCACGTGCCCGCGATGCTCTGACTCGTCCATCGACGGCATGGACGCCATGCTCGAGGGCGTTTGCTGCGGCGTGTGTCTACAGCTCCTTCAGCCAGGCGCGGGATCGTCTCGATGTTGTCACCAACCACTCCAAGTAGACGACACAGACGTGCAAAGGAAGACGGAATCGGCGAGGCAGTCGCTACGACAAATCCAAAACCAAGTCGACACTAAACAGTTTGCGGCCGCCAGAGTCTTGGCGTTGGAGTTGCTGCAAGCACACTCCACCAAACCTGATGAAACAAGCAGCATTGTGCTGCATCCGAGCCACGAGATCCTGACGCGAGCCAGCCAGCTCGTGGGCGAATGCGACTGGAAACTCGGCGACTACGTCAGCTGTGTGGGTCGTCGACTGGACTGGATCGCACGCCTCGAGAAGACGGTGGCGCCGATGTCCTTGGTCCTGGCCCACGCGCATCACGATGTGGTCGAGGCCTTCAAGGCGTCGTTGACTCACAATGCGTGGCCTGCAGGAACTGACCTTCATTCCAAGGAAGCGTTGGCCGCTTGGCATTTGCAACAGTGTAGACATATCCACTCTGTGTGTTTACCAGCTCGCCACCCGTTGAATGCGATAAAGTAATGACAACGTTAACAGTTACAAACTAACCTGAGTTCACGGACTATGGAGGGAGCACCGTGGATCACACACGTAGAGTATAGAACTAACGTACATACTAGACAATCTCGCCGCTTATGGCCGCCATTCCAGTGACCATAAGCGGCGAGCAATCAATGCGGTCAAGTGCCGAATCGGTCGACCATGGGATTCGTCCGCATAACATCCGGATAACATTTACCCCCATATTCGCGCCGTTCAAGGAGCGACTGCCGCGTCCAGCCAACACGATGGAGGCGTCCGTAGAAGTGAAGCTGCAGGAACTGGTTGGACTCCACTTGAGAACCTTTGAAGAGCAGCTCAAAGTCTTTCACGAGCAAGTCGAAAACAACATCTCCATTGCTGGCGTCCACCCCATCTCGCACGAGGTAAAAAGCAATGCGCCTTGGTGATGTCATGTCCACTAACAGTCCAGGCCAGCGTGCGACGTCGGTGTGTTCTGAGCCCGCCACGAACTGGACAAACTATTCCCGCACAAGTCCAGGCGCCTTGCCGTCAGATATCGCCATGGCAAACGTTCGGAAGGCATGTCACAAAGACGGATACATCCCGTCCAAGCTGCTGTTGGAGCATGCGTTGAAGGAAGCTGCACGCGCCGAGTTCACTGTACGACACATACTTACGAAGATTGATGCATGCGATGACCACTTTCCCTAGATCAAGGACAAGATGCAGTTTGCATTCATCTTGCTCAGGACGCTGGACAAGCGGAAACAAAACAGGCTCGACGCGGACTTCCAAGGCATGCGCAGCCTGTACGACGAACACATTGGACTTCTTTTGGGCTGGGCGAGGCAGAGCGCTCCATACCTTCACGTGGACAGTCGCGACCAGAACTTGGTGCAGCTGGTCGTGCACATCGTGTCGCACCATCCTCCAACAAAGTCGTCCACACAGGAACACGTCGCGACCACTTTGCGCGACTTGCAAAACCAAGCCAAGAACGTTCGATCGGTAGGATGCCACGTCACAGTCGTGATATTCATATAGGTGATGCGAAATAGGAGGGAGCAGCACCGAAGGAGCGAGGGACGGCCGACGGCTCGGACGAGCTCCACGAGATCCTCACTCATGTTACATTCAGGCGGAAAGAGACCAAGAACTTCTCCATGTACTTTGCAGTCTATCGGGCGAATGGAGGCACGATTTGTCAGAAGAAGTCGCAGCTCGAGTGCGCCCAGGCCATCTTGAAACGATCCCACACCGACGGGTTCAACTGGCGACACCTCCTCGTGCTCAATTTTGACAAAGCCGACGACGACGCCCAGACATAGCGCCATCTCTCTCTACTTACCTTAACAACCCAAAGTACTATTTTCGAGTGGCAATATGTATATATATATTCACACGTCACAACAATCTTCCCCACTAAACAGTAACGACAATACTACCACTTTGAATACAGCTCCAAACTACAGTAGTTTCATCGAAAGCTCAAGTACTGTAAGTGAATTTTCTACTATTAATAGTACTATCGTACTAGTACATATTAATAGTAATAGAGATAACAAACGAGAATCCGAGAGTAACTTTGTTTGCAGGTATGATTCCCCCAATGAATCTTTCCATTCAATCGTGGTAGCCCCGTGAAGCTGGCTACTTCAGGCTACGTACACAATGCTGCACTTTCAATGTATACTATACGTATAGTAAGTACTACAGTAACTATCAACCATTGAGTGTAGGAGTTGGAATTACTTTCAGCCAAACGTCAGTATACACTATCGAGAAGGGGGAAATCTACTTTGCCACAAACTTGGCGTACATGTCAATGTACAGTTGCGGTTCGCGAATTGTCTGTTGAAAGGCAGGACGGGTCTTGACGGCAGCGAGGGCAGCGGCAACCAGTGGGAAGTCGGACAGCAGGTCAAAGTTATGGTAGTGCTTGAGCACAATCTCAAATCGGAAGAGCACGGTTGCAGTGAGGATTTCGGCGTTGCTGAGGGTGTTGCCGAGCAAGTATGGCCCTTTTGCACGGTAGTCGGCACCGTTGATGCGGTACACTGCCTCCACTTCGGCCAACGATTCCTTCAATTCCGCCACATTTTCGTCCTGAAACGCGATCAGTATCAGCACAATATCATGAAATCCGCCGACACTAGAATATAAACACGTACGGAAAACTTGCGGAGCAGTTGATACAACGGCCCGGCTTCGAATTTGGCGGCGGCCAATTGAGTTAACGCCGCTTCTTCGGGGTTGCTACGACGAAACAACTCGCCGCCCCCGTGCTTCGTGTCCAAATACTGGGCAATGATGGCCGATTCGTACACGGGACTGCCGTTCGAGAGCAAGTACGGCACCGTGCCATAGCGATTGAACTTTTCGGAATATGCTGCGGGTGGGTCAGTTAACGACACCTCCACGACATGAAAAGGCGCGTTCACTTCCACGGCCGTCCACAACGCGCGATGGCCGTAGGGGCACCCAATATTGCTAAAGAGATGCAGCTTCCCGTCCTTTTGCTTGAACGCATCGAGCTCGCTCGCCGTCAAACTCTCGAAGGGGGCGGTTTCGAACGGCATTGTAGTTTTTTCACTGAATGGCGTAAATCATGTGACCCATCAAGATCCAAAAATTTGTTGCTGATTTTGTCCAATCAGACTCGCTACAAGCAAACCTATTTATAGTACTACTATTTATTGGAATATGAAAGGTAGAATAATAATACTGCATACTATTATATTATTAATATGTTTAGTAGTACTATTAATAACGCTACCTCCAAATGACATACTTTGAAGTGAAGATTACGTTAATAATATCGCGATCTGAGTAGCACTATTATTAATAATACAGTATTATTTTAATTCCTCAGCCAATCGCATCGATCTGGTTCGGTTGTCATGAAAGATATGTATGACTGCTCATTTCTCCTCTTTTCGAGCAACAGACCATCGCCATGCCGTTCGAGTCGACGCCATTCGAGTCCCTCAGCGAGTCCCAGCTGGATGCGTTCAAGCAAAAGGACGGCAAACTGCACTTGTTCAACAACATCATTTGCCCATTTGGCCACCGCGCGTTGTGGACCGCCGTGGAAGCCCACGCGCCGTTCCATGTCGTGGAGGTGTCGTTGGCTGACATGCCCGCGGCGTACATTGAAAAGTTCAACCGCTTCGGCACGGTGCCGTATCTGCTCTCGAACGGCAGTCCCGTGTACGAATCTGCGATCATCGCGCAGTATGTGGACACGAAATTTGGGAACGGCGAATTGTTCCGCCATCACGACCCCGAAGAAGCTGCGCTGAGCCAACTGGCCGCTGCGAAATTCGAAGTTGGACCGCTGTATCGTGCTCTGGGAGGCACAAGTGTGCGTTATTGCACCCTTGTCGACTGTTCCTGGCTTGTGCTCATGTAACCCCCTACAAATAGGAAGACAACGTGGCTGCTTTGAAGGAGACGTTGGGGGACGTGGAGACGATCTATCGAGTGCATGCCAAGGAATTCCGTTCGAGCGGCCCGTACCTGCTTGGAAGCAAACTCAGCGGCGCAGAAATTCTCATCGTGCCATTCTTGTTTCGCTTTGACATCCTCCTGCAACATTACCGCGGCTACACCCTCCTCGACGGTTTCCCACTGCTCCAAGGGGTGCTAGCAGCCGCCAAGGCCCGCCCCGCCTTCCAAGACACCGTTCGGGAGCCTCAATTCTTTATTGACGCGTATGCCGCGTACGCCAACAAGAAGTAGATGTGGTGGCGGACTATCCAAACATTGCAGCGTGCTGTCAAGGTTGGTAACGTTAGCCAGCAAAAACACGAATAAAATCACAGTTATCACGTAGTTCTACAGCATCGTATTGCGGTTGCGATGTATTCGCGACACTTTGACATGAGATGCCATCACATGCATCAATTTTGCATAAATATATTATGGCAAGCTCAGCATCAACCCTTACTACCGGGTTAGTACAGAAGTGAATGTACGTTGCATCCAGAACAACTCGTGTCTTCGAAGTGCGAACCATGCTTGTCATTGCACACATGCACTCAGAGATATTAATACTAGAAGGTAACAGTTCACACAACCATGACGCGGGATGTCCTGGAGGCTCCAGCACGCGACGTAGCACAGCGACGTACGTTGGCATGGGCTGCAGAATACTACCGGTAGCAGAATGAAAATGCAAATTTGCTTGCATTGGAATTTTTATCATTTTCAATAAAATACGTAAAAAACTCTCGCTGTGATCCTGCCTCGAAATTTGAACCTTTCCATGCAGACAAAATGACCTCTAAACCTACGGCTGGAGCGAGCTTTAATCCAAATCTCGTTGCCCCTGGGACTATTGGTTTAACTTGTGTGACGGAGCAGTCCACCACGGCTCACATTGTCGTCTCTGTCGACGTCAGACTGTCAGCTCTTACGAGGTACGTACAGTAAGCTTAGCGAAATTATATGCTAATACCCCACCTCCAGACGGAAATAGAAGTCCCTTTTGGTGAAAATTGGTAAAATTGGTGTTTTGTTTGATGGTGTTATCTGTTTTTGCCCTAAGTATGCTTGTTGTAAAGGTCTTTGTATGATCCGTATCCCTGTGGAATATAATACCTTAAAGATGAATACCCTAATGGATAAGGGGGTTCTACTCTATGAATGTTTGTGGTTTGCATGCATTCTACCTGCATAAACAAATAGTCAGCAACAATTAAACTATGTTTTGTACAGAATATAAATTAATGCAGGTCTTTAATATAATCAGTATAAAATCGTGACTCGTATCCGGATACATATAAAGAGACTCTATAAAGTAATTAATTCCGGTTAATTCTGAATAAACCTCTAAGAATGAAAAGGGACTTCTATTTCCGTCTGGAGAGTAATATTAATGCAACGTTACTATTATAATAGTACTTCAGGTACTTCGAAGTACTTGACGCCTCCGGATTTGTTTTCCGGATATCGTGTACAATTCGACACTCGCATATCCGTTACTGAATTCTTGAAGTCGCAGGCCAAAGATGGCGGCCAAGGATGACGTCAAGTTCCTTGCGATCATGCGCGTGGCAGACAAGTTGACGGTGAGCACATACACGCACGCGAAAGTGAAAGCCGACGAGCGGTCCAAGTACACGGACATCTCGAAGAAAGTCGTGTCGTCGCCTTCGTGGGTCACGGATGTTGGACGAAACAGTCGGCACGCGCTTGACTTTGAGGCGCTAAAGCTCCACTTTATGTTGGACGCCGGGGAGTTTGTGTACTTTGCCGTGACTGTTCGTGACTATCCCCTCCGTGTGGCCCACGTTATGCTGAACGACTTACAAGCGCAGTTCACTGCAACGTATGTGGTGGCTGCATTGGCGTTGAAGGCCGAGCACACCCTCGGCAGCGACTGCGTCAAGGTAAGCGCCTCATAAACTGGCATATCCAATGCATCATGGAATCCTGTGCAGATGCTGGGTAGCGTCGCATCCAAGTACGAAGACGTGACCCAAGTGGACAAGTTGGCCAAGGTGAAAGCCCAGGTGGAAGGGGTCAAAGACACGATGAAGGACTCGATCAACATCGCGCTCAACAACACGGAGAAGATGGACACGTTGTCTCAGAAGGCGGCAGACCTGGCCGACTCGGCGTCCGTGTTCAAGAAGGGCGCGATCGACATGCGCCGGCAGATGTGGTGGAAAAACGCCAAGGTGTCGTTGGCCATTGCGCTGAGCATGATCATGGCCATTCTGGTGCTGCTGTACGCGCTCGGCATCTTCGACCACATTGGCCAATCAGCAAAGAACACGTCCACTCGCTTGCGACATTAACTTACACCGATGACTATACTTTGTTGCGTTGGCCTTCGCCTCAACCACACACACAAGTTGTTAAGCACATATATATTCCAGGGAATCGAGAGATTTCCTTCCTATGGCATCTCCAGCTTACACTCCGTGACACGTCCAACTTTCTGCATGTTGTACGTTGTTTACTGGATGAACCGGCGGCAGGGGGATCTGAAGGTTTCAACTGCCCAACGGCGACATGGGGTCCTATAAATAGATTTGTTCATGGCTGTCGTCGCGTTGGCCGTGGCGTGCATATATTGAATCGTAACATGGCGCTCTCTCACGACAATGTCAAGTTTTTAGCCGTGGCGCGGGCCAGCGACAAGGTCATCGTGGCCAGCTATGCGCACACGAAGAAGGACAAGGAGGACTCGCCCAAGTACGTTGACATGCTCAGCAAAGTTCTGCGGGCGCCCACGTGGAAGCAGCAAGTTACGCCCAACAGCCGCCACACGCTGGACTGTGACCCGAACAAGTTTCATTTCACGATGGACAACGACGAGATGGTGTACTGCGCCATCACAGCCGCCGACTATCCCATCCGACTTGCCTTCAAGTTGATCACGGCGGTCCAAGAGGAGGTTAGCGGCAAGCACGGCGCCAAGCTTGCCCAGGCCAAAGAGAATGGCCTGGATTGCGGCAAGTCTCTAGGGGTTATCGCCACCATGTACGACGACCGCACTAAAGTCGACAAGGTGTCGGAAGTGATGGCGCAAGTGGATGCGGTCAAGAGCACCATGCAAGACAACATCCAAGTGGTATTGTCCAACACGGAAAAGATGGAGCTCGTGGAACAGAAAAGCAACGACCTAAACGAACAGGCCAAGGTGTTCCGCAACGCAGGAAAGAGCCTCGCCCGGACCATGTGGTGGAAAAACGTCAAGATGATGATTGCGATTGGGCTGCTGGTCGTGCTGGTCATTATTGTCCTCCTTGCCATGGCTGGGGTTTTCAAGTCATCTACACCTGCGGCTACAGCTGCCCCCGCGGCTACATCTTCCCCTACTACCGCGATGCCGACGACTGCAAAACCTGTGCGAGCTCTACGCGACGTCATTGGGCATGTCAACCGTGTATCGCACGGTGTTTAGGGTTTACAAGGGGAATCTAAACAAGATGAACTAAGATAGTATTGGTATGGCGTTGAGCTTGTAGGTCTACATGTTAGGTAGTCCATGCTGGATGTAAGATTCATGCAAATAATACAGTCGCGAAAACGTTAACGTTACAACAGTAAGATGTTGAGGCGACGGTTGGACAGGATCGTAAGGTGATTGGCTGATTTAAGATCCTATAATTTGACGAGAAATACTCGGAGGAACATTATTATGAATTTTTCTGTCAATTGAACTTGGATCCTTGGATTGGCGGATTCAATATCGTTTTAACCAATCAGCCACTTGAACGAAAGCGATTAGTATTGGAGGGAAAGTTGCATAATTGAAACATCGGAGCGGGGTGCTTGCTTATCGGCATGGACGGGTTAGACGAAACACTGCAGGACCCTCGCTTCAAGCGAGGAATCACCTTGCTCAAGGAGAAGCGATATGAAGAAGCTGTCGCGCACTTCGAAGATCTCCTTCGCACCATGTACATGAACTCGAGGATGTGATGGATCCTGACACACACTTGGTGGCATAGGGTCGAGTCCGAGAACAAGGGCGACACGCTGCAAGTGGCTCCAGTGTACTACGAGTACGGAAACGCGTTGTTGTCTTACGCAGAGGCCACAGCGAGTGTGTTCGGCAAGGACACTGTCAAGACTGACGAAGGCGAAGAGGAGGACGAAAACGACCTCGAGGTGGCGTGGGAGATGCTGGAAGTGTCGCGCGTGTTGCTGGCCAAGCACGAAGGTGAAGATCCGCGTATCGACACGGAGCTTGCCCGTGTGTATGTGCGTCTCGGCGACTTGAGCATGGAGTCGGATTTGTTTTCCCAAGCCCGCAGCGACTACGAGCGCGCCATTGCGTTACATCAAAAGCATTTGGTGCCGCTCCAGACTGACACGACGCCGTTGGCAGACATCTACTGTTGTCTGGCCATCACGTGCATATACGAATACGCCAAGCAACCAGAGATCGACGAGGACGGCGGCGATCTAGTCGACGAAACGAAGGAGGACGACGCCACGCCGCCCACGATGACGCAAGCCGAGCTCGAGTTAGCCGGAGTCAAGTACTACGTCCAAGCTGGGCTCGTGATGGTGGACAACATCTACAGACAAAGCGAAAAGTGCTCGAGCGTCGTGCAAGCGTTTGTCCAGGCGCACATCCCACCGCCGCGGGTCAAGACGCCGTCGTCCAAGGGCAAAGCCAAAGCCAAAGTCGATCGGGTGGAGGACCTCGTGCTCCAGTACAACAATGGCGAGTATGACCAAATGCGAAAACAGTTTCTGGCCGCGGTCACGGCTGGCCGCCCCGACTTGAACCCTACGTCGGACGATGATATGCGTCAACTCGAGCCCGAAGAAAAGCAAGTGCTCGACTACTTGGAGATCTACACGGAAGTGAAAGAAAAGGTATGTATATATATATATGTATATCTTATTTATATATATTTTTTTTCTTTATATATATATATATCTTATATATATATATATGCCGTTCGTTGATTGGTTCGTTTTGTTGGCATCCGAGTAATCTCCGTCGGTCTAGGTGGATGGACTGCGGGAGAGCTACACGACGGGGCGTGCCGAAGTGGCGGCGGCACTCGCAACCACTTCGTCAGCGGCGGCGGCGACTACTGCTGATGGCCCCGTGACTACGATCGGGTTTGGTTCGGAAAACAAGAGCGCAGAGGTGACCGCCGTGGGCTTTGACCAAGCTACGACTTCGACACCCGAGCCGACGAAACGGGTGGCGAGTTCGACGGCCGTGAATGTGTTGCCGGTCACCAAGAAGCGGAAAATCGCACCCTCCTCGACAACCGAACACAATGCGTAGATAGTAGCAACGCTAGGGACCATTGATTGTATATCATCTGCCTTCAAGCTGTATATTGTCATTGCAAACGATGCTTCATGCAGGCTATAGTTCGTCCTTTGAATGTGAGGAGGATGACTGGCCTGTCAACGGAAGGGGGTGGGGATGATGCTCGCTAGCCCAGTTGGCAAAGACAGCGTCGCGCGCCGCCCGCTTGCGTTCGACCATGTCGATCCAGAACGTTTCAATCGCGGCTTCGTCCATGACAGGAAACGTGTCGATGGCGAAGCTGAGCACGTCGTCGATGGTACTTTTCATGACGACGACAGAGAACGATTCCGTGGCCAGGCAGCTCTTGTAGTGGGGTGACGCCAGTTCCAGTTGCAGAAATGTGTTGATGTGGAACTGTCCGACCTAGGTCGACCACAGAGGCTAGCGTTAGCCATCATAGATGGTGGCATGTAGAAGGGATGTACTTGGATCGACGCGTCCTTGATTTGAGCCAAGTCAAGCGTTGTGTAGATACCCGTGTCCGACAACTTTCTCAACTCGTCTACGGCGAACTACAACACATACCGTTTTGCCGCTAATGTCAGAAATGGTCGAAGAGTCCTACATTGGCTGCTAGTACGATGTCGGCGTCATTGGCTTGCTTGGTCACTTTTTCGTGGCGCTCTTCTGCAGCGCACATGGCCATGAGCCATGTTGCAGCAGTGATCAAGTGAACATGCATGACAGCAATGGATTGTTTTTGGATACGAAGATGTTCCACACTAATTAACATCAAAACCAACACCGTCAAACAATATAGTGTGCGTTGAGTTTTCACCATCCGGATACGACAGGCTACCGTACAAGTAAACTAGTACCAGTACGATTTACAGTAAGTACCATAATTTGTTACCTTTACCTGGTACTACATCGAATGTGGGGCCAGTCAATTGGGGCAATCCACGTTTCCTCGTGGCGAAACGATCCAATCTTCGTGAGGAAATCGCTTGTCGATCCCAGGACACAGGGATCATGCTGTGGAGTTATAATGTTTGCTTTACGGTACAAATCCCTGTACCGTCCACAAGCTCATCCAAAGTCACGAGTCCACAAACAAGGTGACGACTGCTGGCGTTGAGTTGAACCAGTGGTTCAAGCCAGCAGCTAAAGTATACACATTTGAAGTAAGTTGCAGTGGTATATTATTCGATATTGGTACAATAAAACGTTCCAGTACGACGAACAATTTCGTTCGATTTTTAACGTTTTACTTAACCAAAGGGTACATGACATGGTACAGTTGGTCGTACGAAATGTCGTTCCTCCTATGGGAGCTTTCCTTGGATGGCGCCATTTAGGACTAATTATTTTATGAATGTATACAAACACCAAGTTATAAAATAAACTTGGTCATATCCGTACCACACATGACAGACCAAAAAGTTACAAATCGACGGCGTTCGATTGCCATTGCTCAATCTTCTGACCATGCCAAAGCAGGCCGACGACAACCGCAAGGGGTTCCTTTGGGGCCTCGTCATGCTCGTGTCCGGCACCATGTGCACCATCATCACCAAGGTGCAGTACGGCCTGCGCGCCGAAGGCACGGAGACGTGCATCGTGAACGGCACCGCGACGCACGTGTGTCTGTTCGACAAGCCATGGTTCGGCGTGCTCCAAATGAAGCTGGCCATGGCATTCTGCATTGTGATTTTGATGATCCGTCAAAAGGTGCAGAAGCGATCGTACTTGGAAACCCCCGTGATGAACATGCAAAAGCACGGCAAGAAGTTCATGGCCACGCCGAAAGCCGCGCCGGGTGGTCGCTCGACCGAGCGCACGCCGTTTGTCGCGACGTCGTCTCACGCGACTAGCTGGGAAACTATCTTTTGGATTTTGTTACCATCGTTCCTCGACTTGCTCAACACGGTGCTCGCCAACATTGGCCTGCTGTGGGTGTCGTCGTCCATCTACCAAATGTCCCGCGGGTCCGTCGTGCTCTTCAACGCCATCTTTTCCGTGCGGTTCATGGGCAAGAAGCTCTTCGCGTACCATTACTTGAGCATCTTGGTCGTCATGACCGCCGTCGCCGTCGTCGCATACGCGGGCATCATGCAGTCCAACGCCGCGGCCACTTCGTCGTCCGTGGAAGACCAGGAGAAGCACTCCAACCAAGTGCTGGGATTGGGTCTCATCTTCGTGTCGCAGCTGATCACGGCCGTCCAGATCGTCGTGGAAGAGTGGTTTCTCACCACCCGCCATGTGAGTCCGCTGACGTTGGTTGGGTGGGAAGGCATCTGGGGCCTCGCCTTCTTCGCGGTGCTCACGCCGCTGCTCATGGCCACGCCCCCCGGGGACTCGGCGCTGTCCAAGATCTGGCACGAGGACTTTGTCGACACGTTCGTCAAGATGGGCAACTCATGGGTCGTCACCGCCACCGTGCTGCTGTACATTGTCTTGATCGGCCTCTTCAACGTGCGACTCTACTTCCATCAAAACAACAACGATAGCATGACACTAATGACGTGGCACTGCTGTAGCTCGCGGCCAACTTTGTGACCAAGTACTTGAGCTCGGTGGTGCGCAGCATCTTGGACGTAAGGGCACTCTCTTCCATGACCCTCTCCAGATCATCTCATCATGCTCATGCATGTTCGTTGACTAGACGTTGCGCACCCTGGGGGTGTGGGTGCTGTCGCTCTTTATCTTTTACGTCGTGCGGTGGACAGGGGCCAACTCACCTGGCGAACAGTGGACGGTCTGGAGCTGGTATGTAAAAACAAGGCTGCTACTATTATATATGTGTTATCACATTGTTATATTGGTTTTGAATTTGCTGTTGGTGGCAGGCTGGAACTGGCCGGGTTTGCACTGATGGTGGCTGGCACGTTGGCGGTATGCAATATCATATATATATTCCCATGTGCCTATATGAATAAATGCCTGCCCTGTAGTACAAGAAGATATTCCATCTGCCTATCAAGAGTTTGTACGAAGCCGAAGAGAAGGCGACGGCGGCCGCGCTTGTCAAGTCCCCGTTCATGGCCAACATGCATTAAGCTGTGGAGGCCAGACACCACGTCCACTTCGTTCTAGGGACTAGAATATCATGCAATACTACTACATAGTACTATTGTAGAACCATCGTCCGACACTGCCAAAGTGCACCACAGACACACACATGCATTCAATGCGTTCAACCATACAGTATCGCAGAAATTAACCCCATCGAGTGTCTATCGACGGTCGCCCAAGAAGACGACTTGTTGGGCGGAAATGGGCAGCCCACGGGCGTTCTGATACAGCCCCAGACATGGAAAGTGGACCGACTGCTTGTACTACATACATAGTCATAAGTTGGGTAGGATGTCATGATGGTACTTACAGTCAACGTTGCCAGCGCCAGCAACCCAAACCCAAACAGCTGCACCCTACCATATAACTCCATTAGTCAGTCGTTCAAAAGTGCCTACACTTGGCTGGGTGATGTGGCCCACTTACCAGCTCCAGTCGGACCAGGCTTCACCGGGCGAGTTTGGGCCGGCCCAGTTGAAGCTGTAGTACACCACCAGACTGACAACCCACACGCCCACTGTCCGACCAATCTAGTATACAGTAGTAGTAGTAGTACATATAAACATACCATGGTTATATCCACGAAACGATATCCGATATCGGGGAGAGCATGATCGTTCGTAGGATATGGATACAGTACCTCGAGCATACTCCGCACAATGGACGACAGGTACTTTGTCACATATAGCGCCGCAATCTATTGCGCATGTCTTAATACAATCAAAAACACATTCGTAGCTTTCAATGCCATCGCGAGGATAGACGACCAAGGTACGTACGTTGTACGTGCCAATGCACAGCATGTACCCCACCCCCAGCACGACAAGAGACGACGAGCCTTTTAGTTTGACCCATGTGTCGGTAAAGTCTTCGTGCCACAAGTGGGCAGCGATCGAGTCGGTGGCGGCTGGGGTCGTGCTCAGCAGTGGCACCAACCCCACGACCAGCACGAGCCCCCACGCGCCTTCCATGCCGACCAACAGCAGTGGACTCACGTGGCGCTCGATCATAAAGTGCTCTTCCAAGGCGAACTGCGCCGCCAACACCACTTGCGCGAGGAGGATGAAGAGCATCCCCATGGCCTGGTGGACGTCCGAGCTGGTCACTGGAATCGTAGGCAGCTCGTACGCCGTGGTCAAGTTGGCGTAAATCTCGTACGGAGACACGGTGTCGTGGTCGCCGCCGAGAATGCCTGCCACGGAGAAAATGATCACTGCCACAGTGACCAGCATGATGCTTAGGATTTGGTAGCAGTACAGCTCGCGTCCCATGAATCGCATCGCGATGAACGCGCTGAAGAGCAACACGGCGCCGTTGCTCATTTGGTACACGGATGCAGGCACCCACAGCAGCCCCGTGAACGCGAGGACAGTGTTGACGATGTCCAAGAGCGCGGGAAACACGAGGAACAGCATCGTTCTCCACGACGGACCGTCGTACGCCTCTTGAAGCAGCGTGCGGCGCTCCTCGTACGATCGAGGCTGCGGCATGTACTTGGTGCCGAAATGCTTGCGCTTGAACACAGGAGACTCCAAGTACGGTTTGCCCGTGACCTTTTGACGGACGAGGAGGTAAATCAAGCACAGAGACATGGCAAGTTTCATTTGAAGCACCCCGAACCACGGTTTGTGGAACGGGCAATCGGTTGTCGTGGCATTTGTGGCAGTGTCATAACAGAGCTCGGTGCCGCTGACGTTCAGACTGAACTGAACCTTCATGAGAATCGTCCCCATCGCCCCGCAGAAAAGCGTCGCCGCTCCCAAGATCGCGTACGTCCACGTGATGCTCATCATTGCACGCGTGGGCCAAAAAGATCTGGTGGACGATTCGCGTACGTTAGACGAAAGATATGACCTCATCCGGATGAAACCGTCGATCATCCATGGGGAGATAGATACACAGTCCCCAAGGTGACGAATTATCCGGATGAAAATACCGTTTCATCTGAAACTGCCACTCACAACTTTATTTCTACCAACTTTAGGTGTTGTCCTCGCTCGCATCATGGAATCATTCTTGGCATACACCGAATAAGGCACTGGTTTGGCACCGCGGTGAAAGCGATTGCCTTAAAGGCATGTTACGAAGCAACGTGCATATATATATTATGTATGTATATATATACGCATACATATAATGTTGTTGCGTGTGTAGATACATATGGTACGTGAAGGTGCACGGTCAAAGAAAATATTATCGAACAATACAAGCGACTCCTGAATCGGTCCATAAAGTCGAGTGTGTGGAACAATTGATTTCGAAAGTCGTGGCATGGGTGCGCATGGGTCGAAGAGGTCGGCGCGGTCGATCAAGCAAACGATGATGTCCATGATGGGTCGCTCAGCCCATAGCATGAATGACGACGCTTTGATGGCTGCTGTGTCCAAGGTAACTCCGGACGACACGTCATGGAACGTCGAGTACCGCCGCCCGCTCGCTTCCTCGGACCATTACCACCACTACATGCCAACAAACATGCCGCTGTGTCCCATCTACCAGGAAAGCTACGTGCAGGAATGTGGCCGGTCCTGGAAGCTCATCTGCAAGGCGTCGACGCCCAAGATGCGGCCGTACAACAAGGAGGGTATCGTGCTGTTCTACGACGAGTTCTTTCACCGGTTGTTTCAGCGAGATCCGGGGTTCTACGACATCTTTCCAGGCATCCGAAAGCGCATCGAAGTGCTCATCAAGGCCATGAAGTTCATGCTCAACGACGCTGGCCTGGAAGAAACTAAAGTCATCGAACGATGTCGCAACTTGGGCTACCGGCACAAGACCATTCCAAAGGTCCAGCCGCACCATTTCGCAGCATATGCCCAGACTTTCGTGGAAGTGGCTATGTATTGGCTCGACGTCGAGGCAACTCCTGACGTGGGTGAAGCGTGGAGCAACCTCATCGGGTTCAACCTCAAGTACATGCTGCAAGCGTATCTCCACGACCTCGTCGACGAATCCGCGTGGAATCAAAACATCATTGCGCCAGTTGCAGCGCGCAATAGCGAGGACACGGCAAAAAAGCCCCCCGGGGTGAAACCAGTCAAGAAGAAGGGCCAGTCCAAGGTCAAATTAGACGCTAGCACCAACGTCCACCACTAAAAGTATACACACAAACACACTCTTATCGCCACCCCTGGCTTGCATCGTGCTTGTGTAAGATAGTTATATATATGATTAGCATTGTTTTCTACGTGAGGAAATCGTACAGGTTTTCTTTGCCACATAGAGCTCGAAGGTGGTGATGTCGAGTCTTTGCAGCCTTCGTAGCTACGCCCTCTAGGATGAGCTCTGCTAGCTTGTTGGCACCAGACCTAGCCCCCATGAGATTTCCAGCAGTAGGACCAAGCTGTAGCGCCGCATACCCCCCCATGACAAACAAGTTCAGGTCCGACTCCCATCTGAGTTCGTCGTCCAGGGCAGGCAGGCCCCCGACGGGTGGTGCCCCCAAGTGTCGCATCCCATCGAAGAGTCGTTCTTTGGTCACGTCGATGTCGGACCCTGTGGCTAAAATAATGTGATCCACCACTATCTCGTCTGCGCTCGACCCGTCGCTCAACGTCACGCGCAGTTGGGTGTCGTCGCATGCACCAATCCGCTCCACGTTTGTCACCACGGTGTTCCCTCGGTGGTGGTAGTTGTGGGGCGTGGCCACCGCATGCAACTGCGCTAGGGCCGACCGCGTGACCGACCCGCCCCGCCTGGCGTCACGAATGCGCTGCACTTTTAGCTCCAGCGTGTCCTCGTCAAAAAAGTCGGCCAGCATCTTGGCCCGGAGGAGGGGCGAAATCCACTCGAGGGGGACGTCGTACGGCTGCACGAGCAAGGTGGGCTTCCGTGTGACCAGCGTCACATGTTTGGCCCCCCACGTTGAGACCACTTCGCGAGCCAAATGCACGGACGTGAGCCCCCCGCCCACGATCAGCACGCGTTTGTGTCGCATGCGCTTGGCATATGCGACAGCGTGCAACGCGGCGTCGCTGCTGTGTACAATCAGGTTGGTCGGGGTTTGTTGCCACAGGGGAGTAGCCCACGCGGGGATGCGGGGGATGTTTTGGGTTCCAATGGCTACGACCACGTGCTTGGCGACGATAACGTTGCCACCAGCGCATGTGACCTTAAACAGCGGGGACGACGACGTGTCGAGCGGCTCGATGGCCACGGCCGCCGCCTTTTCGACCATCGACGCGATGCCGTACTGGTGGATAAGATGTTCTTGAAACTCGGCAAACAGCTCGCGCGACGGACACCCGAGGAACTGTCTATCGTTCTCGCTGAACATGGACGTGTTGGTTGTGAACGCCCGATTCCGCCGACTGAATCGGATCGACGGTGGTGGCTCGCTCACCTGCGACTTGAGCTGATTCGTCGACGTGGCGTAGTCGCGAAGCCCTTCCGGTCGCAGCGGGTCCAAGTGGACATTCACGGGGCTGCGGAGGTGCGAAATACCAAACGTGGCAAAGTTGCCATTCCACGTCGAACACCACGTCCCCGATGGGTCGAGGACGCGAATTTGACGACGAAGGCACGACGACGACGACGACGACGACGTTGGCAGGTTCTTGGACTGGTTTCGGGGGCCCTTTTGATTTTTTTTTCGTCCCAGCTTTTGTCTCCAGAACCCCATGTGAATCGTGTCGCGCTCTGTGAATTCCGACGACGCGTCCTCTTCCAGAAGGGCGAGGACCAACGCGAGGGCGTGGGGGCCAGCGCCAATCACAAGGATGGGCGCAATGTCCCCCGATGGCGGGGTTGTGGGGCTCGATGATGCGTTGTCTGGTTGACCCATGAAATCCTATAATGGACGCTCGCTCGTAGGGGGACCATCCCTGGAGGTCGAGTCTCGACGATGGATGCTTTTTTTTCCGACGGCATGTAGCCGCCGTCGGATGTGATCGAGCAGCAAATGGTCCCGCCGTCGGATGAATTTCCGATTTCGACGCTTGATGAACAAATTGTTTGCCAAGCAGACTCGAGGGTTTGAGCTAACGTGGACCTTCTGTGCGTCTACCGTAGTAGGCCTGTGGCGCTGCTGTACCCTAGTACTATGGCTTCCTCTTAATCCCACTCAACATTTTGTTATCTAGTAAGGTGACTATGAATTAGTACTGTACTGTACAGTACTGTAATGTATTATACTACTTCGAAGTACTTCAGTGCGTACAGTGTAGTAGTAATTTTTTCACAGGATCCAATTATTTACCAATCAAAGACCGCCAAGCAGATACTTTGATGCGATTGGCCAGTTGCTCACGTTAACGTTATGAATTGTTCTTGGACAAAGGGTTCACTATTAACATTGGAGATTTGGTAGGAATTTCCGGACTCCGTTCAATCGAATCTCGCCAACCAAATCGAGCACCAATCTCTCCCATTGGTCAATCCGAAATGGCTTGTCGCTGATTGGCTACAATCCATTTTCGAGTTTCTACTGGAAAGGGTGAAGTGGATAATGGCCAATCAGATGTCTCGGCTCTATTTGTACGAACCATGCAAAATTGGGAAATTTGAAGAAAATCGACAATAGTATGCCATTTTATGATTCATCTAACGTTATGTAACGTTCTACCCATCCTCGTTCAAGGTGGTGGTCTTATGACGCTGCATTCTCGCTCGATGCTTTCTACGACGCTGGCGCAGTCTCCTTGGTTTGCTCCATGAGTCGGTTGCGCTCCGCTTGGAGCATGCGACAGAGTCCTTCCAGTTTGCTGATCTTGTCTTGCGCCTTCTTGGCTTCTTCGGCCACTCGCCCGCGCTCCTGGAGCATTTCGATGGCTCCGTGGTCGTACTGGTCGCACTTTTTCTTGAGGTTTCCGTTCTCTTTTTCCAATCGCTTGATATGTTTCGACATCTGCCACAAACACGTCAACAAATATATATATATATCGTTCAACACCACATATATATATATATATATCGCCACAAATAGATACAACAACACATATCTTTCTGTCTATATACCTTGTCCATTTCGTCACGCAACGTCCCAAACATCGTGTTGCTCTTGGACAGCGTTTCTTGCACCACTTCAAATTTCTCGGAATACGACGCCAGTTGGCCCTACCGTAAGACATATAAAATATTCATAGTATCCTATATATATATAGAGAGTATTCAAAGCCTATTGAAACCCAAGTCATCGCAGCAGCAGCAGCGTGGTTGGTACCTGTAGAGCCACTTCCCGCTCTGAAATGTGCTTGGTTTGCTCCAACGTCAGCGCAACCTGCGATTATATCAAGTTAGCCCCATTCTGACAAGGAAATTATTCCATACCTTTTCCGTCTCGCGCTTGGTGAGTTCGATTTGATGCTGCAGCTTGGCGTCGGCTAGCTGCACGGCCAAGTCCTTGGCCTGCAGCTGGTGGGCATAATGCTCTTCGCGCAACTCATACTGCGCCAGGAACGTCTTGAGCTTGCCTTGCAGGGCTTCGTTGTCGTGGAGCGACGACACGTAGTCCTTGCCCTGCTGCTCCATTTTCTTGCTCACGTCTTCGATCGTGGTCTGGAATTGCTGGCTCAGCTGCTGCCGCTTTCGGTCCTCTTCCTCGGCGATGCGACGGGACTCGGAGATGATGGTCTTGTTTTGTTTCTGGAGCTCGCGGCACAACGATTCGAGTTTGCCCTTGGTCGAGTTCACTTTCAAATTCGATTCGACCAACGCCATCTTTTGCTCGCGCATGACAATGTACTTGGCGTGCACTTCGCTCAGCTTTTGCTGCAGCAGCGCCAAGTGCCCCAACATCCCCTGCACGATGTAGTCCATCTGCCCGACGTCGCCGCCGTCTTTGCTTGCGGCCTCCCACGACGCACTCGCGTCGTCCACAAGCTTGGAATCGCTGAAAATGCCGCTGATGTCCACATCCAAGCTTGAATCCCCCACTTGAAGCTGAGCGATCTTGCTTGTCAACAGATCTTGAAGGTGCGAAGCCCCGCCATCGTCCTTATGACCTTTTGACGACGACGGCTTCTCGTGTTCCTCGCCGCTGGTGGAGTGGCGGGAGCTCTTTTGCTTGTGCTTGTGCTTCAACGAGCGCTTGCGTCCCCCGTCCTCCTTCGCACGTTCCCCTGTCGTGAGCAACGGGCTGCCACTGCTTGTTGGGCCGTCCATCGAGGGTCAGATCGCCAAAATAATCCGTTCGATATAAATATGGGGTATTTGTATCGGCGTTTTATTTGAAATGTCCATTTAAAAAGGGGACATTTTGCCTCGTTGGTGTTAAATGTTGGATTTGAAATGCATTTAAAATCCACAGTGCACCTGATCCAGCAGTCACTATTACAGTAGCATGGCACTAATTTCAGATTGGTTGGTGCAACGTCCTGTTTTCATGTTGGCTCGGTTGCGGTCAACTCCAAATCGACTCAACCGTTGCGGCGCAGTTCCAGCGTTTTTTAGCTCCAGCGAAACAACAGACAGCATGGCCGATCGAAGCTATCAACATCGAAGTGGAGGACGTCATGGTGGTGGCGGGCGAGGCGGCGGAGGACGCGGCGGCCGTGGAGGCGGCGGGTTTCGAGGGGGTCGCGATGGCGGTGGCCGTGGTCGACACAACCGTGACGGAGGCGGCGGTGGTCGCGGCGGTGGTCGAGGCGGAGGTCGTGGTGGAGACTCTTGGTTCAAGCAAGAAGGCTACAACGACGGTGTGGCCAGTAGCGTGGACGAAGCCGACGTCGGGATCAAGGTGTTCCGCAACGACATCCCCGGGTTCAACGGCATCGTGAAGCAGCGGTTCTCGGACTTTGTCGTGCGCGAAGTGTCGGTGGGTGGTCGGGACATTGCCCACCTCACGGACTTGGAGCTTCCCAAGGGCAAGTCGAAGAACCGAAGCATCCACACCATGCTGGCCGACGCGCTGGAAGGGTACCTGGGTTTGTCGTTCGCGAAATCCACCGCCACGAAGGATGCGCATCACGCCAGCAGTGCCGCCACGAAGCCAAGCAATGCGGCGCCTTCCGGCTTGGAAACCGTCGTGGACGCACTGTCCAAGCGGCTGGTGGCCATGTACCTCGCCACGCGCGGCGATGCCAAGGTCACGCAAGCCAAGAAGAAGGTCAAGACTCTGCTCGCCAAGGTCGAAGCCATGTACGACGCGGACGAAGCCGCTGCGCTGGGGGCGTTTCTAAACGACATTCAGAACGCCGAGCAAGACAAGACGGAGCTGGAGCTGGTGTATCACTTCCAGCCGAGCAGCTCCAAGGACGAACGCACGGCGCTCCACACGTTGATCCGGGAGCTTGGCAACGAATGGGTGGTGGGAGACACGGTCGCCGGTCCGTCGGGCGACCAGCAGATCGTTCGGCTGCGGCCGCTCAAGGTCAAGGGCAACAAGCGCAAGGATGTGGACCAGCGGGGGTCCAAGGACTTACCATGGCCACACAACCGCCCCAACTACCTCAAGTTTATCCTGTTCAAGAAGAATAAGGAGACTGTGGACGCTATGCAGCACATGGCCAAGTTGCTGCATATGAACCCTGGCACGTTTAGCTACGCCGGCACCAAGGACAAGCGCGGGCTCACATCGCAGTGGGTCACCGCGTACCGCGTGCCCCGCGAGACCGTGGCCAAGATCAACGCCAACAAAAACTTCAAAGATTTTGACGCGTACCCGTTCCTCGTGGGCAACTTCCAGTACGTGTCCGAGCCGCTGGTGCTGGGCGACCTCGACGGCAACCAATTCTCGATGGTCCTGCGCAACATCCCATCGGATGTGTCGGACGCGCAAGTGGATGCCGCGGTCTCGGCGTGGGCTTCCAGTGGGTTTGTCAACTACTTTGGCCTGCAGCGATTTGGCACCAAGTCGATTCCGTCCCACGTCGTACGTTGTCGCAGATAGCAGCGATGTATATGCGTGTTGCTTAGCCACGACGTGGGGCATGTTGTAGGTGGGCCGGGCGTTGCTGCGAAAGGACTACAAGCTCGCGACTGACTTGATCCTTTTGCCCAAGGTCGGCGATGCGTCTAAGATCAAGGAGGCGCGCCAGCATTTCCAAACGTACAAGGACGTGTCGGCGGCGTTGCGCATGTTTCCGCCGTATTTGATTGCCGAAGTGGCCGTCTTGGAGGGGCTGCAGCGCCACGGGTTGGACGAGTTCCACCGCGCGATTCAAAACATCCCCCCGAAACTGCGCATGGTAAACACATACACACATCTCCCCCTTCTTGTTTGTCTCATGTTGGCGTTGGTATAATAGATCTACACGCATGCGTATCAGAGCTACATCTGGAACGAAGCCGCCAGCGTCCGGCTAACGACCTTCTCCAGCACCCATCCGGTGGTGGGGGACATGGTCGTGCGCGGGTCTGTGGTGGGTTCGAGTGGGGTGCAGGTGGAAGACTGGGAAGGTGCCGACGGAGACGACGCTTCCCGCGACCAGCCGGCTAAGAAGCGTCAACGGGTGATGGAGCACGACATTGTGTTCATCACGGAAGCCAACATTGGCGAGTATTCGATTGAAGACGTCGTGCTGCCTGTCCACGGGTACAACACGCTTCTGCCCAAGAACGAGATTGCCGCGGTAAGGGTTCCTAAATGTATATGTCGTTGTATACCAATGCATGGAGTGATATTGGACATGCTTGAACAGATCTACGAACGATGTGCCAGAGAAGACGGCGTGGACTTTGCCAGCTTGAAACGCAATCAGAGCCCCGAGTACAACCTGCCGGGGTCGTACCGCCACATTGTGTGCAAACCCAAAGCCGTGGCCCACACCATCAAACGGTACAACGACGAGACGATCCCGCTCGTCGAGTCGGACGTCGACCGGCTCATGAAGCGCACGGCGCCGCCATCCATCCCCGACGGTCGATTTCGATCCATCTGCCTCGACTTTATCCTCCGTACGAACATGAATATGTTTCTTGATTGTTGGTCTAATATGGTCTGATGGTTTGTGCGAGTAGCATCGTCGAGTTATGCTACGATTGCCATCCGTGAACTGCTCAAGCAAAGCTCGAGCATCCACGTGCAGCTCGGGTTGAACGAACAAGGCGCAGGACAAGCCATGGACACAACCTCCAAGACCAACACGGCCAAGTCGATCCCCATTGGCCGACCAGGGTTCAGTTTAAGCAGCAAATAAACCAACATTCATACATTCATATTCCAGTGGTCGCTTGTTCGTAGGATGTTCTAGGATCGTTCGTTCGTAGCGACCACGTCGCGACTGAATCGCTGGGTTATCACGTCAAAATAGACCTCGTACAAGGAACACAGCCCCACCAGTGCCACGCCCACGACCTGCCACCATGGGTTCTGCGCACAAGTTTCGCGTATTATGTACTCATATACTATAAACAAATGGATTGTTTAGCATATGTATAGAGGGCGTACCACGATGCAGGTTTGGGTGGGGTGGTCCAAGATGTGGTAGAAGCGTCGATCGCAATTTGGAGCTACATATGTACGTCCAAGTGTGAGATAGATTGCTCAATTCATGCACGGGTATGCCAAGTTGTTGAAATATCAAACCCACTGGAACACTTGTTGGCGTTGCTGCGAAACGTCTGGTGGCCCACACACACGGCAGGTCGGTTGCATGTGTCTTCTACTACGACTTACACTTGTGTGAAAAATCAATATCCTTCAAGTAGGGTGTGGTGATGACTGAAAAGTCACCTGAAACGTTGGATGGCGGCGGCGACGGGCGGTGGAAGCCGACGCGGGTGTGTTTGGCATGCACGACCAACCCAAGGGACTGCAGCGCCATGGTCCCGAGCACAATCGGCGACCGATACATGTTTGGCACGCGCATGTTGTCGTCAAGAGGCTAACATGAACGAGCTAGGGTCATCCTTGAACGTGGTTTGTATGCTTGACAGTATGAGTGTGTACATTGGTAAACACATCGCCTTGGTCGTCGATGTCTGGATAAGCCCAGTGATTGCCCACGACGTGCTTCACGGAATGGCCTGGCTGGATGCAGAGATATGTTGGTCTTCTGAGCACATTGATAATTATTAGCATGTGAGTGGTTCGTCATTGTAACTTGACACTCACAGCAAAGTGGCATTGCCGGGTAAGACGAACGAGGCCAGAGGCAGCGATAACAGTGGCGAAAAGTGCGACAGTTGAAAGCGCAACGTCGGCAAGTCTGCAGCTGCGACACCGGGACGGACGACAGTGAGGTTCACAGTCGCGTTGTACGAGAGCGGAGCCCACGCCAACAGCTGCATCGTCGCAATCAACATGGGAAGGCTCAAGATGGAATATCACGTAGCTGATGCATGCTCAGAGCACAATAAATCATTTCATCCTACCGTGGCATAGAACTCTTTGGGCAGTGTCAAGCAGGGGCTGCGAAAGTCCACGACTGCGTCCCAGTAGGACGACGTGGCCTCTGTCACAGACTTGCCGCAAACTGAAACTTGGTACACTAGGAAGTGTGAGATACGAAACTAATGATGGGTGATCACGGTGTACTGGGAAAGCTTGTGAATCGCTGGTAATAGAAATCGTCTACTGTGTTCATAGGCTCGGACCAGAGGATTGTATCTGCTGTCGAGGTGAGAGAAAGGTGAGGTCGGAGATTGTACTGTTATACCAGACGATGGACCGAATTGGAGGCTAGCGGCCCCCGTAGCGTAATCCATGCCACTGTAGGTGTACTGCATACTGTTGGGATCGGACCCATTCACGTACGGCCACAATAGCTCTGTGCGAGTGGACTTGATGCCCACTCCGATGACCCCGTCGACTGTCCAAGGTCTACCGCTCCATTAAGATCACGTGGATGTGGTAAATGTACATACACATGCAAATGAGGAGGTCGCCGCACAATCTTGATCATGGTCTGAACGGAGTGCCCGTTGAACGCAACCGACACTTGGCTGCTCCGATGTTTCTGTTCCGCGGCTGCGATGTCCTGGAAGAGGACAATTCCTTGAGTCATTGGCGAGAGCAATACTCGTTTCTGCTCTCCATCTATGATGATGCTGATCCAGGGGTTTGAGTAGGTTTTCGGTATGATCGTAGCATGTGCCAGAGCGGCGGCCGCCGTCGCCGCGACGAAGAAAACCCACGGCATGACGAAACTTGGGTCGTTCCGGATAATATTGAACAAATAACCGGATTCACGAACCAATCAAAACGGAGCCTCGTGCTCCACTTATTGCGTCCGCTTAATATCCGGACGTCTCCTAAATAGCGGTTTGAAGTTGTGTTGGTGGCCAATCGAAGCAATCGAGGATGCCGCGCAAAGGAGGGAAGCGAGTAAGTGCCACACACCATTGCCCTCCATGCACACGATGCTCACAGAGGATCGACATGTAGAAAAAGACTAGGACCCATGTGGCCACCGGGGCCGCCACGAACGCGGACGACAAAACCCCCAAGAGTTTTGTGTTCAAGATGGGCAAGGCGCCGGCGTGCGTCTTGTCGTTGGTTCAAGACATGCGTCAAGTGATGTTGCCGTTCACGGCCGACCGCCTTCGTGAAAAGAAGTATGGCAAGGCCATACATGTCCTTGGCATCTCAAATAGACTTCTCACGTTCTTCGGTCGTCCATCTCTTTAGGAAGAACACCATCCAGGACTTTGTGCATGTAGCAGCTCCGTTGGGCGTATCCCATTTCCTCGCGTTCACCAACACGGATGCAGGTACCAACATGAAGCTCGTGCGTCTTCCTCGCGGCCCCACGCTCTCGTTCAAGGTACTCCACATCGCCTCTCCGTGCTGTCCCACCACGCCCTGACCCATGTGTATTAGGTTGAAAGCTATTCGTTGATGAAACACATCCAGCGCATTCAAAAGCGTCCCGTCGATGCTTCGGTATGTCCATTCGTACCTGACATCTTCTGACTTGGACTAGTTGGCGTTCAAAACGTCGCCGTTGGTGGTCCTCAATAACTTTACTGGCCCAGAAGACCACATCAAGGTATCGTCAGTTATTGTTTGCGGAGTGATGGTCGTTGCTAAGCCACGAACGAACCCATAGTTGCTCAACGCTACGTTTCAAAACATGTTTCCCGCCATCGACGTACAGACGATCCAGCTCACCGAGTGCCGCCGCGTGGTGCTGTTCCATTACGACAAGGACGCGGACGTTGTCGAGTTCCGTCAGTTTGTCATCCGAGCCATGCCCCTCGGCCTGTCCAAGAGGTGCGTACCACCACCAACACACACTAATTTCACCAAATTGGGTTCAAATGCCTCGAATTAGTGTCAAGACACTGGTCAAGTCGCGCGTGCCCAACCTAGGCAACATGGAAGACATTGCCGACTTTGTGTTTGGGGGCACCAACACCGGCATGACGTCCGACAGCGAGGTCGACGACGAAGCCGCCCACGTGGTGCTGCCCGATAAGTTTCGTGGTCGTGGCAACCAAAAGTCCGAGAGAAGGTATTCTCCATTGACCCCAAAACACTTTGTGTGCTGATTCGCCAAATCTATCGATTCTTTGTATTCTATATTGGATGTAAATAGTTGTCTGTTGATCTCAATTAGTGTAATCACACTAATTGAGATCTCACACTAATTACGTGCTGAAGGTGATTCTCTACAATATGATTGGCTCAATCTTTCTGCCGATTCTTGTGTACATTTATTTGGCTGTGTCGATTCATTCTCCATGTACAATTTTAAGAATAGTACGTCGTTTCAATGTGTTATGGTGCTGATCATCTAACACTATTTATGTTAGTGCGGTGCGGTTGGCCGAGGTGGGACCGCGTATGACGCTCAAGTTGACCAAGGTCGAGCGCGACATGTGCGACGGCGACGTGTTGTACCATGCTTATGGTACGAATACGATTATGAAGTTTCGGGGGCTCCAAACCGCAACCCCCCGAAACCCCGAAACCCCGAATGCCCACATGATGTGGCTAACATGTGTGTTGCAGTGCAAAAGACCCCCGAGGAAGCCGCCAAGCTCAAGGCGAAGAAGGACATGGCGAATGCATTGAAACGCAAGCGCCGCGAAGAGCAAGAAGAGAACGTGAGCAAGAAGGAGCACGCAAAGGAAGAGAAGAAGCTGGCGAAGGCCACCAAGAAGAACGCCGTCGAGAACAAGCGCCGCCAACTCATGCAGTACGCCAACACGGAGGAAGTGAGCGACCTCGAAGATGCCGAGTACTACCGCCAGGAAGTGGGCGAAGAGCCCGACGCGTACATGTTTTCAGACCGCAAACTCAAGGAGCCCAAGAAGCCGTTTGTGAAAAAGAAGTTTGGCACGACCACCAGTCGTCGCGACAACAACGACAAAGGAAAAGGCAAGTTTGCCAACAAGAAGGAAGGCGCCAAGTCCACGTTCAACAAGTTCAAAGGCCAAAGCGGTGGCGGCGCCAAGAAAGGCGGCGGGGCCAAAAAGTCTGGCGGCCGGCGAAAGTTTGACCGACAATAATACCATATTATTCGCAACAAAGTAGGATTGATTGTCCTCGTGATGGGAGAATATTGCACTTGACGAACTTGTATGTAATCGGCTGACTCGAACTGATATGTACCAAGAGTGCACTTTCAGATATTACACCAAGGAGACCGTACGAGCTAAGCATAATCCATATTAATACCAAGGTAGATGGCCAAGGTATGGTGCACTTGAAAGAGACTTCGTCGTCGAATGCAGCTTACTCGTCTCTCAGGACTGGGACTTCAATTCTGAAAAGTGCTGCATGAAGCCAAAAGGTTGAGCATTCATTCTTCTATACTCTATTTGTTGATCGGATTGTGTATTGACTTCGGTGCCGTAAACTAAAGCTTGAAAAAGGTTCCCGTCGACTCGATCCAACTACTCCCTAAAGGGGACGACGTGGTGGGGTGGGGTCACACGGCAGCATGCGCAGGTCAGGGAACGCATCCATGGCCGCCATGCCTTTGACGAACACGGCGTTAGGGGTGAGCCAGTCGTCCAGGAGCAGTCCCTCCGTGTAATGGCCCGGTGCCGGGTTGTACTGGTACGCACTCTCGGGGTTGAGCGACCACATGAATCCGCCCGCGCACTTTTGCTGGAGCATGATCTCGATGAGGGCGTCCGTGACGCGCCTGGTCGTCTTGAGCGGGTGGCCGTCGGTGGCGTATAGGCCGGCAAACTCACCAAGCACGACCGCATCCGCCTGCTTGAGGTTGAGGTACCCAAACATGTCGAAGGACGTGCCTTCCACGCGGCGCTTGAGCGTCTTGTCGTCCAACTCGTCGCCGACGCCGCCAGGGCCGTACAGATATGGCTGCGGGAACACACCCGTGTTGTAGTAATGCGGGGCATACACGACTTTGTGCTTGGTGGTGACGGTCACGGGGGTGGCGCCGGCGCCTTGTAGCCCGCCGCCCCACCAGTCAAAGTAGCTGAACGCGGTGCCATCGATCGTGACGCTCTTGGTGCCTTTGTTCACTCCTTCGACGTAAATGGACCACTGCGGACACCCCTCTAACACATACACCGTCAAAACAAGCAGATGGATAGGGATTCCGTGGGGCGTACGAAGCATGCGGTTGCCAATGGTCGCGGCGCCGTCGGCAAACTCGGCCCACGTCGCTTCAAACGGTTCGTTCTTTGCATCCAGCCCCATGACGTTCCAGTACTCGTTCGAGCACAAGTTTGTGGTCAGTATGTCCACGGCCTTGAGAAAGTCGAGTTTCGACACCCCCAGGGCATCGCTGTACCAGTTTCCCCCCGACTGCATCGGGGTCAACGTGTGCAGAGAAATGAGCACCCCGATGCGCCGATACGCCAACACTTTGATCAGCGACTGCAACGTCGTCATGTAGTTGGTCAAGTCGAGCGCGCGGTTCGATTCGACGTTCACGAGGCTTTTCTCGGGCTTGGTGTTGCGGAGGATGCTAAGGATGCACACGGGAAGCCGCACCGCGTTGAACTTGTTGGCGGCCAAGAATGCCGCCAGCACAAACTACAAGGGCAATGTGACAACCCCCTTACACGAAGACACAGGTCGTACGGCAGTGGTGCCGTTCTTTTGGTTTTCCCACAGCCCAAACGGCACGGCTAGCCCTGTTTCCATGCCAAACCTAGTTGCATATCTGGATGAGCAATGTAGGTTAAACATGTACTACAGTAGACGACCACCCACCAATTCACGCCTTTGATCGACAGCGCGACTTCCGTGCCGTTGGTCATCACCGCTACGATCTTGCCGTTCTTGCTCTGGTAGTCCAACTGCGCACATTCTACAGATCATACAATTGCATGTTCATGTCCGAATCAACGATGGTTAGATATTTCTGGGTGGGTCGTACGAGAAGCGGGGTACGTCTTGGGGTTGCCCACTTGGCCGTCATCGTCCGGAGTGGCAATGACCGAGTCCAAGATGTCGCTTGGGAGTAACGTCCCCGACCTGTTGCGGAAGAGAAGTTCGTTGGCCACCCGCGCGCGGTCTTTGGATGCTTGATGCGCCCGTTGCGCAGATGTAGCAATCAGGACGATCGCACCAGTGACAAAGATGGCGAGGAGCACAAGCCCAGGCCAAGTCTGGACGACACGAACGCATGAAGACATTGATTCACCAACCTGGTTCGAACATGCGATATGTACCCGAATGCGACCCTTGTACTCTCGCTTGGTTTCCACCTTGTCCTGAGGCGCCGGGACGATCGCAACTTTCACCTCCGTCGGACGCGGCTTGACGAGGCAGCTCGAAGACGACGACGTCGACAGGCGCTGGGACTCGCGCCACTGGGTCATGCTCAATCTGTGGTCATCTACCGTATCTGCCATGACACGTGAGAGTGTTTGGTTGCAGAATGAAGTCTTACGTTACCTCGCCAGTGGCAAGTGCATTCGAAATACGTTCAGGGGACATGGACGGCTTGCTCACAGCCTGCCACGAAAATGTGTCGCGTGACCCACGTTTGAATCGAAATACCTATTAAACGTCAGTTACAGTACAGTATTTATATGTGATCTTACAGTTAAGCTGAGTTGCCTGTAACGTTAAATAAAGTAACCAATCAAATCGAATTGTTTTCACTGTATGGTGCAACCGTCACTTGAAAGACTCTATCAAGGAGCTGCATCTCCTGCCGAGATCTCCGTCTTCACGGTTGTACTCTCGTCGCGATCCTCTCGAGAACGAGACATCGCACAGCCACAAACATGACCAACCAGTCACCACCGACATAACGTTACTCTTCCTTTTCGCCGTCGTTCTATCATGTCGCCAGTCCTTCATGCAGAACGTACAGATTGAAACGATTGCGTTGCCTTCGAAACGTCAAGACTACGTTTCAGATTCCATCACTGAATCCCCCTATGAAGAGCCCATCAAGAGAAATGACGTTGATGTACCTTTAGCACCTGGCAGTTAACTGTCCAGGGCGCCCCATGACCCACCACTTTTGCATCCAGGTACTTACTATACATGGACGTCGAAAAGGTTGACATGTTACCCCCCAACGCATGACAGGAACCGCATTTATGTGGCCACCTCAACAGCCTGAAAAGGTGTCTAATCCTGGCCTTCAAGCAAAACTTTAGAAGTCACATGTGTGTGTTGGCTTGTAATTAAACTGCATGCTGCCGAGCTTTCTCTAGTTGCACCAAGTCGAGCACTTGTCGCATGTTGCCCGAGACAACGAGCCATTCCTTGAACTTGGCTTGGATGGCTTGCTCCAGCAATTTCTTTACCGGCGTGTCAAACTCGTCGATGAGGCGCCGGAGGCCGTCCACGTTGTCTTGTGCTCTGCGCACGGCATGCTCAAACTCGATGGGTAGTGCTACGGGTAGTCGTCCCTACCCAGCCACTTAGCATCTCCCTGGCATCCACCATCCAATCCAGGCCGTCTTTACCCGAGGTGACACCGCGTCCATCTTGACAGGCACGCACACTTCTGTAAACTGCAGCGGCGTCTGCAGCACCACCGCCGCATCGGCACTGGCGTCGCTTGGCTCTACAGTGGATTAGCAAGAACTCGATTGGACCAACGTAAGCTAGGGTAGTACTACCGTCCGTGTCGAGGTTGACAAACTTGTTCCATTGCCCAGTCGAGTGCGGCACATAAGCCAGCCGACTTTGCACTAGGTGCAGACGCAGATGCGGGTACTGAGCATTGAACGGCCCAATGTAACAGCCGCGGTTGTCTCCGTCAAAGATGCTTCGTCGCGGTGTAAACACGTTGAACGTCGAGTCCAAACAGTTGCTACATACAGTCAAGTGCAAAGTGTAAACTCGAGGGATGAACCTGATAGGTAATAGTATATATCGTACGTACTGGACTCGAAGCAGCGCACACGTGGCCGATACGGTGGTGTTGTCGCATCGATCGACGGTGCAGATGCCACTGGCGGGCCCAAGCACGACTTTGCAGTTGCACGATGCCACCACACTCACATGCCGCAGCGGCCCCAGCACGTAAATGTACGCGTCGTGGCAGCCAAAGATGGTCACGTCACAGTGTCGCATAAACTCGTCCGCTCGTTTGATCACCGTGGCTTTCGACACGAGCGAAATCACGACAGGGCTACAGTAGTTAGTCCCACGTCGTCAATTCGAAACAACTTCACCATAAGTTGACGTTACCGAGGCAGGGAAGCAATGAGAGCACGCGTGGAGCCGTTGTCGCTAGGCGGCTGCTCCACTTCTACATGAAACGGTTATGGGAAGCTATAAGTAGTAATAATAAACCCTGCTAAAGACATATGTGGCCATAGGATAAGCCTACCCAAGTCCTGCGACACGGGCATGTTCAAGTGCAAAGTCGCAATAATCGAATTGTTGGGAGTGCAAGTGCCAACACGGGGATAGAGCACGTCGTTGAGGGCCAGGCGAGTTCGCAGCCACTTCAACACTTTCGACGCTAGTTGGTGCGGCTGCTGCCATTTGGGGTAGGCGGCACTCAGGCGCGGGTACTGCTGGACGTGCGATGCTCCACCGCAGAAGAGTACGCCCAGCAAGTCGAATTGTGGCGCTGTGATGATGGCGTCGTCGGCCGTTAGCGAAGTGTCGAGCACGAGACTGACCAGTAAATCCAGATTGGCTTTGACAAAGCTGAGCGCATGCGTTTCCGATTCCAACCGGTCCTTGAGTCCAATGGAATGCGGGGACGAAGGCGAGATCGGCGCCGCTAAATGGACGGGCGAGGACGCGCCGCTGGAACCAGGACTGGTCATTGGTTGGTCCTCCCGCCGCCACCTGCATGGATATGCATGTGGTTGAGCGACATGCGAATGATGGAAGGACTGACGTACACTGCGTCGAAGGAAGGCTTGGCGCGATGTTTCGACGACTTTTTGTCCATGTGGAGGAACAAGAACGTGGCGAGTTTGTAGAGCGGCACATGTTCAAGGAGAAAGTAGTCTTCGTCGGCGAGGAATGAAGGGTCTCGTTTGTTTTGTGCGTCATCTGAAGGAAGGATTGGGATCTGGTGATGGAGACACACAACCACGAGCCAAAACCTATGAGATGCTTGTAGGAACTTTGTCATCGGTGTGATGATCGTACGAGCGGCATTCGTTGTCCTTCCATTGAAACGTGGTTTCCGCCACATTCTTCCACATTGCGTACCTATGCCACATCCAGCGTCACGGACGAATAACGGAGTTGCAAGCTTCTACGAGATGGGTTGGGTGGGGGTACTACTGGCAGTTGATTCTTCAGGCCGCCTCTCCACCGACGCATGCGTATTTCCCAGCTGCCGAAGGGCAGCCACACCATTGATGATGTTCTGCGGCGTCAGATTGATCACACACCGCGACTGGAACTGCATAGCAAAGTGCTCAAATAGCTCCATGCGGAGCCAAAGCCGCTGCCGCATCTTGATGGAAGTCCCAACGGGCACCCTATGCACTTTCAGAACATTTTATCCGGCAAAATCCGGATACTGGTCCGTCTGTCCCATACAATTCAAAGGTTCAAATTCTCGTGGGGCATATCGCCAGTCACAAGTCGCTCCTACAGCGAGAACATCGCCGCCGCTATGTCTGTGAAGATGGAAGAGAACTCGGTACGTCGACGATTCTCCTTGTATCTAACGTAAGGAGGGAGAAGGTACTCAGTACTCACCCTCGACATTAATGCTGCGTAGCTGAGCCGCCAGCTGTCCCAGTGCAACGAGGAAGCATGGACCACGCTGGCCCGCATTTCCGAAATGATGGGGGACGACGAGAACATGCTCGTGTCGTACGAAAAGGTATTGTCGCACAACCGAGTCAACCCCGTGGCGCTGTACGGCATCGGATGCTGCTACGAGAAAGCTGAGAGCTACAACAAGGCGGCAGAGTGCTTCCGAGGTCTCGTGAGCTTGGGCGGCGAGCAGCAAAACAACACGGATGCGTGGGGCCACTTGGGCTATTGCTACATGATGCTGAACGATCTGTCCAACGCCCACACTGCGTATCAGTACGCCATGTACCAGAACCCACAGTCCCAGCGCGACCCTACGTTGTGGTTCGGTATCGGTCAACTGTACGAGCGGTCGGGGTCGCTCGATCACGCCGAAGAGTCGTTCCAGGTTTGTCGTCTCATTCCATGAGACTGGGATGGTTAACGGGTTTGTGTTTAATGCAGGCGGTACTGAGCTTTGATCCGCCGTTCAACATGGCGTTGGAAGCGCGCATTCGCCTCGGCATCATCGCAAAACAGCGCGGCGAATTGGACGTGGCCATCGACCGTCTCAAGTCTGTGCTGTCGATCGCGCAGACGAACGACATGCTGAGTGACGTGTGGACGCAGATCGGCCACGTGTACGAAATGAAGGCGGAAGTGGCGCTGGCGCAAAACTCGTACATGAAAGTGGTCGACTTGAACCCGAACAACGCCAAACCATTGCAGCAGCTCGGGTGGCTGTGCCTCAAGCACAACCAGCACGTCGAAGCGATCAAGTTTCTGAAGAAAGCCGTCTCCATTGGTAGGAGCCGCAGCGCTGCATTTTCCCAAGATGGTGTCTGATGTGCATACCCCCTAGACATGCAAGACGGCAAGGGGTGGTACTTGCTTGGCCGGTGCTACATGGCTGTGCGCGAGTTTGAAGAAGCGTACGATGCGTACAAGCATGCTGTCAACTCGGACCCGTCCAACCCGAACGTGTGGTGTTCGTTGGGGGTGCTGTTTTACCAACTCAACCAGCACCTGGACGCATTGGACGCGTATTCCCGCGCGATTAACATCAACCCCAACATATGCGAGGTCTGGTACAACGTCGGGACTCTGTACGACGCCTGCAACCAAACCAACGACGCCCAAGACGCGTACCAAAAGGCCGCCGAGTTGGGCGCCGACGCGCAGTTTATTCGCGAACGCCTCGACTTGCTTCGGGCCCGAGAAGCGAACCAGCCCACCACCGGCATGCCTGGCGCCAACGCGTCCCCTGGCCCGTCCGAGCCCCCGACCACGTCCCCCATGCCTTCGTTCACGTCCAAGAGCGCCCCTCCCCCGGTGAACGCGCCGCCGCCGCCGTCTCAAGGCGGAAGCGGCAACCTGCAGCAGCCGCCCGGTCCGTCGATGGGAGGTCCCCCCATGTCCCTTCCGCATAGCATGGGACAAGGAGGCCCGTCGCAACAAGGAGGCAACCCTGGCTCAATAAGCAGCAGCGGCCCGTACAACCCCAACGGCCAGCCCCCTCCTCCAGGAATGATGGGTGGAATGCCGCCGGGTATGTCGCTGGGACAAGGTCCGCCCGGAAGTATGCGCCCGATGGGCCATCGCGGGGGCCCCATGGGCAGCTTGAGCGGCCCGATCAGTGGCGGCAGCGGTAATATTGGCATGGGTGTGCCCCGGGGCATGATGGAACCGCAAGGTAAGATGTGACCACGGTTGTAAGTCTCTCATAAGATCATTCATTATCTTGCATAGGTCGCCGATAAACTACTACCTTGGAGAGACGACGACTGACAAACAAGACATTTATAAAGACAAATACCAATTGAATTCCGAACGTGTTGTATATGTTCTATGGTTTATACTCGGTTTGTGTTTGATAGACGAGTCGAAGTCGCTGGACGTGGTCGCGTTGCAAATGCAAGTTCAATTCGTCCAAGTGGAGCTACATAGATACAGTAGTTAGGTGTAATAATGCAAATGGGGACATCACAGGGGCAATGCCTAGCAAGATATATACATGTATTCATACATTGGCTTGGTGCTGGGATTTCTCAGCGTCTGTGAAGGCGTCCCACGCTTGTTCAACGGCCCGCCGCTTGCTGTTTAAATCAGCGGCAGCAATCGCAATGTCGGCTTCGTACTCGGTCAATTGGGCACGAAGCTACGACAGGTTATCACATGAATCATCCACTACATACAGTATATATCCCAACCGAGTCGACGTCGATCTTGTGCTGCAATGCATGCATTTGTTTCCATATCACGTCGTCCATCTAGGACGAAGTCAGTTGAGTTGTGAATGGATTGTGGAGGATGACAACCCAAAGGCATCGAAACGCAGCTTCCACCACGGGGCGTAGCGCGACATGGCATTCGCGACACAGTTCGACTGGCGCGCACGGGACGACGCCGATGTCTACGTCGGACTGTACAACATGACATTCCCAACAATATAAAAAACGGTTCGAGTCGAACCTGGGGCTGCAACTGCATCCATCCTGCAGCTATCATCTCCCAAAACCTACGGTCGCCAGCTGCGCCACTGAACAATTCCAACACAGCCCCAACTAAAATACAAGGAAGAAACCACATGAGATAACCCGAAGCAGCAAGCACACAGTACCGTTTACAGCCACGCGTTTGTCTCGCTTCATGAGCGCTTGCGGCCCCGCTAGCATCTGCAAGTCCGAGCCGAGCCCACAGAGCCGCTGGAACACTTGCCATTTCTCCACGGCGTCAACTTGAGTCGCCTTGTCGGCTTGGTCCAACGCGTTGTTGTCCAAGTGCAAGAACGTTCGCAACGACTGCGCCACGTCACGTTGATAACCATCACAAGTTTGCTGTACGAGATCCTGTTGGTTCAAACTTTACGAACCAGTCATGTTTCAAGTGTAGAGTAAAAACAACAGGCTACCTACCGTAGCGTAGGCACCGTTGGCAATGGCGGCACAGAGAGCGTCTAAATCGACCCATGAATTGCCCACTACATAAAAGGAATCCCTCTACCTTAGTACAAACACAATACTATGGTAGGATGTTTGCAAACCAGTGTCGAGAATACGTTGCCGATCGTCGTCTGAACCATCCAGACCATAAGTGGCCTACAGTGATATCCGTCATGTGGATGTCATCCAAGCAAATGGGAACGCAACCATCAAGGCAGACAGCTTGGCCGCGGCATCCCTGTTATCGAATCTACAGTATCAGCCCCGAATTCAATCATCATGATCATGCGATGGAGAGCATTGGAGACCAACCTGCCGCCCTGGGGACGAACGAGCAAGCACACGTCGTGCTGCGACTGGTCGACCACAAATTCGCCCACGACGTCGGCCATGGACGTGGTCCACACTACATGGGCTTCGTGTGCATGTGAGATAGGACAATCGGGCGTTGGAGGTCGTACCGAGGTGGTTGTTGCAAAGACCTTGAAACCACAAATGGAGCTGAGACAGTTCAGTTGGGTCCAAGGCACGGACAAGGGCGGCGCGGTCGGCGGCAATGTACAACGAAATGCTGTCTGCAACGTCAAACTCGCGAACTTGCTGCAAGGCTGTCGTGACGACTGTGCGTTGATGAGCTCGGATCCTACAGCAGCAAGCATATTTCCATATTATGACAAGATATGCTAGTGCCAGAGGAGGTAATAGTATGTCGCACTTGGACTGGTACGAGGCGTCGTTAAAGCCACTCTCGACAGTGTATTGGATGGAGCGAAGACACCGGAGAATCCCAACCCATGCATGACGAAGCGAATGCAGTGGCGGTATGGGTAACATGGTGCCGTGGACATCTGCTGGGAGTATCGTAGTGAGATCCTTTGCAAAGTGTTCGAACCTACCTAAATCGATTCGAGTGCCATCTCCAAGCACTCTACCATATACTGTTATGCTTGGCTTGTTTTGTGCATGCGTACGTACCTGTTCATGACGCAAGTTGGATCGTCTTGAGGAGGTAGCACTAACAAGTGGGGAAAACTAGGCTGCGTCTGCATGAGCCGCAAGGCATCTGTCTCGGTGTCGTCGTCAAACTGCCGAGTATCGCTCACAATCAACTCCATCATTGCAATATTGCCAAATACGTACAGACGTCTTGGGACTAGCGTCGTGTGATGCGAGGAGGCTTGACTTGACCATTGCGATCTCGGATGCATGCTCTGATTCCGTGATCAATGCAGCCGTTAGCACCGCACCAGTACATAGAGCTACAAGTCAAGTACGCAATGAGACCCTAAACAAGCCATGCTATGCCAACCATAATGCGTTGGCTTCACTCGCGACAAGATCGATCGGATGGCAGACATTACGGTGGTCACGTTTTTCATCAGCAAAAGTAAATTATCCGGATCAATTATGTCACGTATCCGGTTCAATTAAATTATCCGGCTCAATTAAATTATCCGGCTCAATTCTGTCGCGTATCCGGTTCAAAATCGACCATATTCATTCAGACAATACTTGTCGCTGATTGGCTATATTATTTTTCTCTTTTTCAAGAGGGAACAGTAGAGCGACCTACCTATACATAATTGGAAAAATCCAAGCAAAAGTACAAGAATAAGCACAAAAACTATCGAAAATAAAATACATTCGTTCACCACCATTACTGTACGTTCTATATAGTAAGTCGCAAGTTGCTAGCTGGTCCTGTCGCTAGCCCAATATCCGACTCAACGAAAAATTGCCGGCCATCGATGCCTGGTTACGCTCCAGCATCGTTCTGCACGACACGGGTTCGTTGTCGTGCTCGCCCTTCATCCGCTTGGCCGCCCGCGGACTGTGCACTTGAGGTTCCCGCGCCCGCTTTTCCAGCGCCACCAGTCGGTCGTCCAACGTCGCCATGGCCACAAACATCTCGGGGATGGTAAACCACTGCAAAAACACCTTCTTGGACGGATCGCACTTGCACAACTTGTGCGCGTGGCGCAGACACGCGACCTTCGTGTGTGAGCAACTGCACGCAATACCCGAGAAGAACAGACTATGCTTGCATGCGACGCACTGCCGCCTGTCGTCGTACCCCATTTCGTCGTCGGTCAGCGCATCGTCCCGCTTCGCCATGGCCACCACCATGACAATGCCAGATTGGACAAGTTGGTCGCGCAGACGGATCTCTTCGTCGACGATGCGGTTCATCTCGTCCAGGAGCATGCGACTGGCGTGCACCAACGCGCCCTCGTCCGTCGACTCGCCGGGTTTGTGGTCATCTGGGAACAGCCCCCGCATGGCAAGGACGTACATGAACCGATCGTGGGAAAATACTGAAAGGCGGCCAAAGTCCCGGTAGCGTTCGCTGCACAGCCGCCCAAACGGAAGCCAGTCGGGGAGGCAAAAGTTAACGGCTTCGTTGCAGTTAAACTAGTACATCCAACTTGAGTTGACAACAGATTGGACACATATATATACAAATACCCCTTGGCTGAATCCGCAATGATAGCCTTGAGGGAACGTCAAGACAATGTCGCCTGGTTCCTAGTAGGTGTCGATGAATTCCCATAATCGCGACCAACTAATGAATATACTAATGGCAACTAATGAATATACTAATGGGTCGTACTTGGACCAACGAGTAGACGTCAATGTTGTGCTGGCGGATGACAGTGGGCGACACCATCGTCACCAACTACACAATTGTTGAGTTCAAAGTGCAGTTTGAAGTGATCCACATTCGTACGTGAAAGAACAAGTCGGGTTTCTTGTCAAAGCGATGTGGGACAAGGGACTTCCACACCCGTTCAAACGTGTCGCAGCTGGTCGCGGGGATGCCGTACCAGTGCTTCTTGGCCCCCGTGTGCATGTAGTTGATGCTGTACAGGTAGTTGTCTTCAAAGTGCCAGCAAAAACTGGCAAACAACATGCCAAAGTACACCCATGGCACGTTCACACCGTTGATCTGGGCGTCGATGTGCCGAAGCAGCGACCCGTGCGCCGACGGAAGGTTGTTCAAGTTCCACGCGGTGTGGTCGTAGTACGCGCGACTGGCAAAGTCCACATGTTCTGACAGGTACATCAGATGACGACTTCACAGTGAGAACGATGGGTATTACCGTGTCGGGCATCGTGGCGAACATCGCGGGCCACGCGGGGGAAGCCGCTCCCGACGACAGAAACGTCCAGGTCGTTAGCGTATTCCACCTGCCCAAGAGCGTCAAAGTGACGTGATGCTGCGACAACATAATACCTCCAACGACTCGTATGACGTTTCGACGATCTTCCAGTACTCCTTTTCAAAATCGCGGTCGGTCCAAGTCGCCGGATCGATGTCCTTGCGCGCAAACCACGCCGCCTTGAACGCACGCGCCGCCTTGCGATACGACTGGAGCGTGTGATCCTTGCCGTCCTTGTACGACTTACCCTCTTGTAAGCGATGTACCTTCTGCAGCTTTGTCTCAAACATGTGTGTGTCGTTGTCGTAGTTGATCATGTGCGGCGGCGCCCAGCCCTTCGGCGGCACGATCTTCGCGATGCCATACCGCGCTCCTTCCTTGGCGACATGATTGATGTATGCCACGGGGTTGGCGAACTCCTCCATCGTCGGGTAGAACACGCGGGCAGGGGCGACAGGGGCTACCTCCTCGTACCCCACTTCCTTCGCACTGCGCTCCATGGCAAGGCGAAGCATGCGTTCTTCGGATGCGTCGTGACTAAACCCCGGATTGCTCACTGTGCGAAGCGGCCGGCCACTGCGGCTCGTCCCCACGGGGGGGCGTTGTCGTGGAGAAGGCTCCGACGAGGAGCTGCTGCAGTCGTCCGACGATTCGGATGATGACTCCGTGTCATGGGGGCAGCCTGGCGTGGAATCACATTGTGACGTGCTGCGACGCCCCCTACCTCCACCTCCGCGCCCACCTCGGCCCCTGCCTCGACCGCGACCTCGACCACCTCCTCGCATGTTGAACTGTTCAAGCGTTGATCAACCAAAACTACAAATAGTGGGTGGATTTCCGATTGGGAGTGTGTTACGTTGGGTGTTTTGAGTTTAAATTATTTTATCATCTGGACTTCACTATTCAGGGTCCAACCGTGCGGAAAGAATTTGACATAAAAACACGAAACAGATTCCTTGGCGCATGACCACAGTTCGATCTTGTCCGAACATCCACAGTGTCTACATTCATGGAGCGCCTATCCCCTGCAGCAACAGTCGACAAATTGCATCGGACTCCTCACATGCATTCAGGACGTTAATCCAGCTGGATGCCATATTCCAGATATAGATCGACATGACTACTTCCAGCGATTGGGTTTCTCATTTTAGCTTAGAATTCACACTTTCAAGAAGGGCACTTTGGCCCGATCTACTTTACCAGGTTCAGACATCCGGACATTATCCGGATGATTAAAGCCAGTCCTAAAGTCACTTTTAGTTTTGCCCCCGACCACGCAAGAGTTCTTTGTCTGCCTTTCTTTCCTCGTCCCCTTGACAGGTTAGTTCCTCCATTCTACCTATGCGCCGTCCTTCGTGGGCATCCCGCTCGATGAGTCCTACCCTCTGGCCTACGTTGTCTGGAAGATGGATCCTCCTTCTACGAGATCGATCGTGCGCCGCGACTGGCGGACATCAAGGAGCACACGTCAGCCAACTTGGCCAACGTGATGTAGCGCCAGTCAGTCAAGCCTCTTGCCACTCAGCGCTATTTAGCGCAAAACTTTTTAAATGTCCGCCATATGTACCAACCTCCAGTATATCTACCACACTACTATGTGTTCCTATGCCCCCTTTAAGCTGCTCAAAACTCGCTTCGAGTTGAATGGCATGGACAATAACCCCACCGTGATTGCTAACACCTACGTACTCTCAAGTTCACTGACAACAGTTGTACCACACCCTCGCCGTGGAACACAACAACCTCGTAAAGCGTTATTGTGCGTCTATGACACCGCCCATGTTCCAACGGACGTGTGCTCGTCTATCGACTACGCTATCTAAAATTCGACCTATAACACTCTGTATAAAATGCGTTTATTGCAGACAACGGCCTCTTTGAAGTCATCAAGAACTATGTTTCTACTGCCTGAGCTGCCATGGTGAACATCGTTGTTGACCATGCTTGAGTCTGCTCTCCGCAATGTCCTCGACAATCGTGCCCAACGCGCTTCGCTCTGGGTTGCCTCAGCACTGCCACCACTCTCCAAGCCCGCAGTCAGTATTTGGCGATTATTCATGTGAGCGTGCGCAGAGGAAGACGCAGGAGATGGTACAATCAAGAATGAATTGATAGCGTTAAAACTACTACGCTATCAATAAGCTACGGGCAACCAACCATTGATGTATCGCCGGGCGAACACCTTGGTTGCGCAAGAGGACTTGTCGGTGTGCGAAGGTACACCTTGGACTGAAGAGACACCTTGGACTGAAGATGTGTCGACTACTCATCCGGTTAGCAACCGGTTACACCCTCCCCTACTTAAGACAGAACGTGCCATCATCACGTGGTCAAAAATGGGAAGGAACTGTGGCGTGATAGTTGAGATTGAGATGGCAGACGAAGGCAAGAAGCGCAAGGTGAACGAGATCGCCGAGGATGCCGACAACAGCGTCGAAGAGGCCAAGGCGTCGGCGCAGCAAGTGGAGGTGGTGGACCTCACAGCCGAGTCGGATGACGACGGCGGAGTAGTGTCGAGCGAGGACGCGGCTGAAGTGGCACAGCGTAAGGCCGACTGGGAGGCCAAGGCGGCCGTGAAGCGCGAACGGCTTGGACAGCTGGAGCAGCAAGCGGCTGCCGACTTGGTAAAGTGCGCGATGCAAACAGTGGGCGCCGAAGGTGTACAAAAGCTGCTGGAGCAGCACTTGGCACGGGAGGAGGCCGCCAAGAAGTCAAGAGCGGCCGAAGAGGTGAAGGCGAAGGCAAGGCGCGCTGAAGAGGCCAAAGCGATCGCAGCGGCTGCGGCGAAGGCGGCGGACGAAGCAGCCAAGGAGGCTGCGGAAGCAGCGAGGAAGGTGACCAGCGAAGGTGTGACTGGGACACCCTCAGGCGATGGGGGACATCCCAACGCTATGGGCGTTGGGGGAAAAGAAAGAAAGGCGAGCGGCGTGGGAACCGCCGTTAAGATGGAGGCCAAAGTGAAGGCCGAACTTGCTGGACCGGAGCGGACCGGCCTAGCCCGAGACGAAGTGTTCGCGCGAGAGTTGGGTTTCCACTGGGATTGCTCTCGGATCTTCACGCCTGCCGGTTGGGGTGGCGTGGACTTGGAGTATGTGCGCGGCGTTACGCGCCATTTGACGAGACTCGCGAGGATTGGGGATACTAGGTGGCCAATGCTGCCGGCGTGGAACGGTACCTGCGCTTGTTTTCAAGCGCCCAATCGTTTGAGTTGCGGGTGCTGTGGATGCTGCTTGCCATAGAGTGCATGCAGCTTGCGAGGGTGAGTTTTCACCGGTTTGATGAGTTCAAGGGCGCCATGCGCGAGTTGCATGAACGGGAGCGCCTGGAGCGCTGGACGGTTGACGTGGGGCGGATCGAGCTTTGCAATGATGAAACATTGCTGGAGTACCTTGTATCGTTTGTGTGGACGCTGGTCGGACAAGGCAGTGGGCGGCATGGGCAGTTGCCGCTGACAGCGGGGCGGTTGGCCAACTCGCTATCTAATTTCGCCGGGGTGCGGCGACAGAAGCATGGGCGTTTGGACGCACGGTCTGTCGCGAGGATCGCCGCCCGCGTAAATATGCGGCGCGGGCCTGAGGTAATTGTTGTTTAACATAATCTTCTGATTGCCAAGTTGTAGTTGGCCCGACTCGCACAGCGAACTCCCGACCCGTCGCTGTCCATCGCGATCCCGCGATCGGCAGTGCCAGGGCGCTCACCCCCTCGGGGGCAAGCGACGATGTCGGCGGCGGCGCCGGTGCAAGGAGCGCGGGTGACGCCAAGCGGGTTTTCGGTGCTCCCTGCGAGCGCCTGGTCGAGCGTATGGGCTTCGCCAACGGCGAGTTCCTCGACATGGGCGCGCGAAGATTAGCAGGTGAGAGCAACGGCGGCGCGGCCGACGAATCCGTTCGCGGGGTACAATCCGCCGTCGGGACCTCAACAGGGTGGTCAATTGACAGCGGTGGAGCGGCAAGCAGCCGCAGATTATCGGGCGGGGGCGCGGGCGATTTGCGGCGCCGCAACAAGTGGTGGTGCCGATGTCGAGGACGGCGACAGCTGGGGAGTCGGAGGAAGAGGAGAAGTCGGAGGCGGCGGAAGAGGAAGAGCCACCGCGGGATCCGAAGGATCGGTTGCCGTCACTTCATCGGTCGTAGGAGTAGATAATAACGATAAATAACGTTTGAGTTTACCCACATAATATGTTGGATGGATCTGCCATGAGGTGGGCAAGTCAAGCTTGTAGTTGGTGGGACTGACCACGCGAAGAACGGCAAAGGGGCCGTGCCAAGCACTTCGTAGCTTGACATTGGAAGACATTCCAACCGCTCGTGCGCGGAATGATGGGCGGGCACCGCCGACTTGTGGAGGAGAACTTGTTCGCCCACGGCGAAGAACGCGAGGTTAGAGCGGCCATGTTTGCTGGCTTGAGTTGATTGGCGCTGCTGAGCGGCAGCGATGCTCTCATGGATCTGTTGCATAACAGAGACGCGACGGGAGAGGAAACTCTGAATGGTTTGGAGAGTGCGGTTGGGGGCGTTGGAAAGTACGCGTGCAGGCCGCGCGGTGACTCCACCCCCACTTGAGGTCGAACCGTCGAGCATTGGAGGGAGGCGGGGGTATTGGAGATGGACCGCATAATGCGGCGAAAAGCCAGTGGACGCCTGAACCGAGGCGTTGTAAGCGAAAACCGCGTGTTGTAGCGTGACAGCCTAAGAGGAAGCGGTAGAGACGGAGTAGCTCCGGAGGATATCTTCGAGGATGCGGTTGGCGCGTTCCGTTTGGCCGTCGGACTCGGGGTGATCCGAAGTCGACATATCGAGCGAGGTGTCGCAGAGGGCTAAGAGGGTGGACCAAAACTTCGCCGTGAACCGCGGGTCGCGGTCCGAAACGATGGAGCGAGGTAGGCCAAAACGAGAGAAAACGTGGTTGAAAAAGATGCGAGTGGCATCAGCGCCGCTCAGCGTGTCTCGGACGGGGACGGCAATAACGTATTTCGACGCGCGGTCGACACAAACCATAATGCCGGTGTTGCCGCGGGCGTCGCGGGGCAGGCCAAACATGAAATCCATGCTGACGGACGACCAAAGTTCGTCGGGAATAGGCAGAGGTTGGAGTGAAGCCCGAGAGGAGGCGGTGATTTTAGTGCGCTGGCAAGCGTCGCAATGAGCGACGTAGCGCACAACGGATTTATACATGCGGGGCCACCAGTATGAACGCGCCAGGATCGCGTGCATTTTGTCGCGGCCGAAATGGCGGCCTCTGGGGGAGTCATGGTAGGATCGAAGGAGAGTGAGGCGCAGTTGCGTGTCACCGGGCACAACAATGCACGGTGGTGAGTCCGCGGTGGGTTGAAACATCAAAAACCCATCG